GTCGAAATAAATTATGAAATATATATATATATATATATAAATATTTATGTCTTATAATAAAATTTACTTATTAGAGTAATAATTAAAAAAAATCGTTAAATAAATTATAATTACGTATAATAAATGATAAATCTCTATAAAAAATTTCATGTATTATATACAGTATAATTACTATTTATTATTATTTATTTATAACATTAAATAATAATTTTTATTTCAAATGTTTATTTTCTACTATTATTTATTTTTATAGTAATTACTATCAAAATATAATCTAATATTGTCGTGGTTTTAGTTTTAAAAAACAAACAACAATTTCTATAAATATAATATCAATATTTAGTTATAAAAAGTCTAGTTATCATATTATATATAATATCTAAAAAATATTTTTAATTTATTAATAATTAATTATTACTAGTTATCTAATATTTGTTTTAAAAATCAATATTTCAAATAATTATTATATATTTATTTTGTATATTATATTCGTACTTTTAATGTTAACTTTAATAAAATTATGAATTCAGTTAATCAATAGTATTAATAAAAATACAATGCATTTTTGCAATTTTAAACAATTTATACAAAATAATTATTTAATACCCAGTTATTTAAGTAGAAAACCAATCAAATCATTATATGTTTGCATATTTTGTTGGTTGTGTACAATACGATGGATGTCTGCAATATTTGCTAACAGTCCGTATGTATGGACACTGATTGGTGATCCCTATTATACTACTGGTGACCGTATACTACATAATACTATATTATTTATTATATCACTACTAGGATCGCTGATGCGTACCACATTGATAATTGGTTTGTACTGTATTTCTAGCATATTTGAATATTTTATTTAAGATATATTATATATACATATAATATTTTTAAATATTTTTTAAAGGTGATCACTTTAAACTACTTGATAGTATATATCAAATAATTAATTTGAAAATTACTGATAAAAATAGTCATCAATTAAATATAAAAAATAAGCGTAAATTAAAATTGATTTCATGGATCATTCAAATTATTGTATTCAAATTGATTAACATTAGTTGTCCGATAATATTTGCATCAGTTTATGGCTTCTATACATTAACTGCTTATCTTAACAATGATTACGATTACTCTATCATTGTATTAATCCAATGGTTTATAATATTAACTGTTTGGTCTATACATATAACTTCATCGATTATATTTATTCATGGACTAACATTTTATATTGTTTATTATTTAAAACTATTATTCAGACAATTAAATTTGAAACTAAATAATTATGATGAAACTTTTGATAAATTAATTTTTAAACACAATTATTTTTCACTTAAAGTCAATGAATGTAATAAATTTATTTCCTATCAATTGGCGTTATTTAATTTTATATCATCAATTGGTTTAGTTGTTTTGTATTATATCTATTTCTATGGTAATGGAGACATATATTTCCGATTAGCCCATTTAATGATCGGCATAAACGGCACCGTCCTATTGTATTTGGTTACCCGTACCAGTGCATCGTTATCACGTGAGGCCCATATGCCCTATTCATATATTAATTCAATTTTTGCGTCCAAACAAATGATTAAACTAAATAATTATAAGGTTTATTAAAAAATATTTAAATTAAAAAACATAGTTAATTACAATATGATTATATATTAATTATTTGTAAAATATATTATTTTCCAGTTAATTGGTTTCATTGAACGTCTATCGGGTCCTAACTTGCACTAACGAGTCTACAATTTTATCAGGTATTTGTATAGTATATGTAATTTTTTTATTAATTTAAATTTTAATTAATTATTTTTGAATAATAACATTTAATAATTGACTTAATAAAACAATTAACATTTATTTAATATTTATAGTTTATTTTCAGAATTATTACAAATTTCCTGATTACTGTCAATTTATTATATTAATAATGATTTTTTATAACTATTCTATGAATAATATATAATTTATTATTAAAAAATAAAATTATTGATCAATTATGTTAATTATCTAATTGTATAACTAATTCACTTTTGTATATTTAATATCATAATTTCTATTGGATGTTTTTCTTGCAATTAAAAATACATTTGTATTTTACTTATATTTAAATACGTTATAAAAAAGATTGTATTAGTTTTTAAATAAAAATCAATATTTTTGACAAATTTATTTAATTTTTAATGATTTTTATTTATTATTGTTATGTATATTTTATGCAATTAAAATAAATAAACATATACTTTTCTATTATAATTTGTTTTTCTAAATATATTTATATATTATTAGCTACTTTAAAACTTTTAGTATTATTTTAAATAAATTTAATTATATTATTATTATCAATAGTTGAATTTTAGTTTTACAATATACTGTATATATTTATTTAATATTGAAAAATAGATATGAATTTTTTGCAATTTTGAAAAATTTATAAAAATAATTATTTAATACCCAATTATCTAATTAGAAATTAAATAAAAATAAAAATTTAGAAATAAAAAATAAAATAAATTATAATTACGTATATTAAATGATAAATCTTTCATTTACATGTATTATTATATTGACTTACAATATATTTATTATTATTTATTTATAACATTAAGTAATAATTTTTATTTCAAATGTTAATTTTCTACTATTATTTATTTTTATAGTAATTAATATTAAAAAAATAATGTAATATTGTCGTGGTTTTAGTTAAAAAAAGCAAACAAACAACAATTTCTATAAATATAATATCAATATTTAGTTATAAAAAAGTCTAGTTATCATTTTATATATAATATCTAAAAATATTTTTAATTTAATTATAACTAATTTCTACTAGTAATCTAAGATTTCTTTAAAAAACAATATATTAAATAATTATTTTAATGTTTATATATTTATTTTGTATATAATATTTGTACTTTTAATCTTAATTGTAAACAAATTATGAATAATATTCAGTCAATCAATAGTATTAAGGCAAATACAATGCATTTTTGCAATTTTAAACAATTTATACAAAATAATTATTTAATACCCAGTTATTTAAGTAGAAAACCAATCAAATCGCTATATGTTTGCATATTTTGTTGGTTATGTACAATACGATGGATGTTTGCAATATTTGCTAACAGTCCGTATGTATGGACATTGATTGGTGATCCCTATTATACTACTGGTGACCGTACACTACATAATACTATATTATTTATTATATCACTTCAAGGATCGCTGATGCGTACGACATTGATAATTGGTTTGTACTATATTTCTAACATATTTGAATATTTTTTATTAAAGGTTTTATTAAAGGATATATAATATTTTTAATTATTGTTTTTAAAAGGTGACCACTTTAAACTACTTGATAGTATATATCAAATAATTAATTTGAAAATTACTGATAAAAATAGTCATCAATTAAATATAAAAAATAAGCGTAAATTAAAATTAATTTCATGGATCATTCAAATTATTGTATTCAAATTGATTAACATTAGTTGTCCGATAATATTTGCATCAGTTTATGGTTTCTATACAATGACTGCTTATTTTAACAATGATTACAATTATTCTATCATTATATTAATCCTATGGTTTATAATATTAACTGTTTGGTCTATACATATAACTTCATCGATTGTATTTATTTGTGGCCTAACATTTTATATAGTTTATTATTTAAAACTATTATTCAGACAATTAAATTTGAAATTAAATCATTATCATAACAATTTTAATCAATTAATTTTTAAACACAATTATTTTTCAGTTAAAGTCAATGAATGTAATAAATTTATTTCCTATCAATTGGCGTTATTTAATTTTATATCATCAATTGGTTTAGTTGTCTTATATTATATCTATTTCTATGGTAATGGAGACATATATTTCCAATTAGCCCATTTAATGATCGGCATAAACGGCACCGTCCTATTGTATTTGGTTACCCGTACCAGTGCATCGCTATCACACGAGGCACATAAGCCCTATTCATATATTAATTCAATTTTTGCGTCCAAACAATTGATTAAATTAAATAATCATAAGGTTTATTAAAAACTATTTAATCAAAATATATACTTAATTACAATAATATTATAAAATATTTAATAATAATTATTATTTCATTATATATTATTTTCCAGTTAATTGGTTTCATTGATCGTCTATCGGGTCCCACAATTGGTATGTATTGTCTCAATTTGTTTGCACTAACGAGTCTACAATTTTATCAGGTATTGGTTCATTATACTGTATATAATTTTTTTATTAATATAAAAAAATTAATTATTTTTGAATAATAAAATTTAATAATTGAATAAATAAAACAATTAATATTGATTTATTATTTATAGTTTATTTTCAGAATTATTACAAATTTTCTGATTACTGTCAATTTATTACATTAACACTACATTATAATAATTAATGCATTTTAATCACTTTGTAATAATGATAAATTAATAAATTTGTAAAATAAAAATATCTGTATTAAATAAATTATGTTAAAAAAATCGTAATAAAATCATTTGATTAATTATTAACATTATTTGATATTTTTTTACTAACTATTGATATTTTCTGTATACTAATCATAATATTAATGAGTACAGTATTTACAATAATAATAAATAATAGTTATTATTAGCTAATATACTGTAAATTATTTTATATTAAATAATTTTATAATTAAAAATAGATTTCAATAGAGTTTTTTACTTAATATCTTATAACAAAAATATTTTAGTTAATAAATAAAATATTTGTTTATTAAATATTATAAGTTTATAGACTACAGTATAGCTAACTAACATAATAATAATTTTATTGATAATTCACCCGCAAATCAATTTAAATTATTTATTTGGCATTTAAATACTACATTTTTTCATTTTATTATTTGATTAGTTGATTACAGAATTAAATGATACAATAGTTGGTGTATTTTATGATTTTAATATTAATTTATTTTTAAAAAAATATTAATTTAAAATATGCAACGAAATGCATCAATAATTTTCAATAAATGGTAATGTTTTTCATCAACTTTTTTTAAAATCAAATTTTATAAATTAAAAAAACATTAATTGATATAATTTATAGGACTTCAGTGTTAGTATCGGCGGCTATTGTCACCAATCATTGGTATCGCAGACAACAATTGATTAGTAAATCAATACAAATACAGTCCAACTCCTTGTGTCGTACATTGAGACCAATATTACCGCTTATGAGAAGCGCTCAGTTGGCTCAGTCAGACGACAAAGACTGGATGAAAACAGTTTATGAACGATGTATTAATAGTATCGTACATCTGATGGCCGATGACCTGATCAGCGAAGATGAATGCTTTTCAGGAACCGGTTGGATAGTCGATGCCAATGAAGGACTTATTATAACCAACTATCATATTGTTCGTGACTTTCATTATTATTTGATTCAATTGGAGTATTCATATAAAATTCGGGAACTGTTAGCTGGTATCGATCGAAACGATCCGGTCGACAACAGCCAACTAATGTCCAGTTGGTGGGCTCAGGTAGTCTATGTTGAACCGCATCTTGATCTGGCAATGTTGAAGTTACCGGCGGTAAAGCCCGGAACCCTGGATCAGCTCGCGATTGCCCAAAAAGATGTCACATTTGGCGACGAAGTTATGTTTATAGGAGTTCCGAAATCAATAGAGAGATCAGTTGGTATTGGGACAGTTATGTATATTTATTTTATCCAATTGAACGACGCTTACTATTCCTATGGACATTTCGATTGGCCGGACAATCAGTTATTTATGAATATATCGACATCCACTGCCACCGGTTCATCGGGTAGTCCTGTATTGAACAGTTCTGGTCAAGTCGTTGGGTCATTATTTTCAGGCGGTTTTAATGAGTCGACTGTTACCAGAAAAGATGATCTCTTAGGTTATTATTTGCTATAATTTTAAAAATGAAAAAATTATTGTTTTATTTATTTTATTTTTTTTGATAATAATTATTGAATTGTTTTTTTGTGGTCATTGATCAGGATTTGTGAATAGAGCTAAAAACAAGGGAAACACCATTTTTGATCAATTAGTTAAACAAAGACAACTGTTATATAGTGGTCAACCGTTTATCGGTATGAAACTTATATACAAAAACAAATCAATTATTGTCAACAGATTTATGCCGTACACTGATGTTGGGATCGGGTATGCAATTAATTAGTCTATAAGTTATAGTGTATTTATCAATAACAACAACAAAAATGATTAATTAATTTTGTTCAACATTTATAATAATAAATTTTTTTAATTATAATTAGAAATGAACTAAAACTTAACGACAAAATTGTTGAAATTAATGAAAACCCAGTGAAAAATCTCAACGATGTCAGGGATGTAATGAATAGGTTATCAATTGGACAGTCGATTGAATTAAAGTTTATGAGAGGCAATAGTCATCAACAAAAAACAGTTAACATTAAGACAGAAAATGTTAAAAATTGTTGTTTATTTTAAGTTATAATAATAATAACAACAAAATATCTAATTGATTAGTTATTTATTTATTTAAAATATTTATTACTAAGATTTTTTTTTCATCAAATGATGAAAGTCTATGCTATAAGTTATATATTATATATATTTTTCAATTATATTTATTTTATAAAAAATAATAATAATTCAATTTTATTTTTTTATTAATTTATTAATTTATATTTACCATCAATCAATAATATACATTTGTATATTTAATAGTAACAAATTAATTAATATGATAAATCTAATAAAAATAGTTTAATAGACCAGATTGTTATAAATAAATAAACATTGTTGCCGTACATGCAATTAAAACATATATAAATCAATTATATCGGGTAATGATATAATTAATCAATATAATATAATTAACAATAATTAATATATACGCGAGATTCAAACAAAAACAAATTTAATTATTACCGATTGATATTCAAAACTAAATTGTAAATTGTTTTTTTATATAAATTATATGATAATTATTACTATTGAATATTGAATTTATTGATTGTTTAATTCAGTATTTTTTTGTCAGTTAAAAATATTTGTGTCCTTTTTTTAGTAATATTGCTAATCATATTACTATATATATACACTTCTATAAAATACAATCAAAACACATATATATAGTATACGGTATATAAAATACATAAAATATGACCAATAAATCAGTAGTTGTTATAATAATACCGACAATACTACTGATGATGACAATAATCAGTGCTACAAACAACACGATTGCCAATAATAAAAATAATAACCAGAAGATAATGTCGAGAAGTGTCGACTTATTCAAGAAAACCCGACCCGACTTTGAGTCTGACTTTGAGGGCGGCGGTAGTGGTTCGGCGTCCGACAAACCATCGGATAATTCAATCAAAACACGATTTCGTAATTCGTTTTTCTTTTCCCGAACAGCTTTTGCCATCTTTGCCGTACTGACGGCCGTACTAGTCTTTGCGGTGGTCGCGGTTGGCGTACGGGCCGTCGGTCTAGCATTTTATACCAACTTTTGTCGATTGGAAACACCGCCGATACTAGCCGTCAACAACAATAACAGTCAACGTAGTAGCCAACGGTCAATCGATACTACCGATAAAACAGTTGATCCCAAACAAGCAGTTGGTGCGAACATATCCGAGGATACCGGCACTACTAGTAGTAGTAGTGTTGGCCATAGTTTGCAAACTATTGCCGCAACTGATGTCAATAATAATAATAATAAGTCAAACAACAAATCCGTTGGTGATATTGTAGTTAAAAATAATAAATCTAATGTTTGAAAATAAAAAACAAAATACAAATTAATCACAAAAAACTAGTTTATTATTATTATTATTATTATCCTATACTTTTAAAAATTAATTATATGTTTTCTATTAATTTAATAAAAAATTTATATTTTCCAATTAATTTTTACAGTAGTTATTTTTAAAATTTAATTATAAAATGATTTAAATAATTATAATTAAATTTGTATGCATTTAAATTAAAAACATATACTATTAAAACAAATGACTATTTTTGATAAATATTTAAACATTTAATTGATTTTTTGAATAAAAACAAAATTTTCAGTTAACAAATTGTCATCATATTTGAATACAATTTTATTTTTATAAACTATCATATTTATCAATATACTAATAAATATTAATTAGTTAAAGTTATAAAAAAATTAAATTTTATTTTATAATTTATAATTATATTAATTGTATTATTAATATATTGTATATTTAAAAATATTATTTATGAAAAACTTATATTATAAATATTAATTAAGTTTTTTTGTTGTTTCTATAATTACTTTATTACAGTATATATATTAATTAATTTGTGTATTTTATAAAGTAATCATAAAATAAATTTTGTTACAACTATACGGATCATTTCAAACAGGTATATATATATTATGATATATTGATATATATTAAAATAAACTCAATACTATAGAAATAATTTATATGAATATAATTTATTTTTTATTATTAAAACTGTCTAAACTGTAGATATATATTAAACATTAGATCATATAATTATCTGACATATAGTTAGTATTGTAGGAAATTTGATTTTTTAAATTTATTAAAAGTTATAAAAAACAGTATTTTTATATCGCATTTATTATTATAACGCGATTATTATTATTTCTATTGATATATATCTAACGGTAAATATTTATTGTCTCGCGAGTCGCGACCTAACCTAACCTAAACTTAACTAAAAATATATAGAAATAATAATCGCGTGAACTGTAATGCGATATAAAAATACTGTAATATTTAAATTATAGTAAAGAACAGTCAAATTGATATCATATTTAAAAAAAAACAGTTGATATCAAATTATTTTTTATTTAATCCAATTTGAATTGAAATAATGTCAAACAAATCGTCCAAAAATGGTGACCACAGAGTAGGAGGAGGTGGTGGTAATGGTGTCGACGACTACAACACTAAAAATCCGGTGGTCAAAGACCGGCCAAATATGGATCCGACTCAAAGATTTACGAAAACGACTTTCGTCTACGGCTACAAACGATTGTTAACCATTACCCGTCAAAACATGGGTGTCTGGCCTATTGTTTTTTTTGTCGGCCTATTTGTACCGGTCGGCACCGTCTGGTTTATCGGCTATCGGGTCAACAATACGCCCGACGTGAACGTCTGGCATCGCAAAGAACCGCAACCATGGAATCGATTTGACAACAAGGAGGCAAAGCTGTACAAACTGGACCAGAAAGCGGTATTGGCTAAACATCCCCGACCCAGGTTTGACTACCCATCCGAAAGTCAACCCAAAAAATAGTCTAAACCGAGGAATCAAATGAATGACTTTCTAAAAAAACAAAAATATTTTAAATATTTGTATAAATTATTATTTAGTTTATATTTTAAGTCAAAAAAAAATTTATTTAATGTTTTTTGTTTTTTATTGCAAATACATTACTAGTATTATTATAAAATACTGTACTGTTGTTAGTTAAATACATGTGTTTTTAATATGTATTTGAAAAAGATATTATTATTAAAAAAAAATTTTCATTAATCTAAAATTGTAATTAGTTTTGAATAAAAACTATATTTTTTAGACTTAAACTTTGTTTTACATTATATTGTGATTTAATATAATTTATGGTTTTTATTTTTTTATAACTATAAATTTATTATTTAAAAAAATAAGATTATTACTCAATTATGATAATTATCTAATTGTATATTTAGTGCATTTTTGTAGATTTCATATCATAATATTTATTGAATTTTCTAACATTTTTTTTTATAGTTTACTACTTAAAATCAAAATTCAAACAGTTATTTAATGTATCATGGTCAAATTGTAAAATTTATCATGATATTATTGTCAAATTAATTTATCGAAACAATTATCTAACCATAAATGTCGCTTAAATGTAATAAATTTATATCATATCTATTAGCAATCAATCATTTTATAAAAACAATTATTATAGTTGTCTTAAATTATATCTATTTCTATGGCAATGTAAACTTGAGATTGGCAAATAGAAAGTTTCTAATAAATTTCCCCTGAAAGTCATTTTTTATATATATTTGTATAAATTATTAGTATATTTTATGTCATAAAATTTATTGAATGTTTTTTATTGCAAATATATTATTATAAAATATAAAGTTAGTTTACAGAATATTTTTTCAGAATTTTATTTTACATAATAGTGTGATATAAAGTAATTTTTAATTTTTAATGATTTTTATAACTAGAAATAATAATAAGTAATTTATTACTAAAAAATAAAATTATTGCACAATTACTGTAATTATCTAATTGTATAACTAATGCATTTTTGTAAATTTCATATCATAATATTAATTGCATTTATTGTAATTAAAATTACATTTGTTTTATGAATATATTTAAATTTGTTATAAAAAAAATTTCATAGAAAGCAGATTGTATTTGTTTTTTTCAATAAAAGTCAACATTTTTTGATTGATTTATTTAATAATAATTTTTAATGGTTTTTATTTATTATAATTATATATATTTTGTACAATTAAAATAAATAAACACACATATATATACACTGCAAACATAATTTAATTTCGTATCGCAAAAATATTGATATCATTAACTTTGAACTTTAATAACTTTTTTATTTTTTAACTTAAATAAACAAATTTGATATCTGATGAAAGAACACTTTTCAAAGTTTATAAGTCAATAAATAAAATTGCATTAATTATCATATTATCTATAAAAAAAGCATAAGAAGTAAGAAATGGTAAAAAAATTTATGTACAAAAAGTATTTTCGTGAAATCAAAACTTTAAATATTATTAACAAAATAAAGCTATTAATTTAGTAAAAACAATATTAATATCGAGTATTGCCTCCGTTGGCATCAATCACAGCCTGCAATCTTCTTGGATCAGCTTTTCTGTGACTTCTTCAGGTATATTTTTCCAGACATTAAATAACGACTCTTTAAACGCAGAAAAACTTTTTCTTTCGCTCTTTGGCACACGTCTGTCCAATTCATTCCATAGATGTTCAATAATCCTGTCCTGTTTAGCACTGGTACATCTTTTTCGACCACTTCTTGCGAGATTTCTAACTGTCCCGTACTTTTCGACTTTCTTTACAATTGATCGGACAGTATTATCAGTTGTTGTAAACAGTTCCGCTATTTTTGCGTATGACTTTCCGGTGCTGACTCTCATATCATACATTTGTTGGCGAATTGCATCTGAAAATTCTTGTATTTTAACCATTTTTATGATAATCACTGCATTTACTGTTTATTTACGTGTATTCAAATTAATAACAATGCATTGGAATCAATTGGTCCCAACAATGTGTCTGAAATCACGCGCGTTTTAAAAACACGAAAATAATTTTTGTACCTAAATTATTAACACCTATAACTTTACCTTGATATATTTTGTTATTTAAACCATTGTTTTGACCATCTAGTATATCAATTTAATTGTGATTTATTACTCTATTATTTGATATCAAATTTGTTTATTTAAGTTAAAAAATAAAAAAGTTATTAAAGTTTAAAGTTAATGATATCAATATTTTTACGATACGAAATTAGATTATGTTTTTAGTGTATATATATATATTATTAAAAACTATAAATTATATCATATAAATATTGTTTTAAATAAATTTAATTATATTATTATCAGCAATATCAGAAAATTAGTTTTACAATTAATATTATCTTTTAATACCCAAATATATATATATATATATTTTTGCAATTTTTTGAAAAATTTATACAAAAATAATTAATTATTCTAATATTAGTTTTCTAGTTTTCGAGTTTCTTTAGGTACATTACAAATGACAAAAAAAAGTATAATATAATTGTTTAGTTATAAAATTTATTAACTATTATCATACAATATTTACATTATAATAATAATTAATCTCCGAGAATATTATAATAATTTTTTATTTATTTTTTTTATTAAAATTCAAGTTATTATTTACAGTTATATTGATATTTATAGAATAATTGTATTTATAATTTTATAATTACCATAATCAAATTATAAATAAAGTCCAGTTATTATTTAATTATTTTTTAAGATAAACACAATTTATTATTGTAATTTTCAACAATTTATACAAAAATAGATATTTAATACCCAGTTATTTAATTATAAAACCAATCAAATAGCTATATGTTTGCATATTTTGTTGGTTTTGTACAATACGATGGATGTCTGGATTTTTGAAATAAATATAATATTTATCATAAATTTTGAATATATTGTACAATAATAGTATATTATGTCTGTATATTGAATATATGTTTTATTTTTTAAACATTCAATAAATTATAATTATACATGTATGTATTAATGATAAATTACTATAATTTATTTAATGTTTTATTATAATAATTTGACATATATATATATAATATTATATAATAATGACAAAAATCGTCTATAAGTATAATATGAATGTTTAGTTATAAAATATAAATAGTCTATTGTCATACAATATATTTATATAGATTTACTTTATAATAATAATTAATTTCCTAGACTATAGTAAATACTTTTTATTTTTTGTAAAAATTCAAGTTATTATTAGACCTGGGAAATAAAAAAAAGGACAACAATGTGCCGCACACTGTATTTAATATTATAATAGATGTTAGCTATAGATTAACATTAAATAATATACCTAGAATTGTAGTTAACATTTTTTAAAAAAATTTTTTGATATTAATTATAAAATCTAATAAATTAAAACCCAATTTTCTGTATAAAATTTATTGTTGTCCTTTTTATTTCCGAAGTCTAGTTAGTATTTTATTTACTGCTATAATGTATTTGTTTATTTTGATCAAACTATTAAAATTAATATTATTTTATCTAATAATATTATTTAAATAAATTTTATAATTATATATACAGTATTAATTTAATTAATTTTTTATTTAGAAAATATAGTTACTAAATTATTAATCTATAATTTTTATTAAGATAATCACACATTTATATACTATTATTTGGTATCTATTTATGTACTATTGTTAGTATTTTTAAATTAGATTTAGATTAGTATTAAAAAATTCAAATTATTCTATTTTTTACTGTTATATTCATATTAATACATCTGTATTTGTAATTTTATAATTACTAAATTCAGTTTATCAAATATTTTTTACGATTAACACAAATGTATTTTTGTAATTTTAAACAATTTATACAAAATAGTTATTTAATACCCAGTTATTTGAATAGAAAACCAATCAAATCGCTATATGTTTGTCTATTTTGTTGGTTATGTACAATACGATGGATGTCTGCAGTATTGGCTAAAAGTCCGTATGTATGGACACTGATTGGTGACACTTATTATAGTAGCGGTGACCGTACGCTACAAAATATTATTTTATTTTTAATATCACTAAACGGATCAGTAATACGTACGGCATTTATAATTGGTTTGTATTAATTTAAATATTATATTTTTTTTTTAAATATTTATTTAAAAAATTTAATTTTTAAATCTATAATGTTTAAAATAATTTTTTTTAAAGGTGATCATTTATCACTATTTGATCAAATATATCAAATAATTAGTTTAAAAATTAATGACAAAAATAGCCATCAATTAAGTAAGAAAAATATAACTAAATTAAAATTAATATCCTGGATCATTGAGTTTATTGTATTGAAATTGATGAACATTAGTTGTCCGATAATATTTATATTAGCAAATTGTATTTATGCATTGATTGCTTATATTAAAAATGATTACAATTACTCTATACATACATTAATTATATGGTGTATTATATTAGCAATTTGGTCAATACATATAAGTTCATCCATTGTATTCGGCTATGGGCTAACATTTTTTATAGTTTATTATTTAAAACTAGAATTCAAACAGTTATGTAATAATGTATCATGGTCAAATTGTAAAATTTATCATGATATTATTGTCAAATTAATTCATCGACACAATTATCTAACCATAAATGTTGTTGAATGTAATAAATTTATATCATATCTATTAGCAATCAATCATTTTATAACAACAATTATTTTAGTTGTCTTAAATTATGTCTATTTCTATGGCAATGGTAACATATATTTTCGATTAGCAAATCTAATGGTCGGCATATTTGGGATAATCCTTATCTATTTGGTTACCCATACGAGTGCATCGCTATCATGTGCTGCACATATGCCGTATAAAAATATTAACTCAATTGTTGCGTCCAAACAATCGATGAAAATAATTAATAAATTTAAGGTTTTCTTTAAAAAAAAACTAATAATTATTCATAAAAAAGTTGCTATAAATAAATAATTATTTTATTTTGTTAGTTAATCGATTTTATTGAACGACTCTCTGGTCCCACAATTGGTATGTATTGTTACGATTTGTTTGCACTAACGAGTCTACATTTTTATCAGGTAATGTATAATATAATATAGTATTTATATTTATATTATAAAATTTAAATTTAATCAATATTATTTACAGTATTTACTGTATATTAATATTTCTTATTTTTATTTTTTTTTGTAAATTTTAGTGTACATTATATATACTTATTATTATACTTTAATTAATATATACATATTATTTATAATTTATAATTATTTTTTACAGTATGCTATTGGAATTACTGCCAATTTTATGTTTGCTGTCAACTTATTGGTTGATTATTTTGGTTATTAATTTTTTTTAAAAATAATTTTAAGTCATTTTGTTGACTTAATTAATCGGAGAAATACAAACAAAATACCTTATAATTTATACAAAAAAATTTAATCATAATTTTATACACATTGTATTTTTTGTTATTTTTGTGTATTATTATTATTATATCTAAAAGATTATATTGAATTGGACAGTTGGTTTAGTTTTGAATCACTTAATAAAAAAAGTATATAAATATACTAGAATACTATTTAATTGATTAGATAATTGACTTTTAATATATATATTTTTATTGATATTTATGAAATATACAGTAATTTTTTGTTTATTATAAATAAATATCATTATTTTTTTCGATAAATAAGTTTTATAATTTTTATATTAAAACGGTATTTATACTTTATATGATTTATTAATTAAAATATTTATAAAATACATTTGAATCTATGGGAAAACACATATATAAAATATAATTTAATTATAATATCTATATTTATATCTATATAATTATTTCAATAAATTATTTCTATTTTTGATTATTATATAAATATTGTAATAATTACAGTAAAATAATATTTATAGATATATTTTTTAATACATACCTATGTCGACATAGACTAGATTAGTGGATATATATACCGATTGGGGGTTGGGTTGAAATTACTACCATTCACAGACACACTGATAGACACAAATTTTATTATAATAAATGTAATTTGAAAATATATTATTTTATTATTAGTATATTGTGTCAATATTATCAAATTTGTTGCTATTGTTATTAATGATAAAATTTTAATACATAATATATATATATATATATACTAAATAATTTATATAATACTGTTTCATATAATTTAATATTATTATCTTTTAGTACAGGTTTAATTTATTACATACTGTATAAACAATTTGTTTCACTATTAAATATAAAGTTATATCATAAGTATAGTTACAGTACTTGTATTATTAGTTAATTAATTGGTTACATCAAAACATACAAAATATTGTTGTTTCAAATTATTATAAAATAAATATGTAATATACAGATATGTAACTTTTATTTTTGTTGTTGTTATTGTAAATTATTTGCTAATTCAATAATTATAAAACTATTTAATGATATGAGTTATTTTAATTTATAATCTATTAAATAATGTAATAAATTCAATTTTTAAACTTAATGAAATTAGTGTTTTTAATTTTTTTAAAAATTACATAACATTTTTCTAAACATATGATATTATGTCATCTGAACAACAAACCAATTATATCAACATTTTATTATTAGGTGAGACAGGTGTAGGAAAGTCGACATTTATCAACATATTTGCCAATTATCTGTCGTACGATACACTGGAACAGGCAGTCAATGGAGATCCGGTGTGTCTCATACCCACACAGTTTCTCATATCGGATGCCGATTACAATCAAACACTGATAACCTATGGACAGGTAGATGAAAACGAGTCGTGCAATGTTGAGGGCGAATCAGTTACACGTGGATGTGTGACCTACTGTTTCACTCATGATTGTCATACAATACGTTTGATCGATACGCCCGGTGTAGGCGACACCCGTGGTCTCGATCAGGACAAAGACAATTTAGATTGTATATTGCGATTCATTGCACAGTACGATGTCCTGCACCTGATCTGTATACTGATGCGACCCAATCAGGAACGGCTGACCCCTGGTTTTGAGTACTGTTTTCGTGAACTGTTACGACATCTGCAAAAGGATGCCTCTAAAAACATGGTATTCCTGTTCAGCAATACCCGGGCCACCGGTTATAAACCGGGTACTACGCGAGCATTGTTGTCGAGAATGTTGGCCACTATTGAAAGTCAATCGCCCGATGTTTGCTTAACACTTGACAAACATACCATGTATTGTGTGGACAACGAGCCATTCAAGTACTTGTGTGCCGTCAAACAGGGTATCAACTTTGAGGAACAGGACGTTATAGTCAACACTACCAGTTGGGACAACTCGGTAAAAGAGTGTCTACGACTGTTCAACTATCTATACAATGGACGCACTGGTAATCAGGGACTGACACCACATCCCATACAGAATACACTGTCCATCAATGAAACTCGTAGACTGATTGTAGCACTGGTTAAGCCATTGTTTCAGATTATCAATATTATTAAACACAATTTATGTGTACTAGAATTGACACAGGTGGAAATAAAAAACTATCAAGGTGATATTGATAAGTTGAATCACGAAAATATACGTATGGGTTATTGGTATGCAAACTAACACAAAAAAAATATATATTTATCGGTTTAGTAAAACTATTTTCTTATATTATTATTATTTTCTTATATTATTATTACTACTACTTAATAGATAATTAACTAACTTTGTGCTAACTTTTTTTTTAAATTATAACATTTTTAAAAAATTGATTTTTTTTAGGAAACAATTAGTTTTGAAACCAGTTTCCCGGCTATTTAGGAGCAAATTCAATAGTGTCAAAGAGATTATGGATCGGGTATTTCGTATAAAATGCGACCAAAAAGATCGTAAACTACTGGTGCGCGAGTACGACATCAAGATTGAACAAAACAAAAACGAGCATGCTAAAATATTGAAATCAATTACAATATTTGAAGCATTTCTCAACCATAATGCCATTACTAGCTATAGCGATACGTTTGAGGAGTACGTCCGGCAACAAATAGATAAGCTACGATTGTCCGATTATGATGATACCGGTGCTAATGATGATGATGATAAGCGTACAGCAATTGCCACAATGTACGATATACTTAAACAATACAATGAACAAAAACAATTGCTGGGCTATCATATTAAAATGTCGACCAACGATTGTGCCGATAGATTTACATTGGAAAGTGTGGACAGGGAGATAAGGGGACTGTACTATCTACAGGAAACTGGCAACGAAATCAAACATCTACATCGACAGAGTATGACCAAACACGACCACAAGTCCAGTCGGTCAACGGTTGTCCGGGAAGTCAACGGAAAAAATGCTTTATTTATTTTTTTCGGACAAAGTTAACTAATAAAAAAATAAATTATTACATTATATTGTTGTATTTTTTTGGATATAATAAATAATTTCAATTACTACAGATATTATATACAAAAATTTATAATTGTAAAAATTAATTGAAAATATTTATTATTAATGAATTAAGATTTATATATATATATATATAAGATATATATGAGATATTAAATAGGTTTTCTAACTCGCGATAAATAACTAATTTTATCACTATTTTTGCGCAAATATTCACTCAATAGATGCGAATTGGGATCCGATTTGATTTCATTGATCATTAAATTATCGATAACGACGTGAAAGTTAAGTGAAAACATGTCTATTAATCTAATTTTTGGACATATTTTGACCAAACTTACGATGGCATCGATCGGATATGATTTGGACACTTTTAGCCGTAGTGTTCGCAATCGGGACAGTTGGCTAATGGCCTGAAACGATGACTCTGTTATGTAAGTGTCCGACAGGTTTAGATAGCGAAGTCGAGGCAGTGTTTCACCGATTTTATTAAAGAACAGATCAGTAACTTTGCGACCACTAATCGTCAGGTGTGTCAACAGTGGACACGTATCCAACGATTTTGATGTAAACTGCAATTTGTTTGGTATATTTAGACTCAGTTGTTGTTTATAATCAAAACGTATGTCCAGTCGGCGCAGTTGTCTGTAATACCGGAGCGCCTCATAGTTTTGCCAACTTTGCCATATTTCTGCTACACTGAGTTTGATCTCAAGCGACTGTAAATCAGGACAATTGTCGCCAATTTGTTGCAATTGATTGCCAATTGTATAATCCATAGTAATGTTATAATCAAACTTAATAGTCAGTGACCGCAAACGTCGTAACTGTGATAATGCGGTCAACAATAGTTTTGTGCCGTTTTGATGGATACCTTTGACGTAAATGGACACCGATGTCAGCCTATCGGCGTATTTTGTGGTAAATGCTGTCAACATAACGTCCGGCTCTCGTATATCATTGTAGTTGAACTGAATTTTTTGTAATTTTTCAAACCATAAACTGTCGACCGATACAAACATATCGGTAATCGACGTGTTTTCCACACGCATTAGGTTTACTTCCTGTAGGTTCGGACACAACTGCAGGTGTCTGGCGGCCAGTGAACTGTGTTTATTGAAACCAATTTTCTGCAATTTCGGGCCAAACTTTGCAAAAAACCGGTCAAACAATTGTTGGTCACTATTATTAGCAATAGTGTTGTCATTATTGTTGTTGTCGTTGTTATTATTTTCGTCATCAACTTCTTGGTCCACTTGAAAATAAATCTCCAATTGTGTTAACCGATCGACATTATCGATGATTGTGTTAATCATATTCACATAGTTATCCCGTCTCTGACTTTCCAGTGTCTGAACAAACAGTCTGTTAATAGCCGGACACTTGTCCAGTATGTGCTTCAGTAGCGATAATTCAATCATTTTCTGTCCCATTATATTCCAGTCGTTCAGATTTCTCTTAATTTTGGTCATCAATCGATGACTTAGCGACAGTTCCCGTTGTTGTTGGTAAACACAACGTCTGAACTGTCGACTAACACACTCGTAGCGAAAGGTGTCCTCCAGTGACAGATATCCGACTATGACTTCGCAGAGATCGTCACCGAACCGATCAAATGACGACTTCTGGTATATTGTATCAGACATTATAAATAATATAAAACAAATCAAATGAAATAAATATAAATTTTTGAAAACTTTTCAATCAATGTTTAGAAAAATAAATTTTGTCACAAATTATCAAAACTTTAATAAACTTTTTTTGTGCTATTTTTTTATTAATATATATAATATTTTTAAAAATTAACTTATTTTTTGAGTAATTATATCATTTATAAAAAACTAACTTAAATATAACGATATTTAGTTTATTTATTAAATAAAAACATATATTAATAATAGTCTATTTTAGTTTTATTTATTATAGCCTTGAATGTTATTTATTTAATACAATATTTTTTCAGTTGAATAAAAATGTTTATGTATTATCATTATTACATTTACATGACTACCATATCATTGATTTAATTAAGTATTATATCATATATTCTGTTTAACTAAAAGTATAGGTAATAATAATTATTTACGTTGAGTTCAATGTGTGTTTAAAAATGCAATAAATGTATTATCACATAGAAATACTATATATACTGTATGTATTGTATATGTTGTGTTTGATAGTTAATTAAAAGCTATATATATATATAATACTGTATATAAGGCATTAAGTATTTGTTTTATTAAACATTACATATTAACCAATGATACAGTTCCCGCCTTTATATTAGTTTAGATATTTAAAATTATTTACTAAAATCATACAAATTCTCTCTCTCTCTCTCTCTCTCTCTCTCTCTCTCTCTCTCTCTCTCTCACTCACTCTCTATTTATTTATTTCTCACTCTTATGAAACATTTATATTTATCAATAAAATCAAAGGTGAGTTATTTACTTTTTGATTTAAAAGCATTCAAACGGTTAAATATTTAATATATGTGTTATATTGAATAAATAAATTAAAATAAAATAAATATTATACAATATTACGATTTCTACATATTATATATAAATATTATGTTTGTGAGAATTCTTGATTTATATTGTAATTTATAAATTAATTATATTTAATTTTTTAAAAAACAACATTAATTTACTTAAAGTTATATACAGTACAATACTTTGGTATTAACTTTACTTAACTTAACTTAACTTTAGTAAATCCTAAAGCTATGATATATTGTTTTTTTAATATTGATATATGTTAATCATGTATAAATATTACTAAATGATAATTTATCAATAAATAAAATTAAACATTTTTCTAGTATTAGTAATCTAATCGGAAAATTACTATAGTAATTTTTCCGTTAATTATATTGCATTGTGAACGTGTATATGTAATACATATAAGGTATATATATATTGATATAACAAAAATTATATATTATAATTATAATATATAAATATGTGTGAAATAATTATTTGAAATTTATTTGCTTTTCACACACATACACATACACAATGATATTGATTTTATATTAATTGCCAACAATTATTGCTACAACAATAATAAAAATATTATGTCATCACAAACAACAATCAATGTTTTACTATTGGGTGAAACAGGTATCGGTAAGTCTACGTTCATCAACGCATTGGCCAACTATATACAGTACGACACACTAGATGCGGCCAAATCGGGAGAACCGTTATGTTTGATAGCGACACAATTTAAGGTCAGTGATGCCGATTACAACCTAATTGATGTTAGTTATGGGTGTGACCCTAACGAATGCTACGAACACGAGGGACAAACCGTAACCCAACAGTGCCGCGAATATACCATTGATTATGACAATCAATCAATTAGATTGATAGACACTCCAGGTATTGGTGATACACGCGGTGTGGATAGAGATCAGGAAAATTTTGAGCACATCCTAGAGTTTATTGAACAATACGATGTATTGCACAGTATTTGCATACTATTGAAACCTGATATGACACGACTGACCGCATCGTTTGAGTACTGTATACGCCAATTGTTAGCACTGTTGCCCAGCGATGCCGGCGCTCATGTGGTATTCCTGTTTACAAATTCACGATCGACTTGTTATCGGCCGAAAAATACTATGGTTTTACTGAAAGAGTTGCTCAATGAGCTCAAACAGGAACCAACCGGTGGTGTGGACATACCTACCGGTCGGGACAACATGTACTGTGTGGACAACGATTCGTTTAATTTTTTGCTAGCCTTGAGAAATGGTATAAAATTTAGCGATAAAGAAGTTGCCGATTATGGACACGGATGGAAAATGTCCGGTACGGAGTGTCGCAATTGGCTCCGGTATCTGAGCGACGGTATGGCCAACAATAGGCAGCTGGATGTCAAACGTCTCAAACAGAAACGTCAAACAAATATTATTGAAAAAATTATGATCGATTTGATGGGTGAAATTGAAAAAATTGACCAGCTCATTTTGGATAATACACACAAAACTATTATTATTAAATCGAAAAGTATGACTGACTTGAAGTACAGGGAGGATAATAGTTTAGTTAAATTTGATGACCTGGATGAAAATGTATCATGCTCGTTTAGAAAGTTATTCAGGAGTATGTTCAAAGTGAAAAAATCATCTAGCAACAAAAATAACAACAATAAAACTAGTAGTAGTAGTAGTAGTAAAGCTAAAGTGTCCAATCAAAAACATAATGATCACCAAAAACACTATGATAATGATGCTTCAAGTGATGAACCACAATTAAAACAAATTGATCATGATAATCTAGAATTGGAAACTGAGTATGCTCAATTGGTTGACTGTTTAGTTAAATTGTGCTGGTTTGTTGTTGGTAATAATAATAATAATTTTGTCAATCCTTATGATGAATATATTGGCCAATGTATTGATCAGCACAGTAGTACCAATCTTATTGATAATGATGATAACGATGATGACGATGATTATGATAATGATCTAGTTAAATTTTATAAAATCAGATCGGATCAATATAATCAATTAGTACAGCAACGTGATGATAATTCAGCTAGTAAATTGACCATGCAAGCTAATTGTGACATGATCAAACAATTATGTCAATTGAAAATATCGGGCAAAAATATTGAAAAAATTTGTGATCATTATAAATTGTAATAGCTGAGATTGATAATAATTAACTAATTAATTAATTAGTCAATCTAATTTGTTTAATTGTTTATTTTTTGATGACTTAAAACATTAATGATAAATGTATAAAAAAATTAATAAATATAATAATTACACGACTAGTTGAAAATTATTATTCATAATATAATTATTTATTTATTTAAACAATATTTTTTCAAAAATAATAATTAGTATTTATTTATTTACTATATTTATTAAGTGTCGTTTATATAATTATAATTTCAGTATAAATATTGATTGCATGCAAATTTTATGAGTTAAAAAAATATAATATTTCTATAAAATTGTTTCAAATGAAACTTAAATCTATTATTATAATACAATATTAGTCACTAAAAAATTAATAATATAAAATATTTATTTTATTTTGCAATATATAATTATAGTTGTATTATCTAGAATCATTTTGTTTTAGTTAAATTATTTTGCACTATAGTTAAGTTACATAATAGACTAGTTTTTTCTAATGATTCATCAATATATTTACCCATTTTTTTTTACTTTTTCAAACTTCTTTTTTTGTTTATAAAGTAATGTAATCAATTTATAAGATTTTTAAAATTAAATACCCAATGAATACCTAAATATAAATTATTACTTAATAAATAAAAAATAATATACTGTATACTGTGTTTGTGCATGAATATGCATTTATAATTTTTATAATCATTGAAATCAAGGACAGTCCTACTGTTGATGACTGTCTACGACTGTGGACTACTGTTTGATAAAAGTATACCACTGTGTAGTATAATATATCTAATTTTTTTTAGTCAATAACTCAATTAATTATATTGATTATCAGATTTTTATTATACTTATATAAATATATATGAATACTACTACTATTATCTAATGTACTTTACATATCCTTTATTACATTGAAATCACAGAATTATAATTTTATTATAATAACTATTTGTATGTCCTTTAATGGGACGGTTGGTTAGTTAGTTAGTTAGGTGGGGGACAGGTATTGATTTATTTTGCACTGTATTTAAACACAACAAATGTTGACGGATGACTATTGCAAGTAATTTATTAGCTATTTAACGCTAATTTAAGTGATTGTATTGTATTGTATTGAATATTTAAATACTATTTACTTAACATAGTTTATTAATGTGTGTTTGAGTTTTGTATATTTGATTTGTCCATTAGTGTTAGAAAAGTGAAAGTTTGCAAAAAAAACAAAAAAAAATTGTTAAATAAGTACTTTTTGTTTTAATAGCCATAAAAGTTTAATAAAGTTTTTATTTTCTGTAAAAGTGTTATTATTATTATAAATTATGGCAAAACAATTATCAAAAATTATGACCAATTGGTACACAACGGTTATATTGTTGTCGTTGTCGGTATCGTTAGTGGTCAGTGACTGTCCAGAAGTCAAAACTGTGGACAACTTTGACGTCAATCGGGTATTTATAAAGTGTTTCTATAAACTCAATAAGTTTCAACTCAATATCTATGTAATAACAATAACTTAATTTTAATTTTTGTTTTAGTATATGGGAAAGTGGTATGAAATCATGAAATATCCGATGTTATGGGAAACCGGACTAAAATGTGTGACCCAAACACTAATGGCTAACTCTAATGGCACCTTAAGTGTCAAAAATGCCGGTGTCTATAAACTGTATATATATTTAATTATTTATTTATTTATTATTTTATGACATTATAAGTAATTTATTATTATTATAATCATTATTTAGTTTAAATATTTTTTTATTGAAAATAATTTAATTTATACAAATTTTTATTAATATGATTAATTCAATTAATTTTTAATAGCATTGATTATCCAGTAAGTATAACTGGACTGGCTATATCAAACTATACTGATCCAGCTAAATTAACTGTCGAATTTAAGCCATGTAAGCCAATGTATTTTATTTTTATTTTTTGATAATTGTAAATGTTTAAATTGTTTATAAATGTTTAGAAATATTATATTAATTAATAGTTTGATATTTAATTTTTCCTACAGTTCCCTATTACACCAGTAGATCTAAGCTATGGATACTTGAAACCGATTACTCAAACTATGCATTGGCCTATTCGTGTATTAATCCACCTTTTGTACCCTTTAATATAGGTATATATATAAAAATATTGATATATATAAATTATAATCTATTTAGTTTTATAGCTAAATTTTTTTATAATATATAAAAATAATTTATTATATTTTGTGTTTTTTTTCTTGGTTTAATTTTTAGAAAATGCATGGATATTGAGCCGCAAACCAAACCTAAACCCACAAATTGTTGAGCTATTAAGGGAGCGATTGAATTCAATTAATAGTCCCAGTTATTTGTTATATAGTACCGATCAAAGTAATTGTCCCAAAACTTCTAATACCGATCAAAATGAACCTTAAATTGATTTTTTTTGGGTGTTATTATCAATATTTTTTTTTAAATAATAATTAATATAATGTTGTTGTTGTTATTATTATTGTTAATATTAAAATGAATTACAATTATAACATAATTTATATGGATTTTTGATTATTATTTATAAATACAGAATATATATATTGTTGTTATAGTAATTTTTAATTTAATAAATTTTTATTATGATAAATGAAATAATTATTATTTTTTTTAATATTAATAAGTAAACAAGATGGAATTATAAAAATTAATAAAAAAAATTATTAATAGATATTTTTCATCAATGTTAATTATTTTATTTTTCAATACAATGTCATCGCTATATAATTAATAAATCAATTAACATTTTATAAATTGTATATATATTTCCTGTTTGTTTATCAATTATTTTAAAATTACTGTACTTATTATATATTTTCATTGATGGCTATTCTCAGTACAATAATATGAAAATTAATATAACTAAATAAATAGTAAAAATATATTAATAGTTTATTTTATAAAAATCATAAAATAATCATTTTATAAATGATAAAACTATTATTCTTATTATTATAAATAAAAAATAAATTTAGAAAATTTCAATTGATTAAATCAATTAAACTTGATATTAATTAATATATTTAAAATATGATAAATTTATTATTATACAATATATGTTAAATAATTATTTTTATTTGTTTATTATTTGAAAATAACATTTTAATGATTAATTTATTGATACTACTTAAAATAATAACATTAATGAATAATAAATAAATTAAAAATGATTTGAAAAGTGCAAATGTACTATAATTTTGGGTACATATGTATTATCTATTAAGGAAAAAATATATAAATACATTAATGTATTTTTTTATAGTTTTCAATGAATTAAACAATTGACTGCAAATTACTTTTATTGTTATATAATATTTATGAGACAATAGTTTTTGAAATAAAATTTAAGTACAAAAGTTTTTTTTTCGAGTAAAATATTTGATTATATTAATTTTTTAAACAAAAAATATGTTAAAATTAGTTAAATATTTTACCTGTGCTGTATATTATAGCATATTATTAGACATTGTGGTGCAAGCTGCCTGTCCCGATTTAGATACTGTTCCCAATTTTGACATTGAACGGGTAAACAAATATGCAAAATTATAAAACATATTTTTTTGCAATAAATTGATTTTTAATTATTTTTTTGTTGTTATTATACCTATAAATTTAGTTTATGGGCAAATGGTATGAAATATCAAAACATGTTAATCTACGAGAGGTCGGCCAAAAATGTTTGACCACAACATTTTCGCCCAACTCTAACGGCACCGTCAATGTAGACATAGCTGGTGTCTATAAGCTGTATGATGTTTTAGATACTACTAATAATAATAATAAATATATGCAAACTATTACACTATTTTACAATTATAAAATTTAATTTATATTATATATATTTAATTTAATTAAGTGTAAATTATCAGCGTTCATCCAATGGATTGGGTATACCAGATGATAACATACCATCTAAATGGACATGTACTGTATATATAGTATATATATATATATGCTATAATTATTTAATATGACTTTATTTATATATATTATTATAATTATTAATTTTCCAGTAAACGGTATCAATGGTCGCCAAATGTTATGGATATTGGACACCGATTATGATAACTATTCACTCATTTATTCATGTTATAGTCTACCGGTGCTAAACATAAATTTTGGTAAATATTGTTTTATTATTTGTTAATTTTGTCAAAAAATATTTAAATTTTTAATATTATTATTTTAATCGACTAAACTATAAGAGGATCCGCGTATTATGAGTCGTACCCCACAACTGGATCAGCAATATATCGACAAATTAAAGGAAAGGCTGACCGGTTTTGACAGATTTCTTATGTCGGACACCAGTCACCGAAATTGTGATTAATTTATAATGATTTTTAAAAATATGATTATTTTATATATATAATGTTTTCTATATTTATATAAAATAATTATGATTATTTGCTAATACATATAAAATACACGGTTTATATTAAATATATAATTTTATTAAATTGTTTTTATATTACTTTACGCGATGACACTACTGACTATACATTAGAGTTTTAAATATTAAAGTTTTCAAAACAACACTAAATTTATAAACAGTATTATAATATAAACTTTTGTATGTTTTATGTACAGTATATTTCTATACAGTAATACTATAAAAGTACTGTACATATGATATGCAGTTTTTACGTTATAATAAAAAATAAATTTTCAATTTAATTAAAAAATCAATTCACTATTTAATTATTGCATATCTTAGTTAAGGGTTAATCTTAATCATAAACAAAAACAATTAATAAGTAAGTAATTTATATATGCTTTTAAATTTAATATGAAATACTAATAGTCTAAATATAGTTTTTGATATTATTTTATTTGTTAATAAAATTAATATTTAAAAAATACCCGGTATTTGATAGTTAAATCTGATGTCTGCTGTAAAGCGTTTGGCGACTGAATATCGGCAACTAATGGCACAACCGGTGCCTTTCGGTCGGATAGAGTCCACAGATAATCCACTCTATTGGAAGGCATACCTGAATGGACCCGAAGGCAGTCCCTATGAGGGCGGGGTCTTCGAGATTGACCTCTTGTTTTCGGCCGAATATCCGATACGAGTGCCGAACATACGGTTCAAAACTCAGATATTTCACGCAAACATTCAGAACAGTGGATACATATGTACGACACTGTTGTCCGAGTGGAGGCCGACCGACACAGTGGTCACTATTTTGCATGCATTGTTCATGTTGTTGGCCACACCTAATCGCGACAGCGCGTACAACGGACGGGGCCTAACTGACCAACAGTACAACTCGGAGGCCCGAAGTTGGACACAACAATATGCTAAAAAATAATTTTAGTATTTAATTAATTAATGTTTTTTTTCTAATTTTTTGTTTTGTTTTAATAATCTCATATTAATCATACATTATATTTAACATAATTAAAATCTTGAAATGCTATTGATTTGTATTTTTTTAATATTAATATTGTAATAATAATAATAATAAACTTTTACTTTCTAATAATTTTCAATATAAATCATTTAGTATTTTTATATCTACAGTACAATAATATGAAAAGTTTTATTTAAAAACTACTGTATAAATAATATTTACAAAAAAATTAATTAATAAATGTTTAATAATTACAAATGTTTACTATAATTTATTAATAAATTTATATGATTATAAAGTTGAATAAGTTTTTAAAATAGCAACATAAATAAAAACATATTTGATTTTAATTAAATAAAATTGTATCCAAAATAATCAATTTATTGCAATCAATTAATGCAATCATTAATAGTTTATTATAAATTTAAATATTATAATATAATTTATTTGTATAAAATATTAGTCACTAAAGTTTAATGATTTTGACTGATCTATTGACAAAAAATATTTAAAAACAGTAATACTTATGGACAGACAGTATTGTCACCGCTTTTGATGTTTGCCGACATTTAATAATACTGTCTAATTATAGTATTGCACTTTAAATAGGAAATTATATTGAAATACAATAGAAATAATAATGTTTGCTTAATTTTTTTTAAAAACTAATACTGTATCATATGACTTTAATTTATTAATTTTTATTTTTGGTAGTGAAACTTAATGTCACATTTTAATTGCACTTATAGTCTATAAGTTTTAGATTTAAAAAAAAGTATTGGAAAACTTTTTTTTTTTTGAGACAAACAATTTAACTAACAAATAATTATAATTTCAAAATATAGTTTTTTCTTTATATTGACAATAATTAATTCAATTGAGTTAATGGTAAGTTTTTAAAACATTTTTTTAACCACTATTTAATAGCTATTAATGATATTACTATAGTTTTAAAATATACAGTAACTTACTTACTGTATGTCTCAGCATTTAACACTAAATTTTTTTTTAAATATCTTTAAGTAATTTAAGTCTATTTTTTCTCTATTTGTTTTTTTAATACTGTATACAAATATGATATCAAATTAAAAAACACGCATACATTTTGCAAGTTTAGTCAGATTATAACTGTTTAGGATATATTTATTTACTGTACTATTTAATAAACAAAAAATCAATGGCATTAAAATCATTGCAACGCGAATACACTGATCTAATGGCACATCCCGTGCCTTTCGGCACCGTTGCCCCGACCAATGACCCGCTTGTATGGAAAGCCTATCTGGTCGGTCCCGAGGACAGTCCATACGAAGGCGGCCAGTTTGAGCTAGAAATGCAATTCACTGGCGACTATCCGGCCCGCGGCCCGAAATTAAAGTTCATAACATCTATATTTCACGCCAATATAGCCCGCAATGGCTTTATTTGTATATCATTGGTGTCCGATTGGCGGCCAACCGATAACATGTTGACCGTTATGAAGGCAGTCAGCAATCTGTTGGCTCAGCCCGACCGCAATAACGCCTACTACGGCGGCAATCTTACTGACCAACAGTATCGCGACGAAGCCGTCCGATGGACACAAACTTATGCCCAAAAAAAATGTTTTAACTAAATAATTGACAAAAACTGTTTAAATTAATTATTATTAATATATGATAATTAATTAAATTGAAAAAAATAATATTTTAGTATATATTTGACAGTATAATATCGTTTTAATACTGTATTAATGAAACATTTTTTTTCTGTCTAGACTTTACTTAAATAAAATGTTTTGTGTGTTTTAATTACTTTTTTTTGTTGTTGATATCATATTTAATGTTTCAATTTCTTATGTGACTTAACTATTGAATTATTTGGTAATTTAAATAAAATGAAATGTATTTTTAAAATGATATTTGTTTTTTTAGTTGTTATTTGATGAGCAATAATATTATTAGTCATAGGATTGTAATTTAAATATTAAAATAATTTTTGTATGTTTATGAAATAGTATATCATATTTAAAAAAATATTTTTTTCAACTTTTATTATTATTTCATTATTATATACTCTATTTGTAAACATGTTTAACATCACATATTTTTTCTAATTTAATATTATTAATAGTGTAATGCAATTGAAATTTGAAATATAATATCGTATGACAGCAACAGCAGCACTAACTCATATAACCATTTACTGGGACCGGGAGTCGTGTCCTCCCCCCAATACAAGCCATCCCACCGACAGTGTTAGTGTTATACGAGAGTTATTGATCAAAGTTTGTGTAACTGAGCGCCGACTTCGGCTCAAACATTTGGTCAGCTGGTCATTGCCGGACAGATCTGGTGTTGACATCTATAACAACGACAACAAACACAATTGGGATCAACTGTTGGTGAGCGACAACTACGACAAATACGTCTTCTTTAACTCTTATTTAACTAAAGCGCTAAGCGATAGGAAAACAGAATTAGTGGTCATTACCGGCGATCAAACATTATTGCAAATTATTAAAGCATTAGAATTAGACATTTCGGGTCAGTTGTCCATAATTTATGACGATTTGTTAGACATCCGTGAATTAGGCTTTTCTTGTGGTATAAAACGGCTATCATTTGAGAATTTAGTTTATTTTTGCACTGAATATGAAAAGTACTGTTTGTCGGCTATTACTGGTCTCAACGATTTCATGGCTAATCTAAACATTAATGGTATTATTATTATTATTATCTGTTGAACTGATAATTTTTAATTAATTTTTTAAAAAATTATTTAGAAAATAATTTGACTAATACATCACAAATACAAATTAATATGACCGAGGTTAGTGTTATTAAAATACTAAAAAATTACTAAAAATTCTATTATCTATTAATTTATATTAAATTATTGTTAAATTTTAACCGATTTAAGACTAATTCAAGTGAAAAAAATAGAAACACTTTCAATAATTGGTGGAATCGTATCAAATGGTTAGTTAACTAAACAAAAGTGATTAAAATATAAATATATGTATTTAAAAAAAAAATTAAATAATAAACTAATTTTAACTATCATATAATATAACTCATACTACTATAGGCTAGTTTGCATTATAGCTCATTGGTTTTATTCATGTGTTTGTTGGAATAGTAATAAAAAAAGTTTAAGAGACTATAGTCAACAACAACAACACCAAGAACTTCAACCCACACCTGAACCCGAATCCCGATCTCAATCATACACTAAACAAGATATGAGTAATACCCGAAAACGAGTGATTAATAAATCAAGTATTTATTTATTAATGATAATTATATTCAGACATAAAAATATTTTTAAAATGTTTGTTTTTTTAAATTTCATTAGACGAGAAACAGGATGCAATTGATGGACAGTTGTCGGGCAATTTAATGCCACAATGTTGTCCATCAACATCAGCAGCAGCTGCAGTCGCTTCCAGTGATGATAAAGAGTTTTCCGATGACTCGAGTAGTGATGATGACGATGACGACGACGACTACCGAAACCCTAAGAAAGTTTGTGTCGAACGGAAATCTGTTGCAACACTGCGACCCAGTGGCCAGTCTTTACGTCCAATTAGTCCAACACCTGGATCTAGTGGTCAATCTTCACGTTCAAGCGGTTGTTTGTCTTCAGATTCAAATGCACCGAAACGTCAATTGTATAGTGAAATGTATGACTACTATATTACTATATATTTAGGAACTAAATTGATTTCTGTGTTATATTGCACTTAAAATTATAGATTTAATGATGCCATCAATCCTAAGAAAATATCCAATAATAGTGGTAATGTCGAGATAACAGATAAATCTGATATGAAGAATACAAAGACAACAACAAATACTGAACAAACAAATGACAAAAAACCACAACAAAAGAAAAAGAAAAATAATAAGAAGAAGAACAAGAAGAAGAACAATAATAACAACAGAATTGATAAATCTTTAGTTAGTATTGATAAAAGTAGTGACAATACAAGTGTTTATAATCAGTATTTAAAAAGTAAGAAAACCTATGAGTCCGGTATCTGTGGTTTGGGAAACTTAGGCAACACTTGTTATATGAACAGTGCTCTCCAGTGTCTGTCAAACATACCATCGATGGTCGAGTTTTGCAGAAATTTCAAGAATTGCGAAATAATATCGACACCAAAGTCACTGTTGAAACTGTTCAGTGAGCTAATTGAGCGCATGTGGTCTCAACAAACTGATTGTTTTTCGCCCAACGAGTTTCGCGCTAAAGTGGCCAAAGTTTTACCGACATTTGCCGGCTGCGGACAACAAGACTGTTCCGAGTTTTTGAGATCACTGTTAGACACATTTCATGAAGAATTATTACGGATGTCAGGCATTGATAACAACAGTAGTACTGATTATAAAACATTTGATGAATATCTTCATAATAATCAGACATTCATATCAGACAACTTTCACGGACTTCAATTGTTGACATTTAGCTGCAGCCGATGCGGTCACCGATTGAATGAAGTCTACAATCCGTTTGTTGTCATGAATTTGCCGCAACTGAACGATCAGGACTTGACATTTCTTGATGTGTCTCTCGTTATCAATAGCACTGGTAGTGATACTTTCAGATGTGATACTTACGTATTGCGATTACCGGTACCCAGAAATAAAATACTGGTTAGTCAACTGATTAAAACGCTAACAAAAAGTTATTCAGACACGACATCGCTAGTCTTGAATGTCAATAATCTTATTGTTGTTAATATCATCGATCATATTGTCGACAAAATATATGACACAAATGATATTATAAATGTCAATTGTCTTAGTGGTGATCTTTTTGTTTATCAATTTGATCCCTCATTTGTCAATCATTTGTTTGTCTCACTTCAAAGCGATAGTCAACTATTTGGTATACCATTGTTGTTAGATATAAATGAGTATACCGGTGAATGCGTTGTCAATGCATTTATTGTCCAATTCATGAAATGTTTGGCACCGGAAGGTCAAAGGCTATTAGGGATGTGCCCGAAACATAAATTTAAGTTTATGAATATACGCGCCGGTAGTTTTGATCCCAACCGTACAATTGGCAATAATATAATAATCAATAAGTTAAGTGAACTCATATGTCAATACTATAATATTATTGACGAAACATATCACGGATTAGATGAGATAAACTTTGATAAAAATATCAAACTTGAAGATTGTATCAATAGTTATCTAGCAGTTCAACGTATGGATGATCAACAAAACTGTCCCAATTGTAACATTGATGTCAACCCCACCGAACAAAACCAAGTACTCCATGCGCCTAATGTACTACTATTGCAGGTCAGGACCAGTATTAGTCAACAAAGAGGCAGTTATTATAGATATAATAGTCAACCGGACTGTCAGTTTCCTATGGAATTGGATTTTACTAGTCATGTTGTCGGATATAACAAAGCTAACGGTCCTCAACATGTCTATGATTTGTTGGCCATTTCAAACTATACGGGCAGTTCATATAGTGGACACTATACGGCTTACGCTAAAAATCATATCAACAAAAAGTGGTATGAATTCAATGATAATTATGTAAATCAAATCTCTAATGAACGACAACTTCAGTCTAAGGCTTATATATTGGTTTATTTCAAAAGAAATATCAATACTATTATTCAATAATATTATAATTATTTTTATTAGAAATTAAGTGCTAATTATTTAATATATCAATTTAAATGAACAGTTAATCATTTAGATAATATTACGATATATTTATTATTAATTAATGCTATTACACAACTATATTATCGTTTAACTCTTTTTAATTTAATAATATATCTATTATTATTAATTATTATTTGCGATAATTGTTTGAATTATGATAACCTTTAATTTTTCAATAATTACAACTAATCACTATATTTAATTTGTTTTATTTTAAATTATCATTAAATTATTTGTAATGTACAACACTATAATATTTTGATTTCATGTAAACATTGTAATAATTGTTATATTTATATACGATTATATGCTATTATTTATAAATACACTATCATATGTATAATTTGGCAAAAAATTATAGTTATTGTGTAAAACAATATTATTAGTTCAATAAAATAAAATTATTGACAATTATCTAATCTTATAAATACTGTACTGTATATGTAACATACATTTATATAATTTATTTGTATTGTTATTGACATTAATTAATAATAAAAAACATTACACATTAAACTTAATTTTTTTTGTATAATATAAGATAAAGTAAATATAATTCACTATAATTATAATTGTGTACATGTAATGTATAAAACGATTTTCAAATATTACAATAAAATTATTAAAAACCTTATAAGTATTTTTGGAAATTTATTTCTCATTGATTAGATTTAATATAAAGTAAATAAATAATAGATTATATTTGCAACAATCTAACAATTTTTTTTACAATAATTATTACAGATTTTCTAGAAATTATTTTTTGTGAATTTTTAATAATACCTCTAGTATTACTATTGCACTAATATATTGCATAAAAAAATTATAACAATAAAATATTGCACCTTTAATGATTTAGTAATTAAATGTAAGACAATAGTAGATAAAAGTCGAAGTTAATTGAATTGATTAAAAAAATTGTAAATTTTTAATTATAAGAAATTGATAAAATTAATTTAAAACAATAAAACTATTGCGGATATAATTATTATTATTTCCAATGAAATCAATTATACAAAACACTTGAGTATCCTTGAATATTATCTCATCGGATGATAATTTTAATAATTAATGTATTAGTAAAAAAATTGGTAATAAATAGTGAGATCGAAAGTCAATTAATAATTAGTTTTTAAAAAGACAACATAAAAATAGGATATTTAAAAAAATATTTAATAATTGTAAGCTTTATTTTAATAACTAATTATTTGTATTAATTACTTTAATAAATTATAAACTATATTTAATTATAATATATTTTTTAATAAAATTATTAAATAGCAAAAACAATGGATAAATTGTTTTGTTTGGCAGTGTTTGCTATATTAGTAACATTTTGTAAGTATTAGATATAAACTATTTCAAACAAAATGATTTTATTTAAAAAACACATTTGATATTCAACAGCATTGGGAGCGCCGCAGGCGTCCACTCGGGCACCGATACCGCCGCGCAGTTGCAAAGGTCACGACCCGGACAAATATTTCCGCGATCCGGACAATCCTCATATATTTCACGAGTGTTCGCACGGCCGATGGGTCGGTGCCAACTACTGTCCCGGCGATCTAGTATTTGACGAAGCGTTGCAAACATGCGATCGCGGCGGTGATGTACCGACTGTCAAGTGTCCAGACAGTGAAGGCTTGTTTCCCTATCCGGGTAATCATCACAAGTTTATCGAGTGTCACGAAGGACATGGCTGGGTATTGGTCTGTCCGGGCGATCTGGTGTTTGTACCCGAAAACAAGACATGCGAGTATAACGACTGGGACTGGACATGGCCAACCGATACAACTATTGCACCGACAAAACCAACCGTTGCGCCAACAGAAGTACCGACAACAGGCAAACCAACTGATGGACCAACTGATGGACCAACTGATGGACCAACAGCCCCGCCGACAGGCAAACCAACTGACCAGCCATCGCCTCAACCAACTGGTGCACCAACTGGTAAACCGGTTCCCAGTGTCGACCCGTCAGCCGAACCGCCGAGCTTTTGGCGCCGATTAAAAAACTTTTTCGGTAGAAAATAGATTTTGCATTTAAATTAATTGTAAATTTTTATTAGTAATAGTAAATTGTTAACATATAATAGAATATAATAAACAAAAAACGATTAATTTGAAGTTAAACTTCAATGTACTGTATAATCAGTATTATATTTTCTAAAAATAATAAATAAAAATATTTATATTTATTGACACTATATTAATGTTAATTATAATAAAATCTATCATTTTTTAAATGGTTTGCTTTAGTCTAAATAATTAGATAATTTTTTTTTATTATTTTAACTAATTATGTAATACTATCCTATATTATTAAAACATTATGTAATACTGTATAATACAGTATCATAAAATTTGTTTATCTAATACAATAGAGATTATACATGTATAATGATATTAGCTAATACTGTATTTAATGTTTAAAATATTAATATTGAATTTAATAATAATGTTTAAAATAATATGAAACATTATTAAGTACTAATAGTTGAATTATTTTTATATATAAATATTTATTTATATTGTACTTTAAAATAAAAATATCATATATAAAGTAATGATATTTAAATGCATAATTATAGCAAACAAAACATTTAAAACTTTAATATATATAATACTGTTGTATAAATTTTATGTTAAAGTACTGTAAAGGCTAACATCAAAGTACAGTAGACTTTACCGACTAATTAAATATAAAGTATTTCACATGATATTTGCATCAATAATTAAAAAAAAAATTTAAAGTTTAACACAATATTGTCAACAACAAAAAACATTAAATATATTTCTATATAATATGGGTATAATTGGTAGACTATAAGTCATATGAGCAACAACAAAAAATGCTTACATGAAATTGGAGACCAAAATTGCAATCATTTTTATTTATAAATTAATATTTTTTCGATGATCCCATCAATAATAGAGGTCGAAATGATTTATTTTTAAATAAATAATTTAACTTTTTTTTAACTAATGGGTGTAATTAATATTACATCATCATCCTATGTACACTGGTTTTTATATACACTTACCACGTATCCACGTATATGAACAAAAAATATACCCATATTTTTAAATGCATATATAATTAGTACAATATTTTTAAATTTTTAAAAAATAATAAACAACTTTTTTAATTAGTTTTATAAATTGCATTAGTCATACCATATGATAGATATTTTTGTTGTTGATAGATACGATTGATTGGCTGATAAAATTAAATAACTGACTAAATATATGTGTTTTATTTTGATTGAACTGCCGATCTATACAAACCTCTATAATAATTATATATTAAATTTTTTTGTAAACCCCTTTCCTCTATAAATATATAGATCAGTCCTATCAATCAATCAATCAGTGGATAGTTAGTTAGCAATCAATTGATAACATATCAAATTGTTTTTCTCTTCACAATAATTGTTAACTTAATAATAATAATAATATTTTTGTTGAAAACTTTTAATGTAATTATAAAAAACTTTTTTTTGTTTGTCTTATTGTTTAATTATGTAATAACTTAATAATATTAAACTTATTTTTTTTTAAAATTATTTATTTTTTCTTCTATAAAGTCAGTCTACAGTCCAATAATGACAGAGCGAGTGATCGACAAGGAAGATGAGGCCGTCTACCGAAACCTACTGTCCAGTGATCTGTTTATGGATGCCATCAGCGATGAATACAAGTGTTCAATATGTCTGACCATTTTGCAGGATCCCGTTTGTCTGCCCTGTCCGGCACAGCACATGTTTTGCCGTTTATGTATTACCGGATACTTTCAGCACTTGTCCGCCGGTACAGCTAAGTCGTGTCCCGTCGACCGTATGGTCTGTACTATGGCCGACATACGACCGGCACATCCGTCGATAAAGAGTATTATCGAGAAATTTAAGATGCGTTGCCCGAACCATGAGGATGGCTGTACGGTTACGATAACCGTATCGGAACTACGTAATCATACGCTTAACTGTCGACTGGGTCCGTGTACTGGTGGACAGCCGTCGACATCCGGAAGCGATGTAGTTGGCATCGAAGTGGCCGCAACGCCGATAACGATTTACGTGAAACTCGAAGGCAATAAAACGGCAATCATATCGGCCGATGAAAAGGACAATGTCCTGACACTGAGGCGTCGTATACGGGAAAAGGAGGGCATTGATACACAATCGTTGATCATTACTAACGGTACAAAACCGTTGGCCGAAGATAGTCGGCTACTAATTGAATACAATATCAAAAACGGTTCGGTATTGTATACTCAACGTCGCTTTAATGGTGGCCTAAATGGTGGCCAAAAATGATGAACTGTTTGCGGGACTAACTATTTTTTTTTATCTTAAAAATAGTTGAACCACGAGTTCAACGAATTATTTGTGAGTAAATAAAAATTGTTGTTATAATTGTTTAACATATGTTTAATATATTAAATCATTTTATTATTTATTTATTTTAGGTTTTCTTTCATTTAAGAAAAAATTGTTTAATAGTTGATATATTATTGTATTAGTAACTGTTTTTTATTGATAACAATTGTGTTTAATTGTAATTATATAAATATGATTGATAGATGAAAATTGTTTTTTATTATTTTTTTTGTTTTAATTACTAAAATCAGTATAATTGCAATCTTAATTATTATTATCTAATTTTTAAACAAATTAATAATCTATTTGTTTTAACTATACTTTTATATTAAATGTTGAAAAATATCTGTTTAATTTATATATGTATATTTAAAGTTATAACTCATTGTTTGAATTATTGTTTGAATATTTTTTTTATATAATTAATTGTAATCTTATTATATTTTTTTAATCAATAAATATTTTTACGGTACATAAAAAAATATTAGTCTATTTATTACAAAAATCATAAAAATACAGATAATTATATACCACATAACAATAAGTAATAAGTTATGAATTTTTAATTAGTAATTATAATAATATTTATTTTTTAAAATAGTTGAATAATACTAAATTTTAACTATTATTATAATTTATAGTATCTATAATAACAAAAATTAAATCATATAAAAATGGTTTCATTAACACACAATGTAATTGTCAAATCAAATAAACAGATGAAATAATTAGTAGTAAAATAGTATACAATTTTCTAAGTAATTATTTTGTAGAAAAGTAACGGTAATTGTTACCAATTATTGTAATTAATTATTATTAATATTTTGTTTCAAATAAAACAATAAATAGGCTTTCGATGAGTGAAGTTGTCGTTCATCTGGAATCTGCTTAACGTTATTATCATTGAATTCATACCACTGTTTGTTGATATGATTTTTGGCGTAAGCGGTATAGTGTCCACTACAGGAATTTCCTGAATAATTAGAGATGCCAATCAAATCATAGACATGTTTAGCACCGTTAGCTTCGGCATCCCTTACATGTCCAGTCAAATCCAATTCCATTGGAAACTGACAGTCCGGTTGACTATCATATCTAAAATAACTACCTCTTTGTTGACCTATACTGTTCTTGACCTGCAATAGTAGTATATTAGGTGCGTGCAGGATATGAGTCTCTACCGTAGCCAACATATCAGTGCAACAATTGGGACAGTTTTGTTGGTCATCCATACGTTGGACAGACACATGTGATGATTTGATAAGAATGTGTGGTTATTTTGAAGATTTTTTAAATTTTTAATTATAAGAAATTTATAAAATTAATTTAAAACAATAAAATTATTGCTAACATAATTATTTTTATTTCCAATGAAATCAATAGACAAAACACTTCAATATCCTTGAGTATTATCTCGTCGGATGATAATTTAATAACTATTACTAAAAAATTTGTTAATAAATAGTGAGATTGAAAGTCAATTAATAATTAGTTTTTAAAAAAACAACATAAAAATAGGATATCAGTATTTTTAAATATTTAATAATTGTGAGCTTTATTTAATTACTAATTATTATTATTTAATAAATTATAAACTATATTAATTATAATATATTTTTCTAAATAAAATTATTAAATAGCAAAAACAATGGATAAATTGTTTTGTTTGGCAGTGTTTGCCATATTAGTAACATTTTGTAAGTATTAGATATAAACTATTTCAAACAAAATGATTTTATTTAAAAAAAAACATTTGATATTCAACAGCATTGGGAGCGCCGCAGGCGTCCACTCGGGCACCGATACCGCCGCGCAGTTGCAAAGGTCACGATCCGGACAAATATTTTCGCGATCCGGACAATCCTCATATATTTCACGAGTGTTCGCACGGCCGATGGGTCGGTGCCAACTACTGTCCCGGCGATCTAGTATTTGACGAAGAGCTGCAAACGTGTGATCGCGGCGGTGATGTACCGACTGTCAAATGTCCAGAGGATGAAGGCTTGTTTCCCTATCCGGGCAATCATCACAAGTTTATCGAGTGTCACGATGGATATGGCTGGGTATTGGTCTGTCCGGGCGATCTGGTGTTTGTACCCGAAAACAAGACATGCGAGTATAATGACTGGGACTGGACATGGCCAACCGATACAACTATTGCACCGACCAAACCAACCGTTGCGCCAACAGAAGTACCGACAACAGTCAAACCAACTGTTGTACCGACAGCCCCACCGACTGTCAAGTGTCCAGAGGATGAAGGCTTGTTTCCCTATCCGGGCAATCATCACAAGTTTATCGAGTGTCACAGAGGACAGGCCTGGGTATTGGTCTGTCCGGGCGATCTGGTGTTTGTACCCGAAACCAAGACATGCGTATATAACGACTGGGACTGGACATGGCCAACCGATGCAACTATTGCACCGACCAAACCAACCGTTGGGCCAACAGAAGTACCGACAGCAGGCAAACCAACTGTCCAGCCATCGCCTCAACCAACTGGTGCACCAACTGGTAAACCTGTTCCCAGTGTCGACCCTTCAGCCGAACCGCCGAGCTTTTGGTGCCGATTAAAAAACTTTTTCGGTAGAAAATAGATTTTGCATTTAAATTAATTGTAAATTTTTATTAGTAATAGTAAATTGTTAACATATAATATAATATAATAAACAAAAAAATTATTAATTTGAAGTCAAACTTCATTGTACTGTATAATCAGTATTATATTTTCTAAATATAATAATTAATTAATAAAAATATATATATTTACATTTATTGACACTATATTAATGTTAATTATAATAAAATCTATCATTTTTTAAATGGTTTGCTTTTGTTTAAAAATAATTAGTTAATTTTATTTTATTATATATTAACTGATTATACTATCTTATATTACTAACAATATGTAATATTGTATAATACAGTATAATAAAATTTGTTATCTAATACAATAAAGTAGATTAAATATTGTATTATTAAATGTTATACAAGCATAACTTATACATGTATAATGATATTAGCTAATACTGTATTTAATGTTTAAAATATAATAATATTGAATATAATATTTTTTTATAATTAATTGTAATCTTATTATATTTTTTAATCAATAAATATTTACGGTACATATCAAAAATATTAGTCTATTACAAAAATCATAAAAATACAGAAAATTAAATACCACATAACAATAAGTAATGTTATGAATTTTTAATTAGCAATTATAATAATATTTATTTATTTAAAATAATAATTAAATAATACTAAATTATAACTATTATAATTTATAGTATCATTATATCATATAAAATGGTTTCATTAAACACAATGTAATTGTCAAATCAAATAAACAGATGAAATAATTAGTAGTAAAATATTATACAATTTTTTTAATAATTATTTTGTAGAAAAGTACCGGTAATTGCTACCAATTATTGTAATTAATTATTATTAATATTTTGTTTTAAATAAAACATTAAATAGGCTTTCGATGAGTGAAGTTGTTGTTCATCTGTAATCTGTTTAACGTTATTATCATTGAATTCATACCACTGTTTGTTGATATGATTTTTGGCGTAAGCGGTATAGTGTCCACTACAGGAATTTCCCGTATAGTTAGATATGGCCAACAAATCGTAGACATGTTGGGCACCGTTAGCTTTGGCATCACTTACATGACCAGTCAAATCCAATTCCATTGGAAACTGACAGTCCGGTTGACTATCATATCTAAAATAACTACCTCTTTGTTGACCTATACTGTTCTTGACCTGCAATAGTAGTATATTAGGTGCGTGCATGATATGAGTCTCTACCGTAGCCAACATATCAGTGCAACAATTGGGACAGTTTTGTTGGTCATCCATACGTTGGACAGACACATACCGATTGATACAGTCATCGAGTTTGATATTTTTGTCTAAATTTTTATCATCTAATCCGTGATAAAACTTGTCAATACTATAGAATTGACATAAATGTTCGCTCAGTTCATTGATTATTAAATTATTGCCAATTGTAAGGTTAGGATTGAAATGGTTATCACAATGAAAGCTGAAGTCAGAACTCAAACATATTAACAGTTGTCGGCCTTCCGGTGCCAAACATTTCATGAATTGGACGACAAATTGGTCGACAATACATTCAAAGGTGTATTCATTAATATCCAATAATAATGGTATACCAAATTGTCGGCTCTTGCTTTGAAGTGAGACAAACACATGATTAACAAATGATGGATCAAATTGATAGACAAAAAGGTGACCACTAAGACAATTGGCATTTATAATATCATTTGTGTTATAGATTTTGTCGATCTTATGATTGATGATTAGGGCAACAATAAGATGTTTGGCATCCAAGACCCGTGATGTCGTCGTATCTGAATATCTTTGCGATAGTGTTTTGATGAGTTGACTCACCTGTACTTCATTTGTTGTAAATCGCAATCCATAGATATCCCATCTGAATGTCTCACAATCATTGCTATTGATAATTAGATTGACATGAATTAGTGTAATGTCTTCTTTGTCTATTTGTGGCAAATTTATGACAACAAAAGGACAATAATTATCATCTAATCGATGACCGCATCGACTGCAGCTAAATGTCACTACTTGTAGACCGTGAAAGTGATTTGATATAAATGTGTGGTTATTTTGAAGATATTGATCAAACGTTTTATAATCATCAGTAAAACTATTGTTAACAATGCCTGACATTTGCAGCAATTCTTCGTGAAATGTGTTCAACACTGATCTCAAAAACTCTGAACAGTCGTGTTGTTTATGGTCGACAAATGTCGGTAAAACTTCGGCCACTTTGGAGCGAAACTCTTTGGGCGACAAACAATCGGTTTGTTGAGACCACATGCGATCAATCAACTCACAGAACAGTTCCAACAACAATGATCTCTGTGTAGTATTTGTTATACCTATCTTGAAATTCTTGTATTCTTTGCAAAACTCGACCATCGATGGTATGTTTGACAGACACTGAAGAGCACTGTTCATATAACAAGTGTTGCCTAAGTTTCGCAAACCACAGACACCCGACTCATAGGTTTTCTTTCGATAACCACTTGTATTATCAGTCCTTTTATCAATACCAACAAAATGGTCGTCAATTTGGTTCTTCTTTTTCTTATAATTACCGGTAATATTCTGTTGTTGTTTATTGTTATATGTTTTCTTTGAATTGATGGCAGCATATGATAAATCTGGTTCTGGCCAACAGTTTGAAGTCAAAGACTGACAACTGCTGGATGCGGATGCAGTTTGCAGACTCATTGAATGTAAAGACTGGCCACTAGTTCCCGGTGTTGGACCAGTTTTTTGGTCGGAATCACTGCTCGACCGATCGGAAAACTTTTTATCATCACTGTATGTGACTGTCGTCGTCCCTGCCGCGGCTGTCGATGTTGACGTTGGCCTGTATTGTTTTGTCATTGAATTGACAGACAACTGTCCATCACTATCATACTGTTTCTTAACTAATAATTTTTTTTTTAATTTTTAAATATTATCTATTGTGTAATTGTTATTCAATTATCATTAATAAATACCTGATTTATTTGTGACTTTGTTTCTCATTTCTTGATGAGTGTCTGATTGACGACACTGTGGTTGTTCAGGTTGGACATCATGTTGTTGTTGACTATCACCTAAAGTATCTCGCAAATAAAACCAACGAGATATATAGCGCATTAACCTGGATCATATATGTACAAATACAAATTTATAGTTTTATTTAATATTATTTTTGATTATTAAATTTAAATTATATTATATTAATAATTTATTTCATTTTTTAACTAACCAATTGATATGAGTCCACCAATTGAAATATTTATCTCTATTTGTTTCACTTGAATTAGTCTAATTAGATTTAAATTTAAAAACTAATCAATTATATAATATATTTTATATATACAATTATATATTAATATAAAGTACAAGTACAGTATATATTGTATATATATAAATTTTATAGACATTTACTGTATATTAAATAACTAACCTCGGTTATATTAATTTGTATGTGTGATGTATTACTCGAACTAGTTTCTATAAATTATAATAAGTTTTAGCCATATTTTTAAAAAAAAATTAATTAAATTTTGCTTTTAAATAAATTACATCTATATAAAAGTTTCAACAATATAAGATAAATATAATACCATTATTGTAATACATTATTAAAAAAATATATAATACTTTTATTGTATAATACCATTAAAGTTTAGATCAGCCATCAAATCGATTAGACCAGTGATTGCCGACGATAAACAATATTCATTAATCTTTTCATATTCATTGCAAAACTTTACTAATTGATCAAATGGTAGCCGTTTTATGCGATCAGAAAAACCTAATTCACTGATGTCTACCAAATCGGCATAAATTATGGACAACTGAACCCAATTATCTAAATCTAATGTTTTAATCAGTTGTAATAATTCCCGATCACCGCTGATGACAACTAACGCTGTTTTACTATCACTTAGCGATTCAAATGTATAAGAGCTAAAGTAAGCGTATTTGTTGTAGTTGTCGATCAATAGGTGATCCAAATTGTCGTCGTAGTAGTAGTCGTTGTCGTAATAGATGTCAACGCCTGTTATGTCCACCGATGACCAGCTGACCAAATGTTTGAGCCGAAGTCGGCGCTCAGTTACACAAACTTTTGTCAATAATTTTCGTATAATAACAGTACTGTCGATGTGACGGCTTGTTATAGGTGGCGGACACGACTCCCGGTCCCAGTAGATGGTTATATGAGTCGGTGCTGTTGATGTCATACTATATTATCTTTCAAATTGCAATTGCATTATACTATTAATAATATTAGATAACAAAATATATCTGATGTTAAACTTGTTTACAAACAGATAATAATTACACTAAAAAAAGTTTTTAAAATAATTTTTTATATGATATAATTACTGTACAATTTCATACAAAAATTATTTTAATATTTAAATTGCAATTCTATGACTAATAATATTGCTTATCAAATAACTAAAAACTGATATCATTTAAAAATAAATTTTATTTTATTTAAATTACCAAATAATTCAATACTAAAGTTAGATAAGAAACTAAAAAATTATTAAATATGATATCAACAACAAAAAAAGTACTTAAAACACACATTTTATTTAAGTAAAGTCTAGACACAAAAAAATTGTTTTATTTATGCAATATTAAAACGATATTATACTGTCAAATATTAATACTGTATATAATAAAATACTAGTCTTTTTTCAATAAACTATAATATTATAAAAAAATATGTCATGTTTTTTTAATATTATATGTATAATAATGACAACAATAAAAACTTTTTCAAACTTAATTAATTACATTCATAATAATAATAATAATAATAAATTGTATTCCCGTTGCCGTGATTTTTATAAAGTAGTATACAGTAAATCAATACAGTATATTAAGACTATATAAACAGTTATAATCTACTAAACTTACAAAATGTATGTGTATTTTAAATTTGATATCATATTTATACATAAATAATAGAGAAAAAAATTACTTATTTGTAAAATATATAATATTGTTAAATAATAAAATATCATAAATTATATAATATTTTTACACTGATATTTATAGTATTGTCATTAATAACTATTAAATACTAATTTTAAACAATAATTTAAAAATTACCACTAACTTAATTGTTAATTGTTGTCAATAAAAAAACTAATTTTAAAATAATTATTATTCGTGACTCAAATGTTTTGTATCAAAAAATTATTGGAAAACTATTTTTTTTTTTAATTTATAAATCCAATTAAAATATAACATTAAGTTTCACTACCAAAATAAAAACCAATAGTCATATATATGTTAGTTTTTAAAACTTAATCAAACATTATAATGTATTTCAATATAATTTCCTAATTTAAGTGCAATACTAATAAACAGTATAATTATTATATATTAATTGTCGGCAAACATCAAAAGCGTTAACAATATTGTTTGTCGACTAATATAATATTACTTTATAAATATTTTGGTTAATCAATTGATCCGCCAAAACAATTAACTCTAGTCAATAATACATTATATTATTTGAATTTATTTTAAAACTATTAATTGATTGTAATAAATAATACAGTAGTAAAAATTTTTAATTATTAAATATTTATTTTTTAAAAATATTTTTCAAACAATTTTTATATAGTAGTTTTTATAGCAAAGATTTTATAGTAGTTATTAAAATAATAAATTATTAAAATTATTATAAAGTTATATATTTACAACTTATTTAAAAAAAAATTTAAAGTTTATTATTATTAAAATACCAATCACTAACATTTTTAGTTTAATTATAATTATGTTTATATAGTTTATGATAAGCTATTTATTTAAAAAAACAAATATATAATTTTTTAAAAATGAAATATCAATAAAAATTAAAATCAAATTATTTTTTGGCGTATTGTTGTGTCCAACTTCGGGCCTCTGCGTTATACTGTTGTTCACTGAGATTGCGTCCCTTGTATGCACTGTTGCGGTTAGGTTTGGCCAACAATATAAATAGTGTCTGCAAAATGGTGACCACTGTTTGGGTAGACCGCCAATTGGACAGAAGTGTCGTACATACTGTTCCACTGCTGTTGTCGATATTTGCGTGAAATATCTGTGTTTTAAACCGTATGTCCGGCACTCGCATCGGATATTCGGCCGGAAATGTAAGATCTATCTCAAAGACCCCGCCCTCATAGGGACTGCCTTCGGGTCCATTCAGATATGCCTTCCATTCGAGTGCATTATCTGTGGGCTCTATCCGACCGAAAGGCACCGGTTGTGCCATTAGTTGCCGATATTCAGTCATCAAACGCTTCACAGCAGACATTATTATTATGGCTTATAATTAATTAAATTATTTATCTAATTGTAATTTAGAGAAAAGAAATTGTTTTAAGTATTTTATTGTAAATTTAAAATACTGTTTCAATAGCAATAAACAGTACTATACAGTAGAAAAAATATACACTTATCAGTGATAAGTTATCAATTATACAATATCTCACTTACATAATGCGTTTTATTTAAAATAATTTTTTATATATATCAATTTATTGAAGTTATGAAATAATTATTACTATAAAATTAAAAACATTGATTTTTCTTTGTCGGTATAAAATACTAATAGATTTTAAAATCTATGAAATAAATATTATATTTCAATGATTCAATTTATATGATTTTGTTTTTGCTATATTAACAATATAAGGGTCCCTATTATAGGGTAGTGATTAATAGGCTACCATTGGCTGTCAAAATATACTGTAAATGTATTACATATTTATGTTTAATTGTATATTTGATTTGATTGCAAATTGCAATTGAAATCATTGCATAATAGTGTGTCTGTCTGTCATTAAAGTTATCCTAATTTATATTCAAACAAAATTTTAAATTAACAAAAAAATTTATTCAAACATTTTTTTTTAAAAAAAAGTTATTATATTAACTCTGTTTTTTTGTTGATAAATGTAATTAACTATTAAAACCATATTTATTTAATATTATTTTTTCCCCTATTAATTATAATATATAATTATTTAAATCAAAAATTTTGTTGTTTTTTTAGTTGTGGCCTTGAAATCGGGTAATACGTAAGGCAACAATGACTACTACTCTGACCACTACCACTACAACTACCACTACTGGTGTGATCGGACCGGAAGAGGAGAAAGTGTACCGCAATCTCTATTACGCCGACCTATTCATCGACGACTTGGCCAACGAGTTTCAGTGTTCAATATGCTTAGCCATAATGAACGACCCGATGCTTGTCAACTGTCCGGCACAGCATATGTACTGTCGGCTGTGTATCACTACATCTTTGGCCACCAAACAGTCGTGTCCATTGGACCGTCAGGCCGTCACTATGGACGACGTACGGCCGCTGCCGGCAATCAAGAGAGTGATCGACGGCCTGCGAATGAAATGTCCTAATCATGCGGAAGGTTGCGAAAAGACAGATACCGTATCGGTAATGGGATTTCATATATTCGAGTGCAGTCGCGGTGGATGCGGTACTGACCCGTCTATGTCACGCAACGATGTCTTTGGCAAAGAAATAACTGTTAAGGTATCACACGATGGCAAACCACGGTATCTGATAAAGGCCTACGAAAATGATGTAGTTTTGGCACTAAAACGCCGTATTGGCGACCGATTGGGCATTCAGGCTACAGATGTGGTCATCAATTTGAATCAACAGGTATTGGATGAACACTACGATAGTCGTACACTAAGCGAGTGTAACATTAGAGACGGTTCGCTGGTTTGGTGGACAGACAGAACTCATGGAGGCATCGATTATCAAAAACCAGTAATTTTTTTGGTTTTTAAGTTTTTATTACTTTAATCACATGTATTGGACACCAACTCTACACTTAATTATTATTATTTTATGATAATTTGAAAAACTACTGAAAATTTGCTTTATATTAGAAATGTTTTTGATTTTTGTTAATTATTTAGTAGACTAATTACAATAATTTTTACAACATTTTTTAATTATTATAAACATTTACATTACAATGATTTTTAAAAAAAAGTTATTTATATTTTTAATTACGGTAATCGTTTTTAATACAATTTTTAAACAAATATTAAGACATATTATTAAACTACATTGTATAATACAATTGTTTGATTATTATTATTATTTAATTTGATGTATAATCATTTTTTACAAATAAAAAAAAGTAATTTCTCGACACTATAATAACATTATTCAATAAAAGTTATTTTTTAAAATTATTAAAAATATTAAAATGAATTAAATTATATATAGTTTTTAAAAAATTTGATAATAAAAATATTGTTATATATCAAGAATATATTTAATCTTAGTAGTAGTAGTAGGAGTGATATAATTAATATATTATATAATATATGTATTAATTATTATTATTATTTTGTTTGCAATAAAACAATAAATAGGCTTTCGATGACTGAAGTTTTTGCTCATCTGATACGCGACTAACATAACTATCATTGAATTTATACCACTGTCTGTTAATATGATTTCTAGCGTAAGCCGTATAGTGTCCACTATAGTAACTGCCCGTATAGTTAGTTATGGCCAACAAATCATAGACATATTGGGCACCGTTAGCTTTGGCATCCCTTATATGATTAGTAAAATCCAATTCTAGCGGATAGTATGAGTCCTGTTGACTTTGATGGTTATGCTGACCAAAACAGTCCTGGACATGAAATATTAGTATATTAGGCGCGTGCAGGATCTGAATCTGTACCGTAGCAAACATATCAGTGCAACAATTGGGACAATTTTGTTGGTCATCCATATGTTGGACAGACACATACTGATTGATACAGTCGTCGAGTTTGAAAACTCGATCAAAATTATTGTCATCTAATCCGTGAGAAAATTGTTTAATAGTATAGTATTTCTCTAAGTGTTCATTAAGTTTAATAAATATTAACTGATTGCCAACTGATAGGTTTGAATCAAAATTAATACATTGAAAATCACTTTTTGTGATTAAACTATTGGTCAACAATTGCTTGCCGTCCGGTTCAAGACATTTAGCCAACTGTGCGACAAATGTGTCAATAATATTGTCATTACTATAATCATTAATATCTAACAGCAATGGTATACCAAATCGATTATTAGTTTTCAATCCGACAAATAAGTGATTGACAAATGATGGATCAAATTGATAGACAAAAAGTTTACCATTTAATTCATTTATGTTAATACTATCAGTCGTATCATATATTTTGCTAATCATATGATTGATAATAACGGTAAAAATAAGATGTTTGTCATCCAAGACTAGTGATGTCGTATCTGAATATCTTTGCGATAGTGTTTCGATGAGTTGACTGACCAACACTTTATTAGTCGTAAATTGTAAGACATAAGTATCACATCTGAAAATTTCAATACCAGTGTTGTTGACAACGATAGACACTTCAATCTGCAATAAGTTTTGTTTTTTATCGATTTGTGGCAAATTTAGGACAACTAGAGGACAATAAGTTTCATCTAATCTGTAACCGCATTCACTGCAAGAAAATATTATTAATTGTTTTGTTGTGAAGTTATTGTAAAGATATTCATCAAATGTTTTGTAATTATTGTAACTATTAGTGTCTGCATCAGTCATTTGCGACAATTCATCGTGAAATGTATTCAACAATGATCTCAAAAATTCTGTACAATCTTGTTGTCCGCAACCGGCAAATGACGGTAAAACTTCGGCAACTTTTGATCGAAACTTGTTGGGCGACAAACAATCGGTTTGTTGTGACCACATGTCGTCAATTAGATCGCAGAACAGTTCCAACAATGATTTTCGTGTCGATATTGTATTGAATTTGTTTTTGAAATTCTTGTAATCTTTACAAAACTCGACCATCGATGGTATGTTTGACAGACACTGTAGAGCACTGTTCATATAACAAGTGTTGCCTAAGTTTCGCAAACCACAGACACCCGACTCATAGGTTTGAATTGAATTATTTTGATTATTACAAAAACAATAATATATTTTTTGAACCAACCTATTTGTAATTTTTTAAATTAATATATTGATATATTTGATGTTTTAATTAATTAATTTATTTTAAATATATTATATGAACAACAACAAAAATACTAATTTTTTTAATACTAACCATTTAGACCAAGTCCAACATTTGATTGATATATATTTAATTGTTTGCCAACATTTAGTGGCTAACCATTTAAACCAAATCCAACAACTGATTGATATGTTTTTAATTGTTTGCCAACAACTAGTCTATTATATTTATAAATTAATATATTAGTTAAGCACAAAAATTAATTTAACAGTATATAATTTTTTTAAAACTAACCTCGCTCATTGTAACTTAAAAAACAACATCAATTAAGATACAGAAAATTGAGATAAAATAATAATAAAATTTTTATATTAATTAATTTATTAATATCTAACAAAATTAAAACTTCTAATATTAATGTTTTACTTGTTTAAAATACAATAAATTGTTGTTAAGTAACTTTTTTATCATTTATTAAATATTACTATATTTTTTTGTTTATTATAAGAATTAATTGTCAATTGTTAATCAAAATACAAACAATACTAATAAAATCAAATTCAAATGTATTAAATAATTTATTAAACAAAAATGCAAAAATTATTGATACATAGATTTTATAAAATACTTTCTAAAAAATATAGCTTACAAATGAACTTTTTATCAATAATATTGAACACAATATTAATTTATTTAATTAGTTTTTTTTTAAATAATCCTAACTACACAAATATTTATTAAATGTATTAAAATATGTATTGTTATCATAAAAATAATATTAAACAATAAAATTATCAAAATATTAAATAAAATAAACTAAAATTCTTATAGATTAAAAAATAATTTTAAACTACATCATAAATCATAATAATTATCAATTAAAACAATTAATTAAGAAATTAATTTTTTATTTGAAATAAATTCAATACGAATATACACTAAATTAAAATTTAAAAAAAACAAATTAATTTTAATAAAAAAAATATTTATTTATATTCCAAACAAATAAATTATTTTTTGGCATATTTTTGTGTCCAACTTCTGGCCTCTTGTTTGTACTTTTCATCAGTAAGACTGCCGCCAGTGTAAGCGCTATTACGGTTAGGTGTGGCCAACAACATAAACAATGTCTGCAAAATAGTAATCATTGTGTCGGTCGGCCTCCAATCAGACCACAGTGTCGTACATACTGTTCCACTGCTGTTAATATTTGCGTGAAATATCTTTGTTTTAAACTGTATGTTCGGCACTCGTATTGGATATTCGACCGGAAACTTGAGGTCAATCTCGAAGACCCCGCCCTCATAGGGACTGCCTTCGGGTCCATTCAGGTATGCCTTCCAATAGAGTGGATTATCTGTGGGCTCTATCCGACCGAAAGGCACCGGTTCTGCCATTAATTTTCGATATTCAGTCGCCAAACGTTTCACAGCAGACATTATTATTGCTTTATATTTTATAAAATCTTTATTTAGTTATTAAATAAAATATTTAAAAAATTATTTATTTCAAATATTATCAAATTATATGGTTTAAGTTGTATTAAAATTTGTGTGATTATATAAATAATTTTGTAAATAAGTTTTAGTATGTTAATTATTAGCAACAAAATAATTTTATGATATCTAAATCTTTAAAAAATATTACAATTGATTTAATTATATAATGTATATGTTTTCAATTGCAATTTGTTTATATATTAGTTAATTAATTTGATTGGCTATTATAAATATGATTAAATTATAAGTAAATGTATAAGTATTATATTTATTATTTATTTATTGGCTAAAATTATTTTTCGACAACATATTATATTTTTACATTTTTCAACTTTAATTAATTTATATATATATATATATATAAAATAAAATATTTACTTAATTAATACGATTTATAACTATCATATAATTAGTATTATTGTAATTATTATAACAATGGAAATTCTACAATACATTCAATCTTATTTTACTAATGGTAATATATATATATATATATATAAAACTTAAACTTATCAAAATTATTATTTTATTAATATTTATTATTATTATTATTATAAAGATTTAGGTAATCAAGAACTGCTGACTACTACCGGTTTGATCGGTCCGGAAGAGAATGATGTCTATCGTAATCTTTTTCATACGGATCTGTTTATTGATAGACAAATCGATGAATTTTGTTGTTCAATATGTTTGACAATTATGAACGATCCGGTTCAGGTTAACTGTCCCTCACAGCACATGTACTGTCGTCTATGTATAACCAATTGGTTGAAAACAAGAAAACAATGTCCATTGGATCGCCAGACTGTCCGCTTAAATGAAATCCGTTCCGTACCGTCAGTTAGAAGATTGATCGATGGCTTACGTTTGCATTGTCCGAACCAATCGGACGGTTGCACACTTACGGCTATCGTATCGGATATGCGATTTCATATATATGATTGCAGTCGCGGTCAGTGCGGTACTGTCAGCACTACACCTAGCGATTTGTCGGGACAGGAGATTGCAATTAGAGTACTATATAATGGTCAACCTCGTTATACTATTAAGGCTTACGACAATGACTTAGTAATAGCATTAAAGCGTCGCATTGGGGACAGGGAGGTCATCAAAGCTGATGAAGTAACTATTATTTTCCAAAATAGACCGCTAACTCATGAATACAATAACCGGACATTAAAAGAATGTAATATAATAGACGGTTCAGTAGTTTGGTCGGCGCGTAGATCTCACGGAGGCATAGATTATCTGATAATAATCTAAAGTATTTAAAGTAATCGGTTTTGGACTTTAAATATATTGCTTACCGACTCTCTACTGATTTTTTATGATAACTTATTTAAATTATATAAATTAATTTTTACAAATATTAAGACTAATTTTATTCAAATATATATTACAATTTTTATTATTATTATATAAATTTCATATTTATAATCACTTTTATAAATATTTTTCTTAATACTAATGTATTTTATAATCAATTACTAATAGTTTAAATTAATAGTTTAGTTAATTAGTTTAATAAAAATATCATTTGTTTAGTAATATTAAATCACTTTTATTTTTTTAAGGTTTTTTAATTATACAATAAATATAAATTAAATAGATTTATTGAAATAAAATATTATAGTTTATATAAGTTTATATATAGTTATTTATTAGTTATATATAGTTTAGTTTATTATAATAAATAGAAATAATTTTTGTATTAACTATTTATTATTAGTTATTATTATTTCTTTTATAATAAACCAAAATATAAGCTTTTGATGGAAGTTGTCTTTCATTATAGATTTGATTAACTGAACTATCATTGAATTCATACCACTGTTTGTTGATATGATTTCTAGCATAAGCCGTATAGTGTCCATAACTATAACTTCCTGAATAGTTTGAAATGGCCACTAAATCGTAGACATGTTGAGCACCGTTAGCTTTTGTATCCTTTATATGACCAGTTAAATTCAATGTTATTGGAAACTGACAGTCCGATTGATTAAAATAATGATTTTGTTGACCAAAACAGTCCTGAACTTGTAATAGTAGTATATTAGGCGCATGTAGTATATGAATCTCTACCGTAGGTTTTATACGATTGTAACATTTCGGGCAGTTTTGTTGGTCATCCATGAGTTGAACAGACAGATATCGATTGATACAGTCGTCAAGTTTGACAACTCGTTCACCATTTTTATCATCTAATCCGTGATAAAATTGCTTAATGGTATAGTATTTCTTTAAGTGTTCATCCAGTTTAGTAAATATTAACTGATTGCCAACTGATAGATTTGGATCAAAATTAATGGTTTCAAAATCATTATTAGTTATTAAACTATTTGCCAACAATTGCTTGCCGTCCGGTTCAAGACATTTAGCCAACTGTGCGATAAATGTGTCGATAATATTGTCAGTATTGTATTCATTGATATCTAATAGCAATGGTATACCAATTAGTCGGCTATCGTTTTGAAGTGAAACAAACAGGTGATTGACAAGTAATGGATCAAATTGATAAACAAATAGATCACCTCTAAGATGATTGATATTTATAATATCATTCATTTTATAGATTTTGTCTATTTTATGATTGATAATAACAGCGACAATGAGATCTTTGTCATCCAAGACATGTGATGTTGTGTCTGAATATCTTTGCGATAGTGTTTTGATGACCTGACTGACCAGTACTTCATTTTGTGTTAATTGTAAGAAATATGTTTCACAACTTAAACTATAACTACCAATACTGTTGATAACAAGACACACCTTAAGCAATGCTAAGTCTTGTCTTTTTATTTGTGGTAAATTCATGACAATAAATGGACAATAATTTTCATCTAATCTGTGACCACATCGACTGCAGCTAAACTGCATTACTTGAAATCCATGAAAATTTTCGGATATAAATGTTTGATTATTATGAAGATATTCACCAAATGTTTTATAATCAGTACAGACAGTGTTGTTATCAATTCCTGACATTAACAGCACTTCTTCGTGCAATGTATTCAACAATGATCTTAAAAATTCTGAACAGTCTTGTTGTCCACAGCCGGCAAATGTCGGTAAAACTTTGGCCACTTTGCCTCGAAAATTGTTGGGCGATAAACAATCGCTTTGTTGAGACCACATGCCATCAATTAGTCTACAGAACAGTTCCAACAGTGAGTTCGATGAAGACTTTGTTTGGAAGTACTTGAAATTTCTACAAAACTCGACAATCGATGGTATGTTTGACAGACACTGTAGAGCACTGTTCATATAACAAGTGTTGCCTAAGTTTCGCAAACCACAGACACCGGACTCATAGGGTTTCTTATATTTATAATACTGATTATAACCACTAGTATTGTCACTCATTTTATCGATACTAACGGAATATTCATCCGTTTGTTTCTTCTTCTTGTTTTTCAGTTCTTTTTGTTTATTACTAATTGTTTGATTTGTGTGATTATCAACATTTGATGACTTATTTTTATCCGATTTGTTTGATGTAAAACCAAAAGTATTTTTAAACCTATGTTTTTTTAAATTAAAGTTATATATTAAATATTCTGGTTTTACTATTATAACATACATATGAGTGTATGAAACAGTTTTGTTTGAAGTCTTTATATTTTTAGGTGAATCTGTAAGCGAAACGCTTGAATATGAAGCTCCGGGACCACTAGATTCGGGACCAATAGATGCGGGACCACAAGATCCGTGACCACTAAATTCGAGACCACTAGATCCGGGACTACTAGATCCGGGACCACTAAATTCGAGACCATTAGATCCGGGACCACTAGATCCGAGACCACTAGATCCGAGACCACTAGATCCGAGACCACTAGATCCGAGACCACTAGATCCGGGACTACTAGATCCGGGACCACTAAATCCGGGACCATTAGATCCGAGACCACTAGATCCGGTACCATTAGATCCTGAAGTCGGACTGATTGAACCAATAGACTGGACACTAGGTTCCAAAGTTTGAATTGTTTTCTTATCGTTAATAAATTTCTCATATTGTCTCTCGTCTTCACCACTCGAGTCATCGGAAAACTCTTTAGTATTACTGGACGCGACCGCCGACGCCACAGATGTTGTTGTTGGTGATGGACAGCAATTCGGTGTCGAATCGACCGACAACTGTCCATCAGTTTTATTCTGTTTATTGGCTAATATAGCAAACAAACAAACAAAAATGTTTTTATGTATAAATAATTACTTATTATAAATTAATACTTGATTTTTTAGTCACTCTCTTTCGTCTATTTTCCATATCTTGTTCAGTAGTCTGGGATTGAGATCGGGATTCAGGTTCACGGGATTCTTGTTCAGTACTGTCACATAAACTATTTTGATTGCGATAAAACCAACGAATCAAAAATGACACTAATCTATATATATATATATATATATTAATTTTATATGCATTACAGTATTATTTATTTTCAATTATTTATAAATATATTTATAACTAACTTTCTTATATGATTCCACCAATTGATTAATATATATCTATTTGTTTCAATTGGATCAGTCTAAAATAATTTTATTTATAAGTTTATCAATAATTTATATTTATATATATTAATATATTGTCATTTATAATCAATTGTAACAATACAATACAATAAAAAAAACTAACCTTGGTCATAGTAATTTCTGGTTGTAATGAACTGGCTGAGTAACATTCTAAAAATTAATAATAATAATAATTTAATTGCTTTAATTATAATAATAATTATTTAGATAATACCATTAAAGCTTGGATCAGCTATTGAATCAGTGAGACCAGTAATAGCCGACAAACAAAACTTTTCATAATCATTGCAATAGTTTATTAAATGATCAAATGGTAGCCGTTTTATACCATATGGGAAACCTAACTGTTCGAAGTCTACTAAATTGGCATAAATTATAGACAACTGACCCGAAATGTCTAACTTAAGTGTTTTAATATGTTTGAGTAATAGTTGGTCACCAGTGATGACAACTAATTCAGTTTTCCCATCGCTTAACGATTTGTTGATATACTGGTAAAAGAAGTCGTATTTGTCGCAGTTGTCGATTACCAGCCAATGATCCCAATTATCGCTATCGTAATAGATATCTGTTATGTTCGGTGATGACCAGCTGACCAAATGTTTGAGTCGAAGTTGGCGCTCAGTTACACAAACTGTTTTCAATAACTTTTGTAAAACATTGACACTATTGGTGAGACGGCCTGTTATGGGTGGCGGACACGACTCCCGGTCCCAGTAAATGGTTATATTAGTTGTTTCAGCTGTCATTTCAAATGACAATTTTTTTTAAATTTAGAGTATTATATTATAAATTATAAAAATTGTTTTTCATATCTCTTTCAAAATATTTATTTGTTAAAAACATAAATCTATTTAATCATTACTATTCTATTCTAATATAATCTGAATATATTATAATTATATTCTTATTTTGTTTAATTGCTATTTATATTTTAAAATTTAGAAAAATTATTTATATAACATTTACATTAATAATATACAGTACTAATATATGTATGTTAATTTAATAATAATAATTTTTTTAATCTATAATTATAACTATTAATTTTAAATAAATTTCCTAAATAAACATTTCAATTGTAATAATTTTCAAAAAATATATATACTGTATATAACTTACCCGATAAATTTTCATTTTTATCATTCATAATAAATCTAACGAATTTTATTAATATAATAATTTTGTACTTTATAATGTAGTCAACAGTGTCAACAAAATAATTATGTTATTTTCTACCAATTAAAATTTGTATTGTTATCAAACAAAAAAACAATAAAAAAAATTATCAAATAACTATTACAAATAAATAAGTAAAATTATAAATTTCAATATTTTATGATTAATATATTATGAATAATGCGATAAAAATAAGTTATATAAAAAAATACTACAGTATTAATTTTTTTAATATTGTAATATCAATAAATAGATAAATGGTATTTTATTATCTCTTTATTTATTTTCGTTAATATAAATTTTGAAATGTAATTATTTTAATATAATTATACATTCATATTATAATAATATATTTTCTTTTTTTAAATTTAACTATAAAATATGAAATTACAAAACAATAGCTAATGTAATATCTATTTTTATTAATAGTATTCAATTAAATTTTATAAATTAAAAAAATTAATAAATAACATTTATGTTAATATACTGTAGTTACAAAAAAATTAATTCATAGACATTAAAATAAAATAAACAAAATAAATCTTAAGTTATTTTTTGGCATATTTTTGTGTCAACTTAGGGCTTCTGTTTTGTACTGTTGTTCAGTAAGATTGCGTCCCAGGTATGCACTGTTGCGGATAGGTTTGGCCAACAATATAAATAGTGTCTGCAAAATGGTGACCACTGTATCAGTCGGAGCCCAACCGGTCAGTAATGTTGAACATACTCTTCCATTTGTGCTGATATTTGAGTGAAATATCTGTTTTTTGCACTTTTATCGGATATTCGGTCGAAGACCCCGCCCTCATATGGACTGCTTTCGTGATATCCATTGTCAATTAAAATAAAAATTTTAGTATTGAATAAATAGATAAAATTAAAAATTTCTTTATTTTATGATTAATATATAGTTAATAAGCAATAAAAATGAGTTATATAAATATAAAATTATTATCTTTTTATTTTTTCATACATTTTCCTTTTATATTAATATAATAATTACATTATTTAAAAAATTATAGTTATTTTAATTTTTATTAAACATAATTAATATTATATCTATATTATAAATAATAATTTATTATTATTTAATAACAATTTTAAAAAATATTAATATAAAGTTTGGAATTACAAAACAGTTGTTAAATTGTTTATTTTTTAGTAATAATAGTCAAATAAAGTTAATAAATTTCTTTTTTTATAGTCATTGAAATAAAGTCATAAAATTGAAAATTAATGTAATAAATCCTAAATTATTTTTTGGCGTATTTTTGTGTTGAACTTCGGGCCTCTGCGTTGTATTCATTGTCAGTAAGACTGCTTCCCTGATATGGACTTTTGCGGTTAGGTTTGGCTAACAATATGAATAGTGTCTGCAAAATGGTGACCACTGTATCAGTCGGAGCCCAACCGGTCAGTAATGTTGAACATACTGTTCCATCTGTGCTGATATTTGCGTGAAATATCTTAGTTTTAAACTCCATGTCCGGCACTCGCATCGGATATTCTGCCGGAAACGTAAGATCTATCTCGAAGACCCCGCCCTCATAGGGACTGCCTTCGGGTCCATTCAGATATGCCTTCCATTGTAATGGATTATCTGTGGGCTCTATCCGACCGAAAGGCACCGGTTGTGTCAATAGTCCCCGATATTCAGTAACCAAACGCTTCACAGCAGACATTATATAATTGCTTATAATTTATAAAATAAAGAAAAATATTGATTAAAATAAAGTAAAAACAAGATTTACTGTACAAATAAATATATTCATGAATTTCACATTTATCTGCTATCATCCATTGTCTAACTTAACATTTATGTTATCACTATTTATTATACCTGTATTATTACATTAAAAAATCTTGTGACTTTGAAACCTTATGAAAAACAATATTATTAGATATGCAAAAATAAGATTATTAATTATTTTATTATTTTTTGATGACTTAATGTTAAAAATAAGCTATTTTTTCATAGACCTTATCATTTAGATTTAATTACTAATCATATAATAAAATATATTTAAGTGTTTAATATTTTTGATTGGTTAAAATAAAAATTGTAATAATACATCCTATTTATCTATTAATATTTAACTTAATTTCACTATTTTTTACTAAATTGTGTAACAAAAAATAAAAACTATTTTATATATTAAATTTAAATATAATTTAATTCATTAATTATTTGCAATTATTTAATATCTGTTTTAACAATATATAAAAAAACTATTTTTGTGTTTATTATTTATTATATTTAAACAATAACACAAAACAATAAGTTTTTTTTAAATCTAATTAAATCCTATCAATTAATAACTATTCAAATTAATTTTCATAAATACTATTTATTGTAATTATTTTTTTTAAATTTTTACTTCAAGTATTTTAATTATCACTTAAAAATCTGTAAAAAAAATCAGCCGACAATGTCAAGAGTGGTCGGACCGGAAGATGAAGAGGTCTATCGTAACCTTTTGCACACCGAACTGTTTATCGATAATGTGGCCAAAGAGTTCATATGTCCGATATGTTTGTCAATTATCAACGACCCGGTTCTTATCAGTTGTGTGGCACAACATATGTTTTGTCGGCAATGTATTACTGCTAGCCTTCAGACAAAATCCGAGTGTCCTGTAGACCGTCAGTCCGTTACAGTCAATGACATTCGGCCGCAGCCGGCATTCAAAAGAGTTATCGATGGCCTACGATTGCGATGTCCTAATCATGGGGAGGGCTGCCAAAGGACTGGTACCGTATCGGATATGCGAAGTCATGTATTCGAGTGCAGTCGCAATCTGTGCGGTACTCGTAAACAAACAACTACCGGTACCAACAATTCAATGTCAATAAAAGTAGTATTTAAAGGCAAATTACCATATATTTTATCGGTTAACCAAATGGACACTGTTTTGACATTAAGACGACGTATTGCCGATAAAGAGGGTTTAGATATCCGATATGTAGAGATCAACTCACAGGCCGGTAAAGTACTCAATGATGACAATCGCAAACTAAGTGATTGTAATGTCAGAGATGGTTCACTGGTCTGGTCTACCCAAAGATGTGACGGCGGTTTTTAACAACCAATCTATAACTATTTGATTTAGTTTTGTAGTAAACTTTTTTTCTAATAAAAATTAGTTTTAAAAAAAAAATTATATTTAATTTACAAACAAACAAAAAATAAAATTTTATGGCTAATACTATTGTGTAATTAATAAATAAATTTTATTTTATATGTCTTTAAAATACTATTATTATATTATATTAGTATCATTTAAATATTTTTTTCAAAAATCTTATATTTAATTACTTATAACTTTTTGATTATATGATTATATAGGGTATGGTTAACATTATCACTAGTCTCGAGTGATTTACAAGTGTTTTCCTTATTAAACAAAATTTATTGTTAAAATCTGTTTTTTTGTTATTTATATTTTATTTATAATATAAATAAAATTATGTGAAAATAAAAAAATATGATGTACACTATATTTTATATAGTATATTAAATTAATATAATTTTATTATTATAAATAATAAAGATATAATTTAATACTATTGTTAGTATTATAATACAATCATTATTATTACTACAATAATTGTCAAATAAATTATATAAAAAAATAGTCGAGGAATTCAAAGTAGCAGGCGCGGTTAATGAAATTTTGGAAATTAATATTTTAATTGATATATTTTAATTTATAATATAATTTTACATGTATATATTAAATTTTAGATCAATCGGACCAATAATTTTATAGTTATTAAATAAAACAAATTTTTATTATAATGTGAGGTATACAAAAAATACCAAATTTTGACCCCCCAAAAAACACCCGTCCCTGGGATCAATTGTCATCAAATTTTTTTGTTGACATTATAATTATCAATAGATGGTATTTTTTGTATACCTCCCATTATAATAAAAATTTGTTTTATTTAATAACTTTAAAATTATTGATCCGATTGATCTAAAATTTAATATATATATGTAAAATTATATTATAAATTAAAATATATCAATTAAAATATTAATTTCCAAAATTTCCTTAACCGCGCCTGCTACTTTATTTATAAAAATTTATATTAAAAATAATTTTGATGATTAATAATAAAAATTAATTTGTTTGTCACATTATAAAATTTAATTTATTTTATAAAATCCATTATATATTATATTATCTATAAACAAATAAAAATAAATTCAAAAACCTACAATTTTTTTATAAATATAAAATATAAAAAGAAATACAAATGTTTTAAACAATCATAAAATTCAAATTAAATTAATAAATTATTTTTTGACGTATTTTTGTGTTGAACTTCGGGCCTCTGAGTTGTACTCTCTGTCAGTAAGACTGCTTCCCTGATATGGACTTTTGCGGTTAGGTTTGGCTAACAATATGAATAGTGTCTGCAAAATGGTGACCATTGTATCAGTCGGAGCCCAACCGGTCAGTAATGTTGAACATACTCTTCAATTTGTGCTGATATTTGCGTGAAATATCTTAGTTCTATGTTCGGCACTCGCATCGGATATTCGGCCGGAAACTTGAGGTCAACTTCAAACACTCCGCCCTCATAGGGACTGCCTTCGGGTCCATTCAGATATGTATTTCTAATTGGCTTAAAACAAAATCCGAGTGTCCTGTAGACCGTCAGTCAGTTACAGTCAATGACATTCGGCCGCAGCCGGCATTCAAAAGAGTGATCGATGGCCTACGATTGCGTTGTCCTAACCATCAGGACGGATGCCAAAGGACTGGTACCGTATCGGATATGCGAAGTCATGTATTCGAGTGCATTAAAAATAAATTTTAAAGTTAATAATAAAAATTAATTTGTGGATCAGATTATAAAATTAAATATTTAGTTATCTGTATGTATTTTAAATCATTTCATTAAATATTCTACTAATTTTTTTTAAATATGATTACTTTAGAAATTAATTTTGATAAATATTAAGACTAATGGTTATTTAACTATAATACTGTATATATTACAATTCTTATATAATTATTTTAATTTCATGTACGTATTTCACTTTTATAAATTTGAAAATAAAATTAATATTTTTTGACACTATAATAACACTATATTACACATATTGTTTTAAATCAATTAGTTTAAATTATTTTAATTTAATAAAAAAAATAGTATACTTTGTTTAGTTATTGTAAATAATTTGTCAAATAAATCATTTTTATTTTATTATTTTTTAGATTTTTTCAATTACAGTTGTAAAACATAAGTTGAGTTTTAAAAGCAGTTACACATTTGGCGCACCACATAGATTAAAACTAATTGTATTTTTTTTTAATAATCATTTAATTTATTTGTGAATTTGTATTACAATTTTAGTTATCATTGCAATCGTAAAGCACAGGCATATGAAAGCATAAAATGTAAGGTCAGTGCTGATCCTTATATAGGGATTTGATTAGTAATAAAGTTATAGTTATAGTTATAGTTAGTTAGTTATAGTTAAAGTTATAGAAAGTGAATAATTGCTATTATTGGCAAATATATTGATTTTAAAGTTATTTGCTATTTAAATTAGTGGTAAATTTTAGTGCAATATATATCTAAATATATATAAGTATTTATATTTTACACATTAAATATAAATTTAGTTAAAAACTTAATGAATCAAATACTATAAAATACACAGTTTGTAATAATTTTTGTATTAAACATTACCGTAATTATTATTATTTCTTTTGTAATAAACTAATATATAAGCTTTTGATGGAAGTTGTCTTTCATTAGAGATTTGATTAACTGAACTATCATTGAATTCATACCACTGTTTGTTGATATGATTTCTAGCATAAGCCGTATAGTGTCCATAACTATAACTTCCTGAATAGTTTGAAATGGCCACTAAATCGTAGACATGTTGAGCACCGTTAGCTTTGGCATCCTTTATATGATCAGTTAAATTCAATGTCATTGGAAACTGACAGTCTGATTGGTTAAAATAATGATTTTGTTGACCAAAACAGTCCTGAACTTGAAATAGTAGTATATTAGGCGCATGTAGTATATGAATCTCTACCGTAGGTTTTATACTATTGTCACAATTGGGACAATTTTGTTGTTCATCCATGAGTTGGACAGACAGATATCGATTGATACAGTCGTCAAGATTGACAACTCGTTCATCATTTTTATCATTTAATCTGTGATAAAATTGCTTAATGGTATAGTATTTCTTTAAGTGTTCATCCAGTTTAGTAAATATTAACTGATTGCCAACTGATAGATTTGGATCAAAATTAATGGTTTCAAAATCATTATTAGTTATTAAACTATTTCTCAACAATAGCTTGCCTTCCGGTTCAAGACATTTAGCCAACTGTGCGACAAATGTATCGATAATATTGTCATCATTGTATTCATTGATATCTAATAGCAATGGTATACAAAATACATGGCTCTCGCTTTGAAGTGAGATAAACAAGTGATTGTCAACTAATGGATTAAATTGATAAACAAATAGATCACCTCTAAGACGATTGATATTTATAATATCATTCATATTATAGATTTTGTCTATTTTATGATTGATAATAACAGCGACAATGAGATGTTTGTCATCCAAGACATTAGATGTAGTGTTTGAATATCTTTGCGATAATGTTTTGATGACCTGACTCACTAATACCTCATTTCTAGTTAATCGCAATACATAATTATCACATCTGAAACTATCAATACCAGTGCTGTTGATAACTAAATAAACTTTAAGCCATGAAATGTCTTGTTTGATAATTTGTGGCAAATTCATGACAATAAATGGACAATAATTTTCATCTAATCTGTGACCGCATAGACTGCAACTAAACTGCATTACTTGAAATCCATGAAAATTTTCGGATATAAATGTTTGATTATTATGAAGATATTCATCAAATGTTTTATAATCAGTACTAAAATTATTGTTAACAATGCCTGACATTTCCAACAATTCTTCGTGTAATGTGTTCAACAATGACCTCAAAAACTCTGAACAGTCGTGTTGTCCACAGCCGGCAAACCTTAGCAAAACTTTGGTCACTTTGACGCGAAACTCGTTGGGCGACAAATAATCTGTTTGTTTAGACCACATGCGATCAATTAGTTTACAAAACACTTCCAACAGTGAGTTCGATGCCAGCATTGTCTTGAAATTCTTGAAATCTTTGCAAAACTCGACAATCGATGGTATGTTTGACAGACACTGTAGAGCACTGTTCATATAACAAGTGTTGCCTAAGTTTCGCAAACCACAGACACCGGACTCATAGGGTTTCTTATATTTATAATACCACTGATAACCACTTGAATTGTCAATACATTTATCAATCATATCAACAAAATGCTCATCAGTTTGATTCTTCTTCTTCTTCTTCTTCGTGTTTTTCTGTTTACTAATTGTTTGATTTGTTTGGTTAACAATTGATGGTTTATTTTTAGCAAATTTGTCTGTTATAAAACCAATAGGATTTTTTAACCTAAAATATATATTTTTATAATTTATAAGTTATATATTTGATTCATTGAATATGGATTTACATATTGACATACACTTGACTATATGTCTTGTTTGTTGTCTTTATATTTTTAGGTTCATCTGAATCTGTAATCGGCAAACATACTGAATGTGAAGCTCCGGGAGTCGGACTGATTGAACGTATAGACTGGTCACTAGTTTTTTGCTTACCGCTAGAGTCATCTGAGAACTCTTTATCATTTCTGGACTCGACCGCCGACGCAGCCGATGTTGATGATGGACAGGGACTAGATCCGTGACCACTAGATCCAAGAGTCGGACAGATTGAACCTATAGGCTGGACACTAGATTCCAAAGTTTGAATTGTTTTCTTATCGTTAATAAGTTTCTCATATTGTCTCTCGTCATCACCACTCGAGTCATCGGAAAACTCTTTAGCACTACTGGACGCGACCGCCGACGCCACAGATGTTGTTGATGGACAGCAGTTTGGTTTCGAATCGACCGACAACTGTCCATCAGTTTTATTCTGTTTATCGGCTAATATAGCAAATAAACAAACAAAAATGTTTTTATGTATAAATAATTACTTATTATAAATTAATACTTGATTTTTTAGTCACTCTCTTTCGTCTATTTTCCATATATTGTTCAGTAGTCTGTGATTGTGATCGGGATTCAGGTTCACGGGATTCTTGTTCAGGACTGTCACATAAACTATTTTGATTGCGATAAAACCAACGAATCAAAAATGAAACTAATCTATAAATATAAATATTAATTTGATATGCATTATGATTTATTTTCAATTATTTATATATAACTAACTTTCTTATACCGGTATAATTTACAACTAATACATAATTTTATTTATTTGTTGATTTTATGTTTGTTGTTTGTTAATAAATTTTTTAAAAAGTTTATAAATTATAATTTAATTTCTAATTAAAATATTTTTTATTAGTAATATAATTTTTAAAACTAACTTTTTCATATGATTCCACCAATTGATTAATATGTATGTTTCACTTGAATTAGTCTAAAAATAATTTATATTTTTATGTTATTATCATATAATAACATATATTTTTTATTATATTTTATATAATTTATATCTATATGATTACAATTAAAAACTAACCTCGGTAATAGAAAGTTCTGGTTTTAATGCACTGTTTGGGCATCTTTCTAAAAAATTAATTATAATCATTAATATATTTATAATAATAATTATTATTATTATACCATTAATATTTATATCATCAATTGAACCGATAAGACCAGTGATAGTCGACAAACAAAACTTTTCATAATCGTTGCAATAGTTTATTAAATGATCAAATGGTAGCCGTTTTATACCATATGGGAAACCTAACTGTTCGATATCAACCAAATTACCATAAATTATAGACAACTGGCCCAAAATATCTAACTCAAGTGTTTTAATATGTTTGAGTAATAGTTGGTCACCAGTGATGACAACTAATTCAGTTTTCCCATCGCTTAGAGATTTGTTTATATACTGGTAAAAGAAGGTATATTTGTCGTAGTTGTCGATTACCAGCCGATGATCCCAATTATCGCTATCGTAATAGATATCGATACCTGTTATGTCCTCCGATGACCAGCTGACCAAATGTTTGAGCCGAAGTTGGCGCTCAGTTACACAAACGGTTTTCAATAACTTTCGTAAAACACCGACACTGTTGGTGAGACGGCCTGTTATGGGTGGCGGACACGACTCCCGGTCCCAGTAAATGGTTATATCAGTTGTTTCAGCTGTCATTTCAAATGATAAGTTTTTTTAATTTGCATTAGACTATAATATTATATATTTTTAAATAAGTTTAGTATTACAATATTAGATTTTTCATATCAATTTCAATATATATTTATTTATTGAAAACATTTTATCTATTGAATCATTACTATTAATACAGTATTTTATTACTACAGTACCCGTAATATGAATCTATAATATTAGTTTATATATTAAATCCAATAGTTTTATGACTCATAGCATCAATAGTTATACTAAAATCATTTTTAACTATAATACTATACATTATATTGCAATCAATTTTATAATACAATACCTATATTATACAATATTTTAATATAAAGGCAAATTAATTATAATATTTACAATTAAATATGTCAATTACACTATTAATATATCATATAAAATAAATTCATATTGTTAGTTATGTTAAATAACTATAATATACCACTATATTTATTAAAAATCATATTTGAAATTTTTTTAAAATATAAATAAAAAACTATATGTTTTCAAATTTATTAATATATTTTTGTATAATTAACAAACTAATTTTTACCAGTTAAAACTTGTCTGGTTATTAACAAAAACAAAACAAAAATAAAATAATTTTAGTATTTAATAAATACAGTAGATAAAATTTATATATAAAAAAGTTATAAATATAATTTTTTTATCTTTTTATTTTTTCATACATTTTTCTTTTATATTAATATAATAATTACATTTTTTTAAAAATATTAATATAAAGTTTGGAATTACAAAACAATTATTAATTTTTTAGTAATAGTAGTCAAATAAAGTTAATAAATTTATTTTTTATAGTCATTAAAATAAAGTCATAAAATTAAAAATTATTTTAATAAATCCTAAATTATTTTTTTGGCGTATTTTTGTGTTGATCTTCCGGCCTTCGCATTGTATTCTTGGTCAGTAAGACTGCTTCCCTGATATGGACTTTTGCGGTTAGGCTTAGCCAACAATATATATAGTGTCTGCAAAATGGTGACCACTGTATCAGTCGGAGCCCAACCAGTCAGTAATGTTGAACATACTCTGCCATTTGTGCTGATATTTGCGTGAAATATCTTAGTTTTAAACTCCATGTCCGGCACTCGCATCGGATATTCGGCCGGAAATTTGAGATCAATCTCGAAGACCCCGCCCTCATAGGGACTGCCTTCAGGTCCATTCAGATATGCCTTCCATTGTAATGGATTATCTGTGGGTTCTATCCGACCGAAAGGCACCGGTTCTGCCAATAGTTGCCGATATTCAGTAACCAAACGTTTCACAGCAGTCATTATTATTGCTTATAATTTATAAAATAAAGAAAAATAATAATTAAAATAAAGTAAAATCAAATATGTTTATAAATTTTAAATGAATAATTATGTAGTATGTTATCAATCATTGTATAAATTAACATTTTAGTTACCATAATCTATTATGTTGTACTAAAATTTTAACATGATATACTAGACTAATAATTAAATTAATAAATATCTCATTTAAAAAGTTATTTATATTATTAGACTATTTAATAAAAATAGCGAAATGAAATTAAACTGATGAAAAATGTATTGAATAATATTAATAAATAGTGTAACAAATCAAATATTTTATTGATATAGGACTACACTTATATTATGTTACATATATTATAATTGACAATATGAGAGTCATTTAATACTAAATGATAAAGTCCATGAATAAATAGCTTATTTTAGATATTTATTATTGAAAAATAAAACTATTGTTTTTATAATATTTATTTTATATATATCTAATAAAATTTATTTTCATTTACAACTGATCTCAGTAGTTATCCGAAACTTTTTTTTCTATTTTTCTGTTATTGATTATATTTGGGATATTTTGAGAGGACTTACAATATTACAGGATATGTAATGTAAATAATTTATGTTAATTGTTGAATATATACAGTATATGAATATATATGTTTGTAATACTATATGACTTTATATTTTATTTATTATTTAATATAATTACATATCCTATTATAATTAATATTGTAAATCATCTCAAAATACCCAAAAAACATATCTAAAAATTAAATACTTAAAACACATTAGTTTCGGATGACAACTATAAATAATATTAATAGTTAGTGAAATTTAATTTTATAACAAAATTATTAGTTATGTAAAAAAATATTACTAAAAAAATTTAGTTTTGTTTTTCAATGTTAAAACGTCTAAATTAAGCTATTTATTCATGGACTTTATTATTATATTTAGTATTTCATTTGATCAGCGCAAGATCATTTGACTGCCTCTTTATATACAGTATATAGGGATGTTATATTATAGCAAATATAGAGATAACAAAATTAACATGAGATAGAAATTTCTTTTAGAAGCTTTCTAGAAATTTCTCTATTATTTTATAAATTTCTTTTTTTTGCCAACACTACATATACTGGTATATAAAATATATGTAACATAATATCTAAGTGTATATCAACAAAAATATTTGATTTATTACACTATTTTTTAATAATACATCTTTCATCTGTTTAATTTTATTTCACTATTTTTTTAGCAAATAGTCTAATAATATAAATAGCTTATAAATATTAAATTGTTTTATTTTTTTTATATATATATTTTTTTGAAATGTAATATATTATTTTACTTATTCATTTAGAATTATATTTATTAGTAAAATTATAAATACAGTATAGTATAAAAATTAATTAATTAAATTAATTTCTTAATAATATTATTTTATTTATTTAGTTTTAATTTGTTATTTTTATTCAAAAAAATAGTTTAATTGTCACTTAAAGTAAAATCTCTAATATCTATCGCCAATAATGCCTCCAGTGATCGATCCGGAAGATGAAGAAGTCTATCGTAATCTATTGGACACCGAACTGTTCTTCGATAATGTGGCCAAAGAGCTCATATGTCACATATGTTTCTCAATTCTCAACGATCCGGTGTTTAACGGTTGTACTGAACAGCATTTGTTTTGTCGGACATGTATTACTACTTGGCTTAACACAAAATCCGAGTGTCCTGTAGATCGTCAGACCGTCACAATCAATGATATCCAATCGCAACCGGCATTCAAGAGAGTTATCGATGGCCTACGATTGCGATGTCCTAATCATGGGGAGGGATGCCAAAGGACTGGTACCGTATCGGATATGCGAAGTCATGTATCCGAGTGCAGTCGCAATCTGTGCGGTACTCGTAACCAATCGACGAATTCAAATACCGGTTCAAACAATTCAATATCGATAAAAGTTGTCTTCAAAGGCAAAATACCATATATTGTATCGGTTAACCAATTGGACACTGTTTTGACATTAAGACGACGTGTTGCTGACAAAGAGGGTTTAGATATCCGATATGTAGTCCTCAACTCACAGGACGGCAAAGTACTCAATGATGACAATCGCAAACTAAGTGATTGTAATGTAAGAGATGGTTCACTGGTCTGGTCTACCCAAAGATGTGACGGCGGTTTTTTGACAACCATTTTATACTACTAATTGATTTAGTTTTTTTTGCAAACTTTTATTTAGAAAAAAATAGTTTTTCTATATAATTTTTTTTTAATTAATTTATTTATAAAATATATTTAATTTACTTTGAAATAATTATCTAATTCGGTTGCTATTACTATTGTTTAATTAAATACTAAATAAAATTTTTAATATATATTGTAACTATAAACAATTGATAATTAATTATAAAAAGTTATGCATAAATGCTACTGTATTTAAATTATTATTTTTTTAATTAATTAAATTAAAATATTTTATAATAAATATTACATTATCATTTAAATGACAAATAAATCGTATTTTTAATTACTCATAACATTTGATAACATATGTTATCGTTTACATTATTACTAGTATCAGGTGATTGACAAATACTTTTTCCAATAACTTATTTAATTAAATCTGATTTTATTTTAATTCTCATTTATTTATAATATTAATAAGTTTATGTAATTATAAAAATTATAAAACACAATATTATTATTATTATAGCGAATAATTATATAATTAAGATTTAATTAGATTATCTAATATTACTTTTAATGGGATAATTTTTTAATAAATACCACTATTGTTAAATAAATTATATATAAACTCAATAATTGAACAGTTCAATTTCAACAATTTATCATATTATAAATTATTTTAACAATAAAAATTTAAACTTAATTTGTGGGTCATATTCTAAAATTAAATATAATTAAACAATTAATTTTATTTTATAAAATTAAAAATAATATTTATTAACTTAATTTGTCAATTTGATATATATATATATAATATTTTAATATATAAAGTTATTTTCAAAAATATTATAAATTCACATAAAAAGTCAATAGATATATAAGTATAGTAATTGTCATATGAAATGCATCAATGAATATCACCTTAAATATAGCATTATTATTATGTAATATTTATGTCTTAGCTTACATAATAATAATCATTATTGAAACTTTAAGCTATTATTATTAATAGGGTATATCCCAAACAGTGTCTAATATATATATATATATATATATATATATATATATATATATATATATCAATAAACAATATGTAAATTTTGTTGTTTTTTTTATTTTGTTTTTGTAAATATTTTTAAAATAGACAATCTATTATATAATTGCTAACCCCATAAAACATAAGGTATGACATTATTGTTAATAGTTTTATGTCAAATTATATCATAGTTTGATACCTGTTTTGTTATTGTTGTTATTTGTTAGCGAAAAAAAATAATAAAAAGATTATACATTAAATTGAATAGAAAATTATTGGATACTTAAATTTAATGTCTGGTTTAAACTGTTAATATTTTTTAATAAAAAAAATAATAAGTAATTTATTAAACAACTTGTTATATACGAATATATATATAACATGTTTTATCAATAAAAAAAATTGTTAAATATCAACAACAATAACAAAAAACAATACTAATAGTAATACTAATAATATATTTTACTTTATAGTTAAGTGACTTAAAATTCAGGATAAATGTCAGTCAAGTTTTTTTATGAAGTGTTGGGTGTCTACTAAAAAATACGATAAGATATAAACATATTATTAGGCCTTTATTTTTGTGACATTTTTTTCAACTGATTAAACAAACCATTTGTTTAGTAGTTTTTTGTTGTTGAAGAAAATAGATATACAGATAATTTTGAATACCACATAACTAAATGATTATTAATATTACCTGTTATTACTAATAATAATATTTTTATTTTATTTTGTAATATTAGTTTGTTTCACACATATTACTTTGTATTTGAAAATTTCTATATTATAAATATATATCGTGTATATATATTTAGTAAATGGCTTAACATTTATTATATATATTTATATTTTATTATTTGCCGATAAGTGAGACTATTTGGTGATAATAATGATAATAGTTTTTTTTACTTAACAAGTTTTTTTGATGTATTGTATTTGACTGAATATACAGTATGTATCGGTATAATTGTGAAACTATGTGTCGATACGGATACAGATTATTATTAAGTATTGATTTTTACAAATGAAATAATTATATGAAATATTATTTTAATAATTGTTTTTAAATATTAATAATTTTTTTATATCAAGTGAAATTGTGTGAAAAATGTTATATTCAAAATTACTTAAAATTATACATTTATTATAATTGTATTTAATCTTTAAATGATAAAAATATTTTTATTTCATAATATTTAATTTATTAAATATATATATATATATTTTTTAAAAATGATTACCAAATTGTGTTCACATTTAACAATAAAATTGATTAGTATATCAATAGTTTTTATTTATTTGTTGATCATTTATTGTGACCACAATGCCAGTGCCCAAATGATAATACCTGAGCGCAGTGATGACCAAATTGATGACAGCATACGTGTTACAAAAGAGCCGCAATTGTTGGGCATTTTTGCCGACGGTGTCAATGATGAAAATGATAGTGACAATCAAACAAATGTTTTGAAAACAAATAATTTTATTAATTCTAGTAAATTGATTGATCATAACAGTGAAGGTATTGATTAACAAACAAAAAGTTTATTTGTTTTGTGATTATTTATTTTTAGTCAATAATTTTTTTAATACATACATAATTATTAATTGTTTTTTAAATGTATTCAATTTATGTAAAAAAAAAATTTAATTTGTTTCGCTTTATAAAGATATCGAACGTATATCAATTGACAGCACCGATAGCAGCGGTAATAGCAATATTGAAGAAACAACAGTATTACCGCTAAATGTCACTCAAGTGTCGGCACAAAGTGGTCAAATATGTGGCACATTTGATGGCCAATTCAAATGTCTTAGTGCTGGTCAGGTGCCACTGGGTTACACCAATTTCTTGCACTTTAGCGCTACTGTAATTACTAAATATATATTTATTTATTTTTTGATATAGAAACTTTTAATATTAAATAATAATTAATCTAACCAAACACACACCTCCCTGTCCTCTCTCTCTCTCTCTCTCTCTCTCTCTCTCTCTCTCTCTCTATTAGAATGGATTTTTTGATACCATCCCTGCCCCCGGCGAGACAATCGACCCGAAAAGCTATGTAGCAATGAAAGTTGAAATTAGTAGCTCACCGGGCGGTGAAGTATTCATCATAGATATGATATCAGGCCGTCATCTACTCTACTACAACAATAAGGCCACTGTCTATATGAGCAACCATTTTGATAAAAACTATGAAGAGTTTGTCTCCGATTCCAACTATGTTTGTATTATTATAATTTAAATTATTACTATTTTGTTTATGTCAACGAAAATATTGATATAATAATTAAAATAATGTAAAATTTTTTTGATACTTTTATTATTATTATTATTACTACTATGTGGACAACAATATATAAATATAACATCCAAACAAACAAAAATCAGATTAATATTCAGATTAATGAACCGTTAGACGATGAGTTAGTATTGCCTTTTAAAAGGGATGATCTAATCAAGCCCGAAGAGGTCAAGTATTACGGTAGCCGTACCTATACTGGTAAAAATGGTAAATTTTTGATGACCATCCAGTACTATGAGATGCAGTTTGCTGTCAATGAACAACAACTGATTTACAACGATCCCAATCATCCGGATGGTCCCAAAATGCACCAGGAGGCAGTCTACGTGGCCAATTCGGTGGTAACCTATATCATGAAACCGCCGCCGCCCGACCAGAGCAACAACATATCGGTGGGCCTACAGGTCGATCTCGAGCATCTGGACATTGACGTTGCTGTTGGCGATTATTTGTTAGTAGGACCGGGCGATAAGCCCACGTATCGGGAACTGTCCAAAGCACAGATAATTTCGGAAAATATACTCAAACAAGAACAAGAAAAAACTCTATATTTTTATTCCGATTCCGCTTATATTAGGTATGAGCTATCTATTACACTATTATCAGTATAAATGTGATCCCAATATTATTCAGTTATAGAAATTTCTTTATAAAAAAAAAATCTATTAACATAACTATTATTATTATTATTATTTGATTATTTTAGATTAGTAACACATAATTCGTTGAAAAAGGGTACGGCCTTGAAGTTCACATGGCGTCCGCCCAACGATACGGTACAGGACTTGCCCGAAGAAAAAGTACCGAAACGTATACGCGATGCGGCCATACAGCTGTGCATATTGGACATCAAGTGCGGCCAATTCAATGTCAGCTATAGCGATGGTTTTGTCAGCGAACTGGTACACAAAGCTAACCAGTATTTGTTTGGCGAACACGCGGCCGATAACGACGCCAAAAATATGGTGTCCAAGAGATCAGGTATTAATGATTTATTTATTTATTTATTCTTTAGATGACATTCCCTATGCCCGACATATCCAGTCATTAATTAAAACTAATTTTTTTATTGATAGAAAATTTTATGATTGAATTATTAATTTATTGTTTTGTTTGTTTGTTTAATTTTTTTAACCATTAAACAACAGATCATATTAGTAGTAGTAGTAGTAGTTTAATGTGTTTCTGATGATTAGATATTTTGTATGTCATGTATAATAAAGTGTGTGATTATTAGTGGTGTTTTAGTTTTTGTTGTTTTATATGTTGATGACTACAGTATACAAATGATATCAACTAATGGTTCCGGTCCTATGAGTACTGAGTGTATATGACATACAAATTGTCAATTTTGTCAATCATTTAACACTAAACTATGACATAAGTAATAAGTATTTTTTTTGATAAAACAATTACTTCCGTCAAAACTGATTACACTATATTTAACACACAATTAGATCCCCAGAAAAAAATCAATTGTTATTTTTAAAAACTATATTTTTTAAATTTCTATTCCCCTCCCTTTCCTTCTCGCCCTTCAACAACAAAAAAAAACAGTTCGCATATTCAATGAGGAGGACAGCGGTCGCGTAAGGAACGGCCGAAATGATATATCGTGTCAAATGGAAATGGCTATAACCAACCCGTGGGACTGGAACTGGCCAATGGTCAAACACAGTATGCTATACGATATGTTCTTTCACGACGGTAACCGTTGGACAACCAGCAGTTTGAGAGACTTGAAAACAAATCAGCCAATTGTTGTGACCGACTGTTCCCAACAGTCTCTGTCATTTTGGCGAATCATTTTACCCATTATTATCATTATTATCGTTTCGGTTGTCATAATGTTGGTCGCCTGGAGGTATGACTATCTCTCCTTATATTTATCTACACATGACTAGACGTGTTTGTGTGTTAATGTGTGTGTGTGTGTGTGTGTGTGTATGTATGTATGTATGTATGTATGTATGTATGTATGTATGTGTGTGTGTGTGTGTGTTAGTGCACTTTATTTATGCTACAAATAACATACATGATATTTGATATATTAATAAATCATAATTAATAATTACCGGTTCACCTAATTATTTTAATTTATGCTTAAAATATATATATATATATATATATATATATATTTCGCAAATTTAATTATTTATTTGTGCAATTTTTGTTTTGTTTACCATCTCTACGTGTAGTGTATCATAAATTTTGTTAATTATATTTAATTATTATTATTATTACTGTATAATAGATATCAGTACCATAACTGGGCCAAAGTCCAGAATCAACCATATATGAACGCACCGATAGCCGAACCGGTTGATGAAAATATATTGTACGCCAAGGGAGCAGCCGGTGCTGGCGGTCCTAAAGATAATCCTTTATTTATGAACTCACCCCCAAATAATCGGAAAACACATACCGATGTGACAATTAAAAGCAGTAATGACTATCAATTCAATTGAATTATAAAATATTCAATAATACAGTATTTTTAATATACTGTATATATATAAAGGAATAGAAAATGTTTTATTTATGTATTTATTTTTTTTTAAAATATGAACAATTATATTTATGATCAAATCATATGTGTTTTAATTCATAATTTATTATACAAATAGACGGACACAAAAAAAACTAGCAATATTTATACAACTTTTAAAAATAAATAAATAATAAAGATATTTAATTAAAGATATTTTTTAGGTACAAATTATAGTTTAAAGTTGTTAAAAACACTTTTATATACAAAAAGTTTGATATATACTGTATATACCCTATACTTATTTATTTTTATCTAAAATTAATTTTTATTGTATACAACAAATGATTTATTAGACATATTTAATTGTAATCAAGTATTTTTTTGTTTGTTAAAGAAAGTAAATTAATTTAGATTTGTTTTTAGTATATTTAGTATAAGTTATTTTCAATTTTTATTATTTTTTTTTGTTTTATATATTACTATATTTTAGTTGATTCGGTCGATAGTGACGACATTGATCATCAACGACGTCAACAACAGAGCACATCCCGTGAGAGGAGTAATACACAGCAGACGTCCGATATGTCGGGAATGTCGAGTATATCGTCAAAGAAGTTGGCGTCGGTTAAAGAGTCGCCCGAATTTGTTCGCAAATTATTTCGACAACAAAACGAATACGTGTTGGAGGGCTCCGGTATGAAACCGGGTAGTAGTGTTGTCGTCGACTACGATGATACTGATGACAGTTCACCTCCCAATCGGCCCATAGATATTCGTTCAAAAACGTTTAGCTCAGCTAAAGCTCTTACCTATGATGACAACCCAACCGTTTCATTCGCTGGTATTCATAATTTTTTTTTGTTTTTTATATTGTTGACTGATTTATTACATGTTTTTCATTAACAACTTTAAATACAGTACTGACTAACAAAAAAAATAAGATATCACTATATATTTATATATTTTATGGCAATTAACTTATAATATATAAAAAATTGTTAATTATTTGATCCCTTTAGTTAAGTGTTGTCCTGACAATAAAACTCATAGAAATTAAGTGATAATCCCATATTAATTCCCACAATAGATAACAATTGAAATTAACAAATATTTTTCAATATATGTTTAAGTATGTGTTGTGTAGTATTTAATATATATACTGTATATATCTATTTAATACCTTTCCTATCTCTCTCTCCACCCCTATTCCCGGGCATATATTAAAGGACTTAATGGCACTCAACACGAAAGTCTTCGTTCATATCCGCGTTCAGCACTCCGTCAGCGAACCATTGAAAATGAGAAGCTCTTAGAACAGAATCAGACCAACCCTTTCCGTAATTCAACGAAAGTCCAGTTTGATGTCCCACTACCACAACAACAACAACAACAACAACAACAATACCAGTCCTATAATAATAACGACCACTCTTTACCATAAAATTATTAAAAAAAACTATTTAAAAAATATCAATAACTTATTGCAATAAAATATATTTCTAGAAAATTACTTTTTTTTTAAAAACACAGAATTTATGTGATATTAAATAGTTTATCTAAAAGTTTTTTTTTTGAAAAAAAAAATATTTTTTATAATATGTTTGCACAATATACTTCTTTTTATCATACATATAAAATATATCAATAATAATTTATTTGCCTGGTTATTAAATATTAATCAGTTTATGTTTTTTTTACAATTTATGTACTAATTATTAAAAAAATAACAATAGTATTATAAATTACATTATAATTTTTTTTAAAGTTTATAAAAAACTATAATTTAAAAAATAAATAAATAGCAAAATAGGGAATTGAACTCGGGCTATTGCCATTAAAGTTGCAAACGATAAAAAATACTTATTAATAAAATAAATAATTAATTATTAATTTATTGCTTAAAATCTAAACTTTTGTTATGATTTCATAAATACACTATAAATGTGTTGACATTATTGATGAATGTTTGATATATTTGTTGACAAAATTGTGTTTACATTTGAAATGTTTTTTATTTTGTTTGGATTTTAAGTCAAAAATTTGTTATTTTTTGATGTCATTTAAGACAAGACATGAATTTATTAATAAAAGTAATGATAATATAAGACTTGGAAAGACACGGAACTAATCAAACACAAGACATGAGTGTCACGATTGATGTGAACGACGTGTTTGAAGAAGTGGTTAAACAAAATGAAAGACTTGTCAAAGAAATTGAATTTTATGAAGAAGTGGTCAACGATTTGGTGATAAATGTGAAGACATGTATTGTTTGTCAACAAAATGATGTCATAAATGACAGAATCAGTGAATTGGAGACACACTTGAAGAGTAAGACAATCGATAACTTAACTTATTTTAAGAGTGAATACAATGACTGCGATAACAACTTAAATGAAAAAGTGAAACCAAAAACATTGAAGAAGACGAAGAATACAAACGAAAAAAATTTGACAGATATTGACAGTAATAAACAAATGTATGTTTTGAGTAGTGATTACAATAAATGTGATGAAAGTTTACCAACAAATGTCAAAACAACAGCAGAGAAGGTAAACAAATTGAATAAAAAACAAAATGTTAAGAAAAGTAAGACAACAACTATTAAGAAAGATATTGTTAAAGATGGCAGTAGTTGTAGTAATGGATCAACTATTAGAAGACAAATGATTTTATTGCCATATAGTGATGAATATGCTAAACAAAGATCGGCATTAAAAGGTGCAAAAAATTATAAGCTTTTAATTTAATAATACTTTAATTATTATTTTTTGTTTTTTTATATTATCGGAACAGTTAAGTCGCGAATCAGTAATGGCCGCTATCGGTGTCGGACGTGTGGCCATCAAAACAAAAACTTCAATCAAATGGAGACACACGTCAACCGATATCATCTCAACATTAAGCCATACAAGTGTGACATTTGTAACGAATATTTTGCCGGTATTTCCTCGCTAAGACATCACAAGACTGTCCATCACTACTATGTTGGCGAAGGATTGGATCAATTAAGCGATCGACGAAACGCTTTACGTATTTGATTTTTTACGGTTTTTTTTATCTTATATAAGATATAATTAATATTTTTGTTTTGTTTTAGTCGCCAAAACAAAAGCCAAAAATCAGTGTCAGTTATGTAAACAAATTTTCAAAGAACAGATGGCCCTCAAGAATCATGAGTTACGCGTCCATCGCAACTCAAAAGTGGCCAAAAACGTTAAATGCGATATTTGTGGACTAATGTATTCAACCAGAACTGCTGTAACAAATCACAAACGATTTTTTCACGGCATAGGAACTACAGTTAAATACTATTACTGCGATTGGCCTGAATGTTCATTTAAGTCATCAAACAAAACACAGTTAGCCTGTATTAAATCAATTTTTTTAATTCAGTTAAACTAATCAATTGTGATATCAATTTTTGTTGTTGTTGTTGATGTTATTGTTGTTGGTTTGTATTATTTATATATATATATATATAAAACAGATCATAAAAATCGACACTCGGGTCTCAAAGATTATATGTGCGAATGGCCCGGTTGTGACTATAAGTGTGTCGACAAAGCGTCACTCGCTGCACATCTACTTGTTCACAGTGATCGACGCGACTACCAGTGCCAATGGCCTGGCTGTGAGCTCAAAGCCAAATCTGGTATTACCGTAATCATAGTTTTACTACTGTATTACCCAATAATTGTTGTGATGTTTATTTTTTTAATATTAAATTATACGATAATTATAATCTAATCGGTAATATGTACTAATAGAGAGACGTTTGCGGATACATGTCAGACAAGTCCATGAGGACAGGCCAGCCATCCATGCGTGTCATTGGCCCGGTTGTGGCAAAATGTTTCGCCTAACAGAACAATTAAGAACGTAATTATGTTTTTTTTTTTTTAATTGTTATCGTTATTTAAGTAAAATCATAATTTTTTTTATCTTAATTGTTATATATTGTTGTTGTTTATTGATTGGCCAGACATATGACGATACACAACGAACCGCACATTCCCTGTCCTCAGTGCAACAAACTGTTTAAATCGAAAAGATATTTAAAAGATCACATGCAATCACATACGGGTCGACCTCGAGTTATGTGTCCAGTGGTTGGATGTAATACACAGATATCGTGCAGAACTAATGTCAGATCACATCTTAAAGTACATCATAAGGATTGGTCCGGCAATTAGACGGCAAAACAGTATATTATATTATCGGTATTATTGTAGTTGACATCATCTGATTTGTTAAATTATTTTTTTTTAATTAATAATAAATTATTTTATTATAGTGTGTTGTACAGTATTATAAAATATAATGTTTTTTTTTGTAATTTTGATGTTTTTATCTTTTTTTGAATATAAAAAAAATAAATATACACACATAAAATATACAGTGTGAGTGTAATTTTATAATAAATTTTATGATAATAACCGTAAAAAATAGTTTTGTTTTTTATTTACCGAACTTATAATACAAATAGTTTGCAAATACAGTATATGAATGACATTATTGATGAATGTTTTGTGGATATATTTGTTGACAAAATTGTGTTTACATTTCAAATGTTTTGTTTGGATTTATTTTTAATTAATTATTTTTAAAGTTATTTAAGACATGAATTTGTAATAAAAATTATGATAATATAAAACATAATACAAGACTTGGAAGACATAGAAGTAATAAAATACAAGACATGAGTGTCACGATTGATGTGAACGACGTGTTTGAAGAAGTGGTTAAACAAAATGAAAGACTTGTCAAAGAAATTGAATTTTATGAAGAAGTGGTCAACGATTTAGTGGCAAATGTGAAGACATGTGTTGTCTGTCAACAAAATGATGTTATAAAAGACAGAATCAATGAATTGGAGACACACTTGAAGAGTAAGACAACCAATAACTTAACTAATGTAAAGAGTGAATACAATGACTGCGATAACAAATTGAAAACAAAAACATTGAAGAAAAGGAAATATATAAAGAAAAGTCGTGTCAAAGACGTTACAAATGTCAAGAAAAGTAAGACAACTACTAATAAGGAAGACATTAGTAAAGATGACAATCATTGTAGTGATGGATCAACTATTACAAGACAAAGAGTTTTGTTGTCATACAGTGATGAATATGCAAAACAAAGATCGACATTAAAATGTGTGCAAAGAATATATAAGTTTTTATTAATTATTGTTTTCATTTAATTATTATTTTTTGTTATTATTATTAATTATTGTTTTTTCTTATTATCGCACAGTTAAGTCACGAATCGGTAACGGTTTCTATCGGTGTCGGACGTGTGGCCATCAAAACAAAAGGTTTGACAACTTGGAGACACACGTCAACCGATATCATCTGAACATTAAGCCATATAATTGCGATTTATGTGACCAACATTTTGTCGGTTATGAATCGCTAAAACATCATAAGTTAGTCGATCACTACATTGTCGGCGAAGGTTTGGACCAATTAAGTGAACGACAAAGCGCTCAAAGTATTTTGATTAGACTTTTATTAATTTTTTTAAAGATCTAATTATTACATTATTTTTTTTTATATTTAATAGTCGCCACAGCGAAAGCCAAATTTCAGTGTCAATTATGTCATAAATTTTTACACGAAGAGATGGCCCTCAAGAATCACGTGTTGCGCGTACATCACAAGTCAAAAGTCGGTAAAAACGTGAAATGCGATATATGTGGACAAATGTATGCCACGCGAACTGCTGTAACAAATCACAAACGATTTTTTCATGGCATAGGAAGTACTATCACTTACTATCACTGCGATTGGACGGACTGTTTGTTTAAGACGTCAAACAAAGCACAGTTAGCCTGTAATTTATCAATAGTTACAAATCAATTAAGATATCATTTTTTGATGATATTGTTGTTTATTTTTGTTGGTTTTGAAAACAGCACATAAAAAGCGACACTCGGGTCTCAAAGAGTGGCTGTGCGAATGGCCCGGTTGTGACTATAGATGTGTCAACAAGACGACACTCGATCAGCATCTACTTGTCCACAGTGATCGACTGGACTATCAGTGCCAATGGCCTGGTTGTGAATTTAAGACCAAAACTGGTAATTTATTTTACTGTTACTACTAATATTTTGTTTCATTTTTTAATGATAATGAATTATTAAGTTTAATATAAACGCTAATTAAGAGATCTAATCGGTAATATGACTATAGATAGACGTTTGCAGACACATGTTAGACAAGTCCACGAGGACAGGCCAGCCATCCATGAGTGTCATTGGCCCGGTTGTGGCAAAATGTTTCGACTAACAAAGCGATTACAAACGTAATTGTGTTTAAAATTTAAATTAATTACTAATATTAGTAATTATAATCATAAATTTTGTTATAAATTATTGTTTATTAATTAACCAGACATATGACGATACACAACGAACCGCATATTCCCTGTCCTCAGTGTAATAAACTATTTAAGTCGAAAAAATATTTGAAAGATCACATGCAATCACATACGGGTAGACAACGAGTTATGTGTCCAGTGGTTGGATGTAATACACAGATATCGTGCAGAACTAATGTCAGATCACATCTGAATGTTCATCACAAGGATTGGTCCGGAAATTAGTATATGTATTATCGGTACTATAATTAGACATTATCTGAGAGTTACATTTATAAAAAAAATTTTTAAATAAATAAATAATTTTAATAATTACCGGTAATTTTATGTATAATTTTACAAAAATATCCTTAAATTATATAATGTTTACTGTGTTCAGCAAATTTCATCTGAGCTAAAAATAATGATTTTTTTTTTAATTTTTGTAAAAATTTTTATTATATTTATTTATATTTTACCTGTAGTTGTCTTATAAAATTATAATATAGTATTTATTATTTAAATTTTTTAATGATATGAATCATATCATATGATACGGAATATAAAATATTGTGCAATAAATGTGTTGACATTATTGATGAATATTATGGATATATTTGTTGACAAAATTGTGTTTACATTTCAAATGTTTTGTTTGGATTTTAAGTCAAAATTTTTTGATGAAATGAAAATTATGTTTGAAATGATTTAATGACAAGATATGAATCAAAGTAATTATAATATAAGACATACAAGACTTGGAAGACATAAAACACAAGACATGAGTGTCACGATTGATGTGAACGACGTGTTTGAAGAAGTGGTTAAACAAAATGAAAGACTTGTCAAAGAAATTGAATTTTATGAAGAAGTGGTCAACGATTTGATAACAAATGTTAAGACATGTATTGTTTGTCAACAAAATGATGTCTTAAATGACAGAATCAATCGATTGGAGAAATACTTGAAGAGTAAGTCAATCGATAACTCAACTGATTTTAAGAGTGAATGCAATAAGAAATTGAAAACAAATGTGAAGACAAAGACATTAAAGAATAGGAGGAATACAAAGAAAAGACGTGTTGAAGATGTGACAGATATTGATAGTTATGAACCAACAGATATGACAAGTGATGACAATGAGTCAGATATAAGTTGGACAACAAATGTCAAAACAAAGACATCGAAGAAGACTAGGAATACAACTAAAAGACGTGTTGAAGATTTGGATGATATTAATAACAGTGAACCAAATGATGAAACTTTAGATTATCCGAAACCTAGAGATACTTTAAAAGGTTTTTGACAATAATTTTTGATAAATAAAGTCTTTAATTATTACTTTTATTTGACGAAACAGTTGAATCACTTATCAATAATGACTACAAAATCACAAAAACTAAAGTTAAGATACGAAGTGTACGAAAACCGAGAGCTAAACCAAAACGTCGTTTAGAAGACAGCAGTGAAAGTGATTATGAATCAGATGGCGAACAGTTGCCGGAACTGATAAGCGATGACAAACCATATAGTCTTGAATATGAAATGCAAAGAGATTTACTCAAAGGTAATAGACATGAATTAATCGTTATATATAAATGTGATATTTATTTATATAATGTTTAATCTATGTCTGAATCATCAGACAAAACACGTATTATAGGTATCGGTAGTGGATATCGATGCCAGTCCTGTATCTATCAAAACAGTGAATTTCGTGCTTTGGAGAAACACATCAATCGACATCATCTGAAGATTAAGCCATTCAAGTGTCGAGTTTGTTGTATTGGTTTTTACTGTCTGAGTGATTGTATACAACATTTGAGAAAACAACATAATATTGTCAGCGATGGTAATTATTTTGCATAAGATAATTGAAATCACAATAATTTTTTTTTGCTTTTTATCAGCCATTAAGATGAGTAACACATATAACAATTATGATGTAATTGATGAAACAATTACTGATGAGAAACCATATAGTGATGAATATGTGGAACAATTGCGAGCACTCAAAGGTAAGCTATAATTCAATGGTTTTGCATTACTACTGATTGATGTTAACCAATATATTAATGTGTGATCAGCCTCTTCACGTAAAAGTGATGGCAGATATCATTGCAAAGATTGTGAATACCATAGTTCAGAATTTGTTGGTTTTGAGTCACACGTCAATCGACATCATCTGAAGATTACGCCATACAAATGTCATCTCTGTCCGAATCGCTATACCGGCAGACATATACTAAATAAACACAAAAAAGATGGCCACAAACATACCAGAGATAGTAATAACTTATTTGATTTAACTTTTTTTATCATTTAATTAAAAAGATTATTTTATTTACTGTTTTTCTGAATTTTTGTTTGGATTTGTCTTTTTTTTAGGTAAACTATTACCGACACAATCATTCAAGTGTTCCTATTGTGACGACTATACTGCCATTAGTTTGGGAAAACTCGAGCAACACATTACACGCACCCATTTGCACGTGAAATTTGATACCAAAGAAGTCAAATGTACGACCTGTGGAAAGTCGTATAGTAGCGAGAATTCGCTGCGCACACACCGGCATATCAGTCACGGTGTCGGCAGAAATTTGATTTATATCAAATGCGATTGGCCCGGATGTTCATTTAAGACACACAATAAATCATTGTTGATCAGTAAGTAGTAAAAACTTACCTACCGGTGCTCATTAAATATAGATTAATTATCTATTCATTTAGATACTACTGTATAGTCAATTATACCGGTAGTACTAAATTTATACAATGGTACGACTATTTATTTGACGATTTGTTGTTGTTGTTATGATTAGCTCATCATAAACGACATATAGGTGCCAAAGAGTTTGCTTGTGAATGGCCCGGTTGTGACTACCGGTCGATCACCAAAATCGATATGAACCGACATAGCGGTTCCGTACACACTCAACTGAGACAGTACCCGTGCCAATGGCCCGGTTGTGACTATAGCGGTAAAATTGGTAATTATTTAGTTTTTTATTTTTATTATTTATTATGTTGTTGTTGTTGAAAATAATTGTTTGTTTTTTTAACACTAGAACGGCATTTACAACAACACACACAAAGAGCACACGAGGACAGACCCTATGCTCACGTGTGTGATTGGCCCGAATGCGGTAAAAAATTTCGGTTTAAAAATTTGTTAACAAGGTTAGTTAGTTTTATTTTACTACCGGTAAATGAATGTAAAATATTTTTTTGTTGTTGATATACACAGACATATGGAGTTACACAACGAACCGCATATTCCCTGTTCAGTCTGCGGTAAACTGTTTAAGTCGAAGAAGTATTTGAAAGATCACATGCAATCACATACGGGTCGCAAATCAGTTATGTGTCCAGTCTTTGGATGTAATACAAGGATATCGTGCAAACCTAATCTCAAATCACATCTTAGGGTACATCATAAGGATTGGTCCGGAAATTAGATAAAAAGTTTATTATTAATTATTAATTTAATAATCATCTGAGAGTTATATTAATATTGTTTTTTTTTTAATAAATAAATAAATGTTTTATACTGTTTGTAATTTTGAAGTTTTTATTTTATTAATTTAAATTATACAGATTTTATTTATTAATAAAATAATCAATGAATTTAATTATTATATTACGATTCTGTAATATTTGACATTATTTATGAATATTTGGTATATTTGTTGACAAAATTGTGTTTACATTTCTAATGTTTATTGGATTTTGAGTCAAAAAAAATTTGTTATTAAATTATTTTTGAAGTAATTTAAGACAAGACATGAATCAAAGTAATGATAATATAAGACATAATACAAGACTTAGAAGACATGGAAGTCGTAAAACACAAGACATGAGTGTCACGATTGATGTAAACGACGTGTTTGAAGAAGTGGTTAAACAAAATGAAAGACTTGTCAAAGAAATTGAATTTTATGAAGAAGTGGTCAACGATTTGATAACAAATGTGAAGACATGTGTTGTTTGTCAACAAAATGATGTCTTAAAAGACAGAATCAATGAATTGGAGACACATTTGAAGAGTAAAATAACTGATAACTCAACTAATGTTAAGAGTGAATACAATGACTGCGACAATAAATTACAAACAAAAAGTTTAGAAAAATCAAAGAAAATAAATAAAAAGTGTATTAAAATTACAGATTCTGATGAAAGTTGGACAACAAATGTAAAGACAGTGAAGAAAACTAATAAAAATTCAAAGATTGTATTCAACAGAAAAAATAAAATCAGTTTAAAAGATGTCAATAAAGTTAAGAAAAATAAAAACAATTTAAATTCAGTTAATAGTGGAAAACGTATAAAATTTTATAGCAATGAATATGAAACACAAAGAAATCAATTAAAATGTATTTATCAATTGATTTAATTATAAAAATATTTATTATTATAACAATCTAATTATATAAAAAAAACATTAATATACACACAAACAGGTGACACACAAACCATTGATGGCAACTATCGGTGCCAAACATGTGATTATAAAAGTCGTAACTTTGAAGAATTGGAAACACATGTCAACCGATATCATCTAAACATTAAGCCATACAAGTGTCACATTTGTGGCCAATATTTGGTCGGTTATACAGCTTTAAGACGACATAAGAGTTGGAAACATTATACTATGGGCGAAGGTTTGGATCAATTAAGCGATTGGCGAAAAGCTCAGAGTATGGATAAGTTTATTGGTTTTTCATGTATTTACTTAAAAAAATACATAATTTATTTGAAACAGTAATATTTGATAATAAATTTGTTGTTTTATTTGTCTTACTTTTAGTCGCCCAAACTCTATCCAAATTTCAATGTAAATTATGTAAAAAATTTATACACAGCGAGTATGATCTGAAACGACACGTGTTGCGCGTCCATCAAAACGTGAAACCGTCTAAAATGTTTGCGTGCGATATGTGCGACAAGACATATGGTCACAATAATTCACTTCAAACACATAAACGTTTACATCACGGCATTGGACCGCCAGTTACCTACTATTATTGTGATTGGGAGGGCTGTCAGTATAAATCACCAAATATTTCACTGATACCAAGTATGTAGAAGAAAGTGCTTACAAATAAGTGCACCGTTTAATAAACAAATTTTATATAATATATATATAAATATTTATATATATATATATAAACTATTGATTTTTATTTTATTAATAAATCAAATAAATTTGCAGTTCATAAGAAAATACATTTAGGTATCCGTGACTATGTGTGCGATTGGCCCGGATGTGAGTTTCGGTCGTCAACTAAAACAACATTAAATACACACCAGATTGTTCACAGCGATAAATATGACTACCGGTGCCAATGGCCTGGCTGTGAGTTTCGTACTAAACAAGGTATATATATATATATATATATATATTAAATACTTTTTATTTATAACTCTGTTATTTCTGTATACGATATTACCGTAATTTTTTTATATCGGTAAATAACTGCCGGTAATTACCCGGTATATAATAACTTATCTATAATAGATGTTGCATTGAGGAAACATGTGAGACATGTTCACGAGGACATACCCTACGCACTGGCCTGTCATTGGCCCGGATGTGATAAAAAGTTTAAATTTAATAAAGACGTGAAAAAGTATATAATTTTTTTTTTCAAATAAATTTTAACTTTGAAAACAAAGCACATGTAATCAACTTATTTTTCATCCGAAATATTTTTACAGTCATATGAAACTACATAACGATCCACACCTTCCCTGTCCTGAGTGTAACAAAAAGTTTACGACTAAAAAGTATTTGAAAGATCACATGCAATCACATACGGGTTATATACGAGTCAAGTGTCCGGTAGACGGATGTAATACACGGATATCGAGCGCTACTAATGTTAGATCACATCTTAAAGTACATCATAAGGATTGGACTCGCAATAAGTGATTACCTAATAAACTAAATTATAAAATTTATATATAAATAATTTTTTCTGTATTTATTAATAATTATTTTTTTTTTAAATTAATAATAAAAATATTACTGTCATTGCGCACACGTTTGTTGATTGCATATAATGCGATAAGTGGTAGTATTAGTGGTAATTGCTATACCCCTGGAGTTTGCTTGATTTGGTGACACAAAATCCAAGTCATGTTATATTATGTTTAATTATGTATTAAATTCATGCAACTCATGATTTTTTTTATTATTATTTAATTTATGCCACCCTTTTAGTACTGTAATGTATGATCGATCTATACGTAGTATTTTACATATTACACTTACAATAGTGTTTCGTATAATATCCTATAATAATAATGAAAAGTCAATTGAAGTCAGAAAAACAAGTGAGAAAGTGTCAGTGGAGTCCTGAGTGGACAGTAGTCAGAGAGAGAAGGAGGGAGTGTGTGTGTAGTCGAGTGGACATTTGTGGGCACAAATTATTGTAAATACAATACTCAAGTCGGTAATTAAGGGTTAAAATTAATGTTTTAATTAAAATAAATCCCACTCAGTTTCACCAACATACATTCTGTTTTTTAAAGCCTCCTGGTTTTCTTCCTGTATATAGATTAACTATATCTTTGATACCTCTGAAATACCCAATGTAAGTTGTTGTACAGCTTGTAATTGTAGATAGCTCCGTTAACTTTTTTCAGCGACAACAGCAAGATCTGATCGTTTGCCAGTTTTATTAGGGCTTCCAAATTGCCAATAGTCACCAGCTTTACGACAATACTCGTGATTTTTTTTCAGCAGTTCTTTTAGCAGAATCAATGTGACCACTGACTGTAATTTCTCACATTGAACTAAATTCACGTTTGAATCTACAATTAATGAACCCTTGTTGGTGTTTATTTCCAATAGTAGGAACTGTTTCTCTGCCGTAAATAGCATATAAATATAAATTATAATATTAAAACTATTTTGTATAAGCATTGATGTTCAAAAACAAACTCATGTTTTCATTGAAACAATGATTCAACAAAAACATTCACTTCCAGGAAAAACGGGAATGTTTTCAACAATTTTTGCAAATCAAATGTGAAAACAACACGCGATTCACTGGAAAAGTCATTTCAAGCAAAACATTTTACAAAAAAAAAGTCTTGAATTTCAAATGAAAAGCAAACAAATCTGAAATGCAAATCAAAGGCCATAAAAAGAGGCCCAAAGAGTTGGCAGTCATTGTTTGGGAAGGCATTGGTAGAGACAGTAAACTTCGAAACAAAGAAAAAAGTTTTGTTTTTGTGAAATTTTTTTTTGAAAAATTTTGGGAAATGGCAACCGTCGGAGGCAATGGTGGAGGTTAGGACCCGCAAGACCCGCATCGTCCAAGCGAATGGTTGGACCGTTTTCATCAGGTGATGGTCTCGAAGGGCAACAACAAAAATTTCAAGAATCGCTTTGCTGAGGTCTCGGCCACCCATGAGTTGTCCCGATCTCAATCATGGGATCGGTATGGAGCCGACGCTGAACAGGCCAGGCAAGAAACGCGGACCGAAATTCGACATCAACAAGTCGAGGCCGATTTCCAGGCCGAGGAGAGCCGCCGACAAGAAGATCGCAATTGCCGTTTCTGCGCCGACAATCACCAGCCCTTCTGGAACCGGCAGAAGAGAGCCGACCGCTAAAGAGGGGCGGATGTGCCCATAGATGGCCACCAACACCAACACACAGTTGACATCCCTTTCCTTCTCTCTGATTGGTTGACCCTTTTGTGATCAACCATTATAAAAATGGTCGGCTGACCCTCTCTCTCTCTCTCTCTCTCTCTCTCTCTCTCTTGACTTTGACTTGAATTGTCTTCATTTTCTCTGAAACACAAAAAAAAACAATTTTTTTAATTTTTGAATAAATTTTTTGAAACCCTTTTCATCGGTTGTGTCCATTCATTCCCATCGCATCTCTGGTCACAACACTTTTAAACTTTTTCGTTGGAAACTTGATTTTATTAAGATTTAAAATTAATTAAATATAATGTGAATATAATATATATGTATTAATAAATTTAAGGTTACAATAACTATTGTATATATAACTGTATGATTGAATATTTTTCATTAAAAAAATAATAATTATACAATAAATGTTTTTATAAAATATTTTTTATCATTGGTTATACAATAATTTATAAAATTGTAAATACAATTATTTTTTTAAAAATATTATTACTTTATAAGTTTTTTTTATTGATATATAGATAACATAAACGTAATGTTTGAATGTTTTTTTTTGTGGATATATTTGTTGACAAAAAATTGTTTACATTTTGAGTCAACATTTTTTTTTGATGAAATCATTTTTCAAGTGATTTAATTTCAGACAAGACATGAATCAAAAATAATGATAATATAAGACATAATACAAGACTTGGAAGTAATAAAATACAAGACATGAGTGTCACGATTGATGTGAACGACGTGTTTGAAGAAGTGGTTAAACAAAATGAAAGACTTGTCAAAGAAATTGAATTTTATGAAGAAGTGGTCAACGATTTGTTGACAAATTTGAAGACTTGTTTAGTTTGTCAACAAAATAATGTCATAAAAGACAGAATCAATGAATTGGAGACAAGGAATACAAAGGAAAGACTTGTTGTCAAAGATGTGATTCATATTAATAGCAGTGAACCAACTGATGAAACCTTGAATTATGCGAAACCAATACATGACCTAAAAGGTGATAATAATTGTCAACAAATTTCTAGTTCTTGTAATTATGAATCAGATGACAAACCATTGCCGGAACTGATCAGTGATGCAAAACCATATAGTCTTGAATATGAAGCCCAAAGAGATGCACTCAGAGGTAACTATAGTATAGTTTATAGACATTTGAAACTAATATATGATATGATATTGTTTTTTGTATTTAATATTTTAATTTATATCTTAATTATTTAGACAAAACACATCTGTCAGGTGTCGGCAGTGGATATCGATGTCATTCCTGTGACTTTCAAAACTATAAGTTTCGTGTTTTAGAGAAACACATCAATCGATTTCATCTGAATATTAAGCCATTCAAGTGTCGGGTTTGTTGTATTGGTTTTTACTGTTTAAGTGATTGTATACAACATTTGAGAAGACGGCATAATATCGTCAGCGATAGTAATCATCATTTTTTTCTTTAAAAAAAATTATTTTGCATAATATATATGAAATCACAATTAATTTTTGTTTTATTTTATCAGAAATTAAGATGAGTAACGATTATAACAAATATAAACTAATTGATGAAACAGTAAATGAATACAAACCATATAGCGATGAATATGTGGACCAAATGCGAGCACTCAAAGGTAGACAATACCGATAATCATTGTTTTTTAAAAAAACTATAACTAAATGTTTCAATTGATTTCAAATCAGTCTCTTCGCGTAGAAGTGACGGCCGATACCATTGCAATGATTGTGGATTTCATAATTCAAATTTCACTATTCTTGAGTCGCACGTCAATGGAGATCATCTGAAGATTACGCCATATATGTGTCATCTTTGCCCGAAACGCTATAAAGGCAGACATATACTAAACAAACACAGAAAAACGGTTCACAACTTTACAACTAAAGAGAGTAATTGAATAACTATTTTTTGTTAACTATTTTTTTTTAAATATCAATATTATGTTTATATATTTATTTAGTTGAATCAGTACCGCAACTATCACTCAACTGTTCCTACAGTGACTGCGACTATACTGCTAATAGTGTCAAAAGCCTCGAACATCACATTACAACTGTCCATCTGCTGGTGAACTTTGAAGCCAAAGGAGTGAAATGTAGTGATTGTGAAAAGACGTTTGGATGCGAGTCTTCATTTTACAGACACCGGCGAAAGTTTCACAGTATTGGCAAAAGTTTTCCGTATATTAATTGCAATTGGCCCGGATGTTCGTACAAGACATATGTGAAAAATCAGATGAAAAGTATGTAAAAAAACATACCGATGTTCATTATAAAAAAACTAACTGTCCATTTTTTTTTTAAAAAAAAGTATCTCTAATTGCATGTAAAATATATGTTGTTTTTGTTATTATTAGAACATCATATAAGACACACTGGTATCAAAATGTTTGCCTGTGAATGGCCCGGTTGTGACTATAAGTCGGTAACCAAATGTGAATTGGACAGACATTGCGAGCGACACATTCAAAAACGTGAATACAAGTGCCATTGGCCCGGCTGTGAATATGCCTCTAAAACAGGTATGTGATTGTTATATCATAGGTACGGTAATAAACTTTTTATTGTTTATTACGTTACCATAATTTTTTTTATACAGTTAATTAGTAACAAGGGTGATGATTAACAATTTAGTGATTTAATTGATTGTTTTTTTGTTGGTTGTTGTTTGGTAACTATAGGTCGCTATTTGAAACGGCATACGATAACAATTCACGAGACAACCCCTTATATACATGAATGTCATTGGCCCGGGTGTGACAAAAAGTTTCGTTTTAAGCAATTGTTGTCCATGTAATATAATTTATAGTATTTCGTATAATTAATATTAGCTATTAATTGTTAATTTTTTTATTGACATTTTTTTTAAATTAACGTTCAGTCATGTCCGGGACTTTCATGGATTGGCAGACAAACAGTGTCCTCGATGTCATAAAATGTTTAAAGCCAATAGATATTTGAAAGATCACATGAAAATACATGATAAGAGTTGATTATAGGGTGGTTTTCAATCGGGAAAGAGTATCTGTGATGTGTATACGACACGGATATTATCAAAAACAATTAAATATACTTTACAATTGATGTCTATTTAACAATAGATGATAAATACGGTATTAATTAATACATTGTATTTGATAGGACTTGACATCTCAATAAAATTGTTTTTATATAATACTAGTGTTTGATTAATATTAATAAATGTTTTGTTTTTTTAATTACGTTAAGAAATAATATATATTTGCATTAGTTATACACTAATTTAAAAAATATTGTAAATAAAATTATTTAATTAAAATTATAACATTTTAGAAAATATTTTTATTTAAATAACATTTACGTAATGTTTGAATGTTTTTTTTGTTGATATATTTGTTGACAAAATTGTGTTTACATTTGAAATGTTTTGTTTGGATTTTAAGTCAAAAATTTGTTATTAAATTATTTTTGATGTCATTTAAGACAAGACATGAATCAAATTAATGATAATATAAGACAATCAAGACTTGGAAGACATAAGAAACAAGACATGAGTGTCACAATTGATGTAAACGACGTGTTTGAAGAAGTGGTTAAACAAAATGAAAGACTTGTCAAAGAAATTGAATTTTATGAAGAAGTGGTCAACGATTTGTTGACAAATTTGAAGACATGTGTTGTTTGTCAACAAAATGATGTCATAAAAGACAGAATCAGTGAATTGGAGACAAGGAATACAAAGGAAAGACTTGTTGTCAAAGATGTGACTCATATTAATAGCAGTGAACCGACTGATGAAACCTTGAATTATGCGAAACCAATACATGACCTAAAAGGTGATAATAATTGTCAACAAATTTCTAGTTCTTGTAATTATGAATCAGATGACAATCAATTACCGGAACTGATCAGTGATGCAAAACCATATAGTCTTGAATATGAAGCCCAAAGAGATGCACTCAGAGGTAAAACTATATATAATTTATAGACATTTGAAACTAATATATGATATGATATTGTTTTTTGTATTTAATATTTTAATTTATATCTTAATTATTTAGACAAAACACATCTGTCAGGTGTCGGCAGTGGATATCGATGCCAGTCCTGTGACTTTCAAAACTATAAGTTTCGTGTTTTAGAGAAACACATCAATCGATTTCATCTGAATATTAAGCCATTCAAGTGTCGGGTTTGTTGTATTGGTTTTTACTGTTTAAGTGATTGTATACAACATTTGAGAAGACGGCATAATATCGTCAGCGATAGTAATCATCGTTTTTGTCCAAAAAAATTATAATAATAATAATTTTTATAAGATATATAAAATAACAATTAATTTTTGTTTTGTTTTGTTTTATTAGAAATTAACGATTATAAAGTAATTGATGAAACAGTAAATGAATACAAACCATATAGCGATGACTATGTGGAACAATTACGAGCACTCAAAGGTAGACAATGATTGTTTAATAATTGTTTTTAAATATAACTAAATGTTGTTTCAATTGGTGATCAGCCTCTTCGCGTAGAAGTGACGGTAGATATCATTGCAATGATTGGATTTCATAATTCAAATTTCACTATTTTTGAGTCACACGTCAATGGAAATCATCTGAAGATTATGCCATATATGTGTCATCTCTGTCCGAAGCGCTATAAAGGAAGACAAATACTAAACACACACAGAAAAGTGATCCACAATTTTACAACTAAAGAGAGTAATTGATTAACTATTTCTTAATTATTATTTTTGTTGCAATTTTTTTAACCCGTAATTAAAGTTGTTTTATTTAATATCAATATTTTTTTTACATTAATTAATGTTTATATAATTATTTAGTTGAATCAGTACCGCAACTATCACTCAAGTGTTCCTACAGTTACTGCAACTATATTGCTAATAGTGTGAAAAGCCTCGAACATCACATTACAACTGTCCATCTGCTGGTGAACTTTGAAGCCAAAGAAGTGAAATGTCCGGACTGTCAAAAGACATTTGGATGCGAGGCTTCGTTTTATAGACACCGGCGTACTTATCACGGTATTGGCAAAAGTTTGCCGTATATTAATTGCAATTGGCCCGGATGTTCATACAAGACATGTGAAAAGAAACAGTTCATTAGTATGTAAAAAACATACCGATCTTCACTTAAAAAAACATCTATCTATCCATTTAAGTTTTTTTTAAAAAAAAGTATCTAATTGCATGTAAACTATTGTTATTGTTAGACCATCAGAAACGACACACTGGTATCAAAATGTTTGCCTGTGAATGGCCCGGTTGTGACTATAAGTCGGTAACCAAAAGTGAATTGGACAGACATTGCGAGCGACACAATCAAAAATTTGAATTCAAGTGCCATTGGCCCGGCTGTGAATATGCCTCTAAAACAGGTATGGGTTTGTTAATATCATAGGTATGGTAATCAACTTTTTATTGTTTATTATGGTGCCATAATTTTTTTTATACAATTACCGGTAATTGGTAACAAGTAATTAACAATTTAGTGATTTAATTGATTGTTTTTTTTGTTGTTTGTTTGTTAACTATAGGTCGCTATTTGAAACGGCATACGATAACAATTCACGAGACAACCCCTTATATACATGAATGTCATTGGCCCGGGTGTGACAAAAAGTTTCGTTTTAAGCAATTGTTGTCCATGTAATATATATATATATATATTATTTTACTATAATTAATTTTAGCTATTAATTGTTAATTTATTTTTTATTAATTAACGTTCAGTCATGTACGGAACAAACATGGATTGGCAGACAAACAGTGTCCTCGATGTCCTAAAATGTTTAAAGCCAATAGATATTTGAAAGATCACATGAAAATACATGATAAGAGTTGATTATAGGGGGGTTTCCAATCGGGAAATAGTATCTGTGATGTGTATACGACACGGATATTATCAAAAACAATGAATATACTATACAATTGATGTCTATTTAGCAATAGATGATAATTTTAAAATAAATTTTATATACGGTATTTGATAGGACTTGTTATTTAATAAAATTGTTTTTTTTAATATAATACGAGTGTTTGATTAATGTTAATAAATGTTTTGTTATTTTTAATTACGTTATACACTAATTTAAAAATATTGTAAATAAAATAATTTAATTAAAATTATGACATTTTATAAAATATTTTTGTTAAATAACATTTACGTAATGTTTGAATGTTTTGGATATTTGTTGACAAAATTGTGTTTACATTTCAAATGTTTTGGATTTTAAGTCAAAAATTTGTTATTAAATTATTTTTGATGTCATTTAAGACAAGACATGAATCAAATTAATGATAATATAAGACAATCAAGACTTGGAAGACATAAGAAACAAGACATGAGTGTCACAATTGATGTGAACGACGTGTTTGAAGAAGTGGTTAAACAAAATGAAAGACTTGTCAAAGAAATTGAATTTTATGAAGAAGTGGTCAACGATTTGATAAGAAATGTGAAGATATGTATTGTTTGTCAACAAAATGATGTCATAAATGACAGAATCAGTGAATTGGAGACACACTTGAAGAGTAAGACAATCGATAATTCAATTAAAGTTAAGAATGAATACAATGATTGCGATAACAAATTGAAAACAAAGACATTGAAGAAAAGATGTGTTGCAGATGTGACTGATATTAATAGCAATGAACCGACTGATGAAACCTTGAATTATGCGAAACCAATACATGACCTAAAAGGTGACAATAAAACCATCAAAACTAAAGTTAAGACACGAATTGTACGAAAACCGAGAACTAAATTAAAACGTCGAGTAGAAGACAGCAGTGAAAGTGATTATGAATCAGATGAAGAACTGTTGCCGGAACTGATAAGCGATGACAAACCATATAGTCTTGAATATGAAATACAAAGAGATTTACTCAAAGGTAATAGACATGAGTTGATCATTATATATAAATGTGATATTTATTTATATAATGTTTAATCTATCTCTTAATCATCAGATAAGACCCGTATTATAGGTATCGGTTGTGGATATCAATGCCAGTCCTGTGTCTATCAAAACACTGAATTTCGTGCTTTGGAAGCACACGTCAATCGACAACATCTGAAGATTAAGCCATTCAAATGTCGAGTTTGTTGTATTGGTTTTTACTGTTTGAGTGATTGTCTAAAACATTTGAGAAAAAAACATAATATTGTGAGCGATGGTAATAATTTTTAAACAAAAAATATTTTGTATAAGATATTTGAAATTTTAATGACCAGTAATTTTTTTCTTTGTTAGCTATTAAGATGAGTAACACTTATAACAAGTATGAAGTAATTGATGAAACAATAACTGAAGACAAACCATATAGTGATGAATATGCAGATCAATTGAGAGCACTAAAAGGTAGACAATCATTACCATAATATTTGATCAATATATTAATTTAATGATTAGCTTCATCACGTAGAAGTGATGGCAGCTATCAATGCAAAAATTGTGAATATCTTAGTCAGGATTTTAATAGTCTTGAATCGCACGTCAATCGACATCATCTGAAGATTACGCCATACAAGTGTCATCTCTGCCCGAATCGCTATAACGGCAGACATATACTGAGCAAACATAGGAAACAGATTCACAACTATACCAAAGATCGTAATTAACTAATTTGTGTTTAATTTCATTTTTCAAGCAATAATTTGTATTTTATTTTATTTTTTTTAGCTAAATCATTACCAACACAATCATTCAAGTGTAGCTACTGTGCCGACTATACAGCCCTAAGTATGAAAATGCTTGAACAACACATAACACGCGCCCATTTGCACGTGAAATTTGAAAACAAAGGAGTCAAATGTACAGTTTGTGGAAAGTTTTATAGCAGCGAGATTTCATTACGCAAACACCGACAGGTCAGTCACGGTATTGGCCGAAGTTTGAATTATATGAACTGCGATTGGCCCGGATGTTCATTTAAGTCGCATAATAAATCCTTGTTGATCAGTATGTAAAATAGCATACCAGTGCTCATTAAAAATATCTAACTGTCATAATAAATACTACCGGTAATTGTTAAAAAAAACTATTGATGTTTTTGGTGTTATTAGACCATCACAACCGACACACGGGTGTCAAAGAGTTTACCTGTGAATGGCCCGGTTGTGACTATCAGACGGTCACCAAAATGGATTTGAACCGACACAGTACAGTACACACTCAACAATGCGACTACCGGTGCCAATGGCCTGGCTGTGAATATGCCGGTAAATCAGGTACGGGTAATGTTGAATATAAAAATACTGTATATAGTTATATATTTTCGGTAATAAATATTTTTTTACCGTATCTTAGAATTGATTTACTGGTATTTTATTTTTTGTTGTAAATTTTGTTGTTGTTATTGATAACTATAGATCGCAATTTGAAACGTCATACGACAACCGTTCACGAAACCAGTCCTTATATACATGAATGTCATTGGCCTGATTGTGACAAAAAGTTTCGTTTTAAACAATTATTAACAAGGTAATATTTATATTTAATTTATATAATTAATTTTATATATAACTAAATTGTTTTCCATGTGTGTGTGTGTGTGTGTGTGTGTGTGTGTGTGTGGGTGGGTGTGGATAATGTGTAATATTTAATAGTAGTTTTGCATATTTTAAAATTATTACGAAATTCAATTATATATTTACCGGTATATATTATTTAATCGTTTTTTTAATACTTTACTAATATGTTGTGAATAAACGTTTAAAAAATATATTTACCGGTAATTAAAAAAAATCATTTATTTACTTACTTATCAATGGGTCTATTTTATTGTTGTTTTTGTTATACACAGACATATGGAGTTACACAACGATCCGCATATTCCCTGTTCAGTCTGCGGTAAACTGTTTAAGTCGAAGAAGTATTTGAAAGATCACATGCAATCACATACGGGTCGCAAATCAGTTATGTGTCCAGTCTTTGGATGTAATACAAGGATATCGTGCAAACCTAATCTCAAATCACATCTTAGAGTACATCATAAGGATTGGTCCGGAAATTAGACAAACAGAGTATATATTCTCTGGTATTATACTGTAGTCGATATCATCTGAGATTTACATTTAGAAAATTTGTTTCAAATAAATATGTATTATAATGTGTGTCTAATTTTATTCTTATTAATAATAATAATTGATTTGAATTAGTTTTTAACTTTTTTTTTTAAAAAATGTCTTTAGGCATCTGCAGGAAAAGCATAGACAGGCAAACATACCATGTCCTCGATGTCACAACGGTTTAAATCCAAAGTTATCAATCAATACATTGCATTTGTGTGGACTTGACATCAATTTTATGTGCGGTAATTGAAAGATTTTTTTTTGGGAAAAATTTCTTTTACCGTTACTTACCTGTAATACTTACTGTATATATGATGTGATCATTATATATATTTTTGTTGACATCATTAAAAAATAACCAAAAAAAACTGCTTCTACTACTCGGACGGTCATTGACGGGACACCCGATCCCGCGACTATTGTCTCATTAACCATCATTAATATATATATTAATTTATATACTGGTAATTATAATTTAGTAAATTATTTACTTATCATTGATTTTTTTAAAGAAAAACAAAACAAAAATTTTGTACACAATATTTTTTTCGTTACATTACATTTCGTTATATAAATTAAATAATAAAATATTGAAATTACTTAAATAAATATAAAATTAAAACTAAAATACTAAACTCATTATTTAAATGAAGACAATGTCTTTTTAGGTGTTGTGTTGATGTTGTTGTTGTCACCAATTTGTTGCCTAATCTGGTGTTTCAATTCTGGGGACATTTGTCTCATTTGGTACTCCATTACAGATTTGGTAATATCTGTGATCATTTCGGTTACTAAGACCACATCCCGTTCGGATGTCAGCCGTACGCGAAACACACGTTCGAGTGGACTCATATCGGCTACAGATTTGGATTTTGACGGCATATTTATTTGTTGGGAATATGTTTTAGTCACTGATGATGACTGTTGAGGTTCAACAGCTACTGACGACGACGATGACGTCGCGGTCTGTTTTGGCGGTCGATCAGTACCATAGGTGAACAATACGTTTCCGGCCAGACAATTAGGCGGTGCCGCTTGATTTATTACCCGATACTCGCCGCGACCGACCAGTGTCTCTAATTCGAGAGCCCGTTTACCGGCCTCTAGGGTGGACTGCGGAGTTTCCTCTCGAAAATCGGAAGCTTCCGACGGATGAATCCTTTTCTGATTATTTTTTTAAAAAATATAATAATTACCGGTTATTATAATCTTAATCATTGAGGTTTTGCATCAATAAAAAAACTCTTATAATTCTCTTATATAATACTCACAATGAAATTCGTGCGATGATTGAAACTACATATATGAGTGATGATACCGCTGGTCGTATTGAAAGTATGACACATAACACACTCGTATATTCGGGGTCTGTTGGGATTGGGATCAATAAATTCGTTGATGAAGTCGAGTCCGATGATCGGTTTGCTGCATATCTTCAATTGCTGGGCAAATAACTTGTGTAGTTCCAGATGTTTCACCACCTCTTGCAGTGATTCAATGGATACGCCACAGTTCTGTTTGATGAATGAAGAGATCAGATCTATTGTCGACTAAAATCTTAATTAATTAGTTATACCTCACAAATGTAGGCCTCTTTGCCGATGCCATCTTTTAGACGAATGCCTTCGTTAAAGTAGTCGTTTTTGATAACATTGCTAATCTTTGACAATTCCTTCTTACGGGCCAACGCTACCGATATATTGCCTAATTGTATGACAATTATCAATGTTTAATAACAACACAATTAAAAATTACTAACAGATAAGCAAACAAATCACTTACTTATGTTATCAGTTTTGATGGTATATTTGGCGTCAATACCTTTTAAGGTATCGCCAATTTTGGTCTAAAAATATCGGTAATTATAATAATGAAAAACAACATAACTATTAGTAACGAATGAAATATTTTTAATATTTTTTTTGCTGACAAACCTTATGATGTTTGGGTGACTCTATATGTCGTTCAGCGTTATTAAAGTTCTGACAGAAGACTTCGCAGATCAGACACCAATAGCCTTTCAGTTCGTTTTGTTGTCGGCTTTCGATTCCTTCGGCTTTTAGTTTGTCGATTCGCGATTCGTTTGACTCGCCACGCGATGGCGATCCGAGATCGACAACTTCGACGGGTGGCGGTGGATACGATGGAGGAGGCGGTACAGGTGGCGGTGGTTGCATTGGCAATGGAGGTTGGCCAGATGGTGGTGGTGGTGGAGGCGCTCGTCCGTAATGAGCGGACCCATATTGAGAGGTTGATTGATTGGCGTATGATGTCATCATTTGAGGAGATGGTGTCCTAACGTGAGATTGTTGGCCAGTGGCCTGTGATTGATGGGAAGTTGATGATGATAAGGGTGGTGGTGGCGGTGGTTGTGCCGGATATGATGTCGATGGCAATGGTGGTTGAATTGGTGGCTGTACTGGTTGTGAAGGAGGCCCTCTCGAATAGTAGGACGACGACAATGATGCTGATGATTGGTCCGAATAATCAGACATTGGTTGAGAGGTTTGTGTCGGCTGTCCAGTCAATTGCGAGGTTTTTGATGAATTATCATATGATTGCTGATGACTGTTATGAAATGGCTGTAGATTTGTGGTCTCTGGATGTGGCAATAGTCCTGACGGGGGTCTTGTCATTGAACTGAAACAACAATAAAATTTGGTCACAAAACTCGGGTCACTCTTTTCGCTTAACAATACCTGTTATGAGTATTTCCCGTATAATTACCAGTCGTCGCCGACTGATTAGAGCTGCCATTGGTATAGTCAATCACTTGGGCCCGATATTGACCCTTATTTTGGCCATAATATCGGCGACGCTGATAGTAATTATTATTGTCTGTCGGCGGCGGCATTTGTCCATTAGCTGGTGCGGCGGCGGCGGCGACGGGACCTCCATTGTTACGTGGTGGTCCTGAGCCACCGTAGGTCAAGTTACGGTTGCCGTAGGCCGGAGTCCCGGTTGGCTGATGCTGGAATGGTGGTGGCGGCGGCTGCTGCTGATGCCCTACTGTTGGTGGTTGCGGTAGCGGCGGCTGATGATTGACACCACTGACTGCTGCTGCTGCGGGCGCGCCGTAAAACTGATTATTGGCATCGTTGTTGGCCGAGTAACCGTAGTAATTGTTGCCGTAATACGAGTGATTGTTTTTGTTGGACATTGTCGTTGTAGTGTCCAGTAGTGGCCAATAAACCGATGACCAAACAATTGGTTAATAATAAGTTATGATATAATTTAGTTATTATTTAGTGATTATTATTGTTATTACAATTTTTTTCCAATAATAATACTAATATAATAATGCATTTTATTTATTATTATTAATAAAAAAAAGTACAGTTTATGTGATAGATTTGTTGACATTTCTATAGAGAATATAGTATTAGAAATCCATTGACTATTAAAAAGCGTTATTTATTTGTTTGAAATGTGTTTACTATTTATTATTATATAATAATATTTACATTATATTTGAAATGTTTTCATAGATTTTATAATCACAACTTCAAAGTCAAAGTAAATGATAATAATATAAGAGATAATAATTATAATAAAAAAAGATTTAAGAAGTTATGAAACACAAGACATGAGTGTTACGATTGATGTGAACGACGTGTTTGAAGAAGTGGTTAAACAAAACGAAAGACTTGTCAAAGAAATTGAATTTTATGAAGAAGTGGTCAACCATTTGATAACAAATGTTAAGACATGTATTGTTTGTCAACAAAATGATGTCATAAATGAAAGAATCAGTCGATTGGAGACACATTTGAAGAGTAAAACTATCGATAAGTCAACTAATGTTAAGAGTGATGATAATGACTGCTATAATAAATTGAAGACAAATGTAAAGAGAAAAAAATTAACGAAAACGAAAAATACAAATAAAAGTAGTATTGAAGACTTAAGAGATGTCGATAACAAACAACATTCAGATAAAACCAATGTCTCGACAATATCTGAACAATTAAGTGATGAAAGAGAGAGCGATATAAAAATCAAAACAAATTTAAAGACAAAATCAATGACAAAAAAGAAAAGAAATTTAAAAATAGTGTTTAAAACTAACAATAAAACCATTTTGAAAGATATCCACGAAGTGGACAATGATGTGGACAGAAGTGAATCGACTGCTAAACGGCTAAAGATTGGACCGACTGTTAAAAAACGAAAGATTAAACCATATAATGATGAATATGCAGAACAAAGAACAGCATTAAGACGTTAGTGTAAATTAATGGCAAAGATTAAGAGTTTTTTTTTAAATTAATTATTTTGTTTGAATCGCACAGTTAGCTCGAAAACCGACGAAGGCTTTTATTTGTGCAATACATGCGGCTATCAAAACAGTAAGTTTGTCCACTACGAGACACACGTCAATCGGCTTCACCTTAAGATTAGGCCATACAACTGCGACAGCTGTACGGAACAGTTTTTCGGTTGCCATGATTTAAGACATCATAAGTTAGACAAACATCGCACTGATTTGGATCAAGTGATTGCACCGAAATCGTTGGCCTGCGACTCGTGCGACCAGTTTTATAGTAATAGAAAATCATTGGAACGACACCGACGTATTAAACATAACATCGGTCCCACTGTTCCCTACTATTACTGTATTTGGAAGAACTGCCCGTTCAAGTCATACTCGAAACCAGCTTTAATGGGTTGGTATTGAGCTGTCATTCCTCATTGTCCTATATTTTGTAATTTTTATTTACCGGTAATATTTGTAACTACTTAGTGCACCGTAAGATACATTTAGGTATTCGTGATTTTGTGTGCGAATGGCCCGGCTGTGAGTTTAAGGCGGTTACCAAAAAAAATTTAGAAATACATCAATTTGTACACAACGATCAACTACCCTACCGGTGCCAGTGGCCAGGTTGCGAGTTTCGAACTAAACAAGGTAAACTATATATATATATAATATAATAAATAAATAATAATAAAATTTAATTTCTTTCCCCCGCCCCCGGGTATTTTCTCTAAAAAAATTATTAATTAGAGTTACTATTAAAACGACACATAAATAGAGTTCACGAAGATATACCCCGCAAACTGGCGTGTCATTGGCCCGGATGTGACAAACGGTTTAGGTTTACCCATGATTTGACAATGTATTTGGAAATTGAAATTTTTATTTATTTTAAGAAAAGTTATGATAATTTTTTTTTAATTACCGTAATATTTGTTTGTATAGACATTTGGAAACACATAACGAACCACATCTACCCTGTCCTCATTGTAGCAAAATATTTAAGACAAATAAGTATTTGGAGGCACACCTGATATCGCACCGAAAAGTAAAACTATTCAAATGTCCGGTCGATGGATGCGAGACAAAGATATCGCGAAAATGTAATATTAAACAACATTTGAGTGTTCATCACAAGGATTGGTCTGAAACTAAAACATAGTTTTTGATAATTGTTGGGAACGGGAGATATTTTTGTTGTTGTTGTTGTTTTTGTTAATAATGTGTAAATATTTAAGATTACCGTTTGTTAAAGTTTAAAAATATTTTTTAATTTACCGGTATATTATCGTATATAAAATTACAGTACCGGTAATGATAATAAAAGGTTACACTTTTGTAAAGTAATTTAAAAAACATTGATTTATTTAAAAATATATATTTAAATTTATATTAAATATTTGATTTGTTTATTTGATATACACATTAACTTAAGATAATTCATCACAATTTACTTTAAAGAAAAAATTTAATTTACCGGTAAAAAAATATATTTTAGATTTTATAATTAATGCCGAAGTCAATCATCGAACCATTACTTTATACAAACACAATATTGATTTAACCGACGGTAGTTGAAAGCACTGACGGCGGTAACAGACGGGCACTGGCGTCGTCAACTAACCAGACCACTCGGCCAGACGGCGGCGCCACCAATGAGGCCGGCAGTGGTTTGTGATCGACAAACATGTCGTACAGTGTTTGAGCCTTTGATGCGCCCAACGAGACGAAGATTGCCAATCGAGACGCGTTGACCGCCGGTAGAGTCATCGTTACGCGAGACGGCGGCGGCTGTAGTAAGAGAAGAGAAATAAAAAGTTGAAAAAATCTTAAGACAACCACAAAGTCAAAGGTTCGATATGTTTGACATACTTTAGGCGAGTCGGTAATGGCGGCAATCCATCGCTTCTTTTCCTGTAACGACCAAAACTCAAGTCATGATAACAAATGAACGAAAACGACGGATGATTAACACTTACCTCGAGAAGTGGATGACTGGGAAACAGTGAACAGGTGTGTCCATCTTCGCCCATTCCGAGAACCAGTACGTCGACACTCGGCCACTGGTCGGCACTGTCAGCGCCGCACAATTCTTGCCGAACACGACGTTCATAGTCATCGGCCGCCTGTTGCGGGTCGAGAGCAGTGTCGACGGAAAGCCATTGTCGCCGCTCGACTTTCACCAGTTGTGGCGCCAGTCGACGTGCGTACTGGCCGTAAGTATTGTCGGGATTATCTTCGGCAACAAGTCGTTCGTCGCACAATAGGAATCGCCACTTTGACCAGTCGGTGTCGGCCGACGGAAGTGCTTCGATGAGTACATCAACAACACTACCGCCCGACAGACCAACACTGAAGACTTTGTCTGTACTGTCTCGCGATGTCTGTTCCAGTAGTGAGCGAACGATTTGCGGACAGTCGCCCCGCGAGGTCTTTACGACACGAATTTGTTGAGACATTTGAGAGGAAAAAATGAGTTTAAAACCAAAAATATTGTACAAAATATTTACACTATAAGTGTTTCTATAAGTATATATTGGATGCACAGCACAACACATAGATATTATAACTATTAGACAGTATATATATATACATACAAAATGTTTAGAACGCTTATAATAGTTGTAACATATGTCATAAGTTCCGCCTATTTGTAGAATTCATTGTACTATTTACTGTATTATGCGATATATGTGTTGTCATTAGTGGTGAATGTTTTTCGATATATTTGTTGACAAAATTGTGTTTACATTTCAAATGTTTTGGATTTTAAGTTAAAGTTTTTTAATAAAAATTTGTTTGAAATGATTTAATGACAAGACATGAATCAAAGTAATGATAATAAAAAATATAATACAAGACTTGGAAGATATAAAACACAAGATATAAGTGTCACAATTGATGTCAACGATGTGTTTGAAGAACTGGTTAAACAAAATGAAAGACTTGTCAAAGAAATTGAATTTTATGAAGAAGTGGTCAACGATTTTGTGGTAAATGTGAAGACATGTATTGTTTGTCAACAAAATAATGTCATAAAAGACAGAATCAGTCGATTAGAGACACACTTGAAGAGTAAAACAATCGATAAGTCAACTAATGTTAAGAGTGATGATAAAGATTGCTACAAAAATTTTAAGACAAATGTCAAGACAAAAAGGTTACAAAAATCAATGAAAACAAATAAAAAATATTTTAAAAAGATTACAGATTCTGATACGTGTTATGACAACGATTCAGATAAAAGTTTGATAACAAATGTAAAGACATTGAAGAAGACAAAGAAAAATTTAAAAATTGCATTTAAAAGCAACGATAAAATAATTTTAAAAGATGTCAAAGAAGTAACCGATGATAATAACAGCAAAGAACCGACAGTTAAAAGTGTGAAATTCATAAAACAATTCAGTGATGAGTATTCAAAACAAAGAGAAAAATTAAAAAGTATTTCATTAATTGATTTTATGATTACGTTTGAAATCACAATCTAATGATAAAACCTTAATATTCAAACAGATGACACAATTACCAGTGATGGCAGCTATCAGTGCCAGACATGTGATTATAAAGCCGTAAAATTTGAAGATTTCGAGACACACGTCAACCGAAATCATCTCAAAATAAAGCCATATAAGTGTCACATGTGTTGCGAACATTTGTTTGGTTATAATGCCTTAAAACGACATAAAAGAGTTAAACACTATTATGTTGGACAAGGATTGGATCAATTGAATGATCGGCGAAAATCTAAAAGTATTGATGAATTTTGTACACGTTTTCACATAATTAATAATAATAAACAAAATTTTACAGATATTTATTATTATTATTTAATTTCTAATTCCTCATACATTAGTTGCCGAAACTTTATCTAAATATCAGTGTCAATATTGTCAAAAATTCATACACAACATAAATGTGCTTAAACGCCACGTGTTGCGCGTGCATCAAAACATAAAACTGCCTAAATTTGCGTGCGATATGTGTAACAAATCGTATAGTAATAAAAGTACACTTTCTGTACACAAACGTTTACATCACGGTATCGGACGAAAGTTACCGCTTTTCTACTGCGATTGGGAGGGCTGTCAGTTCAAGACAATCAATGTTTCAGCGATCGCGCGTATGTATCGTAAGGGATAAGCACTTCCTCCCCCCATAATTAACTAATTTTTATTTAATAATAATATTTGTATATACAATATAAACCATTACCTAATTTTGTTTGTTTGTTTAATCGATACTATCTATGTATTGCAGCGCATAAAAAAAGCATACATTTAGGTATTCGTGATTTGCAATGTGATTGGCCCGGTTGTGACTTTAGGTCGACCACCAAATATAATCTCAAAAGTCATCAGATCGTTCACAGCGATAAATTTGACTACCGGTGCCAATGGCCTGGTTGTGAGTTTCGCAGTAAAGAAGGTAATATTTTATGATGATTTTTATATTTTGTAAAATCAATGATAATTTTAGTTGTAATTAAGTATCAAACTGTTATTAACGGTAATTTAAAAATTTTATTTTAAGAAAAACTATTAAACCAACATATGGTGAGAATCCATGAGGACATACCCCGCACACTGTCCTGTCATTGGCCCGGATGTGACAAAATGTTTAAATTTGCTGGTGTTTTGAAAAGGTATTGACAAATATTAATAATAACACAAATATATAAAAAAAAATTTGTTTTTTAAAAACTTTTTTCTAATTGAAACTGTAATATATATGACAACAGGTAATCAAAACTTATTTTTTTGTCCAAATTTACAGACATATGGAAACACATAACGAACCACATCTTCCCTGTCCTCACTGTAATAAACTATTTAAATGTAAAAAGTATTTGAATTTTCACATACAATCACATACTGGTCGGCGACGGGTTTCGTGTCCAGTGGACGGATGTTATACACAGATATCGTGCATAACTAATGTCAGACATCATCTGAGAGTACATCACAAGGACTGGACCGGCAATTAGTAGTGTTTAATAAAAAAAATAAAATCATTTATAATTCATTTACTTTTTTAATTAATTAATTAATTAATATAAAAATGTAGTAATAATAATAAAATTCAATCAAAATAAACTAAACTAATTTATTACTATAATATTATTATATAAAAATTATATTAAAATCGATTAAATTTATATACTGTTTAATATAATCATTGAATGAATGACATTATTGATGAATATTATTATATATTTAGATATATTTGTTGACAAAATTGTGTTTACATTTCAAATGTTTTGGATTTTAAGTCAAAAATTTGTTATTAAATTATGTTTTGAAGTGATTTAAGACAAGACATGATAGTAATCAAAGTAATGATAATATAAGACATTAAAGACTTAAAACACAAGACATGAGTGTCACGATTGATGTGAACGACGTGTTTGAAGAAGTGGTTAAACAAAATGAAAGACTTGTCAAAGAAATTGAATTTTATGAAGAAGTGGTCAACGATTTGATAACAAATATAAAGACATGTATTGTTTGCCAACAAAATGATGTCATAAAAGATAGATTCAATCAATTGGAGGCACACTTGAAGAGTAAGACGATAATCGATAATTTAGTTGAAGTAAAGAGTGAATACAATGACTGCGATAACAAATTAGAGACAAAAACGTTACAAAAATCAAGGAAAAGCTGTGTTAAAGAGGTTACAGATTCTTATAATTATAAATCATGTGAAACAAGTGATGACAACAACTCTAGTAAAAGTTGGACAACAAATGTAAAAACAAAGACATTGAAGAAAACTAAGAAAAATTTAAAAATTGAATTCAAAAGAAATGAAAAAATCATTTTAAAAGATGTCGATGAAGTAACAGATGGTAACAGCAATAGACATACAGATAGAAGTGGAAAACGCATGAAATCATACAGTGATGAGTATGCAAAACAAAGACTAGAATTAAGAGGTATTTTATTAATTGATTTTATGATAATATTTGAAATTTTTGTCTAATAATAATCATTATAATATGCAAACAGATGACACATTTATCAATGATGGTAGCTATCAGTGCCAGACATGTGATAATAAATATATTAAATTTGAAGACTTGGAGGCACACGTTAACAAAAAACATCTTAACATTAAGCCATACAAATGTCACATTTGTGGCGACCATTTGGTCGGTTATAATGCTTTAAGACGACATAGGAGTCACAAACATTATACTGTTGGCGAAGGTATGGATCAGTTAAGTGATCGACGAAAATCTCAAAGTATGGATAAGTTTATTATGTCTTAATATAATTGTTAATAAATGCATAATTTTTATAGCCATAGAATAATTTATTTTTTATTTATTTTTTTACTTTAGTCGCCGAAACTTTATCAAAATTTCAATGTAAATATTGTCAAAAGTTTATACATTGCGAGTTAGAGCTTAAGCGACACGTGTCGCGCGTCCATAAAAACATTAAACCGACTAAAACGGTTGCGTGCGATATGTGTGACAAATCCTATAGTAATAGCTGTTCACTTGTCATACATAAACGTTTACATCACGGCATTGGACGGAAGTTACCGCTTTTCTACTGCGATTGGGAGGGATGTCAGTTTAAATCAACCAATAATGCATTAGTCACAGGTATGTGTAAGGAGAAGCCCCAGTTGTTTGTCCGAAAATGTTTAACTAATTTGTTATATATTTCTATATGTATGTAAATTTTATATTTATAAATTGATATTTAAATCTTGCAGTGCATAAGAAAACCCATTTAGGTATCCGTGACTATGTGTGTGATTGGCCCGGATGTGAGTTTCGGTCGGCAACCAAATCAAATCTGAATACACATCGTCTAACACATAACGATACTAATGATTACCGGTGCCAATGGACTGGTTGTGAGTTTTGCACTAAAACTGGTACATTAAAAAAGACATTTTTTAAAAATTAACTTATATTTAATGATTTTGTTATTTTTTTTGCAAATAAAAACTATTTTAAGATAAACTATTGAAAGATCATATGAAAAGAGTTCACGAAGACATACCCCGAACACTGTCGTGTCATTGGCCCGGATGTGACAAAATGTTTAGATTTAATAATAATCTGAGAAAGTATTTATCAATTTTTACAAACAATTTGTTTTATATTATATATAATGAGCACAAATAATGAAAACTTTTTGTATTTATTAATTTAATTTACAGTCATTTGAAAAGTCATAGCGAACCACATCTGCCCTGTCCTCAGTGTAACAAATTATTTAAGACTAAAAAACATATGATAACTCATATGCAAACACATACGGGTTGGATACGAGTCCCGTGTCCTGTAAAGGGATGTAATATACGGATATCAAGCAGTAGTAATGTTAGATCACATCTAAGAGTACATCATAAGGACTGGATCGGCAATAAGTGATTTTTTAATAAATTATGAAATTGAATGATAAATAATAGTTTTTTATTTACTTAATTTTTAAAACTATTTAATAATAAAATTTTAATAAAGTTTAAATAATTTTTTTTATTCTACCTGTATACATTTCATTTTGTTAAATATATAGTTATAAATGTTATAAACGATAATAGTTTGATTGTCAGTCATAATAAGTTACATTATTAGATAATCACTAATATTGTCTAATATTTGATAAATTATTGAATATAAAAAAATTTCAATCAACTTAACTAAACATTACTTTCAATCACTAATATACGGAATTTTATACAAAATGTTGACATTATTGATGAATATTATGGATATATTTGTTGACAAAATTGTGTTTACATTTCAAATGTTTTGTTTGGATTTTAAGTCAAAATTTTTTGATGAAATTATGTTTGAAATGATTTAATGACAAGACATGAATCAAAGTAATGATAATATAAAACATAATACAAGACTTGGAAGTCGTAAAACACAAGACATAAGTGTCACGATTGATGTGAATGATGTGTTTGAAGAAGTGGTTAAACAAAATGAAAGACTTGTCAAAGAAATTGAATTTTATGAAGAAGTGGTCAACGATTTGATAATAAATGTTAAGACATGTATTGTTTGCCAACAAAATGATGTCATAGAAGACAGAATCAATCGATTGGAGACACATTTGAAGAGTAAGACGATAATAGATAATTTAGTTGTAGTTAAGAGTGAATACAATGACTGCGATAAAAAATTGGAGACAAATGTTAAGACAAATAAATTACAAAAATCAAAGAAAACAAATAAAAGATGTGTTAAAGAGGTTACAGATTCTGATAATTATAATACATATGAGACCAATGATAACAAAGATTTAGATAATAGTTGGACAACAAATGTTAAGACAAATACATTGAAGAAAACTAAGAAAAATTTAAATATTGCATTCAAAAGAAATGAAAAAATCATTTTAAGAGATGTCGATGAAGTAACAGATGGTGACAGCAATAGACAGACAGTTAAAAGTGGTAAACATATGAAATCATATAGTGATGAGTATGCAAAACAAAGGCAACAATTAAGAGGTATTTATTAACAAATTTGATGGTAATATTTATAATCACAATCTTATAATTATTAACTACATTATTAACTAAACAGATGATACACTTACTAGTGATGGCAGCTATCAGTGCCAGACATGTGAATATAAAAGCATTAAATTTCCAGATTTTGAGGCACACGTCAACCGATATCACCTCAAGATTAAGCCATACAAGTGTAACATCTGTGGCGAGCATTATGTCGGTTATGACGCTTTAAGACGACATAGTCGTAGACATTATACTGTGGGTGAAGGTATGGATCAATTAAGTGATCGACGAAAATCTCAAAGTATGTATAGTTTATGGGTTTTCATATATCGGTAATTATAATTTTTTTTAAAATAAATTATTTTGTTAATAGTAGATAATCTATAAATATTTTTATTTATATTGTTTTAGTCGCCAAAACTCTATCGAAATTTCAATGTAAATATTGTCAAATGTTTATCCATTGCGAGACAGCTCTCAATCGACACGTGTTGCGCGTCCATAAAAACGTGAAACCGTCTAAGACTATACCGTGTGATATGTGCGATAAGTTTTATTGTAATAGACATTCACTAGCATTACATAAACGTTTACATCACGGCATCGGACGGTCAGTTCCGTATCATTATTGCGATTGGAAGGGCTGTCAGTATAAATCGCTAAATATTTCAGTTTTAACAGGTATTTCAAGTATTAGTTATATTTGTTTATATCTCTATATATGTATTTATTTTATATACATTATATTTAAATGGATAACAATATTGCAGTGCATAAAAAAAGGCATTTAGGTATCCGTGACTATGTGTGTGATTGGCCCGGATGTGAGTATCGGACGATCAACAAAAATACTCTAAACACACATCAAATCATTCACAGCAATAAATATGACTACCGGTGCCAATGGCCTGGTTGTGATTTTTGTACTAAACAAGGTAACAATTAATTACCCATAATTACAGTAAAGATATAATGATTTATTTATGTTTGTGTACCAAATAATATATTTATTTTTTTTAATTTTATTTAAGAAAAACTATTGAAACAACACATAAATAGAGTCCATGAGGACATACCCCGAACACTGTCGTGTCATTGGCCCGGATGTGACAAAATGTTTAGATTTAGTAATGATTTGAAAAAGTACTGTATATTGTAATTCTATATACAATTTGTTTTATTTTATTTTTTCTATTTCACTACTATTTTCTTATATATGATGCATATGACAGACATATGAAACTACATAACGATCCACACCTGCCCTGTCCTCAGTGTAACAAATTGTTTAAATCTAAACAATATTTGGATTTTCATATGCAATCACATACGGGTTGGCGACGTGTCTCGTGTCCGGTAAATGGATGTAATACACGGATATCGAGCAAAAGTAATGTTAAATCTCATCTGAGAGTACATCATAAAGATTGGTCGGGAAATAAGTAATTGTTTTTAAATAAATTGAATGATAATTAATTAATTTTTCTGTATTTAAAAAAAATTAATTGTTTAATAATAAAATCAATACAGTTTTGTACAGTTAATTGTTTAAATTTATATTTGATTTCTATTTAATTGTAGTTAATTGAAATGTTTAGTACATGTTGAAATGTATCTTAATTAACTATAAAAAAAACTAACTATATAAAAGCATCATTTGATTTTTGTATAAAATTATTGTATATAAAAAATATTTTAAACAAATTAACTAAACATTACTTATAATCGTCGAAATATAGTGTCAAACCTAAATCACAAGGACTGGACCGTCAATAAGTGATTACCGGTATCTTAACTATGAAATGGTTTGATAAATAATTGTTTCATTATATAGACTGGACCGGCAAAGCTATGTCTAAAATATAAATATATTTATATATATATATATATATATTAATTTGATCTAATAACTAGACACTACTGTATTACTATGACATTAAATAATATTATAAAACCAATTGTATAGAATATAGTCTATGATATGAAATTTATATTATATAAATGTTTGCTAAAAAAATGTAAATAAAAATTATATGAGATATGTATTGAAAAATGATTTTATTTTACTTATCACTGTTGTTTAATCTATTGATAAATTATTTGAATAAAAAAATTCAATGAATAAAACAGCAAAACTAAACTTATATTTTTAAAAAACAAACTTTAGAAATAAATAATTATTATTATTACCGTTAATGATAATATTAATGAATATATTAGTTGACAAAATTGTGTTTATTATAGATTTTGAAATGTTTTATTTAGATTTTGACATTTAATATTTCACCTGGATACTTTACATAGTAACTTATGTTGGGATTCATAACAAACAGTATAAAACACTAAGTAATACAATAACTATTATATATTACATAAATAACTTATAAAATAAAAACTAAAAATTTTTACAATTATTTACTTACTATTATTTACAAAAGTAATAAAATTATTTACTATAAATACATTACATTAATATTAAATAATAAAAAAATAATTATTTTCATAAGTTTGGTTAAATTGGTATAAAATAAATACTAATATACAGTATTAAAGTATATTTTTTATGTTTAATTACAATATTACTATTAATTACAATGTTTGAAATGATTTAATGACAAGACATGAATCAAAGTAATGATAATATAAGACATACAAGACTTGGAAGTCGTAAAAGAAAAGACATGAGTGTCACGATTGATGTGAACGACGTGTTTGAAGAAATGGTTAAACAAAATGAAAGACTTGTCAAAGAAATTGAATTTTATGAAGAAATGGTCAAAGATTTGATGACAACTATGAAGACATGTGTTGTTTGTCAACAAAATAATGTCATAAAAGACAGAATCAGTCGCTTGAAGACACACTTGAAGAGTAAGACAACCGATAATTTAATTAAAGCAAAGAGTGAATACAATGACTGCGATAACAAATTACAAACAAATGTTAAATCAAAAGTTTTACAAAAATCAAAGAAACTAAATAAAAGTTTTGTTAAAGAAGTTACAGATTTTGATACGAATTGGACACAAAATTTAAAGACATTGAAGAAAACAAAGAAAGAACTAAAAAGAAATGAAAAGTTTATTTTAAGAGATGTCGAGAAAGTTGAAGATTTTAACAGTAATGCAGTTAATTGTGGGAAACATATGAAAGCATTTAGTGATAAGTATGAAAAACAAAGACAGAAATTAAAAGGTATTTTATTAATTGATTTTAAAGATAATATTTATTATTACAATCTATTCAAAAACACAAATATCTAAACAGATGAAACACTTACCAGTGATGGCATCTATAAGTGTCAGACATGTGATTATAAAACTATTAAAATTATAGATTTAGAGAAACACGTCAACCGATATCATCTTAAGATTAAGCCATACAAGTGTTACATCTGTGGCCAACAATTTGTCTGTTATGAAGCTTTAAGACAACATAAGGTGATGAAACATTTACATGTCGGCCATGGTTTGGATCAATTAAGTGATAAACGAAAATCTCAAAGAATTAATAAGTTTTTTTAACTTAAAAACTACTTTCAGTTTCTAATAATTATTAGATAATCAAATAGATATTGAATTTTTTTTGTTTAATAATATTTATTTAAATCGCCGAAACATTTAGCGGAATATCAGTGTCGATATTGTCAAAAGTTTATGTATTGCCAATTAGATCACAAACAGCACGTGTCGCGCGTGCATTACAACATGAAACCATCAAAAACGTTTGCGTGCGATATGTGTGACAAATCTTATAGTAATAAAAGTTCACTTATCAAACATAAACGTTTAAATCACAGCATCCGACCATCGGTTATGTATTATTATTGCGATTGGGAGGGCTGTCAGTATAAATCAACAAATAGTCTAATCGTCAAAAGTATGTCAAAGAAATATATAATATATTTTTATCATAAAATAGATAATAATTTTTAATTACTTAATAACTAATAACTATATTTGATTACTTTATATTGTATTAATATAATGTATTGAATTGAAACAATTTTTTGTTTCAGTGCATAATAAAAGGCATTTAACTATCAGTGACTATGTGTGTGATTGGCCCGGATGTCAGTATCGGACGTTCATTAAATCAAATATAACTTCACATCAAATCATTCACAACGATAAATATGACTACCGGTGCCAACGGACAGGTTGTCTATTTCATACTAAACAAAGTATAATAGGATAAACTTTGAAATATTTTTAATATTGAGATATAATTAACACAAATTTAAACAAAAATCAATTATATATTGATGTATATAATTAATTAATTGTTGTAATAATTTAAATGTCAGAAACAATAAGTTAATAGAAACAATAAATACGTTTATAATTTTATTTAACATTATTATCTAATATTTGCCGAAATAAAACATCAAAAATAATTATAAACCCTATTCTATGGTTTCATATATCTATGCACATAAAATACAGTAATATAATATAAAAAAAAATATATAAATACATATAAATAAAATATATAGTAATATAAAATATAATTATTTATTTACTTTGTATACCAAATATTTTTTTATTAAAAGAAAAACTATTAAAAAAACACACGAAGAGCTGTCACTAAGATATCAAAATAGTGGTTAAATTTGATGACATCTGAGAATACATCGTAAGAATTGGATTGAAAATAAGTGATTGAATTTTTTCGGTACATTTGTTTATTAATTAATTTACAAAAAAAAGTATACAATTAATTGTTTAAAATATTATACAATACAATATAAATTGAATTTTTAGTAAATAGTACCGGGGTAATTAAATCTTTGGAAATAGATGTTAAAAGTTATTACACTGAGAAAATTGTTTTATTAAACTAAGATATATGTCTTTAAAAATAAAATAATTTGTAAAATATTTAATTGACAATCGATTAAAAAATAGATAAATAATCGCCGGACAAAACACAGATTATTTAATCGATATTTTTCTATTAAAATTATAGGGCATTAATACTCAAAAAGGGCAACATTTTAATATACAAATATCGCTTTAAAACTAAACATAAATCTATTTATTATAATATTTTTGTTTAATAAAAATAAATGTAAAATAAATATTGTATAATTATTGAATTTAAAATAGACATTTGTGTTTAATTTTATTTATAAACATACAAACTAAAAAAAATATTTATATTTTAAATAGTAGATAATTGTTTTTTAAAAATTAATGTAAAATAAAAGAGATAATTATCGATTTAAAAATCGACAATTGTCTATTAAAAAATAGTTTTTTATTGAAAAAAATCTAATTTTATATTTATTTTATTAATTACAATTATTTTAATTTAATTAGATATTTTTTGATTAAACATTTAATTTTAATATTAATATTAATTTAAGTCATAGTTATTATTTTCTTACAATAATTATTATATATATATGCATTAATATACTTATAACTTTTCATTTAATTAATTTTTTACAGTTTATATAAAACATTTATTTTATAAAAAAATGTATAAAATAAATATATGTATAAATATCGATTTTTTAATCGATATTTACTTATTTTTAATTAGAATTTGAATTGTCGGCTTTCTTGCAATACTTTTTATTGATAATTTTCTAGTAATTTTGTGTTTAAAAAACATAGATTAAATATTCTATATATGTATAAAATATATATTAAAAATTATATATTTATCAATTATTTAATATAATTTTATTATTGTACAGTGTTTGTGTATAAGTATAGAGTATTTAATAGAAACTACTGTTTTCATTTTTAACTTATTGCGCATGAATTGTAAAGTTTTATTTTTAATTTATAAATATACAGTTTTTATTTTACATTAGAAAAATGTTTTATTTTTAATATACAATTATTTGATTTTTATTTGACACTCATTTACTTTATATTTTTACTCTCGAGTAATAGGATTTTTTTCTCAGTGTGCAAAAACTAAAGACTAAAAAAACTAAATTATTAATTTTATAAATATAAACTAAATTAAAAAAGTATAAATGAAATAATTAATTTAAAACAAAAATAATAATAACAATATTAAGATTATAAGATAATCATTATAATCTCATCAAAACACGTATGACAAAAATATTGAATACAGAGTTTACTACGCCATATTAGGTCACAAATCAACTAAATATAAGTAATCTTTTAATTTTATTAATTTAAAGCTAATTTAATAATAAATATAAAATTATTTATTTAATTTTATGACAGATTCATGCCTTTATACTTTTTAATTTAAAATTTTATTTCTTAAATCTTTACTTTTAAAGATAAATGTATTTAAGTTTGGAGTGAACTGGTAAAAAAATTGCTAAATAATTGGATCATTAAATTATTATTATTATTACTATTCATTATATATAAATAAATTTTATTTTTCTACAGTTTTTGCTTAATACTGTTAAGATACTAATTAGATAATGAGTGTAATTCATATCTATTATTTGTAAGGTTAGGACATTTCGTAATAATAAATTCAAATAGTTTCATAACATTATGGGTAGATATATTATTAAGAGTAAAATCAACCAATAAATCCTGATTAAAATACATATAAGTTTGAGACAAAAATATTAAATAATTAAATTGTTTCGAAACTAATCTTAATATATATTTATCCTCAAACGAAAAATGAGATAATAATAGTGATGCTAAGTCATCATCAAACCTATCAAATGAATTTCTACTATTCATATTTAAAAAAACAAAAAATAATACTAATAATAAATTTTATATTTTTATTTCATATAATATTTAAATTATTTCAAGTGATTAATTAATTTAATAAAATAAAGCACTTTTAATATATTGCTTTTACTCGTCATCGCTATATCTAGTATAATTTTCAATAATTTTATAAGTATTTTCTAATATACTAACATCGAAAGTAAAATTGTCTAAATTTTCAAAAATAAATTCAATATATCTATTGATTGGACATCTCATTTTAAAATGATATATGTAACGGTAAAAAATATAATATAAAATATACAGTAAAAAGTGACTTTGAAATTTAGGAAATAATATAATTACTAAATACTATTTTTTAAAAACCATGTCTTTTGGTAACACCTTTTAAACCAGATTTACAAATTGATAATTTCATATCTGAACTTTTATGTCTAACAATATTGTGATTGTTTCATAACAATTCCACAATATTTTTTATAGACATTTGATGAACTAATGTTACTCAAGTATATAACTTTATATGACATATTTACATTTGATATAATAGTTGCCCGTGTAAAGTTCGAGGAGTGTGGGATAGACCCCACTTACAGGTCTAATATCGACATATGGTACACCTACAAAGGTGCAGAGAATTATTTGCGTTATTAGTCATGCCGGTATTGATCCCCGGTTACAGCCTCCCATAGAGTGCCAGACGGCCACGTCTAAAATTTATCATCATCATCATAATTATAATTATTATAACTACCTTTAATCTGTAATAGTAACAAATGCTTTGTTATCTTATGATATGATTGATATTGATTAGTGAAATATGAATCATATGTTTAATGCAGTGTAAATACATGCAAAACATACATAAAAACTGTGGGCTTATAGTCTATACCTCAACCCACTAATTACGTAAACATATATCTCAATTATGAGATAAATTATATTATTTCTATATTATTTGTTTTTTGATATAAATAAATATACAAAATTATTGTATTCAACTTATAAAAATAAAAATAGTATAAATATTTGTAAGACATGTAAACAATATTTAATCTTAATAATAAATAGTTATATGTTTTTAATTCAAAAACTTTCCCATATAATATATTTATTTATATATGTTCTCCACTATTAGAGACAACTGGCATTAATTAAAGTTTCCCTTCAGTTCAATACATATTTACTCTACTTATAAAACCCAATATATCACAGAATATAATGTTCAATAAATAGCACTTCCCACGCGCTAATTGAACCCAAATTTGATTTCAGAGTAAAGCAACTAATAATAAATCATAATTAATTGGTACCAACTTTGCACGGTCAATATCCTGCACGAAATTACAGATAATGGTTAGACCTTCCACTGTTGCATCAATACTTAGTACTTCAATGGAGTACTAATGCTACAACATATCTGACTTTTGATTGGTAACTAACAGAGCCTCAACCTAATTGAGTATAAAACTTATTGTCAATGAGATCACTGGATCAGATACTTGATTTGAATAGAAGTGATCCACTCAATGACACCACTTTTTATCCTATTTTAATACTTCATATAATAATTGTGTTTTATTATTACAATATAATAATCAATGTATTTAATCCTATTGTTTTAATCATTTAATAAAATATAAACTTATTTTAATCAATTAAATTATTACACCATCACCATCATCACCAACTAGTGGACTAGTGGTTAACATACAACTGCAACAAAACTTTTATTATATAATAATTATAACTTTTAAAAAACTACTAAATGTTTATTTGATTAGTGATTATAATATTATAATAATAAATATATAGATTTTATAATATTTAACATTATTTTATGTATATTTATAAAAAATTTATTATTTGTAATAAAAAACAATTTATTTGATTATTTTTGTATTTTTATTAAATTTTTTGTATTTTGATTTTAATTATTATCCAAATATTGATTTTAAATAATTTTTGTATAGATTTGTAATACATTTTTTTAAAAAATTTAATTTGTACCAAAAACATTTTAATATTTTAAGTATGATTTTAGTAAAGTATTTTAATACAAATATTTTTTCGTGTGATCTATAAATGTAATATATTTATGGCATATATTGACTGTTTTATTGAATTGTTTTAAATTAAATCACTTTTTAAATGATAAATTATTTAACTTTAAACTTCAATTTATTTATATATGATTTATTATTTTAAATAAACAAATAAATTATTTCAATAAAATCAGTCGAAAGTATTGTTATTTACTGTACTTTACTATCAAATGTGTTGACATTATTGATGAATAGTTTTTTTTGTGGATATATTTGTTGACAAAATTGTGTTTACATTTCAAATGTTTTGGATTTTAAGACAAAATTTTTTGTTGAAATTATGTTTGAAATGATTTAATAACAAGACATGAATCAAAGTAATGATAATATAAGACATACAAGACTTGGAAGACATAAAACACAAGACATGAGTGTCACGATTGATGTGAACGACGTGTTTGAAGAAGTGGTTAAACAAAATGAAAGACTTGTCAAAGAAATTGAATTTTATGAAGAAGTGGTCAACGATTTGGTGATAAATGTGAAGAAATGTATTGTTTGTCAACAAAATGATGTCATAAAAGACAGAATCAGTAAATTAGAGACACATTTGAAGAGTAAGACAACCGATAACTCAACTGATTTTAAGAGTGAATACAATGACTGCGATAACAATTTGAAAACAAATCTGAAGACAAAAAGGTTTGAAAAATCAAACAAAAGTTGTGTTAAAGATGTTACAGACTCTTATAATTATAAATCATGTGAAACAAGTGATGACAAAAAGTCTAGTAAAAGTTGTACAACAAATGTAAAGACATTGAATAAAAATTTAAAGATTGCATTCAAAAGAAATGAAAAAATCATTTTAAGAGATGTCGATGAAGTAACAGATGGTAACAGCAATAGACAGACAGATAGAAGTGGAAAACGCATGAAATCATACAGTGATGAGTATGCAAAACAAAGACTAGAATTAAGAGGTATTTTATTTTATGATAATATTTGAAATTTTTGTCTAATAATAATCATTGACACAAACAGATGACACACTTAGCAATGATGGTAGCTATCAGTGCCAGACATGTGATAATAAATATATTAAATTTGAAGACTTGGAGGCACACGTCAACAAACAACATCTTAACATTAAGCCATACAAGTGTCACATTTGTGGCGACCATTTGGTCGGTTATAATGCTTTAAGACGACATAAGAGTCAAAAACATTATACTGTTGGCGAAGGTATGGATCAGTTAAGTGATCGACGAAAATCTCAAAGTATGGATAAATTTATTATGTCTTAATATAATTGTTAATAAATGCATAATTTTTATAGCCATAGAATAATTTATTTTTATTTATTTATTTTTTTACTTTAGTCGCCGAAACTTTATCAAAATTTCAATGTAAATATTGTCAAAAGTTTATACATTGCGAGTTAGATCTTAAGCGACACGTGTCGCGCGTCCATAAAAACCTTAAACCGACTAAAAAGTTTGCGTGCGATATGTGTGACAAATCCTATAGTAATAGGGGTTCTCTTGTCATACATAAGCGTTTACTTCACGGCATTGGACCGAAGTTACCGTATTATTATTGCGATTGGGAGGGCTGTCAGTATAAATCACCATATATTACATTAGTCACAGGTATGTATGAAAAGCGCATTTAACTAATTTACTGTTAATTATATCTCTAATATAGTACAATATATATTTATTTAAATTGACATCAATCTCGCAGTGCATACAAAATTTTTATTCATTTATTATTATTTTTTTTTTAAAAATTGTTATACAATATATTTAGCGTACTATAAATTTATCCAATTTTTCAGTCCATAAGAAAACCCATTTAGGTATCCGTGACTTTGTATGTGATTGGCCCGGATGTGAGTTTCGGTCGGTAACCAAAGCTACTTTGAATACACACCAATTAGTTCACAGCGATAAATATGACTACCGGTGCCAATGGCCTGGCTGTGAGTTTCGTACTAAACAAGGTAAACAAATTACCGATAATAATCTATAATTTTTTTTTGTTTTATGATTTCTTTGTAATGTCTATTCAAAGATATTTTTTTAAAATAATTATTAATATAACTGTTTTTGATTTATGTATATTAATAATAAATAATATCTCATTTATATATAAGAGAGAGGAGTAAAGAGACATATGAAGAGTGTTCACGAAGACATACCCCGAACACTGTCGTGTCATTGGCCCGGATGTGACAAAATGTTTAGATTTAATAATGATTTGAAAATGTATGTTTTAAAAATATACCCTAATTACCGGTATTTTTTTTTTAATTTACCGGTAAAATAAATAAAAATCACTGATAATAATTTTTTCATCAACTATTTACAGCCATTTGAAACTACATAACGTTCCACACCTGCCCTGTCCTCAGTGTAACAAAAAGTTTACGACTAAAAAGTATTTGGTTAGTCATATGCAAACACACACGGGTTGGATACGAGTCAAGTGTCCGGTAAAGGGATGTAATACACAGATATCAAACAAAACTAATGTCAGACATCATTTGAGAGTACATCACAAGGACTGGACCGGCAATTAGTTATTAAAACAAATTATTAAACAATTTTTATATAATAAAAATAAAATTACATTACATTACTGTTAGTAATTTTTTTACTATCCATTTGTTTATTTTTCATTAAAAACCAGTTGAGAATGCTTTAAAAGCATTTCCATACGAATTCCTTAACTTAAAAAATAAAAAATATATATTAAAAATTTTTTGTAGCGGAGCCTGGATTCGAACCTATGTCGAGACAGACCGACAGAAAGACAGACCGACAGACAGACAGACCGACAGACAGACAGACAGACCGACAGACAGACAGACAGACAGACAGACAGACCGACAGACAGACAGACAGACCGACAGACTTTTAGAATGCATATAATTCGGAATTCGTGAATATTTCATATTTGAATAATGAATGGGATTTCATTTCATTTCACTTTTTATTATTTTGATAATTTCAACCAATTCATCAACAATTCATATTAATTTAGTTTTTTTTAATTAAAATATTTAATTAACTAAAGATTACTTTTAATTAATTATTTATTTACTTTTATATCATAAATATTTATTGACATTATTGATGAATATTTGGATATATTTGTTGACAAAATTGTGTTTACATTTCAAATGTTTTGGATTTTAAGTTAAAGTTTTTAATGATATATTATTTGAAATAATTTAATGACAAGACATGAGTGTCACTCTTGTGACAAAATGTTTAGATTTGATAATCACTTGAAAATGTCTGTTTTAAACACAAAAAAACAAGTTTTTAAAACCGTATTTAAATACAATTCAATTTGTATTAAAAAATGTATTTAAATACAATTGGTATAAATACAAAAAAAATACAAAAAATTGTAATGAAATTGTAAATAATTTGTATCCAAAATACAAAAAAATAAATAAATACAATATTTTTGTATTAAAATACAATTTATTTAAAATACATTAATTAATAAAAACACAAATATCTAAATAATGAGTTGTAATATATGTTTAAATTATATTATTTGTATTTCAATTGTATTTTGATACCAAATAAATATACAAAATTTTTGTATTAAATTAAAATAACGTTTAAAAAATAAAATAGTATACTATTATATTGTGATGACTAGATTTTAGTCTTTTATTATTATATTATTAAAAGACAGAGACAATCTATGGCTACAATTGCTCACTTTGTCTCTGTTCTCTATTTAGAGACTGACTATACTATTCTATACTATACTATACTATACTAAATTCTACTCTGAGTGCCACCACCATTGCCTGCACTTCGCACCGCAATAAATAAATCAATAAATAGATTAAAACATTTAATTACTTGACTTAGAGTGACTTATCAAACAAAACCATAGAAAGAGAAAGATCAGAGACCGGTGGCTGTTATCGTTGTCCTCGTTGGCCGCCGAATGTTTGAGTCCCAATGTTGTCCATAGGTATTGACCACCAATTGAATTGATATGATGTCTTGATTTCAATTTATTATAAAATAGTATTGTAGCAATACAATAAAGGTTCAGAAACTGTGTCCTTTTTGTGTTGAAAACAGTTGTTTATATACTCGTTCGACGAATTAATCAATAATAAAATGCACTACGAAGGCTGAGTATTGATTTTAGATTACTGCTGTCGTATGTGTCCGCCACTGGTGGTTGTCTATGGCGACCGATTCGTAGGCTGCGTAGGTCTCGATGATTGACAGGTGAATTGAGTTTAACGTTATGGCAATTAATAAAATTTAATGTGTTTGAGTGTGAGTGAGAGTATAGAGCTGGCGTTAAATGTGAGAGTGTATGAGAGGTAGAGAGAGAGAGAGCGTGTGAGTGTATGAGAGAGTGATATATACGCGGCAATAGACTATTGATTATTAATAAACAAATACCGGTGATTATCTCTGTTATAGTTCGGGTGCGCGTTTAAGCCACCAATGTTTTTACAGTTGATTTTGTTTCCCGGTGCCACCAGTTATAGATAAACTCCGTAAATGTCAATCCCGGTGATACTAGTTGGCCACCAACTTGTCCACTACACCCGGTTAGCGTTAGCGTCGCTATATCTAGTACTCCAGATACCGGTATATATAAAAAACAAGGCGACCGACCGATCCAAAGCCCAAACACATACTGACAATGTATGGGACATACAAAGGACTGTTAGGTCCTTTGTGACCCAACATCTGTCATACAGCCCTCCATAACAAAGACCTTTGTTATGGGAGGATTGAAATGTAAAATTTATTTTACAATATGTATGACACATGACTTAAATGTAATATTACATTAAATATTGAGTGACTGTTTGCCTAAAAAATAAATTATCAAATAGTATACTATATCTGTATTTAATTATTTGATAATATGATTGAGTATTGTGTAATGAGTATTGAATATTGAAGAGTGATTATTTGATACTATTAAAATTGAAAATCATATTATAATCAATTTATTTTTATTGTAAATGATATAATTATTTAGTGATTATTTTATCAAATTATTGTTATTTAAAATCATATAATAAACAATTATTATTTTATAATTAATTTATTTTTATTTTAAATGATATAATAATTATTTAGTGATTATTTTATTATCAAATTATTGTCATTTAAGATTTGTTTGATTTTAATTATTTTAATTTGTAATATTTAATGTATTTTTTTATTTTATATTATACATTATTTTATGTATATTAATAATTTAATTCTTTGTAATAAAAAACAATTTATTTGATTATTTTTGTATTTTAATTCATTTTTATTTGTATTTTCATATAATTACAAATGAGTTACAATAATATTGTATTGTAATACAATTTTTTTGTATTTTGGTTTTCATTTCATTACAAAAGAGTTACAGTATTATTGTATTGCATTTTATTTTTTTTGTATTTTTATTTGTATTATTATACAAATAGTATACTATTATTTTTGTATTAATTTGTAATACAATAATTAATTATTTTTTAATATTTTTTATTTTCATATGATTATTAATAACTATGTTTAATTTAAAAAATGTAAATTATTATTAAATAATCGATATCGAATCTACTTTAAATTTCCTGATAACGTTACACCAACCGTTAATTTTATTTTGTTAAACTTTAATTGCCTAAAATTATTAGAAAATTAATTTTTTAAGACACTTTAATATCTATTTATTATATGGTGTCATAATAACTTAATTTTTGAAACAAATTAAGTTAATTTATATATTAGTAGTATTAGTAGTTAGGTTTTGTTGTACCCACTCCTATACTGTACAAATATAAATGTTTACTGTATATTATAATCTACTGTATAGTGTAATAGTGATGGTCAGTGTAATGACTTTTATAAAAATAATGGTTATATTATTTTTATTTTAAACTTATTAGTTATATTTGATATTAATTAATAAATTATTTGTTTATAAAAAAATTATCTAAAATTGTTTAATATGTTATTTTTAATAAATAAATTATTGTATAAAATAATATCGATTTATATAAAAACTAGTTAGATCCATGTAATAAAATGTGTATCAATAGTTAACACGTGCAACAATACTCTCTCTCTCTCTCTCTCTCTCTCTCTCTCTCTCTCTCTCTCTCTCTCTCTCTCTCTCTCTCTCTCTCTCTCTCTCTCTCTCTCTCTCTCTCTCTCTCTCTCTCTCTCTCTCTCTCTCTCAATCTATCTCTTTACTAAACAATGCTTTCACGCGCTATATATAATATACAGTGTATTATAAAAAGTATATTTTATTAATTTTTTATTTAATAAATTAAAATTATTAATAATCGCGCGACACATTAAAAGTAATTGTTTGTGTGACAGAAAATGGCACAAACATTGAACAAATTATATAGTAGTATAGATAATATATTTATATAATATGATGTAATATGATATTTAGTAATAATATTATATTACTGTAATTTACTGTATGTTTATGTATACTAATGTTGTTATACAGTAAAACTGTTTCATTATAAAATAAACCAAAACAATAATGGCCGCCATGCTATGATACCCTTATTTAACTTTTTTGACACTACGCTTAAATTACTTTATCATATTAATTGCTTACATAAATAGCTTAATAGCAATAAATATGATTTAGCGTAATTTAAGAGTAGTGTCAAAAAAGTTAAATAAGGGTATCATAGCGTGGCGGCCATTATTGTTTTGGTTTTGTTTATAATGATACAGTTTTTATAATGTGTTGACATTATTGATGAATATTTTTTTTTGGATATATTTGTTGATAAAATTGTATTTACATTTCAAATGTTTTTTTGTTATTATAATTATTTTTGAAGTAATTTAAAACAAGAGACGAATCCATAATCAAAGTTATGATAATATAAGACACGGAAGTAATCAAACACAAGACATGAGTGTCACGATTGATGTCAACGACATGTTTCAAGAAATGGTTAAACAAAATGAAAGACTTGTCAAAGAAATTGAATTTTATGAAGAAGTGGTCAACGATTTGATGATAATTGTAAAGACATGTATTGTTTGTCAACAAAATAATGTCATAAAAGACAGAATCAATCGATTGGAGACACACTTGAAGAGTAAAACAACCGATAATTCAATTATAGTTAAGAATGAATATATTGTATACAATGATGATTACGATAACAACTTGAAGACAACAAATGAAGACAATGGATGTGTTCAAGAGATTACAGATTTTGATAGTTATATATCATGTGAGACGAGTGATGGCAACAAATCAGACAACAGTTTAGAAAGAGATTTAATTAGTAGTTTGAAGACAAAGTCATTGTCGAGAACTAAAAAAAGAAGTGTTAAAGACGTTACAGATTCTGTTAAGACAAGTGATGCTAACGAATCAGTTAACAGTTTGACAATAAATTTAAAGACAAAGTCATTGAAAAAAACTAAGTCAAATGAAAAAAGTATTTCAGAAAATGTCGACAAACTTGAAGACAATAACAATAAGAGTAATGCAGTTAATAGTGGGAAACGTATGAAATCATTCATTAGTGATGAATATGAACAACAAAAACAAAAATTAAGAGGTATTTGAAATAGTATTTGAAATCACAGTTTAATAATTAGTATAATTATTAATATCTTTAAACAGAAGAAACACTTACCAGTGATGGCAGCTATCAGTGCCAGACATGTGATTATAAAAGTAAAAAATTTCCTGAATGCGAGTCACACGTCAACCGATGTCACCTTAAGATTAATCCATACAAATGTGACATTTGTGGCGAACAGTTTGTCGGTTATGGACCTCTAAGACGACATAAGAGTCTCAAACACTATTATGTTGGCGAAGGTTTGGATCAATTAACTGATCGACGAAAATCTCAAAGTATTTGATTGAAATTTTTATTTTGTTTAAAGTTTTTTAAAAAATATATATAAAATAATATCAATTTATTTATAAATACCTAATTATCTTATCTTTTATTTTTAGTCGTCAGATCACTGAACAAATATCAGTGTCAATATTGTCAAAAATTTTTACGTACCGAACAACTTCTCAATGAACACGTGTCGCGCGTGCATTACAACGTGAAACCCGGTGTAACGTTTGGTTGCGATAAGTGTAACAAATTATATTTTAACAGAACTTCACTTAATATTCACAAACGTAAACAACACGGTATCGGCAGAGAAGTAAAGTATTATCACTGCGATTGGATTGGCTGTCAGTTCAAAACGTCAAGTGTTTCAATGGTCACAGGTATGTGTGATAATTAATTTTAATTACCGGTAATAAAATTATTATAATTATGGGACACACATGCATCTCCCAGTGCATCAAAAAAGACATTTAGGTATCCGTGACTATGTATGTGATTATCCCGGATGTCAGGTTCAGACGGCCACCATAAGTGAACTTAATAATCATAAGTTAGTTCACAGCGATAGCTATAACTATCGGTGCCAATGGCCTGGTTGCGAGTTTCTCACTAAATCAAGTAATTTATTTACATTGTATATCCAAATAGTATTTAAAAAAAGTATTTATTAAGTAAATAGTTAAAATAATAGTAAAAAGTTAATATCTTTTTATCGGTATTTAATATTTTTTTAAAAATATATTTATTTATTTATTTATTTAAGAGAGAGGTTTGAAGTTACACACAGAGAAAGTTCATGAGGAAAGTTCTCCTAAATTTGCGTGTCATTGGACCGGATGTGACAAAACATTTAGATTTAACTCTTACTTAAAACAGTATTATTTATTTTATAATAATTTTTTTAATATATATATATTTATTTATTTTTATTTAATTGAAATAATAAGGACTATCGGTAATAATTTTTTTTGTTTATCCAATTATATTATACAACCAGACATCTGAAACTACATAACGAACCAGACCTTCCCTGTCCTTTCTGTAGTAAACTGTTTAAGACTAAGAGTGCTGTGGATATTCATGTGAGAACCCATACGGGAGCTATACGTGTACCCTGTCCTGTACCGGGATGTCAGATACAGATATCAGGCAAAGCTAATATCAAACATCATATGAGATATCATCATAAGGATTGGACACCCAATAAGTCATTGATTAAATAACTAACTATTAGTGAATTTGCTATTTATTATTATTATTATTACTATTATTGTACATAATATTTATTCTATAACATGAAATAAATTGATTGAAACAATTTAATTAAATAATAGATAGTAATTTATATTAATATTATTTACAGTAATTATTTATTTGTTTATTGCTATTTGTAAAAATTAATTCATATTTAAATAGAGGAATGGGATGTCATCTCTCTATTTACTCTTTATAATAGTCGACTGGGAATTGGCTTCGAGTTTCAATTGTCTGGTATTTTATGGAATAATAGGAATTAATTCTATTTACTTTAGCGACAATTTATCCAATTCTTCAACTTTGAACTGTTGTGTCCATCTTTCGACCTCAACCTCCAACTCATGTCTCTCCAGTTTCAATGTTCGCAAATGTTTGTCAATAATATGTTTTTTCACCTTTGCTTTTACAGCTGTTTTAACCACTTCTCGGTATTCATTATCCGATGTTTTACCACTGTTTTTGATCTCTTCCTCACACTTACGACATTCAAATGGATAATATTTAATATGTGGGTTAATATGGTTGACATTGTTTTCCGGATAATCCTTATCTATGTTACGTACGATCAGTTGGTGTTTGGCGTTCGGCTCATTCCTAATGTCGAAAACCTGTTCACATCAAACAACAAAAATTAATAATTATTTTTAGTTTAAAAAATTAATTATTTTTAAACATACACTCATAATACGATCACATGCGGGACAGCCCTCGTAATTGGTTTTACTCCTATCGGGTATAGTCTTAATACTTTCGGACATAGTTTTGATCAGCTGATCCTGGTACTCCAGATGCCATACCATAAACTTATCGACAGCATCTTTATCGGCAACACTGTTAGTCAAATGGTCGTTCAATAGATGATCCCGGAGCAGGTCTCGGGTGCGAAATGTTAGAAAACAATCGTTGGTTCGGGTGTACATTGGGACACAGTTGGGAGTGGCCGGTCTAGAATTATCTATTAATATACAAAAATAAGGCGTATCGGGTATATTGGACATGGTATGTTTGTTTGTGTGTGTGTGTGTGTGTGTGTGTGTGTGTGTGTGTGTGTGTGTGTGTGTGTGTGTGTGTTTGTGTAAAGTATGTATAATTAATAGGTATGTGTCGTATTTTAATTTTAACAAAAATTTCAACGTTAATACATGTATATTAAAAAACTTTTTTTTTTGATAATATATGAGATTAAAAAAATTGCAAACTTTATGCATTTATATACTAATAAAATATCTGTTTAATTATTTATCTATTATTATCAATAATATAATTCAAATGTTGTAATAACAATATCAGTAAGTTATGTAGTTGTACTGGTATTTTGATAATTAAATTTTTAATTTTATAATAATGTAATAATTCTAGACTAGAGTCTAAATTTCAATTATTATATAATATTTTTTTGTTTTATAATAATAAATGAATGACATTATTGATGAATATTTTGTGGATATATTTGTTGACAAAATTGTGTTTACATTTCAAATGTTTTGGATTTTAAGTCAAAAATTTTTGATGAAATTATGTTTGAAATGATTTAATGACAAGACATGAATCAAAGTAATGATAATATAAGACATACAAGACTTGGAAGACATAAAACACAAGACATGAGTGTTACGATTGATGTGAACGACGTGTTTGAAGAAGTGGTTAAACAAAATGAAAGACTTGTCAAAGAAATTGAATTTTATGAAGAAGTGGTCAACGATTTGATAACAAATGTTAAGAAATGTATTGTTTGTCAACAAAATGATGTCATAAAAGACAGAATCAGTGAATTGGAGACACAATTGAAGAGTAAGACAATTGATAACTCAACTGATGTTAAGAGTGATGATAAAGACTGTGATAAAAATGTAAAAACAAAAGGTTTACAAAAGTTGAAGAAAACAACTAAAAGATGTATTAAAAAGTTTGCAGATTCTGTTACCAGTGATGACGACAACGACTCAGATAGAAGTCGGACAACAAATGTAAAGATAAAGACATTTATGAAAACTAAGAAAAATCTAAAGATTGCTTTCAAGAGAAACGAAAAAATTATATTAAGAGATGTCAATGAAGTTGAAGACAATAAAAGCAAAACAATTAAAATTGTAAAACACATGAAATCAAAGAAAGCAATGAAACGATGTGTTAAAGACCATACAGATAGTGATAGTTATAAATCATATGATATGACTGATGACTATGACATCGATGACAATAGCAAAAGAAATGTTAAGACATTGAAGAAAAAAGAGAAAATCATTCAAAAAGATGTCGACGATGTAACAGATGGTAACAGTAATAGACAGACAGTTAAAAAAGTGAAACAAATGAAACCATATAGTGATGAATATGAAGAAAAAAGACAGAAATTAAAAGGTAATTTGATTTATTGATTTTATGGATAATAATTATTATTTAAATTTAATATTAATATTAATATCAAAACAGATGATACACTTACCAGTGATGGCAGCAATCAGTGCCAGACATGTGATTATAAAAGCATTAAATTTATAGATTTTGAGACACATATCAACCGATATCATCTAAACATTAAGCCATATAAGTGTCACATTTGTGGCCAACATTTTGTTGGTTACGACACTTTAAGACGACATAAGGGTCTCAAACACTTTTATGTTGGCCAAGCTTTGGATCAATTAAGTGATAAACGAAAATCTCAAAGTATTAATAAATTTTTTATTTGTTTACCACTTTTATTTTTTTTATATAATATTTTAAATAATTTTTTTCAAAATAATTTATACATAAGTCGCCCAAACTTTATCGAAATTTCAGTGTCAATATTGTCAAAAATTTATACACTGCGAGTCAGATCTCAAACAACACGTGGCGCGCGTGCATCACAACGTAAAATCGTCTAAAACTATTTCATGCGATTTGTGTGAAAAATTTTATAGTAATAGGTCTTCACTTATCAAACATAAACGTTTTTATCACTGCATCGGAAAAACATTACCGATATTTTACTGCGATTGGGAGGGCTGTCAATATAAATCAGATAATTTGACATTACTTGGAGGTATGTATTTATGTATTTCGGAGAAGCGCACATACCGTAATATCGAAATCGTTTTTTTTGTTGAAAATAATTTTATATAAATTTATATTAAGTAGTATTAATATTTACACAAATATTTCAGTGCATAAAAAAAGACATTTAGGTATCCGTGACTATGTGTGTGATTGGCCCGGATGTGAGTTTCGAGCAGTGGCTATAAGTGATATCACTAGACATAAGCTCATTCATAGCGATAATTATGACTATCGGTGCCAATCAATCGGTTGTGAGTTTCGCACTAAAATTAGTAAATATAATATTTTTTTTATTTACCATTAATTTTTTTTATTAAATTTATGTATACTTAATAACAATTTAAATTTAAAGAATATAATTTAAAGAAACACATGGATAGTATTCATAAGGACATACCCCACACATTGGTGTGTCATTGGCCCGGATGTGATAAAACGTTTAGATTTACCCATAATTTGACAAAGTATTAAAATATATATATAAATTATAACTTATTAAAAACAGTAGTAATGGGAAACATTTGTTAATTTTTTGTATCTATTAACCAGACATATGACTCTACATAACAAACCACATCTGCCGTGTCCTCACTGTAACAAACTGTTTACGACTAAGAGGTATTTGGGTCTTCATATGGCAACACATACGGGAAGTCTACGTGTGATGTGTCCGATAAAGGGATGTAATATAGAAATATCATCAAAAAATAATATCAGACATCATATGAGAGTACATCACAAGGACTGTACCGGCAATTAGTTATTTGCTATTATTATTGTATATAATATAGTGTAAGAAAAATAAAAAAATTTCTAAATAATTAAATTACATTATTCGGTAGTTTTTTGTTAACTTTGTATTTATTACTTACTTGTATTTGACACTTGGATTTGTAATAATAAATTTATATTTAAACATTACTTTCAATCGTTATTTTCTTTATATACAGTTTTATATAAAAAAAATTAAGACATTTTTGGTGACATTATTGATGAATATTTGGTATATTTGTTGACAAAATTGTGTTTACATTTCAAATGTTTTGATTTATATTTTGTGTCAAAAAATTTTGATTAAATTATGTTTGAAATGATTTAATGACAAGACATGAATCAAAGTAATGATAATATAAGACATAATACTAGACTTGGAAGACATAAAAGACAAGATATGAGTGTCACGATTGATGTGAACGACGTGTTTGAAGAAGTGGTTAAACAAAATGAAAGACTTGTCAAAGAAATTGAATTTTATGAAGAAGTGGTCAACGATTTGATAACAAATGTGAAGACATGTATTGTTTGTCAACAAAATAATGTCATAAAAGACAGAATCAGTGAATTGGTGACACACTTGAAGAGTAAAACAATTGATAACTCAACTGATGTTAAGAGTGATGATAAAGACTGTGATAAAAATGTAAAAACAAAAGATTTACAAAAGTTGAAGAAAACAACTAAAAGATGTATTAAAAAGTTTGCAGATTCTGTTACCAGTGATGACGACAACGACTCAGATAGAAGTGGGACAACAAATGTAAAGATAAAGACATTTATGAAAACTAAGAAAAATCTAAAGATTGCTTTCAAAAGAAACGAAAAAATTATATTAAGAGATGTCAATGAAGTTGAAGACAATAAAAGTAAAACAATTAAAAGTGTAAAACACATGAAATCAAAGAAAGCAATGAAACGATGTGTTAAAGACAATACAGATAGTGATAGTTATAAATCATGTGATATGACTGATGACTATGACATCGATGACAATAGCAAAAGAAATGTTAAGACATTGAAGAAAACTAAGAAAATAATTTTAAAAGATGTCGACGATGTAACAGATGGTAACATTAATAGACAGACAGTTAAAAGTGTGAAAACCATTAAACCATATAGTGATGAATATGAAGAAAAAAGACAAAGACTAAAAGGTATTTAATTTATTGATTTTTAGGATAATATTTATTTTTTTAAATTAATAATAAGAATTAATTTCAAAACAGATGATACACTTACCATTGATGGCAGCTATCAGTGCCAGACATGTGATTATAAAGGAATTAGATTTGAAGATCTTGAGAGACACGTCAATGTATATCATCTCAATATTAAGCCATTTAAATGTGCCATTTGTGGCCATCATTTGAACTGTTATCACTCATTAAGTCTACATAAGAATCGCAAACACTATTATATTGGCCAAGGATTGGATCAATTAAGTGATAAACAAAAATCTCAAAGTATTAATGAAAAGTTTTTATTTTATTTAGCATTTTTTATAATATTTATTTTATTTTTTCAAAATAATTTATACATAAGTCGCCGAAAGACTATCGAAATTTCAGTGTCGAAATTGTCAAAAGTTTTGTTACAGTCATTCAAATCTTAAGCGCCACGTATTGCACGCGCATCACAAACTGAAACCGTCAAAAACGTTTGCTTGCGATTTATGTGACAGGTCATATTGTAATAGTAATTCACTTATACAACATAAACGCATACATCATGGCATCGGACGGAAGTTATTGTATTATTATTGCGATTGGGAGGGCTGTCAGTATAAGGCAACAAATAGTTTAACAGTTTCAGGTAATGTGTAATGTTTTTTCAACTATACGTACGGTAAGCAAAATATATTTATAAATATCTACACAAACTCTTACAGTGCATAAAAAAAGACATTTAGGTATCCGTGACTATGCGTGTGATTGGCCCGGTTGTGAGTTTCGGGCAGTGGTCAAAAGTGATATGACTAGACATAAAGTCGTTCATAGCGATAATTATGACTATCGGTGCCAATCGACCAGTTGTGAGTTTCGTACTAAAAAAAGTAAATATATTTTTTGTTTTTATTACCATTAATTTGTCTTATTAAATTTATTTATACTTAATAACAATTTAAATTTAAAGAATATAATTTAAAGAAACACATGGATAGTATTCATAAGGACATACCCCACACACTGGTGTGTCATTGGCCCGGATGTGATAAAACGTTTAGATTTACCCATAATTTGAGAAAGTATTTAAAAAATAGTTACATTATTTTAAAAAATATATAAATATAAATTATAACTTAACGGTACAAACATTTTATTAATTATTATTTCTATTAACCAGACATATGACTCTACATAACAAACCACATCTGCCGTGTCCTCACTGTAACAAACTGTTTACGACTAAGAGGTATTTGGGTCTTCATATGGCAACACATACGGGAAGTCTACGTGTGATGTGTCCGATAAAGGGATGTAATATAGAAATATCATCAAAAAATAATATCAGACATCATATGAGAGTACATCACAAGGACTGTACCGGCAATTAGTTATTTGCTTTTATTACTGTATATAATATTGTATAAGAAATTTTTAAATTATTTAATTACATTATTCAGTAGTTTTTTGTTAACTTTGTATTTATAATTTACTTGTATTTGAAACAGGATTTGTAAATAATTGGACTTTCAATTTAAATTTAAATTTAAATTATTATTTTCTAATAATTATGGCTTAGTTTTACATTGACATTGTTTTGCATAAAAATATTCAATAATTTAATTTAATTTAAAAAATCATTGTACTGTATTTAAACATTATTTCAATCGTTAATTTCTTTATATACAGTTTTATAAAAAAAATTAAGACATTTTTGGTGACATTATTGATGAATGTTTTGGATATATTTGTTGACAAAATTGTGTTTACATTTCAAATGTTTTGGATTTTAAGACAAAATTTTTTGTTGAAATTATGTTTGAAATGATTTAATAACAAGACATGAATCAAAGTAATGATAATATAAGACATACAAGACTTGGAAGACATAAAACACAAGACATGAGTGTCACGATTGATGTGAACGACGTGTTTGAAGAAGTGGTTAAACAAAATGAAAGACTTGTCAAAGAAATTGAATTTTATGAAGAAGTGGTCAACGATTTGGTGATAAATGTGAAGAAATGTGTTGTTTGTCAACAAAATGATGTCATAAAAGACAGAATCAGTGAATTGGAGACACAATTGAAGAGTAAGACAATTGATAACTCAACTGATGTTAAGAGTGATGATAAAGACTGTGATAAAAATGTAAAAACAAAAGGTTTACAAAAGTTGAAGAAAACAACTAAAAGATGTATTAAAAAGTTTGCAGATTCTGTTACCAGTGATGACGACAACGACTCAGATAGAAGTCGGACAACAAATGTAAAGATAAAGACATTTATGAAAACTAAGAAAAATCTAAAGATAGCTTTCAAAAGAAACGAAAAAATTATATTAAGAGATGTCAATGAAGTTGAAGACAATAAAAGCAAAACAATTAAAAGTGTAAAACACATGAAATCAAAGAAAGCAAAGAAACGAAATGTTAAAGACTATACAGATAGTGATAGTAATAAATCATGTGATATGACTGATGACTATGACTATGACATCGATGACAATTGCAAAAGAAATGTTAAGACATTGAAGAAAACTAAGAAAATAATTTTAAAAGATGTCGACGATGTAACAGATGGTGAGAGTAATAGACAGACAGTTAAAAGTGTGAAAACCATTAAACCATACAGTGATGAGTATGAAGAAAAAAGACAGAAATTAAAAGGTATTTAATTTATTGTTTTTATGGATATTTAAATTTAATAATGATTATTAATATCAAAACAGATGAAACACTTACCATTGATGGCAGCTATCAATGCCAGACATGTGATTATAAAAGAATTAGATTTGAAGATCTTGAGAGACACGTCAATCTATATCATCTGAATATTAAGCCATTTAAGTGTGACATTTGTGGACATCATTTGAACTGTTATGACTCATTAAGTCTACATAAGAATCGTAAACACTATTATATTGGCCAAGGATTGGATCAATTAAGTGATAAACAAAAATCTCAAGGTATTGATGAAAAGCTTTTATTTTATTAATCAATTTTATTTTTTTAATAATAATATTTATTTATTTTTTCAAAATAATTTATACATAAGTCGCCGAAAGTTTATCGAAATTTCAGTGTCGAAATTGTCAAAAGTTTTGTTACAGTCATTCAAATCTTAAGCGCCACGTATTGCACGCGCATCACAACCTGAAACCGTTAAAAACGTTTACTTGTGATATGTGCGACAAATCGTATTGTAATAGTAATACACTTATAACACATAAACGTTTAAAACACGGTATCGGAGAAAAGTTACCGTTTTATTACTGCGATTGGGAGGGCTGTCAGTTTAAGACAACAAATAGATTAATGGTTTCAGGTATGTAGTGATAGATATACGAAATTAATTTTTAATTTAACTAAATAATAATAATAGTATAAATATTTATATACATTATTTATTAATATCGGACACAAATATTTCAGTGCATAAAAAAAGGCATTTAGGTATCCGTGACATTGTGTGTGATTGGCCCGGATGTGAGTATCGATCAGTGGCCAAAAGTGATATGACTAGACATAAGATTCTTCATAGCGATAATTTTGATTATCGGTGCCAATCGACCGGTTGTGAGTTTCGCACTAAAAAAAGTAAATATATTTTTTAAAATTTACCATTAATTTGTTTTATTTATTTATATATATATATACTAAATAATAATTTAAATTTAAAGAATATAATTTAAAGAAACACATGGATAGAATTCATAAGGACATACCCCACACACTGGTGTGTCATTGGCCCGGATGTGATAAAACGTTTAGATTTACCAATTGTTTGAGAATGTATTTAAAAAAAATAGTTACATAATTTTAAAAAATAAATAAATATAAATTATAACTTAACGGTACAAACATTTTATTAATTTTTATTTCTATTAACCAGACATATGACTCTACATAACAAACCACATCTGCCGTGTCCTCACTGTAACAAACTGTTTACGACTAAGAGGTATTTGGGTCTTCATATGGCAACACATACAGGAAGTCTACGTGTGATGTGTCCGATAAAGGGATGTAATATAGAAATATCATCAAAAAATAATATCAGACATCATATGAGAGTACATCACAAGGATTGGACAGGCAAATAGTTATTTAAACTATAAATTTGTTTTTCATTAATGTATATAATATAATATGTATATAAATAAGAAAAATAAATCTTATAAATAATTAAATTATATTATTCGGTAGTTTTTTTTGTTAACTTTGTATTTATAATTTACTTGTATTTGATACAGGATTTGTATATAATTGGACTTTCAATATGTATCAGTATTACTATTCAGTAATTAAATTTTTATTTATTATTTTCTAATAATTATGGCTTAGTATTACATTGGTTTACTTAAAAATATTAATATCAATAATTTAATTTAATTGAAAAAAATTGTACAGTATATATCATAATATAAAAATTAAATAATATATTTACGGTAAACATTAAATTTACTTTAAATCGTTATTTTCTTTACATACAGTTTATACAGTATTTAAAAAATTAAGACATTTTTTATGACATTATTGATGAATGTTTTGGATATATTTGTTGACAAAATTGTGTTTACGTTTGAAATGTTTTGGATTTTAAGTCAAAATTTTTTTATTGAAATTAATTTTGCAGTGATTTAAGACAAGACATGAATCAAAGTAATGATAATATAAGACAAACAAGACTTGGAAGTCGTAAAACACAAGACATGAGTGTCACGATTGATGTGAACGACGTGTTTGAAGAAGTGGTTAAACAAAATGAAAGACTTGTCAAAGAAATTGAATTTTATGAAGAAGTGGTCAACGATTTGGTGATAAATGTGAAGAAATGTATTGTTTGTCAACAAAATGATGTCATAAATGACAGAATCAATCGATTGGAGACACACTTGAAGAGTAAGACAATCGATAACTCAACTGATGTTAAAAGTGATGAAAAAGATTGCAATAAAAATTTAAAAACAAAAGGTTTACAAAAGTTGAAGAAAATAACTAAAAGATGTATTAAAATGGTTACAGACTCTGATACCAGTGATGAGGACAAAGACACGGATAGAAGTGTGAAAAGAAATGTAAAAACATTGAAGAAAACTAAGAAAAATCCAAAGAAGAAAAAAGAGAAAACCATTTCAAGAGATGGACATAAAGTTAAAAATGTGAATCAAATCAAACCATACAGTGATGAGTATGAAGAAAAAAGACTGAAATTAAAAGGTATTTAATTAATTGATTTTTTAGGATAATATTTATTATTAAAATCTAATGATAAGAATTAATACCCAAACAGATGAAACACTTAGCAGTGATGGTCACTATTATTGCCAGACATGTGATTATAAAAGCGTTAGATTTATTGATTTTGAGGCACACGTCAACCGATATCATCTCAACATTAATCCATACAATTGTGATATTTGTGGCAAACATTTTAGTAGTAATGACACTTTAAGACGACATAAGAGTCGCAAACATTATTATGTTGGCCAAGGATTGGATCAATTAAGTGATAAACGAAAATCTCAAAGTATTGATTGGAGTTTTTATTTTTGTTTTTTTCACATTTATTTTAAACTATTTATTTATTTAATTTTAAAAATAATTTTGAAAAATATTTTATAGTTGCCGAAACATTATCGAAATATCAATGTCAATTGTGTCCACAGTTTATGAGCAGTCAGTCAAATGTTAATCGACACGTATTGCACGCGCATCACAAAGTGAAACCAACTAAAACGATTGCATGCGATATGTGTGACAAATCGTATAGTAATAGTAATACACTTATAACACATAAACGTTTAAAACACGGTATCGGAGAAAAGTTACCGTTTTATTACTGCGATTGGGAGGGCTGTCAGTTTAAGACAGCAAATAGATGTATGGTTTCAGGTATGTAGTCATAGATATACGAAATTTTAATTTAACTAAATAATAATAATAATAATAATAGTATAAATATTTATATACATTATTTATTATTTATTAAAATATCGGACACAATGTTGCAGTGCATAAAAAAAGACATTTAGGTATCCGCGACTATGCGTGTGATTGGCCCGGATGTGAGTATCGGGCATTCGCCAGAAGTGATATTACTAAACATAGTCAACTCGTTCACAGCAATAATTATGACTACCTGTGCCAATGGACAGGTTGTGAGTTTCGCACCAAAAGTGGTAATTATTATTATTTTTTATTTTAAATTAACCGTTAATTTGTTTATTTTATTGTGAATTTATTTTTGACATTAATTTAATTTTAAAAAATTATTTTTATTTAAGAGTATTGTTTAAAAAGACACACAAATAATGTCCATAAGGATATTCCCCGCACACTGTCGTGTCATTGGCCCGGATGTGATAAATCGTTTAGATTTCCCGCTGAGTTGACAAAGTATTTTAAAATATATAGTTATAAATTCATTGGAAATAATATGTACTGATAATCATATATTGTATTTAATTGTATTTCTATTAACCAGACATATGAAAACACATAACAAACCACATCTGCCCTGTCCTTACTGTAACAAACTGTTTACGACTAAACAATATTTGAGTAATCATATGGGAATCCATACGGGAAGTATACGTGTGTCGTGTCCGGTAAAGGGATGTAATATACAGATATCGTCCAAAGCTAATATCGGACAACATTTGAAAGTACATCACAAGGGATGGACAGGCAAATAGTTTTTCATTAATGTATAATACAGTATAATATGTATATAAATAAGAAAAATAAATTTTATAAATAATTAAATTGCATTATCGGTAATATTTTTTTTTTTAAAACTATTTTATATCAGATGTTGGATTTTTATACATTTTAATACTTTTGTACTTTCAATAGTTATCGTTACTTAAATTTTTGTAATAATTTTGGTTTATCGGTAGTTTTAAATAAAAATTTTAATAATTTAATATAAAAAATCATTATATATATGGAGTAAAATTCAAATAATATATTTAAAGTTAGATTACATTAAATTTAGTTTATAAATACTGTATTGTTTTCAATCGTTATTTTCATTACATATCATAAATATTTGTTGACATTATTGATGAATATTTGGTATATTTGTTGACAAAATTGTGTTTACATTTCAAATGTTTTGGATTTTGTGTCAAAAATTTGTTATTAAATTATGTTTTGAAATGATTTAAGACATGAATGATAGTAATGATAATATAAGACATAATACTAGACTTGGAAGACATAAAAGACAAGACATGAGTGTCACGATTGATGTGAACGACGTGTTTGAAGAAGTGGTTAAACAAAATGAAAGACTTGTCAAAGAAATTGAATTTTATGAAGAAGTGGTCAACGATTTGATAACAAATGTTAAGACATGTATTGTTTGTCAACAAAATGATGTCATAAAAGACAGAATCAGTGAATTGGAGACACACTTGAAGTGTAAGACAATCGATAAATCAATTAAAGTTAAGAGTGAATACAAAGACTGCGATAACAAATTAAAAACAAATCTTAAGACAAAAAGATTACAAAAATCAAACAAAAGATGTGTTAAAGAGGTTACAGATTCTAATATCAGTTATGATGACAACGAATCAGATAGAAGTTGGACAACAAATTCAAAGGTAAAGACATCTATGAAATCAAATAAGAGAAACGAGAAAATTATATTAAAAGATGTCGAGAAAGTTAAAGACATTAAAAGCAAAACAATTAAAACTGAAAAACAAATCAAATTATATAGCGATGAATATGAAGAAAAAAGACAGAAATTAAAAGGTATTTTATTAATTGTTTTTAATAATAATAATATTTAATGATAAATACGAATTACATCCAAACAGATAATGGACTTACCAGTGATGGCAGCTATCAGTGCCAGACATGTGATTATAAAAGCATAAAATTTATAGATTTTGAGACACATGTCAACCGATATCATCTAAACATTAAGCCATTCAAGTGTCACATTTGTGGCGACCATTTTGTCGGTTACGACAATTTAAGACGACATAAAAGTCTCAAACACTATTATGTTGGCCAAGCGTTGGATCAATTAAGTGATAAACGAAAATCTCAAAGTATTAATAAATTTTTTATTTGTTTACCACTTACGGTACACTAATTATTAATGATTTTTTTAAATTAGATAACTAATAAATCTCTAATTTTTTTATTAATAATTTTTATTTCAGTCGCCCAAACTTTATCGAAATTTCAGTGTCAATATTGTCAAAAATTTATACACTGCGAGTCAGATCTCAAACAACACGTGGCGCGCGTGCATCACAACGTAAAATCGTCTAAAACTATTATTTCATGCGATTTGTGTGAAAAATTTTATAGTAATAGGGCTACACTTATCAAACATAAACGTTTTTATCACGGCATTGGAAAAAAATTACCGATATTTTATTGCGATTGGGAGGGCTGTCAGTATAAATCAGTAAATAGTACAATGCTTGAAGGTATGTATGTATGTATGTCGGAGAAGCGCACATACCGTAATTGAAAATTGTTTTTTTTGTTGAAAATAATTTTATATAAATTTATATTAAGTATTAATTAATATCTACACAAACTCTTACAGTGCATAAAAAAAGACATTTAGGTATCCGTGACTATGCGTGTGATTGGCCCGGTTGTGAAATACGGACGTATACTAGTTCTAGTCTTGAAATCCATAAGCTAATTCATACCGATAATAATGACGACCGGTGCCAATGGCCCGGTTGTGACTATAAAGCTAAAAATAGTACTATAAATATATATATTAATTACCGATATTTTTTTTTGTATTTATGTTTATTATAATATTTTGTTGTTAATTATCATTTTTTTGTTGTTCATTCATTCAAGAGTACCAAATAAAGAAACATATGAAAAGAATTCATGAGGACATACCCCGAACACATGCGTGTCATTGGCCCGGATGTGACAAAACGTTTAAATTTGCCTATAGTTTGACAAAGTATTTGAATATAAATATAACATAACTTATTGTAAATAATAAGTATTAAATAATTAAACATTTTTAAAAATTGTTTTTTTTGTATCTATTAACCAGACATATGAAAACACATAACAAACCACATCTGCCCTGTCCTTACTGTACCAAACTGTTTACGACTAAACAATATTTGAGTAATCATATGGGAATCCATACGGGAAGTATACGTGTGTCGTGTCCGGTAAAGGGATGTAATATACAGATATCGTCCAAAGCTAATATCGGACAACATTTGAAAGTACATCACAAGGGCTGTACCGGCAAATAGTTTTTTCATTAATGTATATAATACAGTATAATATGTATATAAATAAGAAAAATAAATTTTATAAATAATTAAATTATAATACATTATCGGTAATATTTAAAAAAAAAATATTTGATATCAGATTTTTATACATTTTAATAGTTTTATACTTTCAATAGTTATCGTTACTTAAATTTTTATAATAATTTTGGTTTATCGGTAGTTTTAAATTAAAAAATATTTTAATTTACGGTAATATAATAAATCATTGTATATATCGACTAAAATTCAAATAATATATCTAAAGTGAGATTACATTAGATTTAGATTATAAACATTGTTTTCAATCGTTATTTTCTTTACATATAATAAATATTTGTTGACATTATTGATGAATATTTGGTATATTTGTTGACAAAATTGTGTTTACATTTCAAATGTTTTGTATTTTGTGTCAAAAATTTTTGATTAAATTATGTTTGAAATTATTTAATGACAAGACATGAATCAAAGTAATGATAATATAAGACATACAAGACTTGGAAGATATAAAAGACAAGACATGAGTGTCACGATTGATGTAAACGACGTGTTTGAAGAAGTGGTTAAACAAAATGAAAGACTTGTCAAAGAAATTGAATTTTATGAAGAAGTGGTCAACGATTTGATAACAAATGTTAAGAAATGTATTGTTTGTCAACAAAATGATGTCATAAAAGACAGAATCAGTGAATTGGAGACACATTTGAATAGTAAGACAATCGATAAATCAATTAAAGTTAAGAATGAATACAATGACTGCGATAACAATTTGAAAACAAATCCAAAGACAAAAAGATTACAAAAATCAAAGAAAATTTGTGTTAAAGAGGTTACAGATTCTGATAGCAGTTATGATGACAACGAATCAGATAGAAGTTGGACAACAAATGCAAAGATAAAGACATCTATGAAATCAAATAAGAAAAACGAGAAAATTATATTAAAAGATGTCGAGAAAGTTAAAGACATTAAAAGCAAAACAATTAAAAGTGGAAAACATATGAAAACAAAGAAAATTATTTTAAAAGATGTCAATAAAGTTAAGAACAATAAAATCAAAACAATTAAAACTGAAAAACAAATCAAATTATATAGTGATGAATATGAAGAAAAAAGACAGAAATTAAAAGGTATTTAATTTATTGATTTTAATAATAATATTTAATAATAAATACAAATTACATCCAAACAGATGATGGACTTACCAGTGATGGCAACTATCAGTGCCAGACATGTGATTATAAAAGCATTAAATTTATAGATTTTGAGACACATGTCAACCGATATCATCTAAACATTAAGCCATTCAAGTGTCACATTTGTGGCGACCATTTAGTCGGTTACGACACTTTAAGACGACATAAGAGTCTCAAACACTTTTATGTCGGCCAAGCTTTGGATCAATTAAGTGATAAACGAAAATCTCAAAGTATTAATAAATTTTTTATTTGTTTACCACTTACGGTACACTAATTATTAATGATTTTGTTTAATTAAATAACTAATAAATCTCTAATTTTTTATTAATAATTTTTATTTCAGTCGCCCAAATTTTATCGAAATTTAAGTGTCAATATTGTCAAAAATTTATACACTCCGAGTCGGATCTCAAACAACACGTGGCGCGCGTGCATCACAACGTAAAATCGTCTAAAACTATTTCATGCGATTTGTGTGAAAAATTTTATAGTAATAGGACTACACTTATCAAACATAAACGTTTTTATCACGGCATCGGAAAAAAATTACCGATATTTTACTGCGATTGGGAGGGCTGTCAATATAAATCAGTAAATTTTACATTACTTGGAGGTATGTACAGTATGTATGTCGGAGAAGCGCACATACCGTAATTGAAAATTGTTTTTTTGTTGAAAATAATTTTATATAAATTTATATTAAGTATTAATTAATATCTACACAAACTCTTACAGTGCATAAAAAAAGACATTTAGGTATCCGTGACTATGCGTGTGATTGGCCAGGTTGTGAAATACGGATGTATACTAGTTATAGTCTTGAAATCCATAAGCAAACTCATACCGATAATTATGACCACCGGTGCCAATGGCCCGGTTGTGACTATAAAGCTAAAAATGGTACGATAAATATAATTACCGATATTTTTTTGTATTTATGTTTATTATAATATTTTGTTGTTAATTATCATTTTATTTGTTGTTCATTCATTCAAGAGTACCAAATAAAGAAACATATGAAGAGAATTCATGAGGACATACCCCGAACACATGCGTGTCATTGGCCCGGATGTGACAAAACGTTTAAATTTGCCTATAGTTTGACAGAGTATTTGAATATAAATATAACATAACTTATTGGAAATAATAAGTATTAAATAATTTTTTTAATTTTTTTTGTATCTATTAACCAGTCACATGAAAATACATAATAAACCACATCTGCCGTGTCCTCACTGTAACAAACTGTTTACGACTAAGAAGTATTTGGGTCTTCATGTGGCAACACATACAGGAAGTCTACGTGTTATGTGTCCGATAAAGGGATGTAATATACAGATATCATCAAAAAATAATATGAGACATCATATGAATGCACATCACAAGGACTAGTAATTTGTATTTATTTGATTGTATATATAATATTGTATAAGAAAAATAAAATATTTAAAATAATTAAATTATATTATTTGTAATAATTATTTTACTCGTACTAAAGGAATTAATATTGAAATTAACATTTTTATATAAAACAATGCAAAAGTGAGGTTTTATAAAATCTTTATATTCAGGATTTATATACATATTAATGTATTTAATTAATAATTTAATAGAAATTTACATCAAATTATAAAACTATGTAAATATTTGTTGACATTATTGATGAATATTTGGTATATTTGTTGACAAAATTGTGTTTACATTTCAAATGTTTTGTTTGGATTTGAAGTCAAAAATTTGTTATTAAATTATGTTTTGAAGTGATTTAAGACAAGACATGAATCAAAGTAATGATAATATAAGACATACAAGACTTGGAAGATATAAAAGACAAGACATGATTGTAACGATTGATGTGAACGACGTGTTTGAAGAAGTGGTTAAACAAAATGAAAGACTTGTCAAAGAAATTGAATTTTATGAAGAAGTGGTCAACGATTTGATAACAAATGTGAAGAAATGTATTGTTTGTCAACAAAATGATGTCATAAAAGACAGAATCAGTGAATTGGAGACACATTTGAAAAGTAAAACAATCGATAACTCAAGTAATGTTAAGAGTGATGATAATGACTGCGATAACAATTTGAAAACAAATCTGAAGACAAAAAAATTACAAAAATCAAAGAAAAGTTGTGTTAAAGAGATTATAGATTCTGATACCAGTGATTATGACAACGAATCAGATAGAAGTTGGACAACAAATGCAAATATAAAGAAGACATCTATGAAATCAAATAAGAGAAACGATAAAATTATTATAAGAGATGTCAATGAAGTTGAAGACAATAAAAGTAATTACAATAAAACTGAAAAACACATAAAATCAAAGAAAACTAAGAAAAATCTTAAGAGAAAAGACAAAATCATTTTAAGAAATGTCGACAAAATTAAAGACAATAACAACAAAGTAATTAAAAGTGGAAAACGTATGAAATTATATAGTAATGAATATCAAGAAAAAAGACAGAAATTAAAAGGTATTTTATTAATTGATTTTAATATTCATGAAAAATATTTATTATTACAATTTAATGATAAACCCGAACAATACTTTAACAGATGACACACTTACTGGTGATGGCAGCTATCAGTGCCAGACATGTGATTATAAAAGCATTAAATTTCCAGATTTTGAGACACACGTCAATCGACTGCATCTAAACATTAAGCCATATAAGTGTCACATTTGTAGCGAACATTTTGTCGGTTACGACAGTTTAAGGAAACATAAGAGTCGCAAACACTATTATGTTGGCCAAGGTTTGGATCAATTAAGTGATAAACGAAAATCTCAAAGTATTAATAAGTTTGTAATAATTTTAAAAAAAAAATATATAATCAATAAATATTGAAAATTTTTAATATTTTTATTTTAGTCGCCGAAACTTTATCGAAATTTCAGTGTCAATATTGTCAAAAGTTTTTACACTGCAAGTCAGAGCTTAAACGACACGTGTTGCACGTGCATCATAACGTGAAACCGACTAAAACTATTGCGTGCGATATGTGTGACAAATCCTATAGAAATAGCTGTTCACTTGTCATACATAAGCGTTTACATCACAGCATTGGACCGAAGTTACCGTATTATTACTGCGATTGGGAGGGCTGTCAGTTTAAGACAACAAATAAATGTATGGTTTCAGGTATGTGTTAGGAGAAGCCATACGTAATTAAACTAATTAACTGTTTAGTAATTTTAACGAAAATAATTACCGATATATAATTATATATAATTATTAATTAATATCCAACACAATCTTGCAGTGCATAAAAAAAGCAAACATTTAGTTATCCGTGATATTATGTGTGATTGGCCCGGATGTGACTTTCGGACGGCCACCAAAACTAATCTCAATAAACATAAATTCATTCACAGCGATGTTTACGACTACCGGTGCCAATGGCCCGGTTGTGAATATCAAGCTAAATATGGTAGGGTAAATATTTTTTAATACAATTACCGGTAATTAAATATATATATATTTATTAAAGTGGAGCGATTGAAAAAACATATGGAAAGAGTTCACGAGGACATACCCCGCACAATGAAGTGTCATTGGCCCGGATGTGATAAAACGTTTAAATTTGCATATAGTTTGACAAAGTATTTGAATATAAATATAACATAACTTATTGGAAATAATAAGTATTAAATAATTAAACATTTTTAAAAAAAATTTTGTATCTATTAACCAGACATATGAAAATACATAACAAACCACATCTGCCGTGTCCTCACTGTAACAAACTGTTTACGACTAAAGAGTATTTGAATCTTCATGTGGCAACACATACAGGAAGTCTACGTGTGATTTGTCCGATAAAGGGATGTAATATAGAAATATCATCAAAAAATAATATCAGACATCATATGAGAGTACATCACAAGAACTGTACCGGCAATTAGTTATTTGCTTTTATTACTGTAATATTGTATAAGAAATTTTTTAAAATTTTTAAATTATTTAATTACATTATTCAGTAGTTTTTTGTTAACTTTGTAATCATCAAAAAATAATATGAGACATCATATGAAAGTACATCACAAGGACTAGTAATTTGTATTTATTTGATTGTATATATAATATTGTATAAGAAAAATAAAATATTTAAAATAATTAAATTATATTATATTATTTGTTTTACTCGTACTAAACGAATTAATATTGAAATTAATATTTTTATATAAAACAATGCAAAAGTGAGGTTTTATAAAATATTTATATTTAAGATTTAGATACATATTAATGTATTTAATTAATAATTTAATAGAAATTTATTAAAACTAAAATTTACATTTCAATAGTTATTTTCTTTACATATCATAAATATTTGTTGACATTATTGATGAATATTTGGTATATTTGTTGACAAAATTGTGTTTACATTTCAAATGTTTTGGATTTTGTGTCAAAAATTTGTTATTAAATTATGTTTTGAAGTGATTTAAGACAAGACATGAATCAAAGTAATGATAATATAAGACATACAAGACTTGGAAGACATAAAAGACAAGACATGATTGTAACGATTGATGTGAACGACGTGTTTGAAGAAGTGGTTAAACAAAATGAAAGACTTGTCAAAGAAATTGAATTTTATGAAGAAGTGGTCAATGATTTGATATCAAATGTGAAGAAATGTATTGTTTGTCAACAAAATAATGCTATAAATAACAGAATCAGTGATTTGGTGACACATTTGAAGAGTAAAACAATCGATAACTCGAGTAATGTTAAGAGTGATGATAATGACTGCGATAACAGATTAAAAACAAAAGATTTACAAAAATTAAATAAAAAATTTGTTAAAGAGTTTACAGATTCTGATAGCAGTGATGACGACAACGAATCAGATAGAAGTTGGACAACAAATTCAAAGATAAATAAGACATCTATGAAATCAAATAAGAGAAACGAGAAAATTATTATAAGAGATGTCAATGAAGTTGAAGACAATAAAAGTAATTACAATAAAACTGAAAAACACATAAAATCAAAGACTTTGAAGAAAACTAAAAGAAAAGAGAAACTCATTTTAAGAAATGTCGACAAAATTAAAGACAATAACAACAAAGTAATTAAAAGTGGAAAACGTATGAAATTATATAGTAATGAATATCAAGAAAAAAGACAGAAATTAAGAGGTATTTAKAGTAATATTTCAATATTCATGAAAAATATTTATTATTAAAATTTAATGATAAACCCGAACAATACTTTAACAGATGACACACTTACTGGTGATGGCAGCTATCAGTGCCAGACATGTGATTATAAAAGCATTAAATTTGTAGATTTTGAGGCACACGTCAATCGACTGCATCTAAACATTAAGCCATATAAGTGTCACATTTGTAGCGAATATTTTGTCGGTTACGACAGTTTAAGGAAACATAAGAGTCGTAAACACTATTGTTTTGGTCAAGGTTTGGATCAATTAAGTGATAAACGAAAATCTCAAAGTATTAATAAGTTTATAATAATTTTTTTTTTTAAATTAGATAATCAATAAATATTATATTTTTAATATTTTTATTTTAGTCGCCGTAACTTTATCGAAATTTCAGTGTCAATATTGTCAAAAGTTTATACACTGTGAGTTAAAGCTTAAACGACACGTGTCGCGCGTGCATCAAAACATGAAACCGACTAATACTATTGCGTGCGATATGTGTGACAAATGGTATAGCAATAAGACTACACTTTACACACATAAACGTTTACATCACGGCATTGGACCGAAGTTACCGTATTATTACTGCGATTGGGAGGACTGTCAGTTTAAGACAACAAATATTTCAATGGTTTCAGGTATGTGTTGTTAGGAGAAGCTATACGTAATTAAACTAATTAATTGTTTAGTAATTTTAGCTAAATAATTACCGGTATATATATATATATAATTATTCATTAATATCCAACACAATCTTGCAGTGCATAAAAAAAGAAAACATTTAGGTATCCGTGACTATGTGTGTGATTGGCCCGGATGTGACTTTCGGACGGCAACCAAAACTAATCTGGATAAACATAAAGTCATTCACATCGATGTTTATGATTACCGGTGCCAATGGCCCGGTTGTGATTATCAAGCTAAATTTGGTACAGTAAATAGTTTTTTTTTTAATTACAATTACCGGTAATTAAATATATATATATTTATTAAAGTGGAGCGATTGAAAATACATATGGAAAGAGTTCACGAGGACATACCCCGCACAGTGAGGTGTCATTGGCCCGGATGTGATAAAATGTTTAAATTTACCAAAGATTTAACTACGTATTTAAAAATATTTATAATTAATTTTTTTATTGTTTGAATAAATTATGGCTTAATTAAAACTAATAAATTACTGTTATTACGGTAATTGTATTTCTATTAACCAGACATATGACTAATGAAAAAGTTTTTTAATTCAAACAGTCACATGAAAATACATAACAAACCACATCTGCCGTGTCCTCACTGTAACAAACTGTTTACGACTAAGAGGTATTTGGGTCTTCATGTGGCAACACATACGGGAAGTCTACGTGTGATGTGTCCGATAAAGGGATGTAATATAGAGATATCGTCCAAAAATAATATCAGACATCATATGAAAGCACATCACAAGGACTGGACCGGCAATTAGTTATTAAACAAATTATTAAACAATTTTTATATAATAAAAATAAAATAAAATTACATTACATTACTGTTAGTAATTATTTTACTATCCATTTGTTTATTTGTGATTAAAAGATATTTCATATTTGAATAATGAATGGCATTTATTTTCACTATTTATTATTTTGATAATTTCATCCAATTCATCAACAATTCATATCAATTTAGTTTTTTAATTAAAATATTTAATTAAATTAACTAAAGATTACTTTTAATTAATTATTTTTGTACTTTTATATCATAAACATTTGTTGACATTATTGATGAATATTTTGATATATTTGTTGACAAAATTGTGTTTACATTTCAAATGTTTTTGATTTTTAGTCATTTAAAAAAAATTGAAGTTTGAAATGATTTAATGGCAAGACATGAATCAAAGTAATGATAATATAAGGCATACAAGACTTGGAAGACATGGAAGTCGTAAAACACAAGACATGAGTGTCACGATTGATGTGAACGACGTGTTTGAAGAAGTGGTTAAACAAAATGAAAGACTTGTCAAAGAAATTGAATTTTATGAAGAAGTGGTCAACGATTTAGTGACAAATGTGAAGACATGTATTGTTTGTCAACAAAATGATGTCATAAAAGACAGAATCAGTGAATTGGAGACACAATTGAAGAGTAAGACAATTGATAACTCAACTGATGTTAAGAGTGATGATAAAGACTGTGATAAAAATGTAAAGAAAAACATGAAATCTAAAAGTTTACAAAAGTTGAAGAAAACAAATAAAAGATGTGTTAAAGAGGTTACAGATTCTGATAGTTATAAATCATATAAAACAAGTATAAAAACATTGAAGAAAACTAAGAAAAATTTAAAGATTGAATTCAAGAGTAACAATAAAACCATTTTAAAAGCTGTCGATGAAGTAACAGATGATAATGACAGCAATGGACAGACAGTTAAAAGTATGAAACATATAAAACTATTTAGTGATGAATATGACAAACGAAGAAAACAACTAAAAAGTATTTCATTTGTTTATTTGATATTTTGATAGTTATAATCATTTAATTTGTTAAATGATGTAAACAGACGACACACTTACCAATGATGGCAGTTATCAATGCAAAAGATGTGATTATAAAAGCAATAGATTTGAAGATTTTGAGTCACACGTCAACCGATATCATCTCAACATTAAGCCATACAAGTGTCACATTTGTGGTCAGAATGTGTTCAGTTACGACAGTTTAAGGAAACATAAAAATATTAAACATTTTTATGTTGGCCAAGGATTGGATCAATTAAGTGATCGACGAAAATCTAAGAGTAGTGATATTTTTTCATATTGTTTTTGCCTTAAAGTAATTAAAAATATTAAATAATTAATAAATTTTTAATTATTTTTTTTTACATTACGGTAGTCGCCGAAACTTTATCCAAATTTCAATGTAAATATTGCCAAAAATATATACAAAATAAGTCGGTTCTCAAACAACACGTGTTGCGCGTGCATCACAATGTAAAACCATCTAAGCTTATTGAGTGCGATATGTGTGACAAATCGTATAGTAATAGTAAATCACTTTTTGTTCACAAACGTCTACATCATGGCATCGGATCATCAGTTCCGTATTATTACTGCGATTGGGAGGACTGTCTGTTTAAATCACCAAATAAGTCATTAGTCACAGGTATGTCCAGAGATACATATTTAACAGAAATGTTTTAATTTTTTTTTGTATCTAATTTATATAATTATGTATTTTTCAGTGCATAAAAAAAGCAAACATTTACGTATCCGTGACTATGTGTGTGATTGGCCCGGATGTGACTATCGGACGACCACCAAAAATAGTCTCAGTAGACACCAGATTGTTCACAGCGATAAATATGACTACCGGTGCCAATGGCCTGGTTGCGAGTTTCGATCTAAACAAGGTAATTTACTAACTATACTAAATATTATTTTTATTATTACCGGTAATTAAATATTATACTTATTAAAATAATTTCTATACTAATTAATATTATTTTTATAAATGTTTATTAAATTTTATATTTATATTAATAATTTATTTAATTTTAAAAAGAATATCTATTGAAGAAACATATGGTGAGAATGCATGAGGACATACCCCGCACACATGCGTGTCATTGGCCCGGATGTGACAAAACGTTTAAATTTACCGCTCATTTGACAAAGTAATTGAAATTATAAACACATAATTTGTTATAATTTTTGTTTAAGGTTTTTACTAATGAGAAAGTTTTTTGTTTTATTTTCTGTTTTATTCAAACAGTCACATGAAACTACATAACGATCCACACCTGCCCTGTCCTCAGTGTAAGAAACTGTTTAAGACTAAAAAGTATTTGGATATTCATAGGCACTCACATACGGGTTGGCTACGTGTTGACTGTCCGGTAAAGGGATGCAATAAACTGATATCAAACAAAACTAATGTCAGACATCATTTGAGAGTACATCATAAGGACTGGACCGGCAATTAATGATTAAACTAAATTGTATTGTATTTGTTGTATTTATTATTGTATATAATATTTTTATATAAAAAAATGTCAATTATACGTAATTAAATTAATATATTACAGTATTTATTTATTGTTTTTAATAATATACAGTTACTATTGGATTGTATACCTACCAAACTATTACCGGAAGTATCAAAATTTCCAAAATATCAAACTGTTAATTAATATATTGTTTAAATAAATATTTTATATAATATTTTTCATATTCTGGTATAAATATAATAAATTTTATATATTACCGGTGAATCAATTATATTAATAAAATATTTTTTTTAATGATTATACTCTATTTAAAAGAGTCGCCTTTTATGTTACAAAAGCCATTGTAAAGACATATAGAATAAGGAAATGAAAATATCATTTATTCTTCATTAATATTCATCGTCTGAATGGACTGTCTTTTCTGCTTTGATGTCGACAAGTGTTTGTCAATAATATGTTTTATCATTACTTTGACGGATGTCTTAACCAATTCTCGGCACTCATTGGCCGCAGTGTTATCATTAATCTTCAATTTTTTACCACAATTTTTACATTCAACTGAATAATAATAATAATAATCAATATGTGGGTTAATATGGTCGACAAAGTTGTTGTTCTCATCTATATTACTGATGACCAGTTCATGTTTGGCGTTCGGCTCATTCCTAATGTTGAATACCTGTCCCCAAATCAAAACAACATTAAAATCAAATTAATTATTTACAATACGGATATATCCTATTACTTGTGTTAGATGTGGATATGGGGTAAATAATTTCTTTAACTCATTTGTCAATTTATGTGTGATGTCAACTATTTCTGGTATTAATTCATCAAACTTTTTGATACTATTGTTATGTTTCATAAAATAGATACTCAATTCACAAGTCTTATAGTCACTGATATTGTGTTTATCTTTCAGATGTTGTCGGGCACTGTCATCCATAACAAACTCGGTGTCGATGTCATCATAGCTACAATCGATGCACTCGTATGGATAATACTGTAAATGATGATAGATATGACTCTCAATGGTCTCACCAATGGATAGTTTATTGAATGCTTCAATATTATAAACATTGGACACAAATTGACAAACCGGACAAAACAAACTACAGGTTCGGGTTTTAAGTTCAGGATTTTTCATATACTCTGAAAACCGGTTAACCCATTTGCGGGAAGCTTTGTATTCAAGAAAATTCTTGAGATTATTAATGTCGTTGTGATCACGATTATGGTGGCGAAAGTCGCCAATAGTTTTAAACTTTAAATTGCATTTCTCACACTCCAAATATGTGGTCAAATGTCTCATATAGTGGTCAAATGCGTTGTTTCTGGTCTTATATTTCTTCAAACAGAACAAACACGGATAGACTTGGGATTTGTCGGCCAATGCATCGAACTCTTCATTATTTACCTCCTCTTCAGATGATTCTTCAGCAATGACCTGACATTCCGAATGACTAACAGATGGTTCTATTGATACTGTAAGCGACTTCAGTAGCAAATCGGCGATCGGTTTAATTTGATAGTTATTTAATGTATCAACAGTTTTCTCCTTCTCGTTCATCCATTTCTCTGTTGGCTTTCGCAACAATTTATCCAATTCTTCAACTTTGAACTGTAGTGTCCATCTTTCGACCTCAACCTCCAAGTCGTGTCTCTCCAGTTTCGATGTTCGCAAATGTTTGTCAATAATATGTTGTTTCATCTTTGCTTTCACAGCTGTTTTAACCACTTTTCGATATTCATTATCCGATGTTTTATCACTGTTTTTGATCTCTTCCTCACACTTACGACATTCAAATGGATAATATTTAATATGTGGGTTAATATGGTTGACATTGCTTTCCGGATAATCTTTATCTATGTTACGTATGACCAGTTCGTGTTTGGCGTTCGGCTCATCCCTAATGTTGAATACCTGTTCACATCAAACAACAAAAATTAATAATTGTTTTTAGTTTTAGAAAATTAATTATTTTTAAACATACACTCATAATACGATCACATGCGGGACAGCCCTCGTAAATGGTTTTACTCATATCGGGAATAGTCTTAATACTTTCGGACATAGTTTTGATGAGCTGATCCTGGTACTCCAGATGCCGTACCATAAACTTATCGACGGCATCTTTATCGGCAACACTGTTAGTCAAATGATCGTTCAATAGATGATCCCGGAGCAGGTCTAGGGTTCGAAACGTTAGAAAACAATCGTTGGTTCGGGTGTACATCGGGACACAGTCGGGAGTGGCCGGTCTAGAATTATCTATTAATATACAAAAATATGGCGTATCGGGTATGTTGGCCATCGGTTGTGCGGACATTAGTCGTTATTTTTCCATTTATTTTACCTTATTAAAAAACATATAAATTAAATTTTGAATTTTTAAATATATTTTATAAAAATATATTTTAAACTTTTTTATAAATTTAAACCTTTTTAAAAATGCAAATATGTTTATATACAATAAACTTATTATATTGCTTTTAATAGGCAAACCATACCTCTATTTATAGTTATATACAGTATTGTACACATAACGATAATCACAAAAAAATATGTATAAATATATATTAAACTGTATATTGCATTATTGCTATTTGTTAATATTTAATTACTTGTTAACTTATCAGCAAATAATATAAAAAAATAATTATTTATATTACATGTATATTATACTGTATAAAGTGAAATATTAAAATGATAATACTGTATATTGGAAGTTAAGGATAACATATTTTTTCCATTGTATTAACCTATTAAACAAAATGATCAAATATTACGGTACGGATAAACCCTATATTTCCCGTCACACAAGTTTGAAATTGTTGTGTGACGGGAAATATAGGGTTTATCCGTACCGTAATATTTGATTATTTTGTTTAATAGGTTAATCCAATGGAAAAAATAAGTTACCCTTAACGTTACGATACACCTGCACACTGTTTAATATACCCGATACGCCATATTTTTGTATATTAATAGACACAACGAGACCGGCCATTACCGGCTGTTTGTCAATGTATACCTAAACCAATGATTGTTTTCTAACTTTTCGCACCCGAGGCCTGTTGATTGAATAATATGTTTTCTTATTATTTACGCTATTTTAACTAATTTGCTATTTATTAGCCGTGATTTTATCATTATATTAGAAGCGTTAAGTTTTTGGGGTTTTAAAAAAAATGTTTTGTATGGTGCAAACCCTAGCAAAATTTTGTCCCTAAACTATCTATTGAAATGTATTATAATTATAATTATTATTACTATTACTAAATAACATAAAACTGTAACTATTTTGACAAAATAATTAAATTATCAATAAATATATATGTATTAGTAATGACTGATACACATTTAAGTAATAAAAAAATTTTTTTTTGTATACAATGTATATTAAAAAACCTAAAATTTAAATATTTTCAATTGTTTTCATCTATTGATATATGATATTCAGCTGACTATTATGTTTTCTATAAATATCACTAAACATTTTTAGTAATTAGTAATAAATATATTATACTGTAATAGAATTAAATATTATTTGTAAAAAAAATAAATAAAAAATTATTGAAAAATAAATATATATTTTATTAAATATTTAAATAATTTACAATCTAATATTATTGTACTGTTTATACAACTATATAGTTTATATTTAATAATTATAATAAATAAATAATAATATCTACAGTATAATTAAGCTTTATATAAATAATATAAATATTTTAATTTTTATATATTTAAAAAATAATTATAGAAATTTTTTGGATTTACTTGAATTATTGCCACCATTTACCGGTACCAACAGTAGACAAACATATATTATCAATGGAGCCACTAATAGGAAAGTCATAATGATGATGAGCACTGGGAGGTAATACAAAAAAAAATTTAAACACAAATTTAACATAAATTAGATCCTATTATACGGTATATACTGTATATGAACTGACCATTAATAGACTGACTCGTATCGGACAAATCGGCAGATTTTGAAGCAGACTGTTGTGTTGGACTGGTATTACTATTTCCACTTTCGGTCACATATATAGTATTGTTTTTATCCACATTTTTATCATCGTTACTAAACTTCGGTATATCGATTGGCCTCTCGTTGAACACTATTCTACTTTCGCGATCGGCATCGGCAACAAACTCGGACCACGAATAGATGTTCCGATAGTCTTTGATACCGCAGCCAAACAGTTGCTGAACATAACGTTTGCGTAATATACCGTATTCTGTCCAAAACATGTAGTTTTTCTTAATGTAGATCTTATCGCCGTTTTCATCGACAAACACCGAGTCCAGTGCTGGCGGTAAACCTAATTTGTCAAACGATACCTGTCCGGCCAGTTTAAAACGCATAGCCCTGTCCTCACGATTATATACAAAATACTTGTCACCCTATAATAACAGATAACTTAATCTAAAGTACACAAAAAAATCTTAGTTTATTACCGAAAATATATGACAAACTTGTGTGTCATTAGTACAGACAATGGTGTCGAAAATCTGGTCAAACCCTTGAAAAATGTCGGATATTTTATCATTTGAACCGCTACTGGAGTTGTTATCAAATTTTCTAATGGAGTTATCTTTAATTATATATACAGTGCCCGACTTGCTGTCCCTGAATGCCGAACTCATATCACGAAAATCGGGTTTTAGTAGAAAGACATCATTATAGTTGGGTGTGTGACCACCTGCCGACCGCCATTTCCAGTAGTAATTACCGCTAAATATATAATGATTTTCAGTGTCACCGATCGGCACATAACCATCGATGACTGTGGTTAAGCATAGACTCTGTGGACAACCTATCCATAACTGGTTTGACTAATTAATAAAGATAGTTAGTCTAACTGATTGTTTTATGTATTTTTTTGACGCATACCTTATAACTGGAAGTCCTTTTAATGTCACTGATGACAAACTCGGGTTCAGTTACGACAGTAATATCAAACAATGCAAACATATTTTTATCGAAACACAGAAATGTGGTAAATATTCGGCTACTCGGGCGGCGACCTCTGCGGACACCCTTAACACTGGCCGCCACTACTGTTGTGTTCAATAGAAATTGTGTCAATCGTTTGCCGTTTTCATCATAAAGGCTAACAAATGGCTGTCTGTTATCAGATTTACTGAAAATCATAGCATACTTTTGATTATTAATCATAATGTAGTGGACAGTCTGTAATGAAAAATTAAAACAAAAATCAAGTCCAGAGTTACTCCTCTATGTTGATGATGGCTATGATTTCTGACTAACCATATATCTGATTTCATCGGCTGACATGTCCTTAATAAACGGATACTGTTGGACAATCTGATTGTAATCATCTAATTTCTGCTTAAAATCAAACATTTTACCCAAACTATTGGACCCAATGGATCCAAATCTGGGTCTAACAAAAAAATTGATATCTCTTTTAGCGACCTTTTTGGCAGTTTTATTACCCAACAATTCAAAGTATTTTACCGGTGACCGCATACTGTTACGTGTGTACCGATAAAATACCGGTCCCTTAGATGGCCGAGCTCTGTCCTGTGTTACTATTTCAACAATACCGTCGACCATCGATGAACTTTTTATATACTCTTCGGTCGACTGATTACCGAAGACACTGATCTGCAAATAGTCTTTCATTGATGCAGCGGAACTCATATCCTGGGCCAACCTATTATCCGAGTCGTCCATATAGACGTCAAACATATAGAAATCGGTAAACGAGTAGATCAATGAATCCGGAAGCATAAGAAGTGAATCCAATTCTGGCTGACGTTTGCAGAAACTAATGGTTCAATTAAAACAAATGAAAGTAATTTAATGATAATTAATGACCAGTCAGATCATCAATGGATGAAATTTGGTGATTCACTGCAGTTGTGTGTGAGAGAGGAGAGGACATACCGTTCATATTCTTCATCAAAATCACAGCGAATTGATGACCAAAATGTTAAGACAAATATGAGAAACAGGTTTGTAATTAAATACATTGTGTTTTGTTGTTGTGATATAGTTATCGATAAGAGAATAAAATCAAATTTGAATTAAAAAAATTTCTGTAAAAAAATCAATGCTAACAATTCAATACAGTTGTTGACTGCACGCGCCAAACACATGAAATTACGTGTTTTTCAACAAAAAAAATTATTATAAAACGATTATGTTTTAGAATGATATAATGTATTTTTCAAAACAATAATCAATGTTTTAATAGATAACTAAATTAAGTAAAGTGTTTAAACGAGATTATTAATTATTGTAATAATTTTAATAAATTGATTTTCTGAGATTCAAATTCAATTTGACTTTTATTTTATTAATAGTTTGTATTCAAAGTTTTGTATATTGTTTTTTGGGATCTTTTAGAGAAACAACTGGAAGAATACATATACACATATTATATAATGTCCAGTGATTTAAAAGTGTTGTCTCTATTTGTTGTGTTAGTCATAACAATAATCAGTAATAATAATAATGTCGTGGTTTGTGTCATCAGTCGCTATCTGTGCCGCAACTCTACTATAGACGCCATCACTTATGTCAATGAAATGCAAATGTATTGGCTGTCGAGTGGATCGCACTTCTGGTGGATCAAAGAGGAAGACCTGCCGAACGGTTTGACCGATGAGAATGCACGCACTTTTGATCCGCCGCTAACCGGTGCCGATGCGGCCGTCTATGTCGACTCACAGAAGGGTTGTAACGGCGCACCGCATAAGTCAGGGCCGGGCATTGAGTCGCAACAGCGACAGGTATGGGTCATACAGTTGATCGGTTCGGTACATCAGCTACAGGCGTGGGACGCACTGACCAAACAGTGGGTGAAAAATAAACAAATTTCGTACAGTACTGACAATTGTATTGGTCGGGCAAATGTCGACTGGTCAACGGATACTCGTGGCCAGCGGCCAATGGATGCCATGTTTGCTGTTAACTATCTGTTTCTATACTTTGTAATGGACACAAAGGTGGCGGCAGTCGATTGTAGTTATGTTTGCAAAGATCCCAACGGTTTTTCCGATAGTGACTACAGAGCAGAATCGGTAACCGATTGGTTGTCGTCGAAGGAAAAGATTTACTCGATATTTGTGAAGAATGACAACGAGATGTTCGTCTTCTTCAAGACTCACTACCAGATCTACAAAGTGTCGGTCAACGACCAAAACAGACAGAAGCTGCCGGTGACGGCCGACGGTAAACAATTGGACATATTTAAGGACTTTCTGAAGATAACCAAACAGCCTGAATGTCAACCGCGAGACAGCATCGGTAAAACAACATTGCCGTCCAATAATGCTGCAGACCAGAAACCGTCGGATACAGTGACCAGCGGACATGATTCGGGTAGTTCAGAAAGTGCTGACGCCTCCGCGGCCAGTGATGGACAAACAGATGACGGCGGCAACAGTAGTAGTATAGCCATGATTATCGTCATCGTAGGTGTAGTTGTCGTAGCGGTCATAGCCATAGCTTTTCTGGCATTTCTAATGTTGCGCCGTAAGTCGTCGTCCAACAAATCGGATCCAAATACGACCAAAAAACCGTCGGTCAAAGAGCCGGCAAAAACACAGAAATCTATTGTCAGCAAAAAGACCGCTAAATAGCTATTGAAATATAAAAAAAATGAACAATAATTGTCACTATTATTAACTGATATTTATTTATTTTTTTTAGTTTTTTTGTGATATTTTAAATCTAAATTCTGTATTTTTTTTAGAAAAAAAATTTATAACAAAATATTTTTTTTATTGATTCAAATGATAAATGATTTCATATTTATTATATAAATATTATTATTTATTTAAAAAAAAAAATCTATTGTATATTATTTGTTTTAAGTAATAATATTTTTTTGCAATTAAATTAATGATTAAAATTATATAAATATACAATATTTAAATTATAAATAATTTTTAAAAATATATTATTGAAATTATTGTTTTAGTGGTTAATTTTTTTTATCACTATTAAGTTTAAAGTATAATCGCGAAAAAATTGACCGAAAGTCTAATAAATTGAATAATTTGTTTGTCTTTTCGGTGGTGACTGAATTGCCCACTGCCCACCTCCCAGTGGGCAATTCAGTCAATTATTGCCCACTGCCTATTGCCCACTTCCCACTGACAACTTTTACATAAATTTAATAAAATATAAAATATTTATTTAACAGAATATAAAATACTAGTTTTATTTAATAATTATTTAATAATTATAACAAATTGTTTTTTACTAAATATTTATAAAATATAACCAATAAATATAATTTTAATTAAATTAATATAAATTTATTTATAACAAAATAATTAATTTTATTAATTATTTTTGAATTATAATTAAATGTATTTAAAATATAAATTAATATTTAGATTGCTTTAGATATTTTTACTTTTATTTAGATTTTACAATTTTAAAATAGTATTTTTAATCTAAAAAATTACTAAACAATTTTTATAAAAAATTCATTAATTTTTATTTAATTACTTAATTAAATTTATATTTTATAAATATTTAGTAAAAAATAATATTTTTAATAATTTGATTAATGTAAAGTTTAGTATTAAACATAAATATAAATTCTAATTAAGTTTTAATATAAATAAATAGCTTATCCTAACAAAATAATTAAATAAAAACTTGTTAAATAGAATTTATGTAGAATTTATAGGGAATTTAGTGGGAATTTAGTGGGAATTTAGTGGGAATTTAGTGGGAATTTAGTGGGAATTTAGTGGGAATTTAGTGGGAATTTAGTGGGAATTTAGTGGGAATTTAGTGGGAATTTAGTGGGAATTTAGTGGGAATTTAGTGGGAATTTAGTGGGAATTTAGTGGGAATTTAGTGGGAATTTAGTGGGAATTTAGTGGAAATTTAGTGGGAATTTAGTGGGAATTTCTTGGAAATATAGTGATAATTTAGTGAAAATTTAATAGGAATTTAGTGGGAATTTAGTGGGATTTTAGTGGGAATTTAGTAGGAATTTATTGGGAATTTACTCAAATTTGGCAAAAATTGTCGTTTAAAAATGCAAAAAAATCGTACACCCCCTATACCCCCAAGCTTTTTCGAGATTTGCCATTTTACCTCCCCCCTATACCCCCACAGATTAAAAAAAATTTTTCGCAACCCTGATATATATATAATTTTAATCAAATATTTGATATTTAATAATTAAATTAAAATTAGTATTAAGTTTAACACAACAGATATCAAAATTTTAATTCTGATTTTTATATCTCACTTTTGATGCTTTATTCAAAGGTATACTATAAATCTCTCTCTCTCTCTCTCTCTCTCTCTCTCTCTCTCTCTCTCTCTCTCTCTCTCTCTCTCATAAACACACAAATAGATTTCATTAAACAAATTTTCAAAAATTAGTTTTGAAAATAAATAAAAATATTTTATTTTATTACTATATAAATACTTATTTTTGAGTTTTAATCTTATATTTTACATATTAAGCTAATATTAATATAAATCTATATTTAATGTACAAATATTATGCAATAATTGTATTGACATTATTGATGAATGTTTTGGATATATTTGTTGACAAAATTGTGTTTACATTTCAAATATTTTGGATTTTAAGTCAAAATTTTTTGATGAAATAATGTTTGAAATGATTTAATGACAAGACATGAATCAAAGTAATGATAATATAAAACATAATACAAGACTTAGAAGACATGGAAGTCGTAAAACACAAGACACGAGTGTCACGATTGATGTGAACGACGTGTTTGAAGAAGTGGTTAAACAAAATGAAAGACTTGTCAAAGAAATTGAATTTTATGAAGAAGTGGTCAACGATTTAGTGACAAATATGAAGACATGTATTGTTTGTCAACAAAATAATGTCATAAAAGACAGAATCAGTGAATTGGAGACACATTTGAATAGTAAGACAATCGATAACTCAACTGATTTTAAGAGTGAATACAATAAATTAAAACCAAGAAATGTTAGGACAAATGGTTTAGAAAAATCAAAGAAAAAATGTGTCAAAGATTTTACAGATTCTGATAGTTATATATCATGTGAAACCAGTGATGACAACGATTCAGATAACAGTCGGACAACTAATATAAAAACAAAGACATTGAAGAAAGAGAAAAATACACCCAAAAGACGTGATGAAGACTTAAGAGATGTCGATAACAAACAACATTCAGATAAAACCAATGTCTCGACAATATCTGAACAATTAAGTGATGAAAGAGAGAGCGATATAAAAATGAAAACAAATGTAAAGACAAAATCAATGACAACAACAAAGAAAAAGTTGAAAATAGAGTTTAAAACTAACAATAAAATCATTTTTAAAGATATCGATGAAGTGGACAATGATGTGGACAGAAGTGAATCAATTCATATACAACTAAATAGTAGACCAACTGTTAAAAAACCTAAGATTAAGCCATACAGTGATGAATATGAAGTGCAAAGAAAGACATTGAAAGGTGATTTAAAAATAATTATTTATTTGTGATTATATTGACTGCAATAGTTTTACTCATTATTAATATTGGTTTTTTAATTATATTATTGTCACAAAAAAACAGTTAAATCACTTACCAGTGATGGCCGATATCAATGTCAATTCTGTGATTACGTAAGCAATAAAGTTTTTGGTGATCTTGAGGCACACTTCAATGGACATCATCTGATGATTAAACCATTTAAATGCAATCTATGTTCAAAACTATTTAAATCATTGAAACAACTATTGCTTCATCTAAAAGTTAAACACTATGGTATTGGTGAAGGATTGGATCAATTAACTGATCAACAATCAGCTAAAAGTATTACTAGTTATTTAATTTATCGATTTATATAAATATACAGCTTAATTAATTTATTTTTTAATAATTTTATTTTATTTATAGTTACAAAACAATTAGAGAAATTCAAATGCAAATTATGTAACAAATGTCTATATTGTGCACGTGGTCTGGAAAATCATGTTTTGCGCGTACATCACAACCAAATGCCGCCCAAATTGCTGGCCTGCGACAGGTGTAACAAATCGTATAGTAATGATATGGTATTGGCCAGACATAGGAGCCTACAGCACGGTATTGGCAAAAGTTGGCCACTATTTTATTGCGATTGGAAGGACTGTCAATATAAAACTCATAATAAGACTGCCTTAGAATGTATTTATTTTTTTCAATTATTTTTACTAATTACCGGACAGTTTTGTAATTGTTTTTCTAAAAAAAAAATAATTAATTACTCGTTTAGCACATAAAAAGATACATTTAGGTATCCGTGACTATGTGTGCGATTGGCCCGGATGTGACTATCGGGCGGTTGCCAAACAAAATTTAGAAGCCCATCAATTGGTACACAGCGCTCAGTTGTTCTACCAGTGCCAGTGGTCCGGTTGTCAGTATGGCGCCAAACGAGGTAATTAAAATTAACAATATTTAAATTTCTTTAATTACTTATTTATTACTTATTGTTATAATTTATTTATTTTTTTTTTAAAAATCATTAGATTATGATTTGAAAAGACACGTAAAGAGAGTTCACGAGGACATACCCCGCGCACTGGTGTGTCATTGGCCCGGATGTGATAAAACGTTTAGATTTAACAGAGATGTGAAAAGGTATATAAATTTATTTTGTTTTATTGTTTAAAAAAACTATTGAATATTAAATTCGTAACTTATTTATCAATTTTTAAAAATATATATTTTTACATTATTTTAGACATATGTTAAACCATAAAGAACCGCATATACCCTGTCCTTACTGTAGCAAAATGTTTAAGACTAATAAGTATTTACAACAACACCTGAGATCACACCGAAGGCGACTAACATAAGTCAGATGTCCGGTTCGGTCACGGGATGTGAGAGACAATGATAGGGCATATAAATAATGTTAGAAATTATTTGATAGTACATCACAATTGGTTGGTAAACAAATAAATTACCGGTAGTTTTCATTTTTAAAATGATTGCTAGAAATTGATTTTGAATCGATTTTTTATTATGATTTATTAATTTAATATATTTTTATTATAAAGATAATATTTTATAAATCTGTTTATAGAAATTATGAATAAAAATTATAAATGTTGTTGTTGTTGAAAAAATAATGTTTAAATTTAATGAAATATTTTAGTCTAATTTATTATAATTAATACTACTAAATAAAGTAGTATAATTTAAGAAATAAATAGATTTATGGATTTAAGGTATTTGTATTATTTAATTATTAATTACGGTAATTAAAATTAAATTAACGGTTAATTAAAATTTTTATTTATTAATTAAGTAATCCCCGGTACATTAAATCTAATGTAATGTACATATTATATATATAATATTTTTATTTTAAATTTTACAATAATTTTTATTTACCGTAAAATTGGTCATACAAAATTAATCAAATTTATTGTTAATTAGGTAATTATAATTTTCTAAATACTCTATAATAAATATTTTTTAGGGTTTAATTTATAATTTAATTTATAAAATATTTTTAATATGTATAAAATTGTAGTATAAAAACATAGAAATTTAATATACATTATATATTTTTAGATACCACATCATAATGCTTTATAAAAATTCATAAAAATTTATTTATTTTTATAGTATTAATACTATTAGTAACAATATTGTCATTTATTATATTTGTCTAAACAATGCAAATTAAACTCCATTTTAAACAACATTTCTATCTATATTATAGTATTACTATACTTGAATGTCATCTTTTAATACATAATCTCTATTATTCTGTATAATATTTAGATGAGTCATAAATAAGCTATACTAGTATAATAAATACTATATATACTGTATATAATTTATATGCTAAATATTATTCATATTTTTTTAGTATAAAATTTATGCATTATAATTTTTTATTATCATACAGTTATTAATAAAACTAGGAATAAAGATAAAAATTAGATATCTTTAAATAGATAGTACATTAATATATTAACAATTTTAATACAGTTTATCCGTAAATTAGAAGTAAATTTTGTCGATTTATTTTTTTTGTTATACAATTAATATAAAATTTAAAATAAAATGATGATCAAGTAGTTTTTTTTAAAATAATTAATTTTTCTATTTATTCAGCTACTTTTGTTAATAACTGTATATTACAATAATATTATACAGTATATATATATATATATATATATATAGAAAATATTTTAGTGAGCATGGCTATATCTCATTATTAAAATATATGTAATTATCGATCTATTAGTGTACAAACACACACACACTTACCATTAAAACAGATTATTTATTAAACTATATATTTATATATTTTTACATAATTATGATAAACAAAAAATGCAAATTATATTTTTATCATTTAATATTTATAATGATTATAAAATTGTATGGCTTAAGCAAATATAATTTATATAAATTATTAATCATATACAGTATATATATATATACAGTATATATATAACATAAATTATACTGTATAAGAGTACAGTATATATATTGTAATTTATGAAATATTTTTTGATGAAGCATTAAGTTCATTTATTTTATTTTATAATTTAATTAATTTCTATGAAACTCTTTTTCATTTATTTAAATTAAAAAAAAAACAAAAACAAAATCAATAAATGCATTACAAATGCTATGAATTATTGTCTAGCATTGAGTGTATATGGCTTTACATAATAATTTTACTGTAATTTATATATATAATATATATGTACAGTATTGTATATATTTTTACGTATGCTTTTATGTAAAAATTTAATTAAATTTTACCAATAATATATATAAATATATTTTTATTCAACTACGCTATTGTATTTTTTTTGTTGATAAATGTGTTTATCATAAAAATACTAAACTACAATAATACTAAACAGTATATACATGTATATATATACTAAATATAGATTTTATTTAATAGCTAAAATGATACATGATACTGAATATATATTATTAAATTACTGTAGAATTTTTATGATTTTAAAAATCATTAATGTATAAAAATAAACTGTACTGTATATTGGCAGCACATATAAGCACACATAAAAAATAACTGTATCATATTTTTAAAAATCTATAAACTATACATATATATATAATAATACTGTATATATATAATAAAGTAAATATGATAAGCAATAAAAAAAACTAGCATACAGCATTAAATTTTAGATATTATTTATTTTAAAATAAATAAATAAATTTTTTATCTATATGAGTTCAATTTTTTTCTAAATAATCATTTATTGTTATCTTTTAAAAAAATTGAACAAAAATTATTTTTATATAATTTTTCTTTAATAATAATAATAATAATAATAAAAGTTATTATAATATTATAAAAATTATCTGATAATATATATATATATATATAATATACAGTATAATTTTTTAATMAAAAAAAAAAATAAAATAAAACCGTATGTCTTGATTGACGACAATCAACTTTTTAAATAAATATATATATCATTTAATTTAATTAAATAGTTAAAAATATACTATTATCATTTTTTTTGTGGATATTTTTGTACAGTAGTTTTACGTAATTCAATTTTTATTTATTGCAAATTAAATTGTTTACGTAAAATTTATTTTTAAACAACCAATCGATTTGAATATTTTATATAATTTATAATTAACTTATGAAAAATTTATTGTAATCTAAACCATTAAAAAAAATACAGCAGTCTTATTATTTGAATAGTAACTTAATTTAACTAATTGCTTAATAAATCTAAAAATAAATTTTTATTTTATTAATCAATATCTAGTAATTATAATTTATTTAAAAATAAAATAAATTTATTATTGCTAAAATTATAATTAATATAGCAATAAAATACTATTTATCAAATTATTAATATTTCTTAACCACAAATAAATTATAGATAAACAAATTGATAGACAAATTTTAGTTTAAAGCATTTACAAAAAAAAGATTTTTTTATTATTATTCAATTAATAATATCGCATATTATCTTAATATCACAAATGGTATTAATTTGCAAGAAATATTCAAATAATTTATAATTAGTAATATTAATAATAATAATTACAATTAAGTTGCTTTTTGTTGTTGCTGTTAAACAGTTAAAAAATCAATTATACAATTTAAAAAATATTTAATATCGAAGACAAACATTTGTTTTGCTATAATAATTATATATTGTAATAATGATAATAATAATAATAATTAAAATTACTATAAAAATCTATAATAATCCATATCTTCTTTTAATAATATTTATTATACAATATATCAATGGCTGAGACATTTATTTTTATAACTTGTTGTTGTTTTTTGCAAATTTATATTGTTTTGCAAAAAAATATAATCAATAATAACAGTTAATTACCGTAATATGTATTACAATACTAAATTTAATTATATAACTAAATAATAATAATAATATTTAACAAAATTATAATAATTTATATATTTATGGCAATAGATGATGTATTTTAAACATTTTTAAAGGGAATGAACAAAGATATAATTAATTATATAACTAATGTAATAATAATAATATAAAAATGAGAACAATTTATTACATATATATTGTTTGTTTAATTGCATTTTTTTATTATTAAATGACACATAAAATTTAAAAACAAAAATATTGACTATTAATAAATGAAAGAGAAAAAAGTGTCTTTAATAATTAGGATAATATAATAATAATCAAATAATTGAGAAAAAAATAACTAAAAAAAACATAAGTTAAATGCCGTTACAATCTATACACATAAATACTGTATTTATGTGTACAGTAATTATTTAATTGTTAGCTATCATTGTTTTAATTGTAACTCTAAAAATTGTCAAATAGATGAGATTTTATTTAAATTATAAAAATAGACAAAACAAAAAATAAAACAATTTGTTTGTTATTGTTATATTTGTTTTGTCCAAATTATGTAGATCTTTATTTAAGAGAGAGAGAGAGATTGGGGGCGGAGGGGGTTATGTAGCTATTCTTTATTTGGCATCACTCAGGTATCATCTATTAAGATCTGCTAATTAAGTGAGAGCTGAGAGTGAGATACATATGTTTTTCATTATATAAATAGATTGTTGTCTTTTAAAAAAAAGCAAAATGTTATGAACAAAAAAAACTGACTTATAATATACAAATAACTTATAAATAATAATTAGTAAAGAATGAACAATTGGTACATTAGTATAAATAGCAGTCTATCAAACATTTGGAAGATATAGATCTCGAGGAAGGCATATATATATATAAGAAATATATTATACCAGTAATAAATGAGAATAAATTTATAAATATGACTGTTTTGATGGCTAAACGCTAAAAAAATAGCCCAAAAATATTACAAATTGCAACTGAAGTCCGATTTGTTTGGGCTAAATGAATAAATTGGTGGGCAATTTATGTGGTGGGGGCGAAGTATGAATGAAACGGTTATGTCCTTATTGATGTGTATGTGTGTGTGGATAGGGAAACGGTGTTTGAACAGTACGATTCATAGTCGTGTGTTACGAATCAGTACTACGATAGGCGCACACATGTTGGTGGACGTGCTTTTCAATACAGTCCAATCGGGTGATAATGTAATTGCAATCCGAATATTTGCAGATATACTTGAATTTATTGTTATCCACAATCATCTGATAGTATTGTTTGAGTGCATTGAGACCACAGATGCCGATGTCTTCCATACCGTCGATACCGAAGCCGCACTTGTGGTTTGTCTTATGTTCGTCGAGTGCGGCCTTCGTTTTGAACGCCTTATCGCAGTTCACAAGCGAACAATTGTACGGATAGTGATTCTTCAGATGTTTCCTAACGTGAAACTGCATATCCTTTTGGATGGTTGTACTGTAATCGCATCCGCCGTTCTCGCAGAAGTGTACATTCTTGTTGTCAATTACTTCCGTACGGAAAAACTTTTTCCAATAGTCTTTCGGCTCGTGAACGGCACTCGGAGTTCTGACCAGACCATCGATTAGAAGAGAAAGAGAGTGACAAATAAATAAATAATAAAAAAAGACAGACATTAGTGGATCGGTTATCGCTGACAATCAGATTAGTGGACATACCTTCCCATAGTTGTCTCGGAGATTGACAATGATAACCACCAATTGAAGACCAACTATTTTGTTAGTAGTTCACTACCCAATCAATCTGTCGGTATCAAAATCTGTGGTCAAACAAACAAACGGTACGATTGATTAGCCGATGAATGAATTAAAGCAAACAAACAAAACAAAAATAACAATAAGACACACAAAAAAATAAAAACAACAAAACGTGTCATTTATTAGGACACTACTAAACACACACATATATATGGCTTAACTCATCAACTATTGAAACAATCACTTCCGCCCCTATAATGATAATAATAATACAGTATTATTATTATTATATCACATATTATTTAATGTCTCAAAAATATTACTGTACAGTATATCACAGTATTATACCTATAAAATGACTATTAATTTACAGGTTTTTATTTAAAAAAAAATTATTTATGTATTGTGTTTACTGCAGTGTATTGCCTATTAGATTAGATCCCCCACACTATAGGTAATAAGTTATTACTAATAACACATTAGTGTCAAAAAAAATTAAAATAGTCATCTCATATATTTAAATATAATATTAATAAATAAATATCATAAAACAATTATCACTGTCTCTAAGCTGATCCGTCAATATTTTATTTGATATACACAGAGAAAATAATAATAATAAAAACTAATTAAATATCGATATAACAATAAGGAGAGTAAAGCAAATATTATTAATAATACATAAGTAATTGACATTTAAAAATACATTGTATTTTATAACTATTAATATATTTAATAGAAAAATAATAAAAAATAGTATATAATTAGAAATTATTATTATTCAATATATCGTATAACATATACAACTGTATGAACATATCATTATAAAAATAAATACTAAAATAATCATTATTAAGTAACATTACTATTATTAATTTACAGTATATATCCTATAGTTATATAACTAATAATAATTGAAAGTCATCTAAATGTTAATTGATTCAAATTATTACAATCATATATTTAATAATATTAAATAATAATTATTATTAACACATTATTAAATGTCATATATTATATTATATATATAAAAATATAGCATTTTAATAAAATTTTTAAATTACTTACCCACACAAAAAAATTGTCAATATTTATTAATTAAATTATTACTAATGATAATTATGGTTTTATTAGCTCTCAAAATAAATATACTGTTTTTAATAAATATGATATATTATTATTTATCATAGGATATATATATATGATATACAATATATGGCACTTATTGAAATAATGATAATATTAAATATTAATAATTTTTAAAACAAATTTTTATATTGATTAGATTAATAAATAATACATAGTATGGTGTTTTTATACAGTCAATAATAATATTAATAATTAATTATCATATAACTTTAAAAATATCATTTACAGTATTTACTGTATATACCAAATATATTGACTGGGTGTGTGTATGTGTGGGGATATTATAATAAAATAGCCCTAAAAATATAACAGTGCTGTAAATTGTGGTTTAAATTGCATTTAACTTTTAACTGTGTGTTTTATTTTGAAAATAACAAACAAATAAACAATTGATTTAATTTAGTTTATATATATTTAAAAAAAAAGTTGTCGACAAAAAAATATTACACAAATATTTTTATGTAATGTTAAAAAAGCGCGAAACACTTGATTACTATATTATTATTGCTGTTATTATTATTATTTGATGTTTTGTTTATTATTATTGTAAAACTTATTATTATTATTATTAACTATTAAATTAAATAATAATAATTATTATTATTTGCTAAAAGACAATCACCAGTGATATCAACAACAATAATAATAGACAGACAATCAGTCAGTCAGTCAATCATATAAAACACAAACACACTATTGATATATAATTTGCATTATTATTATTATAAACGTGTGGTTATTATATACAGTATATGTATTAAACTAACCAAACAAAAGGCCACTCACTATATAACCAAACAGTTTTAGAGAGTAATTGCAATGAAATGTATGCAAAAATGTTTCACTGATTTAATAATAATAATAATATATATATTTATTATTACAAAAAAAATCACATATAATATATTGTATATTGTTTTACATATATAAATACTGCTCACTATATATATATTATGCATAGGTTTGTACGTAAATATACCGTATATGTAGTGCCGCTATATATATATATACAGCATATACTATATGTATACTTATACTGGTTTTAAATGTCTATTTATAACATAACAGCAATTATTACTATAAAACACTAGTAATACTGTCCGTACAGTACTGTACTGACAGTGCATTCATAGTATTCATAGCATTATTATTATTATTATTATTAGTATTAGTAATTGAGTTCAATATTAATGTTTACATAAGAGAGCGCTATATTTTTATGTGTGAGTTAGTGCACTCTCATATATACTGTACATGTGGTGCACACATACTTAACGCTACCCCTTATATAATAACACATACCTGAGCTAAAAACAGCTACAGTAGATTCAACCAACAAACAACAAAAATTTATATATTAAATAACTAATAATGATTATTTATTTTTTAATAAAAATAACTTGCTAGATAAATACAATTTTTAAAAAAATCATAAAATAGCATGCTAAAATTGGTTATTTTGTAATTTATCAATGTAAATTATTAGATTTTTTTTTATAAATATACTAACTTGTATTTGACTAATACTATAATAAATAAACTGTATATTTCATCAGTGTTAAATATTTATTTTTTTTCCAAAAAAAAGCTAACTGTGCGCACTATGTGTCGGCATCTACATGTATATACAGTTAACTTTAACAAACCTAACCTAACCTACAATATGTACTGTATAAAAATAACAGTATATAAAAAAAAGTTGTATTAAATTTTTCTCCAAAAAAAAAAGTTATTTTTGATTTTTTCCAACTCTAGTCTCTAAAATTTTATTTATAATACAGACTAATACTATTTGAATATTAATAATAATAGACGAAAAAAACTTATTAACTAATGATGTGATAAATCACAAAATTGTTTTGTTTGTATTTGTATTTTACAGTTATCCATACATAACACACACACACATATACAGCACACATACAACACTAGTTTAATGTTAGTATTTCATTAGGACATTGAAATGCTAAACCAATGGACAGTTTACGGGAAATATCGACATTTGTTGCACTGAAACCACTGGTCAACGATAAACGCCGACAATTTCGCTATCGATTGAAACTGTTGTCGCTGTTCGGATCAAACGGAAGTTCGGTAATCTTTATTACCGACGATGACCAAGTCTACGGCTATGGCAACAATCGGTTCGGTTGTCTGGGCGTTGATAGTGTCGATGAAGAGATACCTGAGCCACGGCCAAACAGTTCACTATCGGGCAAACACATGGCCACCATTTGTTCGGGATTTGCCCACTGTATAGGCATTACGGCCAGCGGTCTGTGCTATTCGTGGGGCGACAACAACTATGAACAGCTCGGTTGGGGTATCGATCACACAGTTATGCTAATGTCGGCGACGCCCCGAATTGTGCCGAAGTTGGCCGATAAGCAGGTGATTCGTTTGGCATGCGGTAATCGTCATACACTAGTGCTTACACAGGACGGCTATGTCTATGCCTGGGGTCACAATACTTACGGTCAGATTGGCAACTATGCCTATTTGCCAGCTTCGGAACCGGCAGTCATTGTGCAACCACGTTATTTGGACATTGTCGATGTGGTTTGCGGTAAGGGACATTCGTTGGCCCTTACCAGCGATGGTCACGTTTACGTATGGGGTCTCAACGAGTGGGGTCAACTCGGACGTGATCCGAGCAACGACGTCCACAATTGCCGCCAAAAGTGTTGCTCCAATCGGCCGAAACCATTGGCCAGCAAACTGTTGACCGGCGTTAGCATCAAGAAAGCTCAGTGCGGGCCAACACATACTCTGCTGTTATCTACTGATGGCGATCTCTATTCGTTCGGCAACAACGATACCGGTCAGGTCGGTAACGGTTTTTTTGAGCCACAGTACACACCGGTCAAGATCAACACTGACGGCGTTAAGTTCAAAGACATTGTCGCCTACTTTGATAACAACGTTACTATAGGTATATCGACAAACAATCGATACTATGTTTGGGGTTTTCGTAGATTTCCGCGGCCACAGTCGATACCCGAACATCATAATCACTATACAGTGTACGACGTGTACTCTAAATACTCGCGCGTCAATCGTACGTTCAAAGCAATACATTTCAGAAATGGTAAAGTCATGGACTTGGACTACAATGTTGTTGGTGGTGGTGACGCCACCGCTGCTGATAATAATAATAATAATAATGACAAATATGAAGATAATGACTCCAATTGTTTTGCAACAAACAAATTGATGGTAAAAAAGCAAGGAGTAGTCAGTAGTGTTGTTGGCAACGATGATGATACTTCTGGATCTGTTGGTGTCGTTGTTGACAATATCCATCCGAAGTACAGTTATGCGCATATCTTGTTGCAAAAGAGTGGTACTAATGTCGCCAGTTTAGATCAAATTGGCAATAATTTATTTGACAATATTGATGATGATAATGGAAATGATTTGTTAACGCCATCATTATCACCGGAACAACTGTCTTCCAGACCATCGTCTAGCGCTGATTCCAATGCTTCCACTGAGCCATCGAAACTATTGTTGCAACAATATCTTAGCCAAGCGTTCAACAATCCCACAACATATGACCTGACATTTATAATCAACGGTCGACCACTTTATTGTCATAAAACGATACTCAGAATACGGAACAAACACTTCTACAGAAATTGTTGCAAATATTTGCGTACAACTTATTGTGAGAAAACCAGAAAAGAGATTGTCATCAATAGCTACTCATACGATGTGTTTCACGATTTTCTTCGTTTTCTTTATGGCCTATCGTTGCCGACCATTACAGTGACAACTGTTCACGAACTGTATAAGTTGGCCGTTACTTACGAGGAACAGGATCTGCTTGACCTGTGCTTGGAGTTCATCGATGTCGACAATGTCTGCACAGTGTATAAGCGTTCAATTGAATGCCGTCTAAAGCCATTGGAGACGACATGCTTGGAGTTTATGTCAGCCAATTGGAAACAACTGTGCCGTTCGGCACAGTTTCTGGCACTGGACGACGCCATTGGGCGACAAATTTTGAGCCAGGTGCTCAAATAATACTATTGATTTAGCCAAGGTGCTTAATTATAATGGTCATGATAAGTTTGTTTTCTACTCTATTTCTATTTTTTTCTACTAATAATTATCTATAAATTAATACCGTAATAACGGTATATTATTTGATTTTTTTATAAATATTAATTTTTGTTAATTTTGAAATTATTTGCGAATTTCAATTTTTTAAACAAAAATCCATTGACAATATGATTGAGATATTTTTCATTTATAAATACATAAATATATATATATTGTTATTTTTTTATTACTGTACTATTTACTATTAGTACTATTTTTTTAATTAATAATAATTTTTGATACAAAAAAATAGATCTGTTAAATAAATAAATAGGATTATTTTTTTATACAAATACTAATTTTCATAATCAATAAAAACTATTGCTAAAAATATTTGTAATTCAAGATAATTATTATAAATAATCCAATATTTATATACAAATAAAACCAAATTAAAAAAAAATATTAAACTAAACAATAGATTATATAAATTTTAATATTGAAACAACATAAATTATTTTACAAATAGTTGTAAAATTTTATAAAACAAAATTGTTTCAATTTGTGTTATATTTTTTATTTAAAATTTGACTGATTTAAAAAATGACCTGGACTCATTTGGCTCAATCACTTGAACCAATTCATACTTAATCTGCTGATCATTGTGTGCCATACACTGGCGATGTTGTTCACGTATTTCATCGCCAGTATATTTCAGTTCGTAGAGCACAGGTATCAGTTTGGCCACGTGTTCGACCGATATATCGATGCCTTCATTCTCGCCCATAGCGGTAGCCTTTTCCAGTACAGACTGTTCAAAGCTATACCTTTCCCGAATGGCTGTCCATTTTTTCAGTTCGTCTCTAATAGTTTCCGTCGACTTGTTAGACGTTTTGATAATTGTCCGCTGTTTGCGGATATGCTCATCGCACGAGTCGTTCCACACTGTGATGGCGTTTCGTTTGAGAAACAGTGCAAACTTGGCCATCGATCGCATAATAGTGTCCTCTTCCTGGCGAAGCATTTGTATTAAGTTGTCGATGTAGACCAACGATGATTCTTTACTTTTCTTACCGTCAGTCTTATTGGACAACAGTTTTACCAATTCCTCCCGTTCCCGTACGGTATTGTTTTTTCCTTTAAACAATCGGCTCCAGAAACTGGACTTTTGTAGATCCAAATGACGCAAATTTGTCAATATATTGTCGATATCGTCCTGACATTCGGTTATGTCTGCTTTCAATTGGTCCAATTCGGCCAAATAGTTGACAATATCTTCGGTAATGTTCAGCAATGGTTTGCTGAGCGCCAGTATCAGACGTCGTGTTTCGTTGATGGACACTGTGTTTTGAATGCGATGCGGTTGCAAAGGTTTGCGTGACTGGCCAACCGTCACATAGTTTAGTAGACGTTTACACTCGTCCACTGAACGCTGCCAACTGAGCTCATAGTTGGCCAACCAATCGGCTTCAAAATTGATACCATTTTTAACGGCTATCAAATACTGAAACGAATCATTATCCACACAATACATGGTATGTCTGTCCAACAATATCCTGGCACCGGATGTCTGTTTCTCCAACTGATCCAACACTTGTTTGAGTAGCGCCGGTGTATTTCTTGGTTTGTAAAAGGTTGGTCGTGTGTTAGTAAACACAAACACCATGTTATTGGTAGCATCCTTATCGAGGTAACTGAGCAACTGTTTCAGGCAATACTCAAACGAATTGGTCAGTCGTTTTTCGTCGGGTTTCATAAGTATACAGATCAGATGCAATACTTCATACTGACTGATAAACTGCAGGACGTGATCCAAATTATGTTTATCCTGATCAGTGCCGCGCGTATCGCCCACACCGGGTGTGTCTATGAGTCGCACCAGTATCTTGTGGTCGGTATTTTTATCGTCATATGTAAAACAATACGCTCGACACTGCTGTGTGGTTGACTGTCCTGGACTATCAAAGTTTTCATTGTTGTCGCCGCCAAATGATACCTGTCTAACCTGATAGTCGACATCAGTGACAACAAACTGAGTCGGTATAAGACACAGGAGCTTACTATTGACTGCCTGTTCCAGTGAATCATTGTTCAAATAATTGGCAAAAGCGTTGATGAATGTAGTCTTTCCCACACCTGTCTCACCCAACAGTAATATATTGATTTCATTTGTAATGTTTGAATCCATTTACAAAATAATTTATAAATTAAAATTATTTTGATAATTATTAATTATACTGTTAAATGTTTTTTTATTAAAAAATACATACTATATATTAAAAATATTATTAAGCTCTCTTAGTTAGCTAAATATTGTATTATCTTTATATAATAATTATTTATAGAAATATTTATCATATTGTTGTTAAATTAACTGATAATTATTGCATTTCTACAAAAAAAATGGTTTAGCAATTTCTACTGGTTTTATTAGAAAAATAAATAATTTTATGTAGTTTAAGTATTATAAAAATTATCAAATATACAATATTCAAACATTATTGTATGTATTTATAATAAATCATACTAAAATGTACTGTATAATATAAATAGTTTATATAAATACTGTATACTATGTCTATTATGTGAAAAAAATAATAAATATTTTTTCATATTATAATATTGTAAATACTTTTAATATAAAAAACTTAACAATTACAAGATAACTCAAGAAAATAAGCAGTTTAACTATTATTTAAAATTATCTTTACATAATAAATTTATCAACTACTAAAATACAGCATTTTTCTATTGTAGATATTAAAAATTTATATTAATACTGTATTAGTATTGATATACTGTATTATTAATAGGTACTAGTATATTTTTATTATTTATAATTAAATCCATGAGCGTCCTTGACAAATCAATACTTAATATAATTAAAAAAATTTTTTTTTTTATATTTTAATCAGTAAGAAAAAAAATCAACTGACAATGAATTTTAATCCCATTATTACAGTATATGTTTGACATTTAAAATAAGACAAAAATTTTTTTTTTAATTAAACATAATTATTTAAATAAAATATTTTTTAAATTAATAATTAATTATATCTGAATACACTAAAAACTGATCTAGGCATATTGCTATCAATTTCATGGTAGGACATACGTTTGCATTGGTTGTCCAATTTGACAATATTATCCTCATGCAACTGTTTGATCAGTGCACCTGTCTCATTCAATTGGTACAGTTCCTCAATCAAACCTTTAACATAGTCAATGGTAATTGTCTGTACATTGACACTACCCATTTTAACAAGATTGTCCAGTACATTTTTGACGCGCCTGTAGTCTTTGACTATTGTTTCCAATTTTTCGATTTCTTTTTTGTTGTCATAATTTCTGAGTGCTTTAGTCAACTGGTTGTCCATATAATCGTCAAACGGATCCGGGCATACGGTTAGGGCATTGTGATTGAGAAACAATGCAAATTTGGCCACCGATTTCAGTATGAATTCCTGTTCGTATTTGTTATCGTGAATACGGATGTCGTACTGACGGATAAGCGTTTCTTTACCTCTTTTCTCTGTATTTAGCCTAAGCAAATGATCCAGTATACTTTCCTCGTTAATTTTAGATTGATTACGAAACATCGAGTAAATAGGCTTCAAAAACGATATTTGTTGCCTATGTATAACATCAATACAATATAATGTATAAAACAAAAATAGATTTTTATATTTAATTAATTTTTTATAAAAAAAAATCTAAATATATAGTTAAAAAATGTTTATTTGTTTTCCTTACTTATATCTCATAACTTGTTGTTGATGTTTCAATTGATCAATATTACCTTGACAGTTTCGTATTTGCAATTTTTCCTGCTCCAATATCTGCATATTTAATTCAATAATATTTGTTATCAGGAATATCGGTTTGGCCAACGCCAGTATCAGCCGACGGGTATTGTTGATGGACAGTGTGTCCTGTATTTTGTGCGGCACTAACGGTTGAAAACCTGTACTGCCGTTGACAATATAGTTGAACAGTCGGGTACACTCTGCAACCGATTTGTCCCAACTGACAATACTGGCCTGTCTTTCCATTTCCGAGACTACCAACCCTTTGGTCATCGCTATCAGACATTGAAACGATTCGTTGTCCAAATAGTACTGTGTATACGGTGTCAACGGTATGTCCACATATGGCGGCTGGTCTTTGATTTCCGATAACATTTTCTTCAATAACATCAGAGTACTGCCCGGACTATAGTAGGTATTACGTGAATTTGTAAACAAGAATATCATGTTTTTTGAGGCATCCTTTTGAAGATGGCATAGTAGTTCACGGAAACAGTACTTGAAACCATCGGTCAGTCTAACCGTATCGGGTTTCATCAGTATACAGATCAGATGCAGGACATCGTAGTGTGCAATAAATCGCAATATATTGTCAAAATTGATTTTGTCCTGATCGAGACCACGGGTGTCGCCCACACCGGGCGTATCGATCAATCGTATTGTATGACAATTGTATTTAAAACAATAGGCCCAACAATCCTGTGTTACTGAATGACCATCAAAATTGAGTGACTCGTTTGAATCGGGTTTTCCATAGTCAACATATTGAATTTGCGAATTTTCATCGGTCCTTACAAACTGTGTCGGTATGACACCCAGGGGTTGGCCATTGACTGCCTGTTCCAGTGTGTCGTACGTCAAGTAATTGGCAAAAGCATTGATAAATGTGGACTTTCCTACACCAGTTTCGCCTAATAATAAAATGTTAATATAATTGATTTGTGGTGTAGACATATCTAAAAACTAAACTATTACAAAATAAAATAATACAGTTAACTATTTTTGTTTAGCAATTTAACTATTGAATATTTTTTAAGTGGTTTTTATTATACCGGTATTATGTACTGTATAAGTATTTTTTTTATCAATGTATGATAATTTTTATAATGTTATTTAAAAGATTACCGTTACTCAACATTAAATAATAATAATAATTTATTATCAATGTATTTTTTATACAGTATAAGCATAATTATCTAGAAGCTATGACATTATTGAAATAAGAGTATACTGTATGTATTACAATTATAGGGAACAATACTAATTTAATTAATTATTATTATTATTATTATTATGTATATATTGATTGATATATTAAAATTATTTTTAACGATATTAAAAAATTTGAAATAAATTCAATAATGTATTTATAAAGATATTATCTACATAACTATACAGTATATTTAAAATTATATTTGCATGCTTATTTTGAATGATAATTTTTTAAAAATTATCATATTGTATAGATTTACAAGCATGCTAGATTTAAAATCATACAATATGTTTATTATTTTTTTTTTTGAAAAAAATCTGCAAGAAAATTTACTAAATATAAAAAATCATTAAAAATTATAGTTTATTAACAACTGTGTCATTTTATTTGTACAAATATATTATATTAATTAAAATTTAATAGCCATAAAAAACGACCTGGACTCATTTGGTTCAATTACGTAAATCAGTTCACGTTTTATTGCCAGTTCATTGTGTGCCATATATTTACGGTGCTGTTCGCGTATTTCATCGCCAGTATATTTTAGTTCATAGAGGGCTGGTATCAAATTGGCCACATTTTCCACTGATATCTCTATGCCTTCCAGTTCGCCCAAATCGATAGCTTTTTCTAATAGTTTACGTTCCATACCATACCTCTCATATATGGCCTGCCATTTGTCCAGTTCCTGTCTAATGGTTTCCATCGATTTGCTCGATGTTTGGACAATACTTTTCTGTTTGCTTATGTAGTCGTCGCACGAGTCGTTCCACACTGTAATGGCATTACGTTTGAGAAACAATGCAAATTTGGCCATCGATTGCATAATAGTGTCCTCTTCCTGTTTGAGCACATGTATCAAACAATCGATATGAATAATGGAGTTCTCTTTGGTTTTCTGACTATCGGTAGTCTCCGATAACAGTTCCAGTAGTTTATCTTTTTCCTTATCGGCTCTATTTTTGCTACCAAATAGTCGTCCGAAAAAACCCGTCGGCTCCTGTCGGTCAACATGCCTGAGTTTGGTCAGTATGTTATCGATATCTTCCTGACAATCGGCTACTTGTGCTCGCAATTGATTCAATTCGTTGAGATAGTCGCAAATATCGTCGCTCACCTTAACTAATGGTTCGCTTAGGGCCAGTATCAGCCGTCGGGTTTCATTGATGGACAGTGTGTTCTGAATGCGATGCGGTGGTAGCGGTTTGCGTGACTGTCCAACAGTCACATAGTTCAGTAGACGTTTACACTCGTCAACCGAACGCTGCCAACTGAGCTCATAGTTGTCCAACAAATCGGCCTCAAACTCGACACCGTCCCGAACGGCTATCAAATACTGAAACGAGTCGTTATCCACACAATACATGGTCTGTTTGTCCAGTGGTATCCTAACACCTGGTGTCTGTGTTTCCAATTCGTCCAATACTTGTTTGAGTAGCGCCGGTGTGTTTTTCGGTCGATAAAACGTAGGTCGTGTGTTGGTAAAGACAAACACCATGTTATTGCTTGCATCCTTTTGAAGATAACTAAGCAATTGTTTTAGACAATACTGAAATGTTTCGGTCAGTCTAACCATATCGGGTTTCATTAGTATACAAATCAGATGCAACCACTCGTACTGACTGATGAACTGCAGGACATGATCCAAGTTATACTTGTCCTGATCGGTGCCGCGCGTATCGCCCACACCGGGTGTGTCTATGAGTCGTACCAGTATCTGGTGGTCATCGTTTTCGTATCGGAAACAATATGCTCGACACTGTTGTGTGGTTGACTGTCCTGGACTGTCAAAATTTTCATTATTATCGTCACCATACGACACGTTTCGTAACTGATAGTCGGCATCAGTGATAACAAACTGAGTCGGTATAAGACACAGGGGTCTACTATTGACTGCCTGTTCCAGTGAATCGCTGTTCAAATAATTGGCAAAAGCGTTGATGAATGTAGTCTTTCCCACACCTGTCTCACCCAACAGTAATATATTGATTTCATTTTTTATTTTATTTGAGTTCATTATAAGTTAGCAAATATTATACATAAATCTATAAACTTTATGTTATAAACATTTATAAATTGTATTTTTATTAATATTTATTCATATAAAACAAAATAATATAAAATTATATAATAATATATTTTAAACAATTAAATATGACATTAAATAATTATTTTTATTGTCTTAACTTTTCCATTACAAATAAATATCATAAAGTGTAAACGTATTGAGTACTTTAGATTGCTTAATAAATAATAGTACTGTAATAATAATAATAATAATAATAATAATAATAATAATAATAATAATAATAATAAAATATAATAAATTTCTGCTAATATTTAATGTTATAGTTTTCTTTAATACCGGTATTTTGTGTGTGAAATCAATGATAAAATTATCTTATCGTTAGGAAAAAAATGCAATTATTGTACTAAATTTTTATTAATATTGTATAGACTATATACCAGCAATTCTCTGATAGGTAAATTATTATTAGTTGGTGCCTACAACGTTAATTATATTAAAAATAATAATAACTAAATGAATATAACAAATATAACATTACAATTTTAAAAGGGATTAAAAATTTTAAATAAAATATCAATATTTTACATGTTTTGATGGTTTACTACAGTTAATGTTAGAAATTAAACTTACAATATATATATATATATATATTGTATACTATAAACTATTAATATACAAACTATTAACTAAATATTTTAAAAAGGGTAAAAAATATTTTTTTTAATAAAAGTTTATTTTTGAATGAGTAATGTATTTGATTGACATTACTATACATTATGTAAAAAAGTTAAATTCAAAAATCTATCATGATAGCATTAAAGAGAACTAGAGGTATATACTAAATGGCTTTCACATTTGATAACTGTACCTGACAACATATAAAAATAAAATAGTTAATTAAATAAATTGCTAGATTTTGTATATAAAATCTAAATATATTTCAAAAAAAAATAAGAAATCAATATAATTTATTATTTATTATTATTGATTATAATCCGCATTTAAAAATAAATTAAAAATTATGTTTAAATATTTTTTTATTATTTATAAATAATATACTATAAAATTATATACATAATGTTATTAAATTAAATAAAAATAAATTATTATAATAAATATAAATATTATTTTGAATTTTATTGGACTTTGTTATATCCAGTTAGTATAGTTCAATGATATTTGAGCAATCTAAAAAATGATCTAGGTGTATCACCATGTATTTCATACAATGATTCGCGTCGACACTGTTTACTTAATTTAGTTATACTCTGCCGGTGCAACTGTTTGATCAGTGAACCGGTCTCTTTGAGTCCATACAGATCCTCAATCAGGCCTTTAACATAGTCAATGGTAATTGTGCGTACATCTACATTTCCCATTTTGATATAACTGTCTAATATTGATTTCTCTCGTCTATATTGTTTCAATATATTATCTAAATTTCTAATTTCCTGTTTACCGTCAACATTATTGTCATTATTATTATTGTTATTGTTATTTTTAGTATAATTTATCCGAGCCTTATCCAACTGTTCCTCGATATACACCTCAAACGGATCATTGGATACAGTAATGGCATTTTGACTGAGAAACAGTGCAAATTTGGCTACCGATTTCAATATGGCTTCCTGTTCATATTTGTTGTCATGCAAACGGGTGTCATACTGTCGGATCAGTGCTTCTTTACCTTTTTTCTCTGTATTCAACCGTAACAGATGATCCAGTATACTGTCCTGACTGTGCTCGTATTGACTGCGAAACATCAGATAAATGGGTTTCAAAATTGATATTTGTTGTCTAATTATAATTTGAAAAAAAATAATTTAGTTAATAATTATTTGTAATGTATAAAAACTATCTATTATTTTGTTACATACCTATAGCCCATCATATTTAGTTCCCGGTGTAGTTCATTAATATTACCCTGGTAGTTACGTATTTCTAGCTGTACCCTTTCAAGGACTACCATATTTTTCTCAATAGTATTTGTTATGATAAATGCCGGTTCCGTCAGCGCCAGTATCATACGTCGGGTATCATTGATGGACAATGTGTCCTGTATTTTGTGCGGCACTAGCGGTGCAATACCTGTACTGCCATTGGACACATAGTTAATCAATCGGTTACATTCGTGGACCGAGTTGTCCCAACTCATGGCATAGGTATGCTTCTCCATCTCATTGAATACCAGTCCATTGCGCTGTCCAATCAAACACTGAAACGAATCGTTGTCCAAACAGTACATTGTATGCTTGTTCAGTGTTATGTCTACATTGGGAGGTTGTTCACGGATTTTGGCCATCATTTGCCTGAGCAGTACAAGCGTATGGCCGGGACGGTAGTTAGTGGTACGGGAATTAGTGAACAGAAACACCATGTTTTTTGAGGCATCTTTTTGCAGATGACATAACAGTTGTCGTAGACAGTACTCGAAACCGGTAGTCAGTCGTGTCATGTTTGGCCGCATAAGTATACAGATCAGGTGCAGTACGTCGTACTGGGCAATGAATCGCAATATACGGTCAAAGTTGACTTTGTCCTGATCGAGACCACGGGTGTCGCCCACACCGGGCGTATCGATCAGACGAATGGTATGGCAATCGTAGGCAAAACAATAGGTTTGACAGTCTTGTGTTACCGACTGGCCGTCCAAATTGCACGATTCGTTTTCATCTACCTGTCCATAGTTGCACAGTTGTTCCACATAGTTTTCGTCGGTCATCACAAACTGTGTGGGTATGAGACATACTGGGTCTCCATTGACTGCCTGTTCCAGTGTATCGTATGTCAGGTAATTGGCAAAAGAATTGATAAATGTTGACTTTCCTACACCTGTCTCACCTAATAATAAAATATTGATATAATTGTTGTGTTGTTTTGTTGCCATAATATAATTTAATAAAACAAATTAACAAAAATTAATTTTTAAAATCTACACAAATTAAAATTGAACAAAATTTTTTTATTATTATAAAACACACACATACAATTTACTCATTACTGTAATAATAATTTTTTTTGGTACATAACAAACTTGAACTAAAATACAGTATATATTTTGAATGAATATAAAATAATAAAATAATATATAATAGCAATTAAACTTGTACTGAATGTTTATAAAAAAAAGTACAATTACTTTATTGCTATTTCCCATACAAATGTAATAATACAATGTCTAATCAATTAGTATAGAAAATAAAGTTGTTTGATGTAAATGTATTATCAATATATATATATATATATATATATATTATATAATATATATAACAAAACCATATTAACCATTGTTATCAGAGACACTTAGAAACACATATTGTTCATACCTTAAAAGTTAAACATTTTGATTACATAACAATATAGCAATAAATAAATAAATGTTATAATTAATAACAAACATCTATTATAACATAAGTTCAATTTTTAGCATAATATAATTATTGTACTCAAAAAAATATAAAATAAATTAAAATATTTGAATTATATAAAAAATATTGAAATTTTAATATTATACTAATTAGTGTTTAAAAATAGCTTGAAAATACTAGTGTTTTACTAAAAGTTAGCTATAATTTTATTTAATTATTTATATACTAAATATACAAATCTTTAGTTTTTAAAAAATTAATAATAATATTTTTTATAATAATATTTCTAATAATTTTCAATATTTAAAATATTAATATGCTGTAAATTTATATATACAATAACATTAATAATTTTTAAAAAACTTTAAATTTCTAGTTTATTTAATTATTTAAAAATGTATTAAAACTTATATAATATGTATTTATTAATTTAATTTAATCTAAAATATTTACTTATTCTTAAAACAAGTTTTATAATTGTCGTGCCGTGAATTGAATAGGTTATGGTTTTAATTTAGTTTAAAATAAAACATTAAAAAATTGCAGTCGATTTGTATATAATTTCATTAAAACTTTATTTGAAAACTTATTTAAGAAAAATACATTTTTGTCAACATTAATATTAAATGATATCTATAAGCATAGATAAAGTATACAATTTTGATAAACTATTGTCTATAAGCATAGACTGTTTATAATGTATTCATGTATACAATGTGTTTGACTGGCCTAACTGGGCTGTCCTGGATCAGTTTTGACCCACATTTATATAGTGTTTGTGTGTATAGTCTTGTGTGCCTTACCATTGATAGGTCAGTTTGACCCACATTTCAATGGGAGGTCTATTTCTAGAAAATCTATCTTTTTGTGTATATATTGATAGTGTGTTGTGTTTGTGTGAAACAATATTTTAAAAGCATATATTTGGGTTATAAAATGTGATAAAAGGGTTTGGAGGGGTTATTTGATTGATACCGATATTCTAGGAAAGTTTAAATTATGGGAAAGTATTTTCAATTTATTTATAACTACTTTTATTATTAGTTTAAGTAAAATAACTTTTATATATTTACATAATAATCATAATTGTTTTTTAAAAATTATTATATCATTGCAATTTTATTGGCTATAAAATCAAATTAAAAAGTTTATGACAATCATAATTTAAAATATTACTTTAAAAAAATTAGAGAACCATTACAGAAGTTTATAATATTTTTTTATGGCAATTAATAATATAATAAAAGTATATAATGTTTTTAAAAAATTTAATAAAATTTATTTACACTAAAAACAAAATACTGTACAAACAATATTTATATAGATATAATAAAAATAAATTATAACATAACAATTTAACAATAGACATTTAAAAATTAACATTTAGTTGAGTATTATTTAGTATAATAATTAATTATAATTTAGTGCCTCCAAACCTAACCTACATATATCTATCATATTTAGTTAATAATCCAAATTTGTTGTATTGCTTATTAAAACCAATTGCCACCTCCCAGATAACCTCCCAGACCGCCACTTAAGCCCCGGTAACCGCTATATCCATAAGCACGTGGAGCACCGTAGCTTCCATGACCTTGTTGACCATAATTATAGCTACTACTTCTGCCTCCATGTCCATATCCATTACCACCATAGCCTCCATTACCTCCATTACCACCATAGCCTCCATTACCTCCAAAGCCTCCATAGCTTCCATAACCTCCATATCCACCATTACCACCATAACCTCCATGATGTCCATGATGTGCCGGGTGCTTTATATGAGTGGAATAACCCCATTTTCTGTGAACTATTATGATATTTAAGTTAATAAAATTATATTAATAAAATTTTGAATTTTTTGAAAAAATAATATTATAATAAAAACTAACTACCTGGGTGACCGTATAATCCATGTCCTAATCCATAGCCACCGTAATATCCATTGCCGCCGCCATAACTTTGACCAAAAACTGATGGCAAACTAATAGCGCAAAAAGCGGCAAACAATACAATAAAAGCAATAATCGATTTCATTTTTTTAGCTTTTAATATAACAAAAATTAATTTTGTTTTTTATTAGTATTGAAATATTTGTTTCCAAATAAACTGCTATAAAACAAAACAAAAATTGTAAACTATTTATATATAAAAAAATAAAAGACACAAAAATATAGATTTAAATAGATATAAAATATACGTTTAATAAAATCAATAAAATCATAAATATTTTATTTAAAAGTTCAAGGTTTGGGAAATGCTTATCATTTTGTCAAAAGTTAGTAATCAATGATAACTAAAGTTAATACTAATTAATATACAATAAGTAACAATAATTAACAAATGTTTTACAAATTGTTTTTAAGGATAATTTATTTTACAATTTTTTAAAATTGACAATTATTATTGTTATTATTTTTTATTATATAACTAATTAGTAACAAAATAGTTTGACAATAATTATACGATACAATATATGTTACATATTTTCATTTCAATATCATTGAAAAATATTTCAAATACTAATAACTAAAATAATTAGAAATAAATCAATTAAAACATATATTTTTCTCAAGTCAATCATAATTCCCGTCATAAAAATTATTAGAAATTTTTATCGAATATATACTGTATATATATATATTAATCAGAAATAAATATTATTTGAAATAAATATTATTTGAAAAATATGTTAATTTCATAAAATTAATTATTTGATATTTCATATTAAATAATAATAATATATACAGTAAATATACAAAATAATTATATTGGAAAACATAAGTAAATTATTATGAAAAATTAAGATATACAGTATATAGCATATACTATATGCAGTATATAAAAATATAATATATATAGTTATATAATAGTAGTAAAAAATCAATTAAAATATGCCATTAAACTATAAATATTTAACAAATTTAACAAAAATAACTGTATATTAGAGTAATTATCTGTTTATGAAATTACACTACAATTTCATTTTACGTTAATTATGTATTTAAAATTTTGTATATATTTTATAATATTATTATATTTATTTTTTGGGAGGAATAAAAATTTATGATTATTCATAATTTATAAAAAAATTACATTTTTTACATAATATTTTTACTTAATAATTAAAACATTAGATGTCAATATTGTATCTAAATTTAACCTAAAATATAGCATTTTATTATTACAGTAATCTTATATACAGATAAATAGATAGTATTTGAATTTTCATATTTCAATATAAACTATCTTTAAATAAAATAAAATTATAAAATTATGTTTATTTTATTTATAATTATTAAATATATATATATAATATCCTGGTAAATTTAGTTAAATTAAGTAATCAATTAATTCTAATTAATTTAAAAATATTATTAATCTATAAGTTTAATTAATAAATAATTTTTGTTTTGCTTATGACTTATTTTATTTTATTGTAAATTAATTAGTTCAAATAATCGAAAAAAAACTATTCATATTATAAAGTTTTTAAAAAAAAACTATGTTTAATTTTAATATCTAGATTTTTAATTTATTAAACAAATATTAGATATAAATAATAATTTAGATAATATTCAACTGACAATACATTAATAAATTAAAATATGTATTTAGCTGTCAGTGCCTCAGGGCTTATGATAAAAGATAATGTATAGAAAATATATATTTGTTTTTAATTTTTAAATTTTTATCAAAATATTTGACTTTACATTATTAGAGTGACATATAAATTGATATTTTATATGACATCTAACAGTTTTGTCATTTTATAGTAAAATAATATAACATTTAAATTATGATATAAAAAATAAATAAATAAAGTATAATTATCAACATAAGTGAAATGTTTGGAAATAAAATAAAATAAAATTATTAAAACATTAAAAATGTTTAACAATAATTATTTTATTAAGATTCAAAACTCTAGAAAAATTATTTTAAATAAAAATAAATGTTTTTTATTTTAATAATTAGTAAATTACTTAATCTCATATACAACATAACAAAACTTATTGTGTAATAAAAGTTTCAGTATTTTTATTAATACAAAAAGTGTTAATATCATATTTTGAAAAATGATACTCATTTTTATCATCAATTAACAGATAATTGTTTTTTATATTGTTTTTTTTGTTATACCATAAGTTATTTAATACCAAGTAATGGTAAACGATATACTGTTTAATAATAATAATAATAATACAGTTGAGTATAATTTAATATATAAACTGTTTATTAATTAAATATTAATGCTAAAACTTTATTAATACTGAAATTAATAGAGTAAATAAAAAATAATTTTAATAACATTTAAGTATAAATTACTAACTATTTAATTAAGATATGTTAAAAAATATAAATAATATATATATATAATCTATTATACTTTTTTTTATTAAAATAGTTATTACCGGTATATAAACACTAAAGTATATATAAATATATATATATATATATAACTAACAAATAGATAAATACATACAACTAATCGCAAGAGTATTATCACTTGGTTTTAATCATATTATATAATATACCGGTATATAAATACTAAAAGATTTAGTCTAAAAGTAAAGTAAGATTTAGGAGAGAAAATCCTTTTGTAAAAGTGATTATTTAAGTGATAATAGTATTGACTAAAATGTCTAATAATCAAAAAAACTTTATTAATACTATTATATAATAAAAAAAAGTGTAATCCATTAACACAAAAGTTATTAATATGTTTGGTTTAAAGAAAACTGCTTTGACATCAATAAAAAATAATTTTATGGTTAATAAAAATATAAATATATACTTCATATAAATACTTATTAAACTAAAAATAATTTAAAGTTAAAACATATTTTTTTATTGATAATAATTACACTATATAAATAATAAAAAAAATTAAAATACAATATAGTTTAAGCAAAGTTATCATAAGACTTAAAATTTTCTTAAATATATATATATATTTGGTTTTCTATTTTTAAGTCGATAGCAAATCACTGTTACTTAAATTATAAGATAAAATAAAGTCATAATAAGCTGTCTATGCATGTATGGAAAAAAATACATAACTATTATGAATATACTGTACTAAACTGACTGGACTATAAGTGCACACAACAAATGGATTAAAATATATAGAATATATGATATACCGTACGGTATAACAGTTGAAACGGTAGTATAGATGTTACCAATCAGTATGTCTTGTGATAACTTTCCTCCGTAAGCACTGGTATGTCCGTACTGTACTGTATTCTGGGAACGGTAGGAGCAGCTGTTCTTTACTCACATATTATGCAAGAGATTAAACATTATAATACTTAATACTCTCCACACGACTCTCTCTCTCTCTCTCTCTCTCTCTCTCTCTCTCTCTCTCTCTCTCTCTCTCTCTCTCTCTCTCTCTCTCTATGAGTAAGGAAAAGTACCAAATACATCAATGGCTATATATATAAGCTATCTGTGCAAAAATATATATATGAAATTTTATTTTAAGTATATTTCCCTGCAGTGTTGGGTACGGTATGCAAGTGTTGTTATATATATATTTGACAACGAACTGTGTCTCCAACAGACATCAAATAATAATAATATAAAAAGTTTTATTGAATTTGTATTGTACTGTAATGTAAAACACTATTCAAATTATTGGCCAAAAAATGTTTGGGTAAAAAGCATTTGTAAAACAAAATCTCATTTTTATTTCTCATACATAGTTAGCTTACTTTCTCTCTCTCTCTCTCTCTCTCTCTCTCTCTCTCTCTCTCTCTCACACACACACACACACACACACACACACACACACACACACCTAACTATATGACCGACACATTTTGTATGTGTGATTCAACAAATGTGTATTAAATTAAATATACAATACTTTTTCCTTTACATATTTGCTGAATACAAAATAAAATCAAATAATACTATAGAATAAAATTAAAGTCAAATGTAACGGACGTCAAGATTATATTATAGTTATTTTGTGAACATTTTAAAAAAAGATATATAAGGTATTTATATAAAATATAATAAAAACTTTTTTACATGCAATTGCATAACAATAACACATTGGATTATCTATTAAACATACAATATGTGGAGCAAATCTATGTTTGATGACGTTTATGCTAAGCAGTGACTAATTGAAATTATAATAACAAATTTTATTGTAATAATTTTTAAATATTTATTTAGAAAGATCAAAATTCATGATGATTGATGACTTTATTGGGCCAATGATTAAACTAATGTATTGTAAATAAAGCATTTTAAAAAAATTGTTGTTATACTATACCGATATAATGTTCAATTTACTGTAATTTTTTGTTTTTGTAAAATATTGTTTATTAATTTATCAATATGTACTGATATAATAGTGATATATTAATCTATAGATATTATTATATATTAAATCATAACATTTTACTATATAATATAAATTTTTAAATTGCTTATTTAGTGAAATAAATTACCAATGCACTTTAAAATTTTACAAATCATTGCATTAAAGTTTTTTTATAATATAAAAATTTTTGATAATAATTTTATTGACTATAATAATAAATTTTATAACATTTGTGTGCTAACATCATATTTGTCGGTATATAATGTGTAGTAAAAATTGTTATATTGTGTTTTATTTTATCATATATGTACTATACATTATTATAATAATAATGATAATAAATTTTGGTAAACCGTACCAATCAAACAAACATATTAGTGTATAAATACTGTACAGAAAAAAATTAGGTGTGTCTCCACAGGATAGAGTCAATGAGCTGTGTTTTATGAGTTCCCTTTAAATATAATGACCATGGTCAATAAATACATGTATATATAATATATAGGAAATACTACTATATTAAAGTGTTACATAAAATAATAGCATCATTATCATTTTTCAAAAAACAAAATACTGTAATATTAAGTAATATTAACTGAAAATACAATATTTATGAAAATGTTTATGAAAATTAAATAATTAATTTTAATAAATAATAAAAATCAAGAAAAAAAACAAATTAATTTGATTTTTGTTTACAATTTTAATCATAAAATATAATCTGTTAATATTTTTTAGCTTATATGTAATAACTTTATATGTAATAACTTTATATGTAATAACTTTATATGTAATAACTTTATATGTAATAAATTAATTTTTTGTTTGTTTGACGATACTCTCTATTATTAAATATAAACACCTTTAATTTGATGTTATATTTTATTTATTTACAACCATTTTTATGATATAATATCTAAATATGTATATACAGGTAAATTAGGTGTACAGTGATAGATAAAAAATAATATATTACAGTCATAAAATAAAACACGCATTTTACTGTATTATTATAATAATAATATTACAATAAAATAGAGTACAATATTATTATTAATACAATACTCCCATAATGTCATATAACATTGGTATAGATTTTTAATCATTATTATTACATAATAAGAGAGAGAGAGAGAGAGAGAGAGAGAGAGAGAGAGAGAAGTTAGAGAGAAATTGCTGTAATTATAACTGATATAACATTTATACCTACACTATACTGTATATATATAATTTTGTTTAATGAAAATGACTTAACTTTTTTAATATTAACAACAATTTTGGGGTTCACTCTCTCTTTTCTAATATATAAAAATATAAGTATAATAGCATTCACTTAGCGTTAATGATTGGGACTATTGTTTTGAGTGCGAAAACCATAGCTATTAGTTTTATGGCTTTTTTGTTGTTGTGTTTAACTGTATTTTTAGTGACAAATTATATTTGAGCTGAAAAATATAAGAGGATTATTTAATTTTTTTTTTGTGTAAAAGTTATATATATATACACACTGTATATAAATTTATGTATTAAATATATTGGGCAAATATGACATTAGTAGGCTAATTATAAATAATTACATGTATACCAAACAATAGTGGTCTCCTATGTTTTGTTAATAATATATATATATATTTGTCATTGAAAATTGTATAAAATGGTAAAACTTTTTATTTAACAAAAATTTGTTATTTCCTAATTTATTGTAATAATTGTTATTAATGTATTCAACAAAAAATTTAATAATCAATAAACATATTAAATGATACTAAATATTTAGCATCTTTGTTATCATTTTTTGTTGAATATTTTTATTTACTTATATAACAGTTAAATTGTCAAGTATTTATAAATTTAATTAAAAAATTTATATTTTACAAACTATCTAGACAATTACTTATAAAAAAAATGTTAGCAATCAATATGTTTGTACAAATATTTGTAAATAGTTACTAAATATTTTTTATATTGTACTAATAATGTTAAAAATATTTTTGTACAAAACAAACTTTTATTTTATTGTAAACTAACTCCAGTTTTGTTACAAAAAAAAAAGTTTATACATTTTATAACAACAACAAAAACTGCTGTTTGTTGTATTTGATTCTACAATATATACTAATGTATATGATATACACTGACAGTACAATAATATAAGGCGTTATTATATATAGTATTTACTACAGTATATACTGTAGTCACACATACAGTAGTTTTTTTTAACTGGCCTTCAATTTTTGTTATCACTACAAAAATAAATAGGTTTTGAAATTGACATCCAATTCATCGAAACTGATATATAGTATATATATATATCAATATAAATATCTTACAATTATTTGGTGGGAAACTGGAGGTCAATTCAATTGTATGTAGAAGTTGGTGCTGGATATTGGATCCGATATACAGTATATACTATATATACTGTATATATATCTCTTTCACTTATAGCTCATTGACTTTTCTGATATCAATTGTCACAATAAAGATATCTATAAAAAGAAACATTTCGTTAACTTTGACACAAAAACTGTTGGACAGAAAAATATCATTGTATTTATAGCATTGGTATTGTATAGACAGTATTAGACACACAGACACACCATATATATCAAAATATTTTACCAAAAAAAACACTAATCTATAAATAGATTTATTAACTAATCAAATATTTTATGCATGTATGCTATATAATAATTAAACAAAAAATTATTGAATGTTTATAAAACTAACAAATGTTTATATAATAACATCTGCAAAATTTTTATTTGAGAAAAAAATTGAAAATATTTAGCAATTTATTTTCCCGGGTAACCTAATACCGAAAGTCTATTGTATTGAATATCTTGCTTAAGGAAAAAATAGGAAAAAAGTTGACAATTGTGTGATAAGAGAAAGAAAAAGAGAGAGAGAGAGACCAACACTTTTGTCATTTGCTGGCAAATCGATAGCCAAAAAAATAGTTGACAGTAGTATCGGACAACAATACCAGTGAAAAACCTAAGGGTAAAGTGTGTGTGTGAGTGTGTGTGTGAGTGAGTGTGTGTGAGCTACCAGTGCTACTAAATCTATATCTCGAAAAGTCAATCGCAACGATTAGATAAATGACAATTAAATATAGTAGTACTTAACTATTTGGATTATTATTAATATGTCAATCATATTGATTGATATATTAAACAATTATTATATTATATTTTATTTTAAATATTAGTTTACAACAAAATGAATAGTGAATATTGCAAAAAATTATAATTAGAAAAAATATTTCAATTTATATATATAAAAAAAATTAATTTAAATTTTGAGTTCAATGCGTTAATTTGACTTTTAGCGAAATTAAAAAAAAATATTAAGTTTATTAATATTCAACGATATTTTGTTTGATATTTTAAAAATTTAATTAAAATAAAACAATTGCTGTCATCTGTGATTATAATGATTTCAACTTTGTGTTATCTCAACTAAATTAAATTTAAAAATAATAATGTTATTTTATATTAAATTGATTAAATGTTTTAGAAAAAAATTTATTTAATCATTTTATTTAATAAATATATATATATACTAAATAATTTTGAATTAATAAAAATTGTTTTATCTATTACTATTGCTTTTTATACAGTACAAATTAATATATAAAATTTTATATTTTAAGAATAAATAAAATAAATATTTTCTGATTGACCGCATTTTTGATAAATATTTGATCTGAAATTTTTTTTATTTGATTTGATAAAAATATAAAAAATTATATATAGCATTAAAAGTAAAACTTTATTTATTTATTTTTTTTTGTTAGCAATAAAATATTTATTACAAATGTTTGAAATAATTTTTTATATATTTTTCAAGTAGTGTACAAATCTTTAAAATATTGTATATATTATACAGTAGTAGTAGTAGTATATTAAATATTAATAACAGAAAATTTTAATTTATTATTTAGTGGTCAGTATTTTATTGGCAAAAAATTTGCTGATTTTATCAAAAATTTATTTCAAGTGATGACCAAAATAAAAATAGCTATAAAAATATATAAATTATTTTCTAGTACATTGTGTGTATATATAACACTATATACTGTATATATTTATGTTTATTGAAATTTAAGATTAAATTTTTATGTAATATTAAATTTTATTACAAAATTTAGATTAAATTTATATATATATAATAATATACTATAGATTTATTTATTACACTAGATTTTAAACACATAAAAAATAAAAATATTATGTCATATATGAAAAACCAAAATTCGTGTTAAATTATATAATTATGAGCATCAGTAGTATTAATGGTATTATTTAAATAAATACTAATAAAAATATAATAAATATGTAATAAAGAAATGTGTTTATCGCTGATAACAAGGAGTCTAACATATATTGTATTTATATATACTTTTATAGTAGACATACATGTCTATCGTCGGTACAATAATTGCATAATATATCACATACTATATTATTTGTGAGATTATTTCACTTCACAAACACTTTAGCTGCTATACTGTCTTTTCCCATCATCTAAATGAGCCAACAGTTCCCTATTACTATATTATACAGTATTACTACTGCTACTACTACCAGTAGATTCACTAATATACAGTATAACACATTATATAATAAATGTAAGTTATATCATATACAATATATATATATATATGTACAGTAGTATTGTACAATAAAACATCAAAACTCAATATAAGATTAGTAGCTTTTTGTGTTTGATTGTTGTTGAATTGTTGAGCTCAGGGAGATTGAGAGGACACCAAATATAATAATAATAATAATATATAAGTCATCTAGTTGGTARTACACACACACACACACACACACACACACACACACACACACACACACACACACACACACACACACACATCCAATAGTTGACATTTATTTTCTTTATTCTTAAGTCAGAAATTCTCTCTCTCTCTCTCTCTCTCTCTCTCTCTCTCTCTCCCATTCATTCATTTACTCGCCCACTCACCCACTTATTCCCTCACTAACTAACTAGAAATGCTATTGAAATTGTTGATTATAACTCATTCAATGGTAGTTTAATAATATTGATTGGCATCACCAGCACTGGTATGTGTGTGTGTCTGTGCGATGTGATAGACATACAAATTAAAATCCAATCCCAATAGTAGTATAGTTTATAATGGCATTTACCTTATAATACATTAAATATTTGCAGTAAATAATAGTGTGTGTGTGTGTGTGTGTGTGTGTGTGTGTGTGTGTGTGTGTGTGTGTGTGTGTGTTCACAGTSTTTATAGATATAACTAATTTTTCAATATATTTATATATAAACTAGACTTTTCACACTTTGTTTACATTAAAAAATTGATTGTAAAAATACAATTAATTAAACGTAGTCTAAATTAATAAAAATGTATTATATTTAGTATTTAAAAGTTTTGTTTTTATAAATATGTCTATCAAGAGATCGACTAATTAAACAATTTTTTTTATTAGTTGAAACATATTTTGAATTATATGGTTTATTTAATATAAAAATTTCAAACAAACTAACTAAATGTTTGCCTAAACAATCAAATTGAATGACTAATCCCTTAGACTGAAATGCAAACACAAATTTTTTTTAAGTTAAATTAATTGTATATAAATTAAATTAATGGATAGTTTGATAGTAGTAGTTCAGTATAAAGATATTAGTTAAACAAAATTAATAAAACTGAAACATTTGAAACTTAATACTTATTTTTAAAATAATGACAATTAAAAACAATATATAATAAATTTAATTAAAAAAATAGTAGATGCAAAACACAAAAATAAAATATATAATTAAAACATCATTTTAAAAAATGATTTATTAGAATTTTATAATTAAAATTTAATTAATTTATCATTAATATGATCATCAATGGCATCATAAATACTACTAAATCTATAATTTAATTTATAATATAATACTGTATTTATAACAGTGAAATAGTAGTGATATTAAAACATATTTAATAAATAAATAATAATTAATTATTATATTGATGTAAACCAGTTATTGAAATTTAATATTGTTTTTTGTTGTTGATGTTTGTTTCACATTATTAACGGGGAGTAAACTAAATATTTTTATCTTATGTTATTAATACTTAGATTTGCAAAAAAAAAACTCAAACAAAAAAAATCATTTACGAAAAAAACAGTTAATACTTTAAAACTGTTATTTTAATTTTATTAAATTAACCAAAAAAAATAGTTTTAATTACATAATGTCTATCTATTATAATATAATAACACTATTGATGCTATGTTTCACAATTAATGTGCCGACAAATCTGGTCAGCGGTCAGGATGTGTCACCGGAATCGGTACGCGGACTGCGCGACGAGCTATTTGTCAAAAGAAATTACACGAAATATAGTTTCCCAGTTGTCGATCACCGGCAGACTGTCAACGTTAGTGTCGGCATACGTATGCTCAAGATTGTCGACCTGGACATCAAGACACAGGTCCTTACACTCAATGTCTACGTCTACATGGGTTGGATAGACGAAGGATTGCAATGGTCGCCACAAGAGTTTGGCGGCCAAACCCAACTGGTCGTCCAGTCGGACCTGATCTGGAAGCCCGATCTGATGATCACCAACGGTCCGGATGCCTTTCATTTTGAACGTACGTTCAAAAGTACGACACTGTCGGTCAACTCTACCGGCTATATTGAATGGGTACCGCAAACCCAATTGAAAACCTATTGTATGACTAATCTGCGCGACTATCCGTCTGATGAACAGCGCTGTCGGATAACATTTGAGCCATTTTTCGACATCAAGTATGTCGACGTCAAACCGTTTGATTTTTACAAAGTGAGCACTTTTTTGTTTGACGAATCGCCCCGTTATCCTAACCAGGAATGGGATGTCACGAAAGTCGAATCCTATCGACGAGTCGACACATATGTCGAGGGATCGTTTGCCCGGATTATGTCTTTTCTGACGATAAGACGGCGCCAATCGATTATGTATTACTTTATCAAATTGCCGACAACAGTGGCCGTAATATTGTCGGTACTTATGATGGCATTTCCACCGAATTCCCTGAAAAGATACCAATTGTTTGTATTGTCGCTGTCGATACTGTTGCTAACAGAACTGGTAATTATCAATAAGACCGGCTTTTCGGGCAATAAAGGAGTTCCACTGGTATTGCGAAACAATGCCATAATTATTGTCTACATATCTGTTATGATATACTTGTCGATTGTCATCAACAGAGTATTCTTGATGTCCAATCCGTGGCCACAGTTGACCTCAGCTGTGGCTAATAATCCGTTGCTTCGGTATATAGGAGTTGGCAATTATCTGATTACTTGGACACTGGAAGAGGGCGTCCAAAGTGGTATCGGTGCTACAATTAATGCTAAAGTTTCGCTAACTGATAGCCAAAACGATTGGATATTAATGACACTATTGTTGGATAAAATCTTATTTTTCTCGTATCTATTATTTTTGATTACAATCTATACATGAAAAAAACAAAATAATAATTATAATTAAAATATTAGTGTATTCAAATTTGAAATTAGTCTAATTTAACTCAATTAAATAAATATTTGTTAATTATTAATATTATTTTTATTTGGTGAAATATTATTAATGTTATAAAACTAGTTATATTAAAAATTTATACTACAAAAATTGTCTATACTGTGTACTAACAATTAAATTATTCATAATTTAATATAAGATAAATAACTGTATACTGTATTTAATAATATAATTTTATTAATGGATACTTTAATGCCCTTACTTTTTAATAAAAAATTTATAATTAAAACATATAAAAAATTGTTTGATGATATGTGAGTAGAAAAAAAATAAAATAAGTTTTTCAAAAATAAAAAAATATTTAAATTTATATTTGAAAAAATATTCATATGAACACGTTTTATTTATTATTATTATTATTATTATATTTTATGTTTGACTAAACTTGTAAATTATTGTAAACAAGTTATGATATGATAGGGACTCTGTTTGTTCACATACTAGACTAGTATTACTAGTGCCACAACAATTCATATATATAAAATATTTTACATTTATATAACGTATATATATATATCTCAATATCCCTCACTCACTCAGTCACTCATTTATTCACACATTCACCCACTCTTTCATTTACTCACTCACTCAACACATTTTCATCTCAATTGATGATTAATGACTGCATTGACTACATTTGATACCATCATTACCCGCAAAAAAAATAAATAAAACCTTAAGACTAGACATGAAAAACCATTAGATAATACACATACACACAAAACACACCTTATATTAAATAAAAGAAATTTAATCTAATTTATAATAAATACTTTTGAAGATGAAAAATACAACAAATATAACACATATAAAACTATTTCATATATAGATTTACATTTGCATATCTAAAACAAATATACTAAAGTCTAAAATTTATTGAATAAATGTTCATAATAAATATTTTTAAAAAATACATAAAATATTAAATTTATAAAAATATATAACAAAAAAAATATAATAAAACATAGGTTACTTTAAAAAAAACACAATAATATCATATATACTAACCGTTTTCACGTCTAAAGCCAAACCAAACTGTCATATTTAGTCATATTTTATAAATATCATGTTTTTTGAAATATCATATATTTTCTTCAACATCCATAACATTGTTGACCATAAATATTAGTTTTGAAAATAAAAAAAAATATCCGCTAAAAAAATATTTACCAAATATTTATTTTTGCCAATACAGTAGACACACACACAAAATTCAATAATTTTTATTATTATTATATAGAGTATATATATATTTATTTATAAATAGTAATCATCATTATTGTTTATGTATAGGTAGTGTATATACTATATTTTATTTGTAAGCATATTTGCACCATATTTTATATATGCAATAACCGTAATGAACATAAAAAAAATTAATTATTTATTTTTAGATATATTTATATTTTCATTCATAATATGTGCCCAGAATTTGCTGCATAAAAAATAGTAATAATATCCTTGTCTTACTATATATATACACACATTTACGATACGATATACAAATATATAAATTAATAATAAATATTTAATAATTAAAATGTTAATGGTTAGTCATAAAAATATAAATACCTAATACAAGTATGAACACATATATATATATTGCAAAAATAAAACAATTAGAGCAAAACAATTGAAACATAAAAATATTTTAATCAAAATATTATTATTATTATTGTATGTACAGTAGAGTATATAACAAGTATTTTAACAGTATTAATTTTAGCCACAATTATATTAATATATCATATTTATTTAAAAAAAATAATACTAAATACAATATAAATATAAAACAATTTTTATTAAATATAAGGTATGCATGTTTATATACATTCACACACTCACTCACTTACTCACCCACTCATAAGTTTTGTGTATATGTTTTTTTTGACTCTCAAAAAATCACTCATTTGTATGATGTTATGACAAAATAAAGATAACATTCAATACACAAAATACATACAAAATATTTCTATAACTTTACGATACGGTTATATACAGTATATATATATATTGTATTTATGTATTAATGGACTGATATTTTGAAAAAATCATATTCATAAGGTTTGACAAATATGTTGACAAATGTGTACCGAAAAAAAACTATTGAACATTGAAAATATAAGCCAAAACTTTCCAAAAAACCCATTGATAATAATAATTGAATAAAAAAATAAATGAACAAATTGTTAAAATATGTAAATCTTGTATAAACTCTTTTTATATACATTAGTACAGTATTATATAATATAATAATAAATTTTTATTTTGTGTTTGCATAACAATAACACATTGATTAATATAAACGTATTGTTAAGCTAAAGTTTTCTGTGTGTCGATTTAAGTGGCATAACTGACACACCATTAAAATATTATATTTTTTGAGGGAACAGGAGGTTATATATGGGTTGGTTAGGTTAGGTTCTGGTCTCTATTCTCTCTCTCTCTCTCTCTCTCTCTCTCTCTCTCTCTCTCTCTCTCTCTCTCTCTCTCTCTCTCTCTCTTATATATTGTATTTCTATTGTTATGGTACTACCACTGGAAGACAGTCAATTCAATTGAAGCAAAAATAACAATTTTGTAGAGAAGTTAGTTAAGAGAGAGATAGAAAGAAAGAAAGAGAGAGAGATCTAACTTTTTTAAAGAGTCGTTTACTTACTAACTAAAAGTCATAGTTTGGAGAATCAGTGGCGCACGACCTGACTGTCAGAGGAATGGGAGGAACGGCTGATATGAATGAAAATTGTACTCAAATTGAGAGCCACCGACACTGAATTGAGTGTCGGATGCACTGAGAATAGCAATGGGAGAGAGAGAGAGGGCTTAGTTGTGTTGAACCAACGGTTCACTAGTAAGGAAAGTGAGAGAGAGATAGAGAGAGTCAATGAGTAACTGAGTGAGTGAGCACTTGGAGTCGGAGTGAAGCACAGGCAGCAAAACGACGACTCGTTATATATTGATATATACTGAATGTGTGTATATATTGCTGGAAACCCGAGTACAGTTCAGTTGAGTTGAGTGCAGCACCGGGAGAGTGACAGTGAATACTACTACTACTGCTAATAGAGTGAACTGGAAGATAGTAAAAGAGAGACAGACAGAGATACTGCTGTTCAGTACTGAGCACACGGAGTTGTGTGGACTAACTGTGCGTTTATCGTATGGAAACATGAGTTGATATGTTTCACAATTTTTTTCCTTAAAAGACAACTGTTGTGTGAAATTATAATATTTAATATAATAATATTCAATATATTTTTTTGAGATAAAACTTATCGTTTATTTTAATATATGATATGATTTAAAGTGCAAAATAAATTTTTTTTATCAAAAAAAATAAAACAAAAAACTAATATTAAATTTTAAGTGAATATTGAAAATTCATTTCATTATTATTTCTATCGTTTTGTTTTTATATTTGTTTCAGTCGTGTATTTTCCACTAAACTGTTAATAATATTGTCTGTAAAATAAAAAAAAATAAAAATAAAAACTTTTTTATTTTATAAAAAAACTCTGTTTTATCTTTAAAACACATCATCAAAAAAAATAATAAAAAAGTTTTTTAAAAACACACAAAACTGTCATCTTTTTTCTCACATCCAATACAATACACTTTCTACCGTCACCTTCGCGTTCAGTATATATAATATATATATATATTGATATAAATTTAATAATATAAGAAACGGTAGATATTTTTAGGTTCATTTCTTATTCATCCATACAAACACTCACATAAAATCATTGATATTAAAAGAAAAAAGAGTCGTTTTTTTAATATATCGTGTTTTATATGAGTGAGTGTGTGTGAGAAGTAAGTGAGTGTATGTTATATCATGTTATACAATATACTGACTCTTTTTTACCGATAAACTACTTGTGCTGTGAATGAATATATATATATACAGTATATACTGTAGTAAATGTATTGATAGCCGAATATATATATATAACATATATTGTATATAATATTTAATAAATATTCCTAACGTTTTCCTGGTACAAGTACAGTATCTTTTTAATATCATATAAATCTTATGGAACTTGAATGCTATGAGATAAGGAGGAGAGGGAACTGTACGTAAAACTACTAGTCCACACACACACACACACACAACAATAACAACATATTGTAAGTATATATGTAATTGAAAGTAAAAGTGAGTAACAAATCTAATAGTAGTTGTACTGTATATTTATATATATATAAAAATAAATACCAAACATCTGACAGGTATATGAAACAAATTATTACTTTTGTTCAATCATTGTATGTATGTTTGAGTGACAGTACACTCATGAGGTTTAGATAGTACATACACACTGCTACACACACACACACACACACACACACACACAAATTCACTCACTTTCTAATTAAGTAAATCTCTATACAAAACACACACAAAAAACTAAATATATATAATAAAAGACTTTCCACGAGAACCTCCTTTAGCTAAATAAGTATATCCTTTGAAAACTTTTTACTTATATATTTTTGTGGATATGATATATTCATGGGTACAATACATACCATTCCCACCAAACCGTAACTGGTATGGGTTTACCTATAATACTATTGAATATTTGCTAATGTTTTGTGAATAGTATGTATGTGTGTGTTTAGTACAATATTAAATAAAACTCCGTTTTTTATGTTGTCTATGTTTAATATTTGACCAGTAGTTATGTAATATAATATTATATATATTGTGTGTGAATGCGAATAAAACAATATAACTAAAACTACCGGTGCTTTTCGGTTGTAGTATTACAATGGATGTGTTTGGAGAGGTAGGGCACACACATATACATACTGTACATACCGACAAAAAATAATATATTATATATATATTACTATAGCAAACATCTGTGTTATGTAAACAATTTTCTCATTCATACACACTTATAATAGACTAAATTTTATTAAATATATATTATATACAGTACTTATTAGAAATATAGTTATACACTATATATATATATATAATCTATGGTATATATATCAGACTAATTTTTTGAAATATATAATTTATTTAATATAGATATTCATCATATATAATAGCACTTGAAATTTGTGGGAAAAAGAGTGGTATTATCTAAAGTGTCGACAAAAATATACTATTTATTAAAAAATAATACAATATTTATAATATTAAGATTAATAAATATTATGTGCGAATTGTATGGTAAACGTTATAATTATACTCAAAAACATATTACTATTATTAGCACATAAAAAGCAGTCAATTATTAAAATACAAAAAAATATATTTAATATATATATATAACATAAAAATTGGTTTTTTAATTAGTTATAATTATTATTATGTGTTAATTATTATATACAGTATTATATTATATACTATTTTAATATATTTTTATGTGAACCAAAATATTCTTACAATATAATAATAATAATACTAAAATATATTAATAATTAAATAAATTAATTTATATATATATGTGTAATATTAGTTGACATTTGTTCATAAAAATAATTGTTATATTACTGCCACACAATACAACTAATACTAATAATATTATAATAAAACAATCGCAATAATAAAAATTATTAATAAATAAATACTTCAATTCTAAAGTAATAATAATAATAATAATAATAATAATGTATTCAATAATTTTATTCATTATAAACTACTATGCGATCAATTTTTGCTTCAACGGTAAGTTATTAACATTTATTATTATTATTAGTATTATTTAAAATAATTATTATACATATATATTTCTAAAATTACCTAATAATTATATTTTATCCATAAATATTAGTTCATATAGTTATGCAACTTTTAAAAAATATTTAAAAATATATAATTATATTTTCATAATTTGCGATAATTAAAAAATGTTTTTATAATTTAAAAAAAATAATATATAATCAAATGAATTTTAAATTGAATATAATATTTTCTTATTATAATATATATGAGTTATATTATAATAAAAAATATATTAAATGAAAAATAACTAGTAATATATATATTTATTGAGTATATATATAAATTTTTATTAATACAGTATATATATAAATATTTAATGATACATTGATTAAATAAAATTTAATTAAAATCATTCCCAAACCAAATATTTCCATATTCATTAGTAGTTTATATTATACATGTATTATTTGTAAACTAATCATATTATTACACAGAGACACAAACATATACAAACACACATACATACTGTACATACATATACAAAGATATAAATAACTAATTTAAATGCATAGATAAAACCTAAATCTAATTTTATAAAAATACCAATGAAATTAAATTAAAAATCTAATTAAAATTATTTTCTCTTATATCGTGTTGTTGTTGTTGTTGTTATTATTATTATTGTATTTTTTGAATTTTATTATTACATTTAATTCCTCTTTATATATATATATATACAACTACTACAGTATATTGTGTATTTGCATACATTCAGTACATGTGTAATACATGTATTAAATGTAGAAAATTCATTGCTGTAAAATAAATTTGTTAAAATATTTTTTGGTACACATTTAGGAATGCCTTTTAATTAGATTTAATTTGGAAAACAAATAATTTAAATGCCATTATAATTAAAGAGCAAAATACTTTATTTAATTCCCTCTATTTATTATTATTTTTGTTTATAAATTAGTATCTATATTATACAATGCAAAATAATAGAGCATTCACTGTATATATATATATATAGAAAACATGTTTGCAATTTTAATTTTCAAAAAAAAAAAAGATTTCAAAGTAAATAAAACAAAAAAAATTTAACTTTTTATATGCAATTTCTATGCAATTAAATTTATTGACTTCATTTCTTCTATACAATGATATCATATATAGATTTTAAAAATAAATAAAAATATACAAAATAAAAAATTTACTAAAAAAATGTTTTGTGTATTTTTTAAGTTAATTTATTATCATTATTATTTTGTGTATGAGTATATTTAATTTTATGTATAAAAAACATTTACTGTACAATTTTAAAGTAACAAATAATTACATTTACATATTTTTATAATCCCACAAAATTTACATTTAAATATATTTGCAGTGTTATAAATATATTAAAATATATGCCTAATAAATTAATAATACTTTTATAAAACAAAAAAAATAACAAAATTTCAATATATTTAAATACATAACGTTATTAAAAGCAAAATAATTATTATGTATTTATTTAAAATAAAATGTATATAAATTGATAAATTTTAAATAATAAATCTATAAAAACCAATATAAATATATACTGTATTTGCAATAATAATTAACCTAATATTTTAGAAAAATTAGTTTTCAGGTCATACTATGAAAAACTAAGAAAATAATTTCACTTTTATTTCAAGTAATATTTATTATAATCAATAAAAACTAATTTTATCCGATATGTTAATACATTATTAATTGACAAATAAGCAATTATTGTATTTTGTTACACTATAATCTATAGTATACTATTTTAAGACATCTAATATGCAAATATAAAAAATAATGAAAACTAATTAGCATACAATTTAAGATTGACATCAAATTAACCATTAATAACATTTTCATATATTATACTAATAAATTTGTATATATACTGTATATTTAAAAAAAATTAACTCTTTATATGTCTATGAAATAAAATTTGTTAAAAAATTACTAATCAATAAATATATTTTAGTTCATATTATAATATTAATAATATCATTTATATTAATATATAGAAACTAATTTTTATTATACAAAGAAAATCACTTAATCTTTTTCTTTGAGATTTTTTTTATAACATTTCATTGATATATATTTTATATTATATAAAATCTTCATGTAATCTAATATAACATGCAATCCACATAACAAACTGCATATAAATATATATCCTACTAATATTAAAATATAAAGCTATAACTTATAAAAATTTATTTATTATATATAAAATTTATTGAAAAAAACTTGATTAATCACTTTTCTAATAAATTGCAGAAAATACATGTTGTTATACATATACTACTATAGCTACAGTATATACAAATTTTTTCTAGTGGCATATAATATAATAATTTATGTTATTTTTATATATTTAATATATATAGAATAATTTTAATATATATATTTGTATATAAATAAAATAAAATATAAGTATTATAAGGCTTATTTATTTACTTATAATAAAATATCTAAATAGTAATAAAAAAATAAAATAATAATTTTTTTATTTATTATATAATAATAATAAAAATTGGAATTTATATATATATAAATTATTTTGAATGAGAATATTCTTTATATATATATAAATATATTTAATATTTTATACAATAGTATTGCTATAATAAAATAGCAGATTTTGAAGTAATTGCTAATAATATTTTTACTGATAAAAATGATTACACTATATTGTTAGTAATAAACATTTACTTTAATATTCACATTGATATGAGATATAATCATAGGTTTGTCTATGATTTATGTTAAGTAATAATCATATCACACAATAAGCCTTTAATTAAATTGAAACACACAAAGAGAGAGAGAGAGAGAGAGAGAGAGAGAGAGAGAGGGAGAAAACTTTTATAACATTTACAATAACAGTAAATGACATGAATTTTTATGATAAAATTTTTCTGTTTATTTTATTATTATTGTTGAGTACTATAGTATTATTTGTTTAATTCATACAAATAGCAACAAAAAAAACTATTTTTTCTTTTTTTATTTTATGTGTTGATGTCATCAAACTAAATAACAACACATTTTATGTGTGAATGTTTTTATATGTTTTTATATCATATATGAATGCCTGGTAATAATTGTAATGTTTTTTGGGATCAAATCAAATGGCTGTCTATTTTTTGTTGTTGATGGGAAATGGGGTGTATAGGACTATATATAACCTGCAAACACATAATAAAATAAGAGAGAGAGAGAGAGAGAGAGAGAGAAAGAGAGAGAGAGAGAGTGGACACACACACACAAACATTGTCATAAAATTTATAGTTAGTATCAATACAATCGACGATATACTACTTGCCCCACAAAATCACATACACATCCCTACAATAAATGTCAAAAAACTATCTATTATTTAAAATTATTGCCTAATCTATACCGGTATATAAATATCAATATAATATAAATGTATGATTAAATACATGCATATATGATAATATAAATATTTTACACTATATTATGTAATAATATTAATGTAATTGTCCATTATATTGAATGGTGGTACCGGGAAGGGAAAGGGGCCACCAAAAAAAAAAGTTATGTACAATGATAGCATTGTCTACTATACTGTATGTGAGTGTGTGTGTGTTTGCAAAATGTTTGGGCAAATAAAAAAAAAAGTCATAATAAATATTTTTTTGGTCAAAATACTACAACCAAGATATACACTACATATTTATAAAAATGGCATTTTTTACGATGTGTTTTCATATATATATATATATATATTATATACTTAGCTATATTGAGAAATTAAATGAATGACAGTCCGTCACGCGCGTCACCTCAAGCGTAGCTCCATTTCCACCGTCAACTCAGACATATAGAAGAGATAGATAGAGGAAAGAGAGGGCACACATACCGTGCGATATAAATAAATATATGACTAGTTTGTGGAGTGTCAGTCCTATCGACACATCTGCATCAGCACTGACATTGTCTGTATACGTACTGTATGTATACAGACATAAAATAAAATATAATGAAAGTCCAGGTGAAGTGCCTGTGAGCTAATCCCTGTGCCGACAATCTGCTCTCTATATCTATTAGCGATATAACAAAACTCTCTCTCTCTCTCTCTCTCTCTCTCTCTCTCTCTCTCTCTCTCTCAAATACACACACTATTGATTGCCCAGACATAAACCATAAGTCTAAACACACCCTTACTATCCATTGATGAAGAAAACTACTATATATTTCTCTATCATCTCTATCTCATCTCATCATTACTTTCAACACCTGAATGCTAGCAAACAGTGTTTACTGTAAACATTAGAAGGAAAGAGATAAAGAAAGAGAGAGAGAGAGAGAGAGAGAAARTGCGACTAATAATATAGTTAATAATAATTGTCATTTATTGTTGTCCTCTCCATAAAATACTAGACACACCGGAAATTGTGACCATTTTTCCGAAACGATACATAAATTGAATGATAAAAATTAAATGCAATGAATAAATGAATGAATGAATTTCTAAAAATTTAGTCAATGTATTCAATGAATGGGAAACACCAAAACATTTTTGTGGTTTCATATCAATAGCTTTGTGGTGAATTGACGGGCACTGGTAATGGTAGTAGTAGTTGGTTGCAGTGGTTTGTTGCTGTTGTTGTTGTGGTTTATGGTTATACTACACATAGATATATGATGTGGTTTTGTGGTTTTATTTTGATAACAATGCTTAAATGGTGACAGAAAAATAGATACTATTGAAACCATACATATACAAACAATTTTAGACTACAGTTCCCCCGTCCATATCACACATACACAGACTCTTACCATTACATAACAAACTTATGGAATATCTCCCGCTTATGTATTCAATATACAGTACAATATTATATATATTAAATATTGTCCGCTATATAAACATAACTAATTTCATTGATATTTCAAGCGATTATAAACTACTATATACTGTACAGTATATACAATATATTTTCTGT